ATTTATAGGGACGAAATACCGTATATTAACCACTATTAGATAACCTGCTACGATAACTATTATCTAGTATACTAATTAGAGAAGGACGGAGCTAGATACTACCCTAAAAGACCCTAGAAGATACTCGCTATAGTATCTAGTAACGAGTATAATAATAACTATAGCCTTAAAATCCCCGACTAGGATAAGAATAAACTAGCTTTATAAACTATTATAGAAATCCTTTAAAAATACGGATAGACGAAGGAAGAAGCTAAAAGATAGAAGCAGATCTTAGAGATCCAGAAGAAATAGGAAGTCCACACGAATACTAGCAGCGGAGGCTTTAGCGCCCTCTAGGAAGTAGGACTTACTCCCGAAGAGAAACACCAGCTTAAGAAAGAGGATTATACACGTTACGCATAGGAGGAAATCGCCAAACTCGAAGAGTAAGATTAGGAAACGGAGTCCAACGGGATTCCGGATAATAACACGAACTTCTAGTATTAACTTATAGAAGCAGCCGACCTAACCGAAGAAGAAGTTATCTAGCTACGGATACTCGACTAGCTCGCGGAAGAACCTCTTAGATAAACCCACTAAGTCCGTTTCACTAAACTTAGCTTTAATAATGCTTACCGCAGAGCACCCGCGAATACCACTAAAGAATAGCAACGGACTATATATTAGTAACCTTAACCTTACTATACTTAGAAAGACCGAGACACTTTCACTAGCCTAATAATAAGCCTATAAGGATCGGACAATTAACTACCTAAGTACTAAACGTATAAGAAAGGATAGATAATACACGCTAACTATCTAGACTATAGCCTAATCCTTTAGGCTAATTATATTAAGGACGTATACCCTATATATAAGGAATATAAACAGGCTAATAGCTTCTAGCCGCGGAACGAAGAATAAACCCTAGAAGATAAAATCTATTTAAGGAGATAACGTGACGACTAGGTTATCACGGAAACCAGGGGTAAAGGACGCGAGATTCGCCTTTAACTATATAGGTATAACTACTACGAGTACCGGTTAGACGAATATAATACTACTAGCTATATAGTATACGCTACCGAGAAAATCCGATAACTAGAATAAGACTAAGAAGCTTAGGAATCACGCTTCTAGGCCCTTGATAAGCGCCTACGATAAATAGAACGGCTCTTAATCCAGTACGGGTTCTTAGATAAAGAAATATCCCTCGAATACCGAGCTAAACAGGTAAAAAACTAGGAGTATACTATTATAAGAAGTACGCGAGAGGTACTCGATAGATATACTCTATAACATGTAGTAGTATAGGGTATTATTATATTAGAATACGACTCGATAAATATAAGATAAACGCACTATTAGATATAAGCGTAGCAGGAAACTTTATCTCGCTAGTAGCCGTAAGAAAGTTCTTTATCCCCTAGGTTAGGAAATACCTAGAAGATAAGTACGAGATTACTCTATATACGGGAAAGAACCAGTCCCACGAAGAAGTTATTATTAACTAGGAGACTATATACCTTTAGATCGAAATTCAGAATAAGACTATAATAATAAAATTCGATATATACGATATAGGTATAAGGACGTTATCCTTAGTAAACTATAGTTTAACGAATAGAATCCCGATATAGACTAAAAGCTTAGCTAGCTCTATTAGAGATTAGAGAGTAAGTAGGAGCCTATAAAGCAAACCTTACCCGATCCCGATATCCGTCGAAAATAGCAGAAAGACTTACCGACGAAGGAGCCTTAGGGAGACTTAGATAACCGCTAGAAGTCAGGGACTAAGGCGAAAGGAGTACGAAAGACTTTAAGATAGTAGTAGCGGCACGATAACCGATACGTAATAAATATTATTAAAGGAATCTATTAGATTATCTAAGCAGAGAGAGGACTCGTAGAAGGCGATCACGATAGACTCGCTAAGGTATTACCAGAATACCGTAAATACGGAAGGCTATTTGCCGAAAATTTAGAGACTAGATTACCGAAACATCGATACTACGATCACGAGATACCCCTTAAGGAAGGGATATACCCAAAATTCTTTCTAATTTACGGGCTAAATTAAAAGGAATTAAATAACTTAGAAGAATATCTCAAAGAAATACTAGTAAAAGGCTATATTAGAGTATTATAATTACTAGTAGGATACCTAATCCTATTTATACTAAAGAAAAACGGTAAACTATAACTATATATCGACTATTAATAACTTAACGATATAATTATTAAGAACCGCTACCCACTACCTTTTATCTCGGAGATATAAGATTAGCTAATTAGAGTATAATAGTTTATAGCACTTAATTTAAAAGGAGCCTATAACTTAATTAGGATTAAAGAAGGAGAAGAATAGAAAATAGCGTTCCGAATAAAGCAAGGATATTTTAAGTACCTTATTATACCTTTTAGATTAATGATTACGCCGGTATTATTCTAAACGCTTATTAATAATATCCTAAAGAAGTATTTAGATTATTTTATTATAGTATACCTAAATAATATCCTTATTTTCTCTAGAATACTCGAAGAATACCGATAATATATTCACACGATTCTATAACTCCTATAAAACGCTAACCTACTAATTAAGCTAGAAAAAGTCTAATTCTACACGTAAGAAGTTAACTTTTTAGGGTATATAATATAACCTAACGAAATCTATATAGATAAGGCGAAAATCTAATATATCTCTAAGTGGCTATAGCCGTAGAATATTCGCGATATTTAGTCTTTCCTCGGACTTATTAACTACTATTAACGATTTATTAAGGACTATAGTAAGATTACTATCCCCTTAACTAAAGTAACTAAAAAAGGACTCGACTTCGAATAGAACGAAAGAATAGAGGAAGTATTCTAAGCCCTTAAAGGAAGAGTTACTAGCGAACCTATCTTAGTAATACTAAACCCCGATAAAGAATACGAACTCGAAATAGACGTATCCGACTAGGCTTTAGGAGTATAACTCGGGTAATATAATACAGAAAGGAGATTATATCCTATAGCCTTTATATCTAAAAAACTCAGTAGACCGGAACTTAACTATCAGATCCACGATAAAGAGCTAATAGCTATTATTAAAGCCTTTAAGGAATAGAGACTATATCTATTAAGAATAAAATACCCGGTATAGGTCTACACGGATTATAAGAACCTTACGTAATTCACCACTACTAAGGTTCTTAATAAGCGATAGATCCGATAGGCAGAATTCCTATCCGAATTCAACTTCTATATTTAATATATAAAAGGAAGCGAAAATAGTCGCGTAGATACACTTAGCCGACTAGGAACACCCGATAAATCACCTAAACTATAAGCTATACTCTAGTAGGAAGGAGAAGCTCTCACCCTTAAAAACAGAGGAATAAACAGCATTAATCGGATAACCGACACCACGTTCGAAGAAGCACACGCCTCACCAATATATAGATATTAAGGAGTTTATAAGACCTACCGCCGATTACGATAATAATACGGCTATATAGAAACTAAAGAACGAGTTAGGGACTTTGTTCGTAACTACGATATTTACTAGAAAGTAAAGAGTAGCCGATATAAACCTTACGGACTACTAAAGCCACTACTAGTAGTAGACGGACTATGGAAATTAATTATAATAGACTTCGTGACAGGATTCCTAGTATCCAAAGACCTAGTAACAGGAACCGCCTACGATAGCGTATTCGTAATCGTCGACCGATTCACGAAATACACTCTTTATATTCTATATATTAAAAACACTATAATAAAAGAACTAGCTAGTATCTTTATTAACCGCCTAATCCGGGATCACGGCGTGCCGAATAAAATTATCACGGATAAAGATAAACTCTTTACCAGTAACTTCTAGAAAGCAGTTATAAGCTAGCTAGGAATAAAATATAAGTATTTAATAGCGTTTTACCCTATAACGGATAGATAAACCGAAATTATAAACTAAGTCCTAGAATAGTATCTACGATACTATATAGGGTACGAATAAGATAATTAGGTATAATACCTACTACTTATATAGTTTATATATAATAGCTCGTTAAACGAGTTAATAAAGAAAATACCGTTCGAAGTAAATTACGGGTATACCCCGATAGTATTTAGAAAACCTTTAGAAGGACTAAACGCACTAAGAGCGATAAAAACAGTTAAAAGCATGAAAAAACTACACGAAGAACTACGAACCGACCTAAAGATAGTCAGAACACGAATAAGCAGATACGTAAATTAATTAAGGATTAAGGGACCAACCCTTTTAAGGGGAGACCGCGTCTACCTTATTCGCAAAAACATCAAAACATAACGACTAAGCGATAAATTAGATTTCAAAAAATTAGGACTATTTAAAATCCTAGAGAAAAAATCAGATACAAACTACATCCTATCACTACCTCCGATAATAAGGATACATAATAATTTCTATATTTCATGACTTAAACTAGTATCGAAAAACGTAAAAATAATATAAGATAAAATCGTAGTGGATACTAGCGACGTGTACAAAGCAGAACGAATCCTCGACCACCGAGAGACGCTAGACGGCACCGAATATTTTATAAAGTGGAAAAACTACGACTATAGCGATAATATATAGGAACCTAAAGGCAACTTGATTAATTATAAATAACTCCTAAAGTAATACCGATAAAACACTATCAGGACCTAGAACCAGACGCCGCGGTCTACGTAAAATTAATATCCGAAAGATCACTTATATCCTGCGCTATAATTTAATTCTAATTAATCACGTTAACCGTACTAGCCGCCTACGTAGCTAATATAGCCTCCGACTCCGCATAACAAACCTCGGCTTCCTTCTATTCTAACTCCTCGAGCTCCTCCACGCTTACGAGGTCCTTACGTACTATTTCGACCCCCTTCTCGCGAAGTAACCGACGTATCTTCCGGAGACGGAGCAGACAGGATAATACCTTGTTTATCTCCTGGCGAGCACGGGCCTTTATAGCCTCAAGCTCTCAACGACGAATCGTTAGGACCTCCTCCGCTTACTCCTCCTCGCGCTTAAGACGACGAAGCTCGTCGTGAATACGGTTAACTAGTAAACCACACGGTTAAAAGAAGAAGGCGGGAAAGAAAGGGAGGGCTAACCCTACTAGAAGATATAGAAACCCGCGAAGAATCGTAAGAACGGCTAACAGAATAACAGGATAAGTAGCGCCCGATACTATCCAGAATAAAACAAGGAAGCGATTAGTCGAAGCAACACGAACAGGGCGAAACCTCAAAACCCTAGTCGGTAATAAGGGCAGAAATTCGAACTCGATTAAGAGCAGAACGAGAAACGGCGGGCTTAGCGGAACGTTTCTGCACACGGTCGGATATAATAGTTAGCAGTAAGGAAAAGAAAAAACAGGGAAACGATAAACCTGGGAAAGGCGACCTACTTATACGACCGCTAGGACAGCGCCTAGAAGAGGGGAGGTAATATTATAGCTAATAGGCCTAATATATACTAGCACGAAGGATATACTAGTGTATAACAGACTAGGACGATTAGCGTACTAGGACGTAACCAGAAGATAACTTAGGAGGATATTATATGCCGGGTCACGGGATAACTCTCTAAGTAAGGATATACTAGTATATAGAATACTAGTATACTAGACACACTAGTATAACTACGGAGGCTATTCACCGGGTATTCACCGGGAGGCTCGTGAACAGGAAGTAAACAGTAAGTGAACAGCGAGTAAATAACCGGGTATATATACTAGAGTATCCTAGGTCTTACTTCTATTAGAGAATAAGATATCGATTAATCTAAGTCTTCACCTAGACTACTATTCTACGCTTAAACCTACCTTATAAAGAAGACGCCTAGTCTTTACGACGTAACTACGACCAGACCACTACGAACGACAGTTACTACTCTTTAGTTAATATCCTCTTCTTATTTTGAACTAAAACCTCGACGCTAGTCCCCTATCGTCCGCTATATTATAGAGGACCGGAAGCTGTCGTAATAAGATAATACCGTTTAGTCGCGTAGATCTATTGTTAAGGCCGGTATAATGACTTTACGAGATTACCGCGGCTTTTATTCCACCGGTTTCTTATTTTCTTTTTTTAGTTCCACTTATTCGTCGTTTTCTTGCTTTAGTTCTATCTATTTCTCTTTTTCTTTTTTTAGCTCCGGCTAGCTAGTATTAGCTGGCTATAATCCTTCTTACTCTTTATCGGTAGCCTTTCCTTTGCCTTTATTCTTTTCCGCGCGAGGCCGCTTAGTGATTTTTTTCTTTACCGTAATTAGAATATTATCTTCTTCCTCCGGCTCTTTTTATATAGTTATTTTTCGGCCCGCGCGCTTACGAGAAATATTAGAGTTAACTTAGTCGGCTTCGACTTCCGTTATACGAAGAAAGCTAAGATAAACTTCTTTCAAAAGTCTAATTCCAGACTCGCATAGTAGCGTACGTAAAGTGATAGTTATATATATCTCGCTTCGATAAAAGTCGACTTTTTACGGGTTCTTATCGTTATAGGGGAAAACCGTAAGGTCTCGGTCGAACTATTCTTTCTTCGTGTTAAACTGTGTAATAATATAACGTATAAGATCTTAATACGTGGGTAATACTAGGTCGAGTAAAATGGTAACTCGGCCTATAACCTTTTATCCGAGTATATTTATGAATTTTTAAAAGGAGATACCGCCGCTTAAGACTATATAGTACTCGCCGCTATATAACGTAATACTAATTTCCTTTATCGGCGTGGGTTACTTTTCCTTATTAGTTTACGCTATACTAACTTTTCGCTCCGTCTTACCGAGCCGTAGCGCCCGTATTAGTATTTAACCTTGCCGGGCTCTAGGCGCCTGCACGGCCCTGGTTTCCGTCTTAGGCTTTTATTCCCTTTTAGGTGGTGTTGATTCAGTTAAATTAATAACAGACCTATCCGAAAAGGCCGGTGAAGTTTCTTTTTTAACCCGGCTAGTGATGTTAGGAGATAAACTATAGCTTAGGCAGACCGCCTAATAGGGATTTCGATTAAATAGAAGTGTATATTTAATATTCAAGATAGGGCAGAGTAAAAAGACGTCCTCTGTTATTATATTAATAGTAAGATTATCGCGTTAAATTATGTATAATAGAAAGATGCTGCCAGAAAGTACCGTAAATGCTTGCGCGATGTTGTATAATAGCTTTTCAGATAATTATATTTATGCGGGCTTTGGATATAAGAGCTAGTAAGTACCGTAAATACTTGCGCGATATTATATAGCAGGTTATAAGAAATTCTTATTTATATGGGCTTTATACGTAATAGTTATAGGCGAAATCATTAACTTACTATTTACTATATTCTGATATATAAAGGTAAACAGTACTACTAAGCCTACCTTCGGCGTATACCTAGTGATGCGTTATTACTATTTTTAGAAGTTGTTACAGTGTCCCCTGCGGCATGCGGTACAAGACAACGAATAGTAGCGCAGAGGGAACTGCCGAGTCGTGACGGCTAGTGGGGACTATTCCCGTACCAGTACCCCTGAATTACACTCCAAGTTCACCCTTTTGCACACACACTGCATTACTAAGGTAAGAATGGATACTAAACAGTACCTTGTATCATTTTGGGGATTACCCCAGCAAGTCTTTTTATTCCCCATCACCATAACAACACGACGCAGGCTCTTTTACCCCTTTCCTCTTTTCTCCTCTTCTTCTCCGAGGGTCCGAAGGAACATCATGTATTCCCAACCTTGGCCCCTTAGTCTAGAATGTCCTCAAGAAACTAGTACAGAAACCTGTGAGAATCCGCTGTCGTCCTAATTCCGCCCCTCCCTTTCCCTTCAAACGCCGCTCAACTCCTTGAACGACAAAGAGAAGAAAGAAAAAAAAAAAGAAAAAGAAGAGGCCTAGAACATTCTATCATTGTAGTCCAACTGATAAGGAAGAAAGAAACATGAAGGCGGCGGCTGCGGGAACCAAGTAGAAGCAAGCATCTGTCGCTATAATGCGACGGGTGCAAATGTCGTAGGTCGCTCATGCAGATCGTGATGCATTGGGTGGTATCAGCCAAAACAGAGACGGCGGAAAACAAATAGGAAAAAAAAAGATAATGGAAAAAAAAGGAAAAAAAGAGGTACGCTGTCGAGGAGGTCGCTCCAATCGGGGTGGTGCCGAAACAGGGGCGAAGAGGTAGGGAGCGTTCGATATGAATGAATGCATGGATGTATGTATGTATATATATATATATATACCGGAGAACACAAGGTAATAGGTAATTGGGAGCAAGGGAAAACAACTGAAACAACCGTAGGGTATCAAGTCCTGTCCTGCACTACTCCCATCTAATCATTTTGATGGGCCGGCTTGGTGAGTGAGAAGCCCCGGAATCGTCTGTGGAACTTGTGGCCAACGCCAGCTGACTGTCCATGCTGGCATTGACTGGACTCGATCCGGGACAACCGGGCTGCCGACGTGAAATCGCTGCTCGCCTCGAAACTCGGTCGCACCCGGTCCATCGACGCCCGCAGCCGATCAAAAGACGGCCTCGCTCGGTCAAACGACGGCCGTGCCGCGGCCCCTGAGATTTCCATCGACATGCGATGTCCCGTATAGTTTGTCCCGTCACTGCCGTTTTGGCTACGCGCGTTGTGCGTCGTCCGCGTCGCCACAGAGGGCGGGTAAATCGGCCTGGCGTCCTCGTCTATGCTGCCGTAGTGCATGTGCTTGGGTTTCCGCGCGCTGTTGTCGGATGAGTTGGACGCCGAGTTGCTATCCCGTCGCGCCGCCACCGTCTTCTGCCCGTCAAGAGGCTCCTGCGTGAGATGCGCGAACTTGCCTTGCCTCTCTTGCTCGCGGATAATATCAACGTCGTAAGGGAAGTACACCTTTTGCAACGCCTTGATCGCGAACCGGGGGAATAAGCTGACCACGGGCACGATGAAGAAAACCGCCCAGAATGACGCTTGGCTGTACACCTGCGGCGCTGCGTTATAGAACGCTCCCGCATACGGATCCGCCGTGTAAGCGCCCGTAGAGAGAAAGATCGTCAGGTCGCTGATGATCACCGAGAGGAGAATGACCCAGTCCCATCGGTACGTGTTGATCAGAATGTACAAGTTGATGGTGACAACAGCCGGATGAGCGATATAAGCCCCCAGCCTTGTTCGGTCCTCAATGTTCAGCCCATTGAACGTGACGAAGCTGGTGCGAACGACCGTAAGATACGGAACATAGAAGACGATGACGGATTGGTAAACTCCGTCAAGCATGTATAGCCTGTGGTCACGATTAGTTTTGACGGAAAAAGAGAAGGAGAAGAAAAAAAAAAAAAAGAAGAAGAAGAAGAAGAAGAGAAACTGCCATGACAGTTCACAAGCCAACATACCAGAACTTCAACTGAGTCCACTCGAGCCGCTCAATGCCCCGGCGATACAGCTGCGGAACGGCGAGGGACACTTTATCGGACACATCCTGGTCCAGAACGCCCATGATAGCCACGGGCACCGACGTGTAGAAAAGCGTGAAGAAGAGAATGTACGTGTAATCGAAAATGTAAGTGATGTCGAAGTCGCAGTAAATCTGGTACCAGAAAATACTGAAAACCCAGATGATACTCTTGTAAAAGAAGTTGGCGATGGACTCGGCCATTCTGCGGTATGACCATCGACCGTGCACCAACACCAACCTCTGGAGAAACCGAAACTGCCCGATGGCGTAGTCCGAAGACATGACCGCCTGGCGACCCTCCAAGCCCGCGATGCCCACGCCAACGTCGGCCTCCTGGATCATGGCAACGTCGTTCGCACCATCGCCAATGGACAGCGTCATGACATCGAGTCCGTTCTTGACCATGGACACCACGGCCGCCTTCTGCGCAGGGCTGACACGGCAGCAGAGGACCGACTTGCACTGCTTGCACAGCAGCAGGAACTTCTGCTTCAGCGAGTCGTGCAGAGCCCATTTGAGCGTATAGCCGTCGATCACAAGGCCGTGGGTCGGCGGCGGAGGCTCGTGGTTGTGCTTCGCCTTGGCCAAGTCGTCATCGTCCCCGGTCAGGTTAAACGTCTTCAAATTGGCGTCCAGTTCTTCGCGGAGTTGGCCCAGAATCGCCTCGTCAGTGGTCTCGCCTGATTCGTCTTCTTCGACCTTGAGATGGATGAGTTCCATATCGTTGCTGAGCAAGTTGCACGAGAAGCCAATGTTGATCGCCGTCTCCACCTTGTCGCCCGTCAAAACCCAGAGCTTGATGCCGGCTTCACCGAGGAGCGCGATCGTGTCGGGGACACCATCTTGCAGCCTATCTTCGATGGCCGTGCCGCCGAGAAGCGTCAACTCCTGCTCAATGCGGGAAGCCACGGATTCCATCTTTTCCTCCCGGTCTTCCAAGGCCGCCGCTGCGGCGTCGTATTCCTGACGCCACGCCACGTAGAATTCCTCTGAAAGTTCTCGCTGGGCGATGCAAAGTGTTCTCAGCCCTTCCCGCGCGAACATCTCCAGATGCTCCGCCGTAGCTCCCCTCAGTTCCGCCTGCTCGCCTCGCTTCAGACGAGAATAGATGATGCTGTCGGCGCCCTTGCAGATGAGCAGGAGGCGGTTGTCCGGCATGCGGAGGACCACGCTCATCCGCTTCCTGGTCGAGGTAAATTCGATCATTGTCAAGATTGGGTAGTGGCGTTCCTGGCCCATCACATTCAGCGTGATCCCGTCGCTGTTGCCGTGGAGGACGGTGAAGCCCATGTCACGGGCCGTCGAGACGAGAGCGGCCTCGTCTGGCGACTGGGCCCTGAAGCCCATCCTGGGAGGGTCGCCAGCGTGTCGCTCTGCGATGACACTGTGGCAGAGCGCCAGGGCCAGCATGAAGTTCTCGTTGGCGGCTTGCTGTTCTTGCCCGGATTCCCCTGCCAAATCCGCCACGAAATCCGGCGCGACGAATGTCACATCGTCGTCGTGTAGGTAAGGGTTTTCATGCATCCTCCGAAGGCCCTCAATTGCGCGAACCTTGCCTGCGGAAATTTCCGCCTTCGCCCTCGCAGACTCTTTCTCGACGTCGATGCCCATCCGCTTCTGCATCCCGGCCTGTGCTTCTGTATAAGCTTCACCGTAAGGCTGCCCGTTGATGGTGGCCTTCTTGAACTCCATCACGTTCTGCGTTAGAGTGCCCGTCTTGTCCGAGAAGATGTACTCGATCTGTCCCAGATCGTCCGAGATATTCCACGTCTTGGGAATACACGGTTGGTCGATCGGCTCGTAGTACATCTGGACGTCGCTATAAATGAAGATGGCCTGCAGCAGCCGAACAATCTCCAGAGTGATGTAGAGCGAGATGGGAACCAAATTCTGGAAGAAGATGATGGCGGCCCAGAAGGTGATGAATCCGGTCATGGCAGGACTTCCGCCGATAGATCCGAAGTTGAAATAATGCAGCGACCTGTCCGTCCCCGCCCACGAAGTGCCGTTGACAACGGCCGAGACGAGACACATGCCAATCAGAATACCGAAATTGCAAATGACGTTGAAGTTCAGCTGGCGGGCAATACGCGCCCGTTTGCTAGGTGTGACTCCAGAGTTGATCATGATCTTTGTGTCGTGGCCAGTGAAAACGACGACGCCGAGAGCCCACTCGGTGTTGCGGAGGTTGCACCCACGAAGCAGCATGTTGTCGATAGTCAACGGCTCAACCATGTCTTGAGGTTCGGAATCCGGCCCACCAAACTTCTGCTGCCACTTAATAGCTCCATTGTATTTGTAGAGATTCGGCTGGGGAGCTTCGCTGTCGATCCAAAACTGGGCTCGCTCGCAATCCCGGGCGTGTTTCATCGATCGGCCGCATCGGAGAGAGGTGCGGACCTTGAGATTAGTCTCGCCATCAAGGTTCTTCGTCTCCACGTAGCAGACGCCCTCGGCGTCCGATGTGGAAAGGACAACAATATCTGCCGGAATCTCGTCGTCGTTGTATATGCGGACGAAGTCGCCTACTCGGAGGTCTTTCCAAGCGTCCTTGTGGAAGCGGGCGTCGCCCCTGGCGGGTAGCTCGGGATTGATAAGGTTGCCGTTTTGGTGTTTTAGCCGATCCGCTCTTTCCCGATCAGCCGCGTCCGGGAATTCCAACTTTTGGCGAGGCATCGGGGATGGGACTGGGGTCAGCTGGATGCCTTCCCGTATGGAAGCGAAGGATTGACGCTGAGTGGCGAGCGTATCGATGGAAGGCCGAGGGGCGCTTGCCTCGAGTGCGACACGACGCTTGGCCCTCTCCTCCCTCGCCTTCTTGGACCACAGCGTCTGCATCCAGTGCCAGATGGTACCGAAAAACCTTGTATTGGCCTTCTTGATCTTCCTCCACAGGGACACATTGTCCTCATGAACGTTGACATTCTCCAAACCACCAAGCCGGTGGACCGGGGCGTTGTTCAGCTCGTTGTCGAGGACGGTTCTTCTGTAGTCCTCGATGGCGTCTTTGATGGCGGTGATGGTGAGAATAGCGATCAGGGGCACCGAGCTCAGGCCTGGATTGTAGCCTCCAAAGATGGGGAAAAACTAACAGGTAGGTGTTGGCAACTACTACTTGGGTCACGGAAAGGGTGAACGAGGGGGGAATTTGCAGAATGTATACTTACAACCAGGATGACGACGAAGAGGAAGAAAATATTGGCGATGTTATGGAACTGGAACCACAGATTCTTTGGTATAAAGGATAATGGGGTGTATTTGGCGGTCCTGATCTTGTTCCGGGCGAACTGTTGACTTGGACTACCATTCTCATCGAGGAGATCTGGTGGGAGAGGCAAGTTGACGAAGAGCTTTCTACCGGCACCGTGGTGGTCGGGGTGGTCCGGATCGCTCGGGTGCAGCTTCTCGTTAACGTTGAACGTCTTACGAGCACGCTGAAGGATGGGCATTTTCATGAGATTGCTGCCCATGGTGGCTGTCCGTTTGGGCTTCTGGGTCTCTTGTTTTGCCCCAGGCCCCTCGGCCTCCGGAAGGGTCGGAGAAATCATGGTCGGGTCGTGGTTATGGTTACGCGCGGGCGCAAAGGCCCGTTAACCTACTTGACGGCCACCGCGATAATCCCGCCAGGGAAGAGGTGATGGATTGTCGTTGGTCAAAGCGAGTGTTTGATAGTGGTCGCTGCTGGTATAGACGTGTTGAAAGCAAGTCAGGTCGAAGGGAGCGTGGAGCGTAGAGCGAGGTTCGGCGACGAATAGAAAGGGTCCGTTTATGCAGTAGTCCGAGATGTGCGTTATAGTCGAGTTAATGTGTAAAAGCCCGCCGTGTGCAGGGGGAACGGGTTCGAAATCGTGATAGTAACGAATGGACAGGTGGTTGTAGGAAAGAATTATTTTGCCGGAGAAGACACGCAAGTGGAGAGCGATGGGTTGCGACGGAATGGAAGTGGAAGGGAGGCGGCGGTGCAATTCCCGCCTCAGGAGGCAGACGGGTCCCCAGGGTGAGGGGGTTCAACCGCTGTCAGAGGGATCGCAACCACGACAAGTACCTACAGAGTAAAGACTGGGGAAAAGTTACAGGTACGAATCACGGAAGGCTCCACTAAAAAGTACCCCGTAATAGTCCGTAGAGCTTGGTCAACCTCAACCTCTGGCTAGCATGTCGTACTACATACGAATATACTTCGAACCAAGTACATATGGACTGCATATAGGGGGTCCGATGCTGTATCTACGAAGCAATTGCAATGACCCTAAGAAGTCTTCTTACGTCGAGTTAATTGCCGTGTCGGGTATGTCACTTTCAAGTGTACCATTCAGGGTCTCTTCCCCTTTGGCACTACTCATATCATTGCACCCCCTATCCCTGTTAGACCGTTATTATTAATACATGAAAACGCGGAGAGGGGGTGAGGTAATTAGTCAGTAAGTACCACGTCCCGGAAGGGCCGGGAACTAACAAGACTCCGAGGTTGCTAGGCGGGTATCCTGATATTTCTATCACGGTCCCATGCAATCTCCTAGGCTCCGTACTAATGGAGAATAGAGACCTACGAAGAGAAATGGGCAAAAGGAGCCTCATGCCACGAGTGGGCTGGTGATTCCAGGGACGCGTCTTAGAACGCCAAAAGATGACCCGTTTCTCATCTCGTTCAAGTCGCCATGATCAGAAATGCAATTCACTCACCGTGGGCTGTATGAAGAAGTCTTGCTTACAAATATTTGATCTCCGCGAGGCCAGACGGGTTTAGCATACCTTAGCGACTGGAGTTAACTCCGTCCTCCCGAACGGAACCCGACGGAGTAAGAAGCGGAGTTTACGTGCCTCATACAACGTACCTTGCCATACGTACCTAATGTCAGCAACACCACCGATGGCAGCTACCTCAGGTACCTTAGTTGCATCGGTTTTGAACTGGCGAGTCGTTACTATCTACCCTACCTTACCTTACCTTAGGTGCCTTAGTCAATCCGCACTCATACCAAATGGGACATCCAAAAAGAAGGGGGGCTGCAGGTTTCGTGCTTGTACCAGATCGCAATGAGTTTGAGGGAGGGCTACCTTTTACTCAGTACCGATACGATAGGGGCGCATGCGTTTCGTACGGAGCAAGTATGGAAACAAACCAATAAAACTCACCAAGAAGAAAGGAAAAGGGGGAGAGGAGAAGTGTGGGACGATCCGCATTCTTGCCTTGTCACAAAATAGCAATCCAACCTGCGGATCCCGAGTTTCCCGGATTCCAGGCTGACCTCCGAATATTCGCACCTCTTAAAGAGGCTAGGAGCGACAGGGGTGACGGGGCTTACAAGGACGAGATACCTACCTACCAGGTAAATTAGTCTCCAACGCTGCTTTTCTACCTCATACCCGTATAGCGTACATCATGAATCTTGTCCGTCACTACCTTACCTTATCCATCTCTTCTGCAAGTTCGGCACTTTTCAGCTGACGAGGTGGTTACGGGCGCCCTGAAGGATGGGGAAGGCCGGGGGAGGGGGGCTCCAAGGGTAGTGAGTTTTGGACAGATCCTCGTCATGTTCATATGCACTTCTGCGCCGCTGACAGACGGTAAGCCAACCAGGAGCACGATTCCTAGGGATCGACCAATCCATCTAGGTGTAGTATTAACCAATTGCGGACGTACGCATCCTCCGAGCTGGCTTTTTGCCAGGAGGAACCGTCGTGTACCCCAAACCGTTGTCCGACATCTACCTTAGTTAAGGTACCTAAGGTAGGTAAGGTACTTATGACCATGGGACCCCCAGAGGATACTCGGATACGGCTTTCATCAATGTCGGTTTCGGGGGAGGGAAGAACCGTCGAACGAAGCATTATTGCCAAGTGTCCGTATCCGTACCGAATGAGGAGAAGTTACAAGTCACGTGATAGCGCAGAACGTGACGAAGTCGACCAATGAGCTGTAGCCTAGGTGGGGTCGCTACGCGCCACTTTCTCTTTGGGACGCGTTCCCATCAAAGAGGATCCGATCAAAGAGGACTGCTTTGTTAGATGTGACCGAAGTCCGTGTATTCCCGTCATTCGATTATCATCTAGTTGACGGTCAGGATGTGTATTTAAGGATCACTGTCATGACTTGTGTTCAAGTCGACGCATTCATTTAACCACAGGCTCTTTCCACACATAGCCTCCTGGCTCATGAGAGCGCCATGCCCTACGACCAAAGAAGTATACGAAATTACTTCCTTTCCCGCCAAACCAAGTCATCCCAGACGCCTACGGGGAACTCGGCTTCACCTCAGGAGCCGATCGATAACAGAGGCGTCAGCGCAACCGGCAGCGGTCGGGACAGCGCTCCCGAGCTGGTTGGTGCAAACCGGCCATCTCCAGATGGTGATGTTCCACCAGCCAGCGAACTAAGCCAGTCGTCTTTCCACCGGTCAGATCAGGAATCTGATGGCTTAGGGCAGAAGAGCACTGCTCTCAACTCCGTCCCGATAGACCTCTGGCATGAAGAGGTCTGTGGTCGTGGCCAGTCCACGCCGAAGCGTCCTACAACGCCGGTGACCAAGGTCTCTGATCTTGCTGGCATATCGACTCCCACACGAGCTTTGTTCGGTGTAGCCAAACATGAGATAAGCACCGGCAAACGTAATGCAGACGTCGCTTTTCTTTCACCCAAGAAAGACAGGACCAAGTCTGCCAGGCTAGACGCAACGTCATGTGCCCTGTTCGGGTCGCCAACGCCGCCGCCTCCTCTTTCCAAGCTTCCCTCCTCCTCTCTCCCACCATCCTCTCCATCAGTTTCAGAGAATGCGAGGCCGTCTTTTACTCGTGACATGGAAATCAAGGGTTCAGACGATGAAGATGACGATGCCGCCTCCGACTCTTCCTTCCCTGAACTTGAGCTGCTTTCGAAACCGAACCCCCTACCCAAGCCGTCGTCTGAGCCCTGGGCTCCGTTCGCTACCCCAAAATCGCGAAGGAAGACGGGAAGAGTCCACCAATCACCACTAACAATTCATCCCAAGCCCATGTTTAATATGAAGACGTTACTTGAGCATCAACGCAAAGAGGATGCGATCCTAGCCAGCTTCGAAAGGCTCGAGGAGGCCGAAGCCAAGGCTAGGGAAGAAGCGGCTGAGACGGAAACGGACCACGCCGACTTTAAACCCAGTCCTAACACAGCTCGACGAAGATTCATCAGCGTCGCCGGTCTCAAAGATGACGAGGTGGCGGGGAAGGCGTTGCGGGCCATGGAACGTACCGAAGCCGCAAGCGCGGTGAAGAACCGTTGGTACTTCTTTAATCCTCATTGTGCGCCGGCAGACACATCCGAGCCTTTCCCTCGCAAGGCCGCGAAGGGCCTCTGGGGCGTCCTGGCCGTGGACGGAACGCGAGCCCTGCACCTTCGGTCGTCTTTGTTCAAAGACATTGCCCGCAGGGTTGAACTCCCCGACGAGATCCTTCTCTGGGCTTTGCATTCCATACATTCTGAAAAGTCTCTACAGCTTCGACAGGAGTACTGCAATCTGGTCAGCAACGTTTCCGAAGGTCAGATCAGGCGACTGGCCACCCCGGAATTATTGCAGCAGCTGTTCCAACGTATAGGGGCGAATCCTCGCATTGACGATCGAAAGCTTCAGCCGGTGAGGCAAGTCGAGAGACCCTACGAAGACAGAGACTGGGCAGCATTGCGCCTGTATCTTGATTGGATCTACAATATATCGCCCTATCTTGAGCCAGAGTCTCTTACCTACGCCGCTATAACTCTTCTTCGCATGGCCGTTGACGAGACACTTCTCGCCAATCCCGATGTCCGAGTCGACCACCAATATGCGCTTCTTGGCCTTGTCAAAGCTGTCGACGCTGCGTCTTGGAACAAGTTTGTAAGCATTATCCTTTCTTTTTATTCATTACTTTTACTTCTTCCATGAAACTGTGGGGAAAACTGACCAATTTTCAGTGCGAAGATGTCTCCAATTCCTTGTTTTCCGCTTTTGAACAAAGCGTTTTCCGTTTGTTGCCTCTTCTATCCATGAGCGGGGCTGACGCGAGGCTCCGTCAGCTGCGACAAAGGCTGGCGGCTGTATTTTTCTTCGACAACGCGTCGCTTGCCGGAGAACACCCCGATTCCGATATCATCATTCGGGAGGCTGCCGAGCGTCTTAAGAAGGGCGACTATCAGATCAACCGCAAGACGGACTACGGAGAGCTCAAGGCGCGAGTCCAGCTGCTCGACATTGCCCTCGGGGACGGCGCATTCACGCCGCATGAAAGCGATGCCGATCACGAGATCAAGTTCAACGCCGACGTGGACAATCTTGCCCAGCAACTGAAGAGTCTCTGGGTCAGCATCAAAGACTCGGGCGCCGTTTACCTCTCCCGGACCGAAGCTAAAAGTGCTATCGACAGTGCTCAGAAACGACTCACGTACCAGATCCGAACCCAACCCCCGCCCAAAGAGAGCATCTTCGACTTGCCCGGGCATAGGGAACAGGAGGTGGTGACGCAAAGGCAAAAGGACTTCATGGATAAATTCATCGGAAACCTCAAGAAACCCAAAGCGGGCAGAATAGAGGCTCGATCACGTCAAGATGGCATCGCAACTAGTGATGACGAAGCGGCGGGCAAAGACGAAACTTTCATGACTGCCCTAGACGTCTGAGTTGGACCCCTAGGCCTTGTTTCAAAGGGAAGACATTATATGGTATATATGGGTAAATGGTAATGATAATGACTTGGTTTAGCCTGGCTACGAACATGGTCTGTGATGATCATACAACATCTTAAGGTACAGAAGCAGGCCTTTCTACCCATGTAGCTCCGGATCTTCAAAAGATCTTCAAAAAAAAAATGGCAGACTAGAACAACCAGCCTATTCCGGGGTGGGCGGGAAAAGGAGGAGTGTAGGGGAAGATCTGGCGGCGCGGCTGGGGTGTGGGGCGTGGCATGATGCTGCTCCAGCCTAAACGCGCTTAATCGAAGAACTTGCGGTTGGGGTTCTGTCCGAAAAGAGTCTCCCGCACGGCCGGCAACGCAGAGTCCTGCAGGAGTTTTAGTCGCTCTTCGAAAGTGTTGTTAATCTCGATCTTGCCATTTCCGCCAACGATGAAGGCACCACCGCTGCTGTAAAATCCCACTCGTCAGCATGGCTACACTGGTATAACAAACAAGGAACAACTGCGTACCTTCCCTCGGGGAGATATTCCTCCGTGTCCACGACAGCGGCAGTGTCCTTGCCAACCTCTTTCTTGTATTCCTTTACGGCATCCTCAATGGCCTTCTTCGTGATGTCCTCGTCGGCTTTCCGGACGCGGACCTGGACCTCGGCTTCATTCAGGGCGTAGAGTCCCTCAAGGATTAGGTTCTTCAAGATGCCCTGGTATTTGGACTTGTCCTTTGGCCCTTCGCCAAGCTTGTCGGTTGCGGTTTCGAAGATAGAGTCCAGCATCTCCTGTCGAGCCGCGAGGATCCTCAGTCGGGTCTTGTTGGCAACGGTGGAGCGGGTGATTTGTTGGGACATGGTGGCCTGTTTGAACTTCTTCTCGTAGGACGCGTCGATTGCGTCTGTCTCCTGGCGGACGAGCCTGGACTTCTCGATAGCAAACTCCTCATTGGCCTTGATCTCGATCTCGCGGGCTTTCTCCATGGCTTCCTGCTTGATGAACGCCGTCATCTTGCGGAGCTCCTGACCAACCTGGATACGGGGCGAGGAATATTAGCCTCTATCTCGCTGCTGCGGGGATGTTAAAAGCAGAGGGGCCTCCTTCCCATGTGAAAGGAGCGCCCCGGGGTGGGCGAGCGAGCTCACTTGGTCGTCGGTCAACGGTTGTTGTGACATGTTGAATGGCGTTTTCGTTAACACCGAGAGACTGTGGTAGGGTGTGATTCGGCGGGCAATTCGAATGAAGGAGGTGATGGGCGGACGAATTCGACACTCTGAAGGTCACGTAGTCGGTATGTCGGGATGTCGGTTTGAAGTGAAAGACCTACGAGACTGGACTGAGGCGTCGTCGAACGTACCGTATCAAGGCCCAGCGGCATGTGGAGTCGTCGGTTTCTTGGTCACAGCCTCGTGCAGCCACAACAGAATGTACGTACAGTAAGGTAGGTACCCCAGGTCACCTTAGCTTCCAGCAGGGGCTAACTGCTGGTTGGTTCAGTGGATTTCTCCTCGAAGTGCGTCTACCTTACCTAAGGTACCTCAGGTACGAATTCTACGAAGTACTCACAGACTGTCCCTTCGTACACTTACGTACCTAGGTAATCAGGTAATCTGATGCTGTTCGCAGCACGGAGTATAACAGGATGGTACTTCGCAATCAGGCTTGTATCTGCCCACTGGGCTTGTCCCCTGACATCATTCCTTTCGACGAAAGTTTCGTCTCCTCGAGTAATGCACCGCCACGGCTTTTGATACTTGCTTTGCAAGGTACTTCCATACTCCACACGGAAAATCATCGTGGTACTCCGGAGTACCTACTTAGCTGAAGGTACCCACTAAGGTAATTACTCTGCAAAGCCCGGCCACTGTCACCTTGACGGGCAGCGGTCAAGAAGTTACTTACATACGTAGTACGAAGTACGGACGCGCAGTCCATCCCCGTGACCCATTTACTGCTATGCATTTGGCCGTGGGATGATGCCAGACGTCTCTCGTCCCCTTTCCCGAGTCTCCATGTCCTACCTTTGGTTTTGTTTGGGCTTTCGACTATTGTAAACCTTCACGGTCAAGTGGTTTCTTTTCCTAAACCCTGCCATTTCGCCATTGGCGCCGCCTCGCTGCCTAACCACTCCCTACTTCTCTCCAAGGCTTCTGCCTCTCCTCTGGACGACTCAGGGCAACGACACCAACAACAAAACACTGCGACCTTTGCATTCCAGCGGCCGATTACCTGCGGAACCTCGAGGGCCTTTATCATTGGATCTCTATTAACCTACCGACCGACTTGTCTATTTACCCACCTAGTGGGCATCCCAATACATGCCTACACAATAGCACATACGAACCACACGCGAGTCTATCCGCCATCCAAGGCGGTGAGAACCGACGAACCTACACCCCTATTTCGAGATACATATATGGGACTACTTGTCGCATCCTTCTTCCTCGGCCGCCAGATGACCGATATCTAGGCAACGCGCGAGCATGGGGCTTTTAGGCGGCCTCTCCCCAGGGGGGACAATCACCGTACGTTAAGTTCGAGTTGCATCCATGAACACGTTGCAACAGACTGGGTCCTAACAGCTCATGTGTCTGTCAGATTGGCATTTTCGTTGGCCTTCTATCTACCGGCGTCCAGAGCCTAGGTCTCACCCTCCAGCGCAAGTCGCACATACTCGAAGATGAGAAAGCACCCCATGAAGTACACCGACCGCCTTATCGGAGGGCGAGATGGCAACTAGGAATGGGCATGTTCATTGCTGCAAACATCCTTGGGAGCACAGTCCAGATTTCGACTCTGCCACTACCAGTTCTTTCAACGTTGCAAGCTTCGGGCTTGGTCTTCAACTCCATTTGCGCGACCCTCGTCCTAGCCGAGCCGTTTACAAGATGGTCCCTTTGCGGAACTGGTCTCGTCTGCACCGGCGCAGTGCTCATTGCCGTCTTCGGTGCTATCCCGACACCTGCGCATGATCTAAGGGAACTCCTCGAACTCCTCAGTCGGCGACCATTCGTGGTCTGGATGATCCTCCAAGGCCTTTTCGTTGTCGCCGTAGCCGTCGTCACGGACAGCCTCAAAGTCTTGCCGAAGTTAAAGCAAAATCCCACGTTCCGATTCGCCCGAGGCCTCGCGTACGGTTGCATCAGTGGCACTCTGTCGGCGCACACATTGTTAGTTGCCAAGTCGGCGGTCGAGCTCATCATCAAGACCTTCTCTGGCTCGACGAACCAGTTTGTGCACTGGCAAGCCTGGGTCCTAGTACTGACGTTGATTACGCTCGCTCTAACACAACTCTACTACCTTCATCGTGGATTGAAGCTCGTCTCGACTTCCGTTCTATACCCCTTAGTCTTCTGCGTATACAACATCATTGCCATTCTAGACGGTTTGATTTACTTCAACCAGACCAGCCTCCTAGGCGCACTGAGGGGCGGTCTGATAGCTTTGGGCACTGTGATACTGCTCTCCGGAGTTTTGGCTCTATCCTGGCGTCTCAGTGACGAGCAGCACACTCCCGGTGTAGGACAATCATCCCTGGCGCCAGGTCTGGGTCTGGTCGAGGACACCGAGGGAGAGGAAGAATCCCTACTCGAGTCAGACTCCCTCGAGGAGGGCAACGCCCTGGTCGGGAGCTACTCTACTTTCAAGCCAGCAGAAAATGGCGAGGGCACGCCATTGACGCCGACAATGAAACCTAATGGCATTTTCCGCTGGCAGGAGCGTGCCCAGATCTGGGACGAACTCCAAGATCAGGACGCTCCAAGTTCCCCTTTCGCCCGGCATCGCTCCAGCACCTTGCCGGCTAGTGAAATCACGACACTGCTCCCAACACGACACGTGAGCAGTGGTGCAATTCCCCATGCGACCGAGACCGCGGGGCCGGCCTCCGCTGCCACGACCGAAAACTCACTTCTTCGGCCTGGTCGTCGGAGGCGCAAGTCCACCGGATTTCCAGGTTTCACCGCACGACGCAACCGGCGGAGAAGCCAGGCCTCATTGCAGGACGCTCTGGGCGGCATCTGGAAGATGAACTGGTGGCGGTCACGGCACGGTAGAGAGCGACCGTCCAGTGGAGATGTAGAGAGCGAGGCGGGGATGTCGCCTGGTCTTGCAAGGTCCGCGACGCGGGGCGTGAGCAACCGGGACAGCACAGGCACTATTATTTCGTGGCCACCTTACCTAGATGAGCCGGAACCGCCAGGTCCTGCTCACCGGCCCATTCCCGGCGAGGACGAAGTAAGGAGAGGAGACGGGGATCATCAGGGCGATCAACCCTTAGCTAAGTAATGCAGGGCATTAGTCTTGCTTTACTTCTCAACTCCCTTCTTGATTTGATTTCGGGGTTTTATACAATGGAGTGTAGGTGTTGGCTGGGATCACGAATGGGTCTGTTAATGCCGGTGTTGTTTTTCAAGGCGCGTCTAGATATACCACTGACATCGAAAAGGCGAGGATAGGATAGCCTAGGTCCATACCAGTATAACAAACCAAACCATTGGGCATCTCGTAACAGCCTCAGACTGTATACTCGATGCGTTATCTTCAACTTAAGAGACCGATCACTGACTTAAAATTTCTATTTGAGTAAAGGGCTAGTGACTGGAGGCTGAACGTCGATTCCATCTATCCGTATATACGAAGTACGTCCTCAACACGAGGGACCCATTCAGGGTGAACAAAATATCACATTGGGAATAAAAATAGCATGAATAGGGGTACAGAAGCCGACCCCCGCCAAAGGACATGGTAGTTAGGGAAACTGCCCCTGTCGAGAACTTATGATGAATAGGTGGCTGCTCGCTCATAAGAGAGTGTTATGACAAACAGCGTGCAGGGCATTACTATGCTCCGCCATTGAACAAGCAACGGCTCGGCGTAATATTTAAGAAGGGGCCAGAGAAAAATAGCACAGCTCAATATTGAGAACACCCTGGCGTCGGCACGCGTCAAAATCCCCAACGTGGCGTGACGCATGAGAAGCATCGTCCTGACATGCGCATGCGCATGCAATAGCTTGGCAAAACTCCTGAAGTGAATCTATATTCTGAGGTACCCGCTCTTCTCGTCTATATGTCGGAACCGCTCGCGTTCTCTACGGTCTTTGAGGAGAATAGTGGTGCAAACGATGAGCAGAGCATCAACGCCGACCATTCCGAATACGGCAGTGAAGATGTCGTCGAGGAAGATATTGGCAAAGGAGGTCACTGGGCCGACGCAGCCTCGCATAAGAGCCGCTGCGGCTGGAGAGGGACAGATGTCGTCGGTGATGAAAGCAGGAGTAGTGCTGTTAAAGTAACCACAGCATTCGAACTAAGAGAATGAAAAGAGATAAGTCAGACGCTCGACGCAAGAGATGGTTGCCAGTCGAGCAGGCGGTATAAGAAGAAAGACTTACGGAGGTTTGCATTAGGCTTCGAACAGTGTCATTCTGGTCCGTCCAGATACCGAGGAAGCGATCTTGCATACGGAGGGTGAGAATCCAGAGGAAGACGCCAATGCAGAGGGTGAAGAGGGCGCAGAAAACGACGAGGAAACCGGAAAGTTTGAGCCATCCTCGGGTCGGTGTGATTATGCCCGGAAGGGTCAAGACAAAAGCGACGAAGATGAAGACGGCGTTAACGACGCCCGCTGTATCGACCAAATCTATGTTAGCCATCACTTCTCAACGTCGTCACATCCCTTCACTTGCTCCGGAAGCCCCTTTTCGCATCGCATGCTCCCTTCAGTACGGCCTTTCTTCCCGGATCGAAATGGAAACCCACCTTCAAATGGGAAGTTCTGATAAATTAGTTGCCTGACAGCCTCTCTCCCGTTGGTGGCATCCTCGGTCATATCTTGCCGGGCAATCAACGAAAACCCCAAGGTGACAGCTCCCGTGGCAAGGAACAGGACATCGGCGGCCACGAAAGTCAGCAGAATCTTGTTCACCATGTCGCCGGCGGTGTCGCTTTAAGTTGTGACTGGTGGAAGGTCTTGTCGGCGGTTGTCGTGACGGACTTCACCAGCCCTTCCCGATCCCGGGGCTCGCTTTTCTTTTTGGACTCGTATATCTCGAGGTTTTGAGGGGTAAAATGGTAGAGATTGGTGGACGGTTCGACGACCAGCGTCTTCGGCGGAAAATACGTCGTCTCGTTGGGGAGGGGGATGAGTATGTACACCCCGTGATAAAGGAATGGGACCAGCACGCTGGCAAAAAAAAAACCCCCCTCGTCCAGCAAGGAAGATGTCGTCTCAGTGAAAAGGCGAAAAGGCGAAAAAGAATCGAAGAATTAAATGAATGGCCGGGTTTGTTCTGTCCCTTTCCAGGGGGGGGACAAAGAACTGAAACGTGGATTAGAAGAAGCGAAAAACGTGTTGGCTCACGCGGAGCTGGTCAGAAAAGGTCCTAATCCGCCGAGTCCAACAGAAGAAGAAAAAGAAGAGAAAAAAAGAAGGGAGAAAAAATGGTAAACGAAAAAAAGAAGAGAAACGTGAAGAGGACTCGAAAGGAACAGAAGTCCTGCCTCGGTGGTCGAGTCGCAGAATTGTCGTGATGATGCGGATCCCCGACAGGAGCCGTTTCAAATCATCGAATCAGGCCAAAGCGCCCCCCTCCTCTCTACGTTACTGTACCTAGATACTGTGGATCTTCCAGGGAACCCGCCAGGCATGGTGCCACTCAATGGCGCCGTACGAAAACGGTGTGAAGACAAAGACCAATCAGAGGGTGTCAAAGGTCGAAGACTCGCCTGATTTGGGAGGGCTAGCCGCCCGGGCGCTTGGCCCATTTGCGAGCGAAGTCTGCCACGCATGTGGATGGAATGCCAGATGCTACAGAAAAGGCCGTTCTGTTTTCTATCCGTACGAAGATGGATGCACAGATATGTTGTCGATTGATCTAGGCCAACTCCTTCTTGTTTCCAACGAAACTGATCGCAATTATTCGTATGATGTTCGAAGAGCTTCCTCTATTATGAAACACCGTATCATGAGTTATAAAATGCAGCCGCCTGTTGAGATTCTTGTCGGCCACGACGAACTAACCTTGCTAATCCTGCCTCCTGTCCTCTGCCGTCGTGAGCTTCGGGTCAATCGCTTTGGTACCTTTATGAATGCAAAATGGTACTTCGTAGAGCGGCTATTCGTGTATCGTGAACAGAAGCAGTTGATCGGAATCCACTTGGACGAGCACTCACGGGGACTGCACGTTTGTGATGAGCACGAATACCTCCGTGTATCTCATCCTTTGACAGGAATGGCCTTGAATCAATCCAACCCAAATTGCTATACTAGTCTAACTGTTTAGTCCAGTAGCTGCTGGTTATTAATTGCTAGTAAATACCTCGTCAGCATCAGCAGTCTACGGTATGCGGCCAACCTTATCTATCGACTTGGTATCACCGCAAGACTCTGAGCAGCATGTCACTGGACGAAGGAAGCAGTCAGGTGAGGCATGAGCCAACCAACGTGCTGCGGGCGGCGCTTGACCTTCCCTGCAGTGTTAATAAGCATGAAGCCATGTACCGGGCCGTGGCATCTGCTCCGTGCTGCGTAAGGTAGGTAGGTGGGAGATACGTAATACGAAATAGGGAATGCCGTGGGGCATTCTGAGGCCAAGCTATCGGAAACTGATAACAGCTTTCCAGATCTGTTTCGATTCTATCTGATCTGGGTGGGTTGACCCGAGATCTTCTCAGCGCCAGATTAAGGAAAGACGGATCTCGACTCGATTTGTGACGAGATTAACGAGATCAGAGATCAGAGATCAGCAAAAATGCACCCCAACCCCTAACGGGCTATCCTTTTACTAAAATAATTTGATAGTTTCTGCTAGATAAGCACCTACTTCGTAAAGATACCTTCACTCATAACTCCCGCTGGAGAATGGAGGGACGGAGTAACATATGGGTTAGGGAATTCCTTACCTGTTCTCCGTACTCTGTAGATAAATATCCGAGTCCCTCTTCTTGCTTTATTACTAAGATACGGTAGAGGCTACTTAGTGCAAACGTGATAGCCCAAACACGGTGGTGTATATACTCCAGCATCTATCGTCACAAACTAAGGTAAGGTAATACCTAAGGTACCTAAGTATGGGTCAATTTCGCTCCGTACAACGTACTGTACTCGTATACCATAGAACAGGCAATACCTATACTATTAAACCTGACTACGAAGTAATAGCTGCTGAGGTATATTTATTATTATCTGTTTACTAATGAACGCTCTTCATTTCACGGGGTTGCCCTTAAGAACAGGAGGCTATAACACTGAAGCAGAGATGGACAGCACAGACCGATACATCAGCTTCTTAACTTTATTTTGATTTATGGCGGCAAACGGGCCCTCGAGAGAATATAGGGTGTGTACGTACCAATGTTTCCCTGCATTCTGGGCAATGACTTCTCGCACTGGGGCATCTTAATCTACCAGGTAGAAAGACTGACAGTGTGAGCACAGACAACAAACATGCCCAACCCCTAAACCCCTGCTAAATTGCCTTAGTAACCAAGTCTATACGAATCAGGTCTCAGGGACTTAGCGATACCGTAAGTAAGTATTAAGTACTCTACACAAAAGTAATAGACACTTATTTATAACCACTTGTTTGTATACTTAGGGAGTACTCTATACCGAATTAATTATGCGGGTAGACTCCTGCGTAGGTAGAGATCGGCCGGTTTAAATCAATACGTTGTAACTTCTAGTATAACATACTCCGAGTATACTTAGGTACAGTGTACATAACATCAGCACCTTGTTATCACGATTTAAGGTATATATTTGCATACCGTAGTACTAAGCGTCTACGCTCTAGGTTCTGTACCTATTGATTTTCTTTTTCTTTTTCGGATCTTGAATTTAGGTATTAGACAGCGGTCCTCTTGCCCTGTCAGCTGCAAACGTCTCTACCCAATCATGGTCTGGGTATCTATACTACTACTACGAATTTAAAGACCTTTGAGGTATATTGTACACATCTTGACGTGTAGCCTCTGCACAGTACGTATTCGCAGTCGATTCACACAGTGGTGTTCGAGGGTAAAGGAAAGAAGGGAGGAACGGGGGTCACAGTAGTACTGTTAGAGGGCCTAAGTGGACGCCGTCGCTACTGCTGACCCTGGGTGCCTTTGCTCCTACCCTATAGCAACGCAGGAAAGCGGACTAGAGTCCCACTTGCTTCGCTCCTTCGACACCACCAATCTCCTGAGCCCGCCAACCAGGGCGTCGCGTTATTCCCCAGTTGGAGAGCCGAACTTCCTCACCCTCTTTCCCCGCCTTTGTCCTTTCTTAAACTGTCTGGTCATGGCCATGCCCGTGCTACCACCTCACTATCCTCTTTTCATTCAACTCCGCAGCTTTCTCCTGCCTTAACCTCAATCGAGGAGTTCTAGCTGACACCTGCGTTGCTTGTTGTCTCTACAGGGAAATCGCTCGACATTGGGAAATCCGTTTTTTTTTTTTCTTTTTTTTTCTTTTCTGGAACTTCGTGTTCGTCATCGAACACCCCATTTCCCGCATTTATTTTATCGATTCGGTTGTCCCAATCAACCATTTTTCGAGTCGCGTTTTCCTTTTGTTTCGTGTGCCGTGAACAACAAGAGGAAGGCCAGGCTACCTGCCGAATTTGCCTCTCTTCTCACTCACGCGTAACCAACACCCGGCCCCGCCAACAAATCAACACTGTTGTCCCCAAACAACATCATCAACATACCAGAGACAGAAGACACAGTACAGTGTTGGACAATTCAAATTAAAATTAAACCAACATTCCTGGCTTGACTTCCACAGACCCCCAGCTCTGATACGGCTGTCACCACAACCAGGTTTCGACAAAAGAGACCTGCTACATACCTATCACACCAGCGCGCCCCCCATCCCCAACCGTCGCCAGATCAAGTATAGATCCATCGGTACCACACCCAAAACAGCATCCCATCTCCACCAAATTTGGTCTCTTTACCTCGTGATTCAAGCTATCAGAAATGGCCGACATCACCGAACATCACGAGCAGGCCTCGCCGCAGGGCGAAATCGAAGAGGCGCAATCGGTCGGCAACGGTAGCGCGACCGAGAATCGCGGCATCAAACGTCAACGCCCCAGCGGTCCTGATGACGACGACGACGACGAAGAGAAGGGCGGCCGCGAACGTCGCAAGATAGAGATTAAGTTCATCAACGATAAGTCGCGACGCCACATCACTTTCTCCAAGCGAAAGGCTGGCATAATGAAAAAAGTAAGCTGCGGCCTACCATGATTCCCTTCCCCTGGTGGCGCGCCATCGGACACGCGACGCGCTTTTGCTTTCGCCCTTTTTCTCCGCTCGGCTTCATTTTAGTAATTCAAATCAAAGCTAACGCGACGACGGTAACAGGCCTACGAGCTTTCGGTCTTGACGGGCACCCAGGTGCTCCTTCTTGTCGTGTCAGAAACCGGCTTGGTCTACACCTTCACAACGCCGAAGCTGCAACCGCTGGTCACTAAAGCCGAGGGCAAGAACTTGATCCAGGTATGTCGCCACCCCGCAGGTGCTCTGTTGTTTCACTTCCTGTTCCAAGGAGCAGCTCAGCTAACCCGGGTCAATCGGCTAGGCGTGCCTGAATGCTCCCGAGCCCGGCCAGGGCAACGAAAACGGCGTGGACGACGGAAATCAAGTCGAATCGCCGGAGGAGCCGCCCCAGCAACATCTCCCTCCTCAAGCCACCCGCCAGCCGGGCATGCCCCAGAACCCACATATGCCGCCTAATTATATGCCGAACATGGGCATGGATCCATCGAATCTTGCCTATGGCGGCTATGTAAATCAGCAGCGAGGAGGTGGTTATCCAATGCCTCAACCTGGCATGCCGCAGCATACGTCTCACCAGTCATGATGGTGTGCCTCGATGCCTCAAAATGTTACTAGCTGATACCCCGGCATACTGCATTACGGAGATCTCGAGCTTGGTCTGGACATTCCCTGACTATCCAAACTAATACGCGAGGTTCGGCGGTCTGGCGTTCTGCTTGGTGTTGCTTGCATTATACTTGATTTAGCGGCTACGGCCGCCATTCATTTTCCCGCTCTCTTGTCTCTTTATTTCGTTGATTCATCGCCTTTCAATGTTTTCCCTCTTATCTGCTACTATCCCTTCGTCGGCTTGTCTTACCTCAGGCCACAGATAATTTCGGGGCGTTATCTATGACGCATACGGACATCTCTACGCCTAGCTTTGGGCTGCCTTGCTCCATGGGGAGGGTACCGTGATCGGCGACTACAAAAACCGGGGTGTGGGTGGTGGACGGTGAAGAGACCCATTTCGACTCGGCCTCTAAAATGGACCAAACTGGAGGATTCGCCAGCAACGCAGAATGCGAGGACGGATCTATCTAGGAGGAATGGACAGTGGACCAGTATTGGAGAGGCCGTCTCGTGTGTTTACGCAAGGTGCAGCTTGAGGGTTTCGAGAGATGCGGATTGGGTTGCGAGGCCTTGGTGATTTAGTCGCGTTTCTACTGCTTACAACGAGGATGTCTTCGGTGGATGAAAGGGAGAGAGAAATCGGCCGCCGCAGCCCGCAGCACTGTCGGAGGGCGTATGCATAGCGATTTATAACTCCCCTCGCATATGTCATTTCCCTTCCTCCGCAGCACATAGGAATAGGGCAATAGCCGGTGTATAGAATGGGCAATCCTGGCCCAGAAGGGCACTTCTCCCGTCAAACAAGCCATCTTGCATTTGCACCTTGCCAAATCATCATTGTATGGATCGAAACAAGGCCACGCTACGTCAGTACAGAGTAGTAGTATTATCGATCACGCTGGTAGCTTTCGAGTGGGTGGCCGTGGTCGGGTTGGATCCATCACATCCATTGAGGCATCAGCGCATCAGCAACATCTGGGCACTTCCAGGTCTACCAGAACACTGGGCACACATGTGTAAAATCCCGTTCGTTTGGTTGCGGATCGACGGAGACCAACGGTTTGGGATGGGTTGGACTTTCTGATTCGCCATGTTTTTTCACCGGTGGTGCTCAACGAGGGAAAGTCTCCGGCCTTAGCATCCCCGGAGCCACGTTGAGGATGGGATGGGACTATGGCCTGGGATGGGATAGTGTGCTGGGGTGTTTCCCGTAGGATATGGACTCGGCGCCCGCGGTAATCTAAACTGGGGGGCAGGCAGTTAGTTATATTTCTTTCTACGGTGTCCATCGGATTTGATGTCGGAAAGCTTATGTCTTTTTTTTTTTTTATATATAAAAAAAAAAACTTTTTACATCGTCTCTTTTTCTTATGCTTGAGAAGAAGCACCAGCTACAGAAACCCAGAGCAGGGGAACCCCAAAGGGTGAAAGCAACGGTGATGGGCTTTTACATCTTCGGCCTGTGACTATGAAACATAAAAGACGGGGCAACGAATCCATCGACTTGTATGAACAGAGGCGGCCTTAGTCTGATAGACCCTCTGTATTTTCCTTTCTTTTCTTTTCTTTTTTCTCCTTCCTCCAAGGTCAAAAGACAACCGTGTTACTGTTATACTATGCCGTAGATTCTTGATGGCCCCCTTTCAATTCGAACACAGAACAAGGACCGGGACCATTAACCGATATATCACAAGCAGTGAAAGCTATGTTCTGAAACTCCTCAAATAAATCCATGATATCCGTACAGCTCTCACAATATATTGCAAGGTAGTATTATATAAGCCGATGAAAAGACTAAGTGAAAAAAAAAGGGAATGACTATCCGTTATATAAGTTCTGATATCTGCCATGTAAAACCCACTTTTTAGTGGGACCATAAAGTTAGGCTTAAGCGTATAAAGTATCGTACCTAATTTATATATAGAGATTAGTCCACTTTATATAAGTGTTATCTATCTTATTAGTCTATATACTTAATAAGCTATAGGTAAAAACGAAGCTACTCTAGATATCACGACCTAACCTTATAATAACCGACGATATAACTAAAGATCGACTTTACGACTCCGGCCTACCGTAGCAGGCTTTTAACTCAAGGGAGCTAGATAACACTTATATAAAGTGGACTAATCTCTATATATAAATTGGGTACGATACTTTGTATACTTGAGCCTCGCTTCATGGCCCCACTAAAAAGTGGGTTTTACATAGTAGATATCAGAACTTACATAACGAATAGTCATTCCTAAAAAAAATTGAAAAAAGGGGCATAGAGAATGAATGCTACGAGCCAATGCTGTCTTCGTACCTCTGTACCACCCATTTCGATAGGGCCTAGCGTGCGCAGTTTTGAGAAGGTTTCTGCATCAGCAAGGGTCTAAGTGTTCTCCACATGTACTGGTACACAGTCGAGACAAGCGGGGAGCATCAACGTCGTCTACTCCGTATTTTGGCAGTTCACATGAAAGAACGGCCAGAGGGTTGGATGCAGCCCGACAGCGTTTTGACATACAAAATGTGTGGCAAGATACTGAATGCCGTGGCCAGCACTAGCAAACAACTTCCCATACTCAGCTGTAGCAACGCCATTGGAGACCTGATGTTTCCTTGTTCCCTTCTAATCCAAACCACTGTATCTAAATCGCTCAAGTCAAATCCAAGATGCATGCCACCAGAGAAACGCCGATATGACGGAAAGTGCCGGATTCGTAAAGACATGTGAAACATGGACGGCAAGGGTGTAAAAGATAATCGAATATCGAATCTAGTGCGCGCCGGATTGTATGAATCGCCCAACGGCAAGGCTGCCGAGGAATACTCCGCCCAGAACCGAAAGGAAATAGCCCACATTCATGCTCATGACGGCCAACATTCTGGGGGGGAAAAAAGGATGTTAGCGTGCCGTCACCATTGAGAGAATGGAAGAGCGTCGAGGAAGGAGTAAGGGGAACAATAAGACGCCGGCGCCTCCCGGGGGGGAGCAGGTTGGCTACGGGACCAGGAAGGGCTTACAGAAGATAGCCAACGCCGGCAATAACCGTGTCAAGGAGGGCGCGGACAGGATCGACGGAAAGCCGCCAGGGACGGACAACGCCTGTCCTCCTCTCCACGACGGTGACATTCTCCTCGCGACCGTTCTCGGAGAGGACCATGGGCTTCGCGAGGCTGTCGGAGGAGAGCTTTTCGGCGAGGGTGGACTTGTCGGCGACGACCACGTAGCGGCGGCGCCACTCGCGGTCGAGCCAGCGTTGCTCGAGTATGGCCTTGCCGGCGAGCAGGAAGCGGAGGAATGCGGCGAGACAGATGAGGAAGATGCAAGTCGCCGCGTAGGTGCCTGTGCTGGTCGGGGTCCAGGTTTCTGAGAAGAGCGACGTCTGCATTAGGTTCTGGAAAATGACCATCATGCCCATGTCGTGACCGCCGGGGCTGCCGGTGCCGCTACTGTGTTCGCCGTGAGGCGCCATTGAGGGAAGTTATGGGATGGAGGGACGGTGTGGAAGCTTGTAGTCGAGAAACGTGTCGGGGAAATTATGTATATTGCAAGAACAGGCAAAAATCTAATAGTCCTTTGTTGGGGGTTTCGCCGCTCTCTTTCGGTTCTGTGTGCTCGATTGATGGTAAGAACGAGTTGTCGTCCTTATAAGGGCCCCGAGGAGGCCGGTAATATTATACTCCGGATAATGAGGGGGTTTGCGAGAGTTCGTCAGACCCGAAGAGTGTGATGTTCGTTGGTGAAACTCGGTCTTGAAAAGGACCGTTCTATGCGAGTTCCGGCCTGTTTGTTTGTTTGTCTCGTGTGCGAGTCTGTGTGTTCGTGCGTACGTGAGGGAAGGGAATGAAAAGGAGGGAGAGAGGGAGAGGCAGCAGGACACACTTGGAACGCGCCTGGGCCGGGGAAGAGTTTTGAATAAAGGGAGATCATAAGGCCATTCTGAATCTCGAGACGACCAACCTTGATGGAATGCTTCCTTTTCCAAGGAACAAGAGGGGTACGGAGTCTTACGCAAGTCTTTAGCAAAGCCTCTTATTGTGTTGGTAGGAATGCGTTAAGGCGGATGTATTTGTCCGTGCACATACGTAGCCCCAAATAGTTCAATCTTCGCAAACCTGCTCAATTGGCGTTGGTGACGGGTTGAGGCTGAACCCCATTCGGCATTAGGGGCAGCGGGGCACCAAGACCGGGGCGACCCGCTTCTGATGTAGAGACTTTCATTGGCACAGGAACGGCTTCTAACTGACGCTAAGGTACTGGGACACTCCGTCGAATACACGAGTACGTACTGGTACTTGTCATCGACTTGCTGCTGCTCCGGCCTCGCATCTTTCAAAATACCTTACTGACCCCCAACTTCGGCCCATCCCTTCGCTCTCGGCATTTCGGGATAACATGGCAAGATAACGCACGAGATAACGTACGTAGTATGTTTGTCTTGATGACCGTAGGTACCTGCCTTATTTGCTCTGTATCTACTATCTACGGAGGGAGTAGGGAGTATAACCCTATTCATTTTGATCGACCACCATTGACGGCTGGCGACATCACAGTTCAGAGAACAAGACAATCCTGTCCTCTGTGGAGAAAATTCAACGAAGGGCGTTACGTGTTGCGGTTGCGGTGCAGTCCGAAAGTGTGCCAACTTGCTTTGGAAATGCCTGACGATTCTACGGCGAACGCATCCCTTTCGATCTATACCGATTTCTCCGAAGTATTCGTATTCGACTTTCCCGAATCTTTAGAACCCCAAATCCTCGGTGTATATGGGATTATATTAGGAATAGCCTCGAAAAAAAGGACCTATCCGTACGATGGTCCACCAACATGCTATTCACACGAAACCAGAATGCTTCAGCTATGGTATGGGGTCCTCTCATGAGTAACGAAATACTCCGGGGTCTCTCGCGCCGTCGAAAGTCCCCTCTCCCTTTGACAAGCACCTGCCGTAAATGGTAATGGGTGAGGATGCGTAGGACATCTGCAACGGCCCGCGAAATAGCACCCAAGTTCGCCTTGCCCTTTACTGACTTGCATACGTGGATGGTGGGGGCGCGTATCCCGACCCATCAAACGAGGTTGAATTCCGTCCGATCTGTGTAAGGTATGCATGCGGGAGGATGAGACGGGAGCGACCAATCCTAACCGGTGCCACACCCGGGAGAGAGAGCGTATGCACCAAGCCGGGGAAAAAACTGGACGGGACGACTTCCTACTTCGTATATTCACCAAGCAGACTACCCTGTAGTTACGTTGTATGCCATTTCATCCGCCCATTTCCCCGTCTGTACTCATAGGTAAACAAACCCGCGGACCAAGGAGACGGGATCAGAGAAGACACGCCGGGAAAGTGTTCTGAGTCTATTTCGACTACAGATACCCACACACTCTACTTGCGCCAGTACGACTGCTTCACCAGAGGTTCGAGACACGAGGAACAGGTTCCGAATATGATCAAAGAGCCCTGACAGTTATTCCTCTTCGATAATTGAAGAAGCATAGCGATTGGAGGCTGGAGCGTCTGGTCCTGATGCGGCCGAGTCTCAAGAGCTTAATTTCGAGCCATTGTCCGAAGCGCGCCCGCCTACGGGTGACTTGCTGAAACTATAGGCGAAAGGAGGGCTCGATTCGAGTTCCTGTAGTTCCAGGCCCAGCCAAGTGACCAGCATCTTCCTACTGATACCCTTGCCGCCGGCTCAACCCGGCAATATATAAACAGAAAATGGTCCCATAAGCTTATGGTTGTTCTACTCCGTAGGTATCGTCAGGAAAACTGCGTGCACAACGAGACTGGGCAGATGCTGGTCATTTGGGCTTACTTCGTATAGATACGTCATGGTCTGCGTTTGAGCGTCTCTTCCTCTCTCTCTCTTTCTCCATCGACACTGGCGCGGTCTCACCTGATACAGGCGACGTCAGCTCTTCCTCTCCTTGAAGCACGTGTTTGTTTGCGGCCCTTTCCCGAAATGGTGGTGTGGATAGTTAGACGCTATCAACGACGCGCAGTGGCTAACGAGCCTACGCCCAAGGGAGGGGATTCCGATTACAGCGATATGGCGTCGCATGCATCTATTGTTCTGTCGCCTCCCGAGACATATTCTCAAGTCTACTTTGGAAACTTGGCCCCGACCCACGCACTTTCCCTTGGGATTGATTACTTCCTATGAATAATTTAGAGTCATAATTAATTATTGGGCGAGGGAAAAGTGGGACTCAGGGCGGTCGGAAGTCACTCGGCCAAACGAAAACTCGCCTCTGCCAGGTATAGATCAGTAGTAATACGGTGTTTCGTTGCTTGTTTAATTCATTTTCTTCGTGTGCATTCTGTTTGCGCCATGTCAACGTTGGTTCTCGTTTTCGGTTGTTCGTTGTGGGCTTCCCTGACAGAGACGCCGAGAAAGCGGCCGATAGACGCGAGAGGAATTGGCGGAATTCATCTAGCCGCCCAATATCAATGATGTAGGTGCGCATACTATCATCGGGTTAGGTACCTAGCCTAGCGCAAAGCATATCGGGTGCATCGTGTGCCAGTTGGCTCTCACGACTTCCGCTGGTCTTACGAGCTAAAGGAAGATTTGCACATACCTTCCATCGCGTTACGTTACATGTGTAATGGGAGCTTAATGGGTAGCGGTACCCCGTATCTATTCCCTCGGCTCTGTACCCCGCCGGCGCGTAACATTTTAGTACAGTTTGATGGGACGCAGGACGTTGGAGCCCCGCCATTAATACTACACCTACCTACTTGCCTACCACCTTCACGCCCATCAGGGATCCGGACACCGCGCTTTGTTCAATGTCGCCCTGAATACGAAGTGAAATACTAGCTAGGTATATGGTCTCAAGATAGTTGAATTACAAGACGAAGGAGGGTTCCCCCCCTTTTTCCTACTTTGGAATGACTCGGCGAGATGGGATGATTCCCAGGATAGATCGCCAATACGTGGGGTGACTTAACTCCGTCGCTGGAAAGGTTAACCTTCTATTTTTGGGTTCGGTCCATCCCGTTTGGATACCAGAACTGGAAAGGTTGAACTATGGCATATATCCCGGGCGACCTCAGTACCGTAACTCTGTACAGAGTAGGTTACTCTTATACGAACACGTCTTGATCAAGCCCCCTACGTAATTCGAGCCCTGATTTCTACCACTGTAAACATGACAGTCGTCGCAGTCGGGCCCTTAGTTACACCAAGCCTAATAATAATATATATATATTATATAAAATGAAATAAAAGAAAATAAAATGAAAGAAAAGGGGGGAGGGGGTGGGGGACACGAGAGACGTGAGTTGATGTCCAGCCCGCCGCCTTGACTTGTTCCATTGGGGCAACTGTCCTTATAGTGCCCAGCTCCATCTGTCTTCGCCACCCCTAAAGAAAGGAAACAAATATATAGTGCAAATGATTACGAGAAATAGTTAGTACGAGATGACCGTCTGGGGCGGAATAGGGGTGGATCGCGACGTCCTTCCTAAGGGTCTCTAGTTTACCCCTGGATTTGTCCGAGGAGTCGTCGAATTGTCGACAACTTGAACGTAAGGTAGGTAGTTAGTTAGAAGACCAACACGACGTGAACGAACCAAGGCTATTCGCTGCTCGTAGGAGCATTTGTGCGACCAAGAAAGAAAGAAGGCAGAAAGAAGAAAGAAAGCCCTCGGGGGAGGGAGGGAGGAATATACTGGGCCCAGATACATATCTCGTATGAAGCATGAACGATGTGGAGACTGATAATATGACTTGGCTGTGTTCTGGAAAGTCCACAAGTTATGATGCTCCCGTGAATAGGTATATACAACCGATGCCTGTATGCCACAGGACGGACTCCAGGACTCCATACCAAAAGGAACCCTGCCGTTTCCAATCCCCGCTGACTGACAAAACAAGACAACCCAAAAGCCCAGCTCCCCCCAATTATTTCGTGTCCTTTCGCCTTGCAGAAGTAGAAGCAGAAACAAGAAAAGAATAATGATAATAATGGAAACTCCAGTTTCCAAATCCCACCGTGATCCCGCTGTATGAAAATACGCTCAGGAGAGCTCTCCGGTACCCAGAAGCAGTTGGTGAATAACAGCGCCAAAACTCGTCCGCACTGTCCTGCCCAAGCCAATGAATGCCCTGTTCCAGTTCGTCCTTTGGTGTGACGTCTGAATTTCAGCCCACCCATACGCCGTCGCTGTGATTCCATTCCGGCATGATTACCAGTGTATAAGTCTGTTGTTTGGTATTTTTTCCCCCTATTTCCCCCTCCTCAGGCAGTACGTCAGGTCGAAACTCACGACTCTCGCCTGTGTCGACTTGGGCTTCCTGGAGCACTGTGGTCAGATGATGGTCTCCTGGGCGAACGACCGTGGTCATCGCCGTCTGCTGGAGTCTTTTTTTGGCCGCAGCCCTTCACAAGCACGTGTCGCTGTAGTGACAAGGTTAGCCCCCGAACTGTCAAAACGGCACCGCAGAGTGGAGGATGAACGCGATATCAGGACAAAATCAGAGACTGGGGCCCATGGACAGAGGACTTTTGAATCACGCACCTTCAGAGCATCCTTCCGCGAGAAGCTTTTATCGCAATAATCGCAAGGGAAAGGTTTTACGGCCAGGTGGATTCTCTTGTGACGCTTCAAGTCGTGGTTCCTATTGAAAGCTGTCGGGCATTGGTCGCATTTGAAAGGCCGATCGGGTTGAATGGGCGCACGGCCGTGTCCGTAAAAATGGTGGGCAGCCGGATGGTGGCCAAAGCCCGCAAAATGCACCCCCTGCATCATCGCCAGAGGGCCGCCTGGACCACCGATGTTCGTCACGACCGGAACGGGCATCTGCATTGAATATGTCTGGTATTGTCGAATTGCCGCCATATGTTGTGGTATTCCCGGGAGCGGATGAGGGACCCTGGGCGAGCCCGAAGTCGCCGCAGCAGGGATGGATGGGGGTGGCTGGGTGTAGGTAGAATAGTGTATCTGAGGGCTCGTTGACGCGTGGTAAGACGCCGTCTGCGATGCGGAAGCAGGAGGGAAGTAACTCGGTGTCGACTGCGGTCTGCTATATGTGCCTACCGCGGTCGACGTCGTCGGAATAGTTGCATGACCCTGACCCGACGTGGTAGGTTGTGTTGGAATAAGGCTGCCTCTGGGTTCGGAAGGGCCCTGGTTCTGCGGAGAGATATTCGCGGAACCAGCTCCATGAGAAAAGAACCCGGAAAACGGGTGAGGGTTAAGGCCGTATGAAGGGGAAGCAATGGCGCCGCCACCACCTCCTGGTGTTGCTGTCGTTCTTGCTGTTGCTGCTGCCGCTCCTCCTCCTCCTCCATCGCCACCACTGCCGCCACCATTGCCAGCTCCCCCAGTCCCTCCAGCATGGCCGTTCACACTGCCGCTACCATTCGCGCCTGAGGTGGCGCCGGTTGGTGAATGCTGAAGTGGCCTAACCGGAGAAAACATGGAGGACGTTGGATCGTACGAACTTGTTTGATTGGTACGTGTCTCATATGGGGGGTGGGGATGGACGGGATGCGAATTAGGAGAAGGGTTCAAGGTGTAGGACGAAGAAGTGTTATGGTTCCCTTGGCTCGCCCAGGAACTGTGGGAGTAGTGGTTGCCAAGGCCGTTCAAAGTGCTTTGGGAGCCGCTGCCATTGTTATTGCCATTGCCATTGCCATTGTTATTGCCATTGCCATTGTCATTGCCAATGGAAGCCGACACATCTGGACTGAGAACATCGGTGCCCGATGATGGCGAAACAAGACTCGGGCCATGGTGATTGTAAGCGACCGGCGGGCTATTGCCCGGGTGGTCGTCCTGCGAAGTGCCGTACATGGATCTAGGATATCTGCTTATGCTGGATGTGTCTGCGGTGTGGAAAGAGATGCCTAAAGGAGGAAGAGGTGGACTTCTGCGGCCTCTGATTCCGTACATCATTTTGCAGCCGAGGTCCTCTTTTATAAACCTCTGGGGCCAGGCGAAACGGAGAGCTCTTCGAAGTAAGACTTTTGATGTAATGAAGAATCGGCGCCTACCAAAGGCCTAAACTTCCTTCGTGTGAACCTTGATATCCGAAAGGGAAGTATACGAATACAAACTGATGACGAGGAATAGTCGCGGCGAGGGAGGCAGATGCGCGCTGGGCTGTGCCGTATGGATGCCGTACGGTACGATGTATCCGTAGGTATGCGAGCTCGTAGACGAATGTTGCGACCGCGTTGAGCGTCTATTTCGTACTAAAGCGGGAGGAGAGGTGTTCGTGTGCCCGGTGCGAGCCCCGTGTATAGGTAGGTATGGTCGATACGAAGAAGGACTTGAGGGGTGGCGAGAAAACGCTGTGGCTGGATCAAAGTTGAAAGTGAGACCGACGATGGATAAGGTAGCTGTTTGGGTATACATATGTGTAGGTATATGTATGTGTATATGTACAAGAAGTGGGAAGGTCACGGAAAGTCGTACCCAGCCCAGGACAATGTTATTATCTGGGTATTTCTACGAAGTATACTCCGGGGAACTCAGTCCACAGACGTCAAAGAATGGAGAATGGAGGGACCCGGCGGCCAAGACTAAGACCCTGGTAGCCTCGAGCATTAGCCTACATAGGTGGAGGCGGGAAACAGTGAAGGGGGTGGGAGAGCGGGAAGGGTGCGATGCACAATGGACCACCATCTCGCAATCTCCCTAGCCCGGGGAAGAAGGCTGAGAGACGAGAGGACGACTACCTAGATAGACCACTAGATGACTTGCCTTGAAAGACAGCGTGCGAATATCGAAAGGACTATGAGATGAGACGATGCGTAAGGGACACCGGCGAGAAAATACCTATTCGCATAGTATAGATGTCGGTTCGTCCTTCTACTTCTAAGATACGGGAGGAGATGGGAATAATGAAAAGAGACAGACGGAGAGAGAGAGAGAAAGAGGGAGGGAGAGGGACACAGAGGCCCCGATACCCCCAAGTTGTATCCGAAGAGAATATGGTATCTGGTAGGCAATAGGCACATCTACCTCCGTACGCTTCCAAGACTTGGAGGACAACACAGCAGTCGTATGTACCTACGAATGAATACCTTACCTTGCTCCGTACCTACTTAGCCTGGTCTACTCAGCACGTATGTACGTACTTGGCGAGCTAGAGGGGTAGGGATATTCAAGATGTGATAACCGGAAGGGCGAGCAAGGGTATAGCACCTTCTCACCCAATCCCATCCTAGGACCCTCCCACATACAACGTAGTCCCAGATCCACATCCAGTTCTCCGTGCCGGTCATCGTCGTTCCTGCACCGGCCTCCCAAAGAGCTTCGGCTTCAAGGAACGAGGCACCATCGCCGGACCCTACAACTGTACGTTGTGCCTACTACCAACAAGTCATACGAAGTACTTTTCATACATGTAAATAGGCGACCTGCCCTGTGCAGGTACCTCCTCGTACCTGTCCACTTCTTCTACGAAGTACTCCGTAACTGGATACCTTATGCGGACCCTTGTCGGTATTTCCCGTGGATGGAAAACGCAGAAGCGAAGGCGAGAAGACTCGGGGGAAACAAATCGGGGTATTCTCCCTCTTATTTTGAGTTTGGAACATCTTGATCAAGGGGACGAAATACATAGAAGATCTCGTAGTTCGGCGCTCTTTGATCCGTGGACTTGGGATCCGAGCAGAGTGTGGATACGGATTCAATTGCTGGGTGACCAGGGGGCAAGAATGACTAGGAGAAGAATGGACCATGGGCAAAGAGCACGGGGCATCTCCATCAGGGGTGACAGGGGGTGCGGGAATTCTGGATGGGGTGAATAATAGTTGGTGGGCACATTCATGCTCCATCATGCCCATGTCCGCAAGTTCTAGTATACGAAGTATGTTGTAGTTTTAGCGACGTCTTCGAGGAATGACAACATGCTCTTCGGATATACCTGCAGATATTGCCTTGGGATGCTTTTTATTGTTTCTTTTTTATAAGGTACCTTGATTATGGTAAGGTAGTCACTTCAGTCAGAACCTTAATACACGTTGTATATCCTTTACTAAGATGTCCTCTCGTCCTCTTTTTATACTTACACTTTTGTATATATATTTGATAATTAAAGAACAAAATATCCCCCCTTCCGGAGCTAATTACCTTATAGATAGGGATGTACATATCCTTCAAAATAAAGTACTTTATAGGACTATGTACTGAAAGCAGCCGAGCTAGACTACGAATATAAACGAGCATTACGGAGTCCAGTTACAGGATTACTCAAGTGAAAATGAAGCTGTGTTTGGATATCGACACCCCTCCCCCCTAGAAAAGGGACAGGGGCCTACTAATTTAGTGTTGCCAACCTTTTTCATCCCAAGGCTATGGTAGGTCTAATAAATTCGGCTTAGTATTAAGGTACCTAGTACACGTAAGAGGAACTCCGATAGCGCCCTTTTTACTCAATCAACACCCTATATGGATACCGAGCATAACTTCGTAAAACGTGGGCAGCTAAGGTACTCAGAGACATAGACCGACCCCTTCTAGTATCTATTCTGCCCCAATCGTCTGATAATGCACGGTACTCTACTACCGAGCGGCTCGAACCAGATGCTTTGGAAATAAACGGATCTGGGGGTAGTTTCCCACTAAGTTCTACTTTTGAGTAGCCGCATACTGACCTTGCCGACCCCCTAGTGGTGTCCTGTGTTGTTGACATTTTCTCGGGTTAACCTTGACCCGCTAGCGTCATATCTCAATAGTCCACCCGTACCCCAAAAGCACGGACATTTCCTCGTGCTAGGTAACCTTGGCCCCCGGCGTGTCTCCTAATTTCGACTGGGGTCTTGTTTACATACATACCTACGTTACCGTAGTATGTAGGTTCAATAGGTAGGCACGACGCCAGACGATTCTATGTGAGGATAGGTTCGTAAATCGAAATTACCTGTAGAAAAGGAACCCCCGTTTCCCCGCCACCACACCACAACGTGTACACCCCTCCTGGTCGTGCCGTTCGCTCCCCCCTTCAGATGCGCTGCAGATCTGGAGGTACCTTGTAGGTATGTACCTTATGCACTAAGGTAAATTACCTGTCTTGGCCACCGTTCTCCTGTGGCTTACTGTCACTCTGCTCCCTACTCCACCTCCTCGTACCCGCCCTGCTATCTTTAGGCGGCTCGGAGAGCAAAGCGTATCGAAACGGAATAAGGCGGGGTACGATTGCTGGAGCTCTCTGCAGATATGTATGTATTCCTTCGTAAATATCATGACGGTCCATATCAGATCTAAGAAGAAAACCAAAACTGGAGCAATGCCTAAGGGTAAAGCGAGGAATAAGATAATTACGTACCTCTTACTAGGTACCTAGTTCCGTATCGTATCTAATTACTTCGTACTTCCGGTCTTTGAGACATTGACGACAGATGGGGATGTGGAGGCCTCAAGCATCATAGTACCTACCAATACAATCTACCCCCTATTTAATTTTCAGAGAGAGCTGTCTAAGGTAATATACGGATGCCTATGCTTTACCTAAAGTGAACTTTTCGACTATATGCACATTGTTAATCATTGCTCCCCAAAGATGATTTCTTGCCAGGAAATTGTATGTGCGATGCTTACAGCATGCATGCATACATACCTAAGGTACCTACATACCTTATATACGTAGGTATTGGCCCTGGGTAGACGAATGACCCATAGCCTGTACGTTGTATTACTTCGTAGGACGATCCTAGAGAAGGCGACAAGTAACTTACAACGTAGGTGGTACTCTCTTCGGATCCCAGTTACATCCAGGCGGAATTTTCCGTCCCCGCTTTAACTGCCCCCTATATAACCAGCGAAGCGAGCGCAGAAAATGGTGTGTGGGGTGGGGGGAGGGAACGGGGGGGCGGTTGTTGGCACGGAGCACCTTCTAGTATTATGTATTCCTTCTTCTAGTCAGGACGCGATCTCAACCGAAAGTGTCAGCAGATCGAAAACTATCTTTCTCTGCGACTTAGGTCGTAGGTAGGTATGAAGAGGAAGCCCCTGTTACGAGGCATCCTCTGTGAAGAACTCCGCCCCTACTATGCATGGCCTAAGCAACAGATCAGCGCGGAGCCATGTGGCAGGACCGTCCCCCTGCATTGGGAGGAAAAGCACGCTGCTGCGCACCTGTACAGGCTTGACCGATGAGACGAGTAATAGTTTGTCGCTGCCTCAACTCCAAAAGAGGATAGGGGAAGCTAAAACCTGAACAGGGTATAGCATTGCCTGGAGCAGCTGGACAGACCATGCCTTCCTCCCCCTCCCGGGCTAAAGAATGTGGACCGTGTGGCTGCGGGAGACCAGACGGACGGCACGCCGACCCCTGGTCAAGGCACGGAGTATCGAGAGGTTGTGCAGCCTTATTGCCCTGTCCACACGGCCCACGATTGGTGAAATGACAGCGATCTGTCATTCCCTTGAGATATCTGTCGGGATTTGCCTTGACGGGGCTTCCCTGAGTTTCGATACAATAATCCTTCAGTCCGTTTGCGGGATACCCATGTTAAATCTACATAAACAATGTTGAAACATCTGTACATATTCGTGGATGGGATAACAATATCCGTGGTTGTTTTTAGCTTTCGAAGAGAGGGTTCCATGGGGCTGCAACCGTCTGTCAATGTTGAGTGTCTCTGAGGTGAGAGCGAGATGAAAACGTCCATACGATAATCAATGTACGAAGCACATACCAGGTAAGATGTCAGGAGTGCCCAGAATGCCATGTGCGCGCAGATCACAGCTGCGTAGCGTGTACGTTGTACTCCACTCCCTCGCGACGAACATGGACCAGGGCCATAGAGCCTGCAGATTGTACGGAGTAAGTTGTTCTGGGGGTGCTGTCATTGGTTAAGGCTCTGCCCAAGGCATTTTTTCCAAGCCTAGGTAAGGTATGTAGTCGCGACGAGCTAATCAGAAAAGAGATTAAGGCGAAAGCAACCCAGAGCTCTTACCTCCATCCGGGAATTTTTGACGAGCGGTCGGGGTCTGGATCGGACTCTTGAGGCCCGCTTCCTTCCCTAAACTAGGAGATAAAATAAATAAATATACGGATATTATTGGAGACTAAAACCAAACCCGCGAAAAGGGATGAAAGGAAAGGAAGAGAGATAATGCAGATTGCCTGTCTAAGAAATGTCGAGAGTGTGTCGGTCTGCTGACAAGCATTATCTGGCCCAAAGAACCATGTATAAATGCTCCAAGGCATAAACAAACTCAACCTCTGTGTCCGTGAACCTGGGACTGTCGTTGAATCTAAGCGGTCTCCCCCGCCCGTCGCGAACTTCCTGATGTCTATTTCCCGCTGTGTAACAAGTTCGTATTGGCACCTTCCGAGGGCCGGCAAACGGTTGTTGTCCAACTAATTCCTTGACTGATAAATTTGTCCTCACACCACATATTGGCCTCAAGCATTTATCTGATATCTGGTGATAAGTAGCCGACGAATTGGCAACGGATCAATGGTCCCGTCAGTCATGGACATGTCCCTCCATCATCTACAACGGTACAACGTATGTACCTACCAGGGAAGAGCCCGACGCACGGTTGCCATTGCTGCATGGCGTTCAAACAAGGTTACCTACTCTGAAGCCACACAGATGCACTTGCGGCACGGAAAGGCTGGCGCTTGAGCCACTCGCGGACGGGAAGACTTCCCTCACGATCCCTCGCTGACCAGGCGGGCGGGCGGGGGAAGGCCAGCCACACAACGAGGGACTGAGCCGGGTCAGACAGAGCCACAGAGATGGCATGCTGATCATGCTGGGAAATCAGTGGAGCCCCTGTCAATCGGACGAAAAAACAAGGAGGGGTGGAGAAGCGAGTGCGCACGCCGCCTAGTGTTACCCAGTTCGATGAAGGTGAGCGAAGGCTGCGGAATCCATCCGCCACAAGAATAAGACCCAACTGCATGTACTCCGTACCTCGCTAGTCCATGCTGTTGACGGCCGTTTCGATTGGAGACGCTCAAGCTCACGCCACCCAAGCCCATATTCCGGGATTCAAGCAAAGCAAAGACCAGTCCCCTACCCAGTACACTACGTACGTTGTAGATCACAACGGTACAGGTCCCCACGATCCGGCATCAAACATGGAAGTGGCGCCCCGTCAGAGGCTTATAATAGCTGTTCCTGTTACCAAGGCTTGGGTTTCGATCTCATCCGAATATGTATGTAGACCTAGGGTACAGCGGATACAGGGCGACTTAAGTGGACTCGAGTCTTGTGCGCCGTAACGGATTACCACCTCGACGCCGGTGTGTTCCCTGACTCTTGTATATGGAACCCGTGACGACCAGTTCTGTGAGTTGGCGTTGTACGAAAGGCGAGGGAGAAAGAAGTCGTAGGCTTTGGATGGTCAGGCGCTCGGTGTACTCCCTGGGGGTGGAAGACGACCGTCGCGGAGGAACGCCAAGTGAGCGACTACTGCTGCACTACATGCAATGGAGTAGCGGTGTCGTGCGACGCCGGGGTCGATGCGGTGGACCAAGCCAACCGAGTGCTAATTATTAACCTACTACGAGGTCACCGTCATGGTAGCTCGCACATAATGACGACCCGCGGGCCGGGGGTGTAAACGCCCTCCGGAAAGAGAAAGACGACAGGGGTACGGGGCTAACCGAGCCAACTCGACCCATGATTGATGCCCCTTGTACTCGTAGTGCTGATAGGTGAAGGTTGCGCAGAGGTACATATGCCTACCGGTCTACGCGGTACAACGTACATCAAAGGATGTATGTACCCCAAGGCCTCTGTCTCCACGAGCATTACTATGTACCGCAGTCCAGTCGCGTCTCAAGAGACTGGAGTATAAAACCATCTGAGAGAGACACTATTGCAAAGGACACGTGTGGCCGAACAGACTCGAGATGCGCGTTCTCCGGCAAGACATCACAGCTTGTGCCACGAGGAACAAGTGTCTCTGTCCACCCCGTAAGGCGCTCTATCCCTGAGGTACCTTACGGAGTACAACCTAGTACGAAGTACATAGGTACATACCTGGCATACAGGCAAGGTCTGCACGGAGCCTGGTCCCAGGGAGAAGGGTCCACGGGAGATGCCGTTGCTGTGGGTAGTATCCTAACCAGTTATTGACGCCTCTTCCAGCGGCCCGAGTGGGGAAAGGTACGAAGTACTCCGTACCGTACTCAACATGTACCTAAGGTACCTTATATTAGGTACATACCTAGGGTAGACACCCAATCGGACATGGTGCATCCGAAGACTTGCCAAAGCCGTCATCGGAGGAAGACCTTCAAACCGAGCCCGAAAGCGGAATATAGGGAGCTAGACAGCTATCTAAAGGTAGCACACAACATTACAGAGGACGAAGAGTCTGATAAGACAAGATGGTCATGGAGTTCGAGTTGGGGGAGCGACGAGTGAAGTATGGTCGGTGCGAAGTAAGACAGACTATAATCTTTCGTAGCACAGACAAGCAGGTGAGCTCTAGGGAGGTCCTGTCGGAGCCCGCCTACGGAGTAAAAGTCAGCCAATCGGCGGTTGAACCAGCATCACACGTCGATTCTGTACCTACCCTGAAGAACTACGTACTCGACGTTTCCGTTAGCACCTCGCTACTATACGGTTAGTATTGCACAGTTGCAACTGAGCTCGATGCCACACGATCCGGTTTAGTTATTACGGAGTCCGGATACATACAATGAGTCGATGTGCACGAACTAACTAATCATCTCGCAGCCCGATATTCGGGACCTAAATATTCCATGTCTAATATTCAGGGATGTAAGGAGGGGCGCCTGGGCGGTGTTCTTGGGACCTGAGGGAAGGGAAAACAAAACGAGGAAAACAAGAGAGGGGCTGAGCCCCGGGGGGGTTGGGGAATGCTCCGTATTGCTCCAGGTCTGTCGTCGCATCAACCTGACAATGGACCTTTCTGTACCTGGCAGCAAACACCTTCTCGTCTTCTTCTTCTTCTTCTTCTGGCTTTGTCTCTCAACTCTTTGCTGGAATCGAACATTCTGTTGAAAACAATTATCAAAGCAATTCACCATGGCAGTTCAGTTTGATTTGCTGCTCCATTAGCCCCGCGCGTATTATTGTTTGTAACTGCTGTGCGACCACACGACCCAACACTGGTCGCCGTTGTCGCCATAACGCCGGTCTTCATCCCCACCACCACCAACCACCTCGCTGGCAATCTTGCTAGGACCTCCCGTGGTTATGCATGCATCATTAACAGCTTTTAGGGAGTGCTAGTGCCTAAAAGATTCGTCACAACGGGGCAAGCCAAACGGGTGAGGCGCCAGCCCTTCCCTTCGATGGCTAACTCTTAGCTGAGCCCCGTGCGTCCGGTGGCGCCGAGCTATCATCGCTCAAAGAGTAGCGACAGTGGGCCGGGAGACGCGTTTTAGGCCCAGCCCATCATGTTCGCTTGAAACGTACGAAGATCAGGCGACTACGAAAATGTGAGCACCAAACTCTCGGGTCAGGGTCATTCTACAGTATACCCCATCGAAGCAACGCTCATCCGTGCCCGTTGTGCGATTCCCAATTCTCTGCTTTCGAACGTGTTGCGCCGGCCTTTCGCCCTCTCTGGGACCCCTGGCCTTCCCCCCCCCTTTTTTTTTTTTTTTTTGGCGACTCTCTACTTAAGGATCTGCTTACGCGTTAGTCACCATCAGGGAAAATTAGGAGGTATGCCATCAGTGTTGGCCAACGGTTTTCATACACCCCGTTACGGGCGGTGCAGCCCCCTTTAGCGCTGTAGGGAGCACGTGGCACGACCCCTGTGTCGATCTTGTCTGGTAGGTAGCTTTTCTCCTTGCCCTGTGGCGTAAATGTTGCCACTTCCCACCCTACCTGATTTACCTGGCCACCACAACGTGCCTTTTGTCGGATTGTGGAATTGCAATTCACAACGCATCCACACGGGGCATGATATAGAAAGGTCCGGGACTGACTGAAAGTCGTGTGTCTCCTCTTCAACCTTAATACACCTTAGACAAGCTAACCTACTCGTGTTGACCGACAAGATGATCCATGGAAGCGTATATCTTCTCGACGGAGTTCAGGGTAAGGAGCGGGTCTGGTATCCTTTGGCAATTCCGGTTCTGCTACGTAGATTGTCTTCGTTCTCCGTGCTCGGTATTGACGATCTAAAACCATTCATGTTGGATTCGAACGACATCCTTCACTGGCTTCCACAGTCGCCAATGTGTGGCCGATTGCCCTCAAAGCCCCCTGGCTCTCCTGACTTACAGAACGACACAGGATCGAGGATGATGTTCGAGAACTCACAGGGGCGGGTTGTTGTATGCTACGCAGATCACATACGGCAGCGGACGAGAGGGCTTAACTAACAACTGGGAATAATCTTCAGTTTCGCCACTTGTAATAGGAGGGCATAGATCACGGATAGGATTTCACTCCGGCCGGAGGAGAACGCAGTATCGACCCGAGAGAAGCCAATCCCAGACAAAGACAGGGAGGGGGAAATGCAATAACAGTAATATGAAGAGTACTCCAAACAGCCAGAAACCAAGACTCCCCCCTTTCTGTTTGCCCACCCCATTTTTTTACGTTAGGTGTTGTCGACAGTGCCGCGAACCATAACACTCGATCAACCTTGCTCGGGCTCGTTGTGCAGGCGGCTTACAACTTGGAAGCAGGCTTGGCGCCCTCCACGGTAGTGATTTCGTCGTAGAGTAGACTATAAAAAGTGCATCAGCGAACCATCCCATCCGGGCCAAGTCGTGGGGGGTCATCGACCGCGATTCTCGCTCCCCCTTAAAGGGAAAAAAAAAAAAGAGAAGGGGGGATAGTGAGGTGGGAAAAGTAAAACACGACTTACGTAGTCAAAAAGTCAGCATAATCCTCGCCTGTGACCTGGCCTGCAAAGTACTGGGCGGCAAGGTGGTACTTGTTGCCCGGGCCGGCCTTGGAGGCCAGCTCGTCTGCGCTCTCCTTCAATAGCTTGAGGGCATACGCTTTGGTGACCTTCTTGCCCTCGGCAGTTGTGCTGCCGTGCCGGGCCCACTGCCAAAGTTGTGAGCGCGAAACCTCAGCGGTCGCGGCGTCCTCCCTGAAAATCCCCTCTGTCAGCTGGCATGGTCTGGACGTCCTCGATCTCGTGACTTTGATCTCAGCGAACACGCTGTGTTCAACAAAGAACGGACTTACATGAGGAAGTTGATGGGAACGCAACCCACGCCCCGGGTCCAGGCCTCCATGTATCCAAGGCCAATGGAGAGGTTCTTCTTGATGCCCTCCTCGGTGATCTTTCCGGGAACATTCATGTTGAGGAGGTCATTCTGGCCAATCTGGACATCCTCCCGGCGGACGAAGAGCTGGTTAGGGGTAGGCATGTGCTTGTTGAAGATCTCGGTGGCAATAGAGGCAAGGGCGGGATGGGCGACCCAGGTGCCGTCATGGCCAGCGGTGACTTCACGAAGCTTGTCGGCACGCACTCCCTCCATAGCCTTATCGTTAGCCGCCTTGTCGTTCTTGATAGGGATCTGGGCGGCCATGCCGCCCATGGCGTGGACACCGCGCTTATGGCAGGTTTGGATCAGGAGCTTGACCTGAAGTTATGGGGATGACGCGGTTAGTGGTTTGATCGCCCTAGCGGGGGTGGTGGGTGGGAGGGGGGAGGGGACAACGAGTAGCCTACATAAGCATCCATGAAGGGAACGGTCATGGTGACGGCACTGCGGTCGGGGAGGACAAAGTTAGGGTTCTGGCGGAACTTCTTGATTACGCTGAAAATATAATCCCAGCGGCCGCAGTTCAAGCCAGAGCTGTGGTCGCGAAGCTCGTAGATGATCTCGTCCATCTCAAAGGCGGCGAGGATGGTCTCGATGAGGACGGTAGCGCGGATAGTGCCGCGGGGGATGGAGAGATAGTCCTGAGCCAGGTTAAAGGCATCATTCCAGAGACGGGCTTCGAGGTGAGACTCCATCTTGGGGAGGTAGAAATAGGGACCGATACCAATATCGAGGGTCTGACGGGCGTTGTGGAAGAAGTAGAGGCCGAAGTCGAAGAGGGAGGCGGAGATAGGCTCGCCGTCGACGGTGACGTGCTTCTCTACTAGGTGCCAGCCACGAGGGCGGACAATAAGGGTAGCGAGCTTACGGTCGGTGCGTAGCTTATACTCCTTGGACCCTTGCTTAAAGTCGACCTGGCGCCGGTTGGCATCGTAGAGGTTCACCTGGCCATTGACCATGTTCTCCCAGGTCGGGGCCGAGGAGTCCTCAAAATCGGCCATATAGGTCCAGACATCGGAGTTCAGAGCGTTGACGACCATCTTGCGGTCGGTAGGTCCTGTGATCTCGACGCGGCGGTCGACGAGGCCCGGGGCCGGGGGCGCGCCCTTCCAGGTCGGGTCATCACGGATATGCTTGGTCTCCGGAAGGAAGTCGGGGAGGACGCCGCGGTCGAGCTCGGCTTGGCGCAGCTTACGGCGCTCCAACAGGGCCTTTCGGGTGGGATTGAAGGAGCGGTGGAGGAGAGCGAGGAAAGAGAGGGCTTGAGGCGTCAAGATGTTGCGCTGAGACTCCGTAACAGCCCCGAGGACGTTGACGCCCTGGAGAATGACATCGGTAGTGGCCATTGTGGGATATTAGATGGCTCGGTAGACGAGCAGCGGGGTTGGTGAGAGGGATTGGGACAATTGAGACGATGAGAGCGTCAGCAATAGAACAGCAAGATGGCCAAATGACCTGACCGTCGTTGCAAATGAAAACTGCGATCTAGTGTAAGCCTCTTGCTCTTATCCGAAGCTTCATGGGAGTTTGGTCGTTGATTCCCACCGAAGGGTGCGAAGAGTCGTACTTACCACAGAGTCTAGATAGGTTCGGTGTCTCGAGTAAGGGGTAAGGTAGGTATGGTATCGCGTTGTTATCGAGAGAGTGAGAGATTCTGATAAGGTTGGCGACGATGATGAAGAGGAATGAATGGGCAATGACGGAATGTGGATAATTATGGAGGGCCCTAAGAATAAGGCCTCGGCTCATTTAGGTGTTCAAAGTAATAACCTAAGGTCAAGGTACGAACGAAGAACGTACCCTGGGCAGGGTTGGCATGGGAGCTTGATAAGAGACCCCATGTTATGGTAGATCTGATGTACCCGGCATATCACTGTAACCTTTACGTATATGAAGTACCCGTTGACCCGGATTTCACCGTGAGACCGTGGATCATCGTCATACCTTCTGTTCCCCCGATATCCGATATCCACATGTGTTGTTGCTCTTTTGCTCCCTGTGGCGAGCTACCCTCTCCAAGAACCCCAAGAGCCACCGGGCGATTCGGCAGTTATCGGGCTAGCTCGGACATATGGGAGCTCGGCCCTTTGTATCCATGGCGAGGTACGAGGGTAGAGTCACGGGGAGAAGCCGGGAACTTTGACACATTCCTTACTGGATTTGCCTACCTTGAAAACAGTGATTGGACCGACGCCGCCAAAGGCCAGACCCAACGTATAACCCCGGATTTCTTGATTTCTTCAAGCTCACCAACCCCAGGCCCGTTATTTTTGGCTTGTGACAGTTTCCCTGTACCTTACCTAAGGTACCTTACCTTACCTTACTCAGTACCTGAATGTAATTAAAATGGGTACCTTAGGTAGGTACCTTACGTACAGGTGGCTAGGACTCGTAACGTTAGCTGGTGACTTTCCCACCGAGATCTCGTGGTCACTCTTGGGATGAACTGATTCCATCTACACTTACTCTCTATTGAAATATCAAAATGGTCATACAAATGTGTATAATAGTATCGGGTTAGAAGTCTTCCAGGCTGTATGGGTGCCGTTCGTCACAACACCCTGGTGAACTGTACACGTGTATTTGGAGGTACGTACACAAGGTGCCGAAGACTGGCATGTGCCGGGTACTTGAACGCATGCATGCGTCATAGCTTCCGAAAGTATCCTCCATCCCCCTGTGGACGTGATGCGCCGCCGCCCGACCGGACCGAGGCATTCAACTTCAACGTCTTCCCCCGTCTTCCCCCGTCTCACCGGCTGGCTTTTCAACTTTTCGTATTAGATCCGATGGGAAAATCCAGACGCATGTGGTCCGATGCGCTTAGACTCTTTGACCTACGGGGGTGCTGGATTTACTACATCGTCTAGTAATTTATAACGTAGCCGCGTTCTATGTTGGCCCTTGAATTTATTCTGCGCATGAACAACAACTTGCACTGGGCGAACGAGCTGAGAACCTCAATTCATCTTGGTTGATTTGCTGACAGATCAGAACACCATAAACACCATGACGAGCTAGCAATCACAGAGGCTGGCTGGGAACACCGAGTAGGGAACTACTCCCTCACCGAACGTACTTCTGAGCTCACCGCCTCTTGCTACTCTGCCATGCCACCTCAGCGTCCCATAGCGTCCCATAATGTTCTGCTAGACATACAACCTTTGCTAGAGCCAACACTCCTAAGCCCCTGCATTATCACCATCTGTCCATGCTTCTTGAGTCTCTCCTGTCCCTGCAAAAAGTAAAGTCCTGTAGTAGGCCATGCATGAGACGGAGGATAGCGAGACCCGTAAGGTTCCCAGATATCTGCTCTGGTTTCTGCCTGGCCTCGATACTCGGTGAACAAAAGCACTCACCCACCACCCTTCCTGTTCCTCGAGCACAAGATAAGTGTTGTTGCCGAACAGAGACAAAGAAAAAGCGAGAAAAGCCCAGGCAAATAAACGAAATGAAAGGCAGAAAGGCTAGAAGAAGAAGAAGAAAAAAAAAAAAAAAAAGAAGGAAGAGAGAAAGTGGCAAGATGGAAAAGAGAACGAAAGGGAATGTCCGAAAATGAGAGGAACCAAAAGCATCCGTCAAACTGGGCGACCTAAAACCATCCCCGGCTGCGCTGCGCCAGGCCGTGAGTTTTGTGATCTCCATGCTCTCTCATGTTTTTTTTTTTTTTTTTTAGTGATGGCTCCGAGCCGGTTCCATCAGTGCCAGTGCAAGGAAAAGAAGAAGAGAAGAGACGAAAAGCAATACCGAGATTCCCATAACGCCGGCCCTCGACTGATCCTCACGAAACGCCGTATCCTCGTTGTTAGTAGCACCCACCCCATCCTCGTCTCCGTCGCCTTCACGAATTAAGCGTCTTAACCATCATCTTCGCCTTGCGCTTGTCCGTCACGACCAGGTTACGGGACGCAAACACCGTCTTGAGAGTGTCCACCACCTTGTGGAAGCTGCTGGCAGCTCCTCGCTCTTGCGTGAATCGGACAATGCTCAGCGGCCCTCGCTTGCCATGCTCAATTACCGTCATGATCTCGATAGCAAACGACACCTCTTTGATGTCCAAGTCTGGCGGGGGGCAAAAGCAGTCAGTGACCCTTCGATTCATCGTCACTCGGAGGCTGACACGGAAGCAAAAAACATTTTTTTTAAGGTGGATGGGGTTTTCTTTTCCATAGAACTCACAATTTTTCGGACCAACCCGTGCGAACACGATATTCCGCTCTTTGTCAACCTGGACGTCTCGGATGCCGTATCGACGCCAGTCCTTGAGCACCATGACGATTTCCTGCTGTGCACGCTTGCGAGATACGACGAGACACATGTGGCTCTTCGCCGGTTTTACGCCAAACAGCCGCGCGAGCCAGTTTCGATGCACCTCGATGTTGCGCGTACCCGACTCTGAGCTGGACAGGCTGCGTTGAGACTGCCACTTATCTCTGCCGGACGCTGCCCGAACAGACTCGGGCGAGGGGGAATCCTCGTAGTCTGGGCCTATCGGGGGCAAGTCAACATCAATTAACATCAATCACAACAGTGCGCGACGGGCACAAAATCAAGGTCCTTGCACTTACCCGCGATGCTCATATGAGGATCCTCCATCTTGCTGTTCTTCCAGAAAAGGAAGCCGAACGAATTCTTCTTCTTGGCCGGGATCGGGATCGGGGGCGCCGCGATATCGGAATTGTGGTCGTCATCTGCCGTCGAATGCGTGGCCATGCTCAATGTAGAGGGGGAATGGCGGGTGTCTTGAGAATCGCGCGTGCCCTCGCTCTGGAAACCCGACGTCCGCCGCTCGCTGTCCTTCGACGAGCGCTTAAACCAACTCGACTTCTTCTTCGCCGTTTCTTGCTGCGAAGGAGGAACAGAAGTCGTGTACGAACAGCCGTCCGAGGAGGCACCGTGCATATAATAAGCCTGGCTAGCGTCTGTCGAAAAGCGCCTGGCTGTAGGATGTCCCGGATACTTCTTTCGCACGTTCAACGGCTTGGGCACGGGGTTGGTCGCCGAGGGAGAATCGACTACTCGAATAGTGTCACGGACCCGCGACAAGTAGTCGAGACCCGCCGCATCAGCCTGGCCGCCGGGCGTCCTAGGGGGAGGTGCAGACACGATACGGGCTCTGTCCACCTCTTCCTGGTAGAGAGGTCGAGCGACAGCCTGTCCATTTTCTCCAATGGAAGGGAGCCTAGTGGTTCCTTTACCGATGTGTGCATAGGCAGGTGCCGAAACAACTCTGCGCTCCTGCTTGGGCAAAAGCACCGGCAGAGCAAGACGGTTGACGTGATGGAAAACCTTGCTGACACCTTCCTTGTGGTGATCATGTTGTTGATTCTCCAGTTGGGGGCTGGCGGGTTCGGGAGAAGCTGGTCTCTCGGCCGGCAGAGGGGGCAGTGGTCGCGTATCCCACGGATGACAGCTGGAGGGAGCAGGCGGGGGGAAGGCGATGGACGGGGTGCCCATGTTGAAGGAGAACGGGCTGGAGTCCCGCTCACCTCCTCCCATTTCGCTTATGGCAAGCTCACTGATGTCCGACTCGATCATAGATCCGTTGAAGGCTTCATCGCAATCCTTGGCGATGCTGTTGGAGAAATTGCGCACTTCTTCGTTGACGATGGCGTGGGGATCTCGAGGCTTGACAATCTTCAGCATCGGCCCGTCCTTCCCCGTCGGCCCTTTTCGCATTGAGGGGCTTCCGGGGCATGCCGCAGTTCTGTCGGGTCTGCGCCGGTGCGGGTGCGGGTGCGGGTGCGGATGCGGGTGCTCATTCCAACCGTCGCCTGCAGCGCTGTCCGGCTTTTGACGCGTATTCTGGCTGCGACGTTGGTCCGTCGACTGTTGACGGACATGCGTGAAGTCAATGCCGCGCTTCCGCCGAGGAGCCGGCCGGGTAAACTGCGCCCCCTGGCGGCTGTGCAGAGAACTCATTGAGTTGACGGGGGATTGTAGCCGACCAGTGGCAGTGGACCTCTGGGAGCTCATTCTACCGTGTTGTCCCTGTCCGCTGCTTCGAGTTCCTGCCCTCGAGAGCTGCACTCGCTCAGAACCACGGCTCGCCTGGTTCTTGCGGTGGATGATGATCTTCGCATGGCTCGCCTGGGAGTTGTGACGCATGGGACGGTCGGAATTGTAGGGGTCATAGCTCTTGACCGTATTGGTGTCCGTATCATCGGGGACGTTGGAAATAACGGTGAATCTCGAAATGCTCCGTCCAAGCCCATGAGCTCGCGGCTGGCTAAACTCACAAGTCGACACACGCTTCTTCCAGGCTGGTTCGTGGAGGTGGTGGTAGTCGCTGGGAGATTGGGCGAGTTCAGGCAGGAAGTTCTCGAGCTGCTTTTCGCGATAGTTGTGGAGAAGCCAGTAGAACAACTTCTGGTCGTTTTTCCTGAAAAAGAAGAGAAAAAAAGAATTGAAAAAGAATCAGCAATTTAAGGAGTCGCTCCACGATATACGAAGAGGCCCAAACTTACGAAGAATCCATGAGTAAGAGCTTGATCTGGTGCTCTGTGTACATGTGCCAGAGGGAGCGCAGTTGCCGGACGAGATGCGGATCAACCTCCTGTGGTCGCAGCGGGTTGTAATCGAATCCCTCGCGGATGTCAGGCGGCTGCCCGCCATTATTCCCCAGATCGTCCAGGTGGTCATACTTCTGGACCAAGGGGTGGTGCCACATCTCTTTGAGGGTGATCCGGGTCGCCGGATCGGTTTGGAGCATGCGGCGGATGAGATCCTTGGCCTCGAGACCGAGGAACTCGGGTATCTCAAACAGGCCCCTTTTCGACTTCGACAGCAGGATGCGAATGTCCGGGTCATCGAAGGGCAAGCTAGCGGCCAGCATGGCGTAGAGGATGACCCCCATAGACCAAATGTCTGCCTTATCACCCCGATATTGTTTGTTCTTGAGCAACTCGGGGGCAGCGTAATGAGGGCTTCCGCAAGCAGTCTCGAGACGATGGCCCTCGGATTGATGCAAGGCAGCCATGCCAAAGTCGGCAATCTTGATCCGATTCTTGGACGTCAAGAGTATGTTCTCGGGCTTCAAATCGCGGTGGCAGATGTTGAAAGTGTGACAGTACTGCATAGCACTCATAATCTGACGAAAGAAGAACATGGCTGCGTCTTCGTTCAGGCGACCGTACGTGTTGATGTAGTCGAATAGGTCTCCCTTGTCGACATACTCTAGTACGAGATAACTGAGGATGGGTAGTGGGTGAGCAGATTGATTTCTCGACGGAATGAAAGAAATAGAAGAGGGAAGGCAAGCAGTGGGAAGAAGGGGGGGTTCCAGAACTTACATTTCGGAACGATTTTCCCAAATGTCATACACCTTCATAACGTTTGGATGATCGATGAGCTTGAGAATGGCCACCTCGCGTTCAATAGACAGAGGAACGCGCATTTCGCCGTTGATACGGTCCGGGAGACTATCATCGTACTGATGGAGCGCGGCCAGACTTCCATGTTGAATCAGGTAGGCAGCTTTCTTGGGCACAATCTTGACGGCGGCCAACTCTCCCGAGATGCGATGCCGACAGAGCCTGACACGGGCGGACGATCCCTTGCCCAAGGTTTTGCCCAGTTGCCACGGTCCAATTTGGGTTTTGTAGTTGCATCCGCTGCTGCGGTTACTGGAGGGCGCCGCTGAGTTTTGTGAGGCCTGAGATACCCGCTTGGAAGGATCGGCTTCTCGAACGGCTCGAGCACGAGGGTGACAGGGTTCAGCTGGGTCAAGGGAGGCGGCAGCTGCATCGACAGAGCGAGGATGAGCTCGAGGTTCCGACGGACCATGGCTACGAGCTACGCCGCTGCCGCCATCATTTTGGCCCTGGCCCTGTGCATCAATGGTTTCCGTTCGAACTGCGCTGCATTCGGCGCCTTGCAGCTTGTGGGACTTGCCAGCAGCATGGGTAGCATGAGCCACGTTGTTGTTGATGCGATGGCCGGCGTCTACCAGAGGAGGCCTCGATAGCGAGGACCTGGCTGGCCCAGGCTCGGCCATTCTTCGTGGACGCTACCTGCTCTCTCGAAGAACAGCCAGCTAGGTCATTACCAGACCTCGAAAAGGCAGTGAGCGATAAGGAGCAGAATATAGCAGGTGACGTGGTGGAAACTGGAAGGAAGGGAAAGGGAGGGACGAAAACGGTGTAGAGGGGGGAAAAGAGGGGGAAAAAGAGAGAGAGAGAGAGTGTGTGTGTGTGTGTGTGTGTGTGGGCGAGAAAACGCGACTTGCAAATGATCTCTGAAGTCTGCCGACTGCTCTCGAACTATTGGATTCAGCGAGGCTGGATCTGATCAGCAGCCTTCGAAGGAAGTGAATGGAGAAAGAAAGGAAGAGCCTGCAGAGAATAACCGAGAGAGGTGGCAGGAGAGACGAAAAAGAGTGGCGGGGGTGAAAATTACAAGAATGGTGCAATGGGTGGTGGATGACGGTGGAAGTTTGAAGAGTAAGGTAGAGGAGGTCCCAGGAACGTGAGGAGGTACTTGTTTTTGGGGTGGAAAGAGGCTGGAATGCCGGTGTCGCGCGCTGCTCGGAGGACGTGACCGTGACTCTTGTTCCACGGGATTGCTTCTGCTTAACGGGAAGATCAGAGCTGGCAAGGGAGGAAATCCTGACAGAGGGGGCCAGTTGCCAGGAAGAAGAGGGAGAGGAGAGGAGAGCCTAAGCCTATTTCACCTCTATCGTACTTTAAGGTAGGTATGCAAGGTCAACCTACGTGATAAATGGGCTTTTAGGAAAAGCTAGGGATGACGATGTTGTGTCAAGAAGAAGAAGAAGAAGAAAAAAAGTGATATCGACTCCCATCCAGGGGTGTGCACTTGCTTCACTCTCATGCGCCGTCCCTTCCATCTAATCTCTCAGGGCTGGTAGTTTGCACCTACCTTATCCTATCTTGCTGCACGCACATGATAAGATATCGTAACCTACGAGGCCTCTTCAATTTTGGAATGGGCTTGTTGGAAATCTGACACAAACCACCCAACTCCATGAGGAATGCAAGTTGCGGGGCAGAATACCCCGAAGTCTCCTGGACATAGCCCGGCATAATCGGCAGAAACAGAACCTCTGAGTCTCCTTTTAGACGAATAAATCTGAATCTGGTAACGGGAGAGAATTGAATCCGCATCGTAATTAATAGTCGCCCTATCCTCGAAAAGCGTGGCTGGAAGGTCATGGGCAGTATCAGTGGGAGATGGATGTAGAGATGATAACGAGTCTTATAAGAATGCACAGTCTTGCTTCCAGTGCCCGTGTCAAAATAATAGCGGTTCCCCAAAATGTCAACATTAGAACTTAAGAGAGAAAGGTTTGATGAAGCAGAAATGTGTTTCCTTTCTAGTCTGCACGAGGGCAGAATTGGGGGGATTGGAAGGGATGAAGTTGAGACTCGAGATGTTCAGGTGGGGGCCGTGCGGGAAAATCTTATATAATCTTGCATTCACCTGACCCACCCCGTCGGGATCGAGACAAAAGCACGCACGAGACGCGTTCGACCTCGCGTCAGATGAGGGAGGTACGGAGTACCCCGTACCGACTGCACCTTGTACAGCCTCGCATCTTTGCCCCTCTTCTCTTTGATGTCAATTTTTCAGCCTCCCTCCACTGCTGAAATTCGGGTTACGGTTATGTCTGAAAGAAGAAATTCGGCGAATTCTTCTCGATCATTTTGCACCTAGTCCTTTTTCTCCCCGCTCTCCTCCCGTTTCTGGGGCTTGACGGAGCTTTAGTACGGAGATGACATCCGACCAAACCCGTCGGCGGAGTCGACGTCAAATCGAGGACGAGGACGACGAGGATGCCACGAGGTATGAGTCCGAAGGCACTCCGGAGCAGCGCGATGGACCCAAGAGACAGAGACGCAGAGTAGTCGACGAAGGAAGCAGTGACGACGATGCTCATGTCAGCGAGAACGAGGAGTTAGCGGGCAATACACGACGAACCACCAACATCGGCGGTGCAAATGGCTCTACCGACGAACAGGCCTTTCAGCCCGGCGCTATCCGTCGTGTCGAAGTAGAAAACTTTGTTACTTATGAGAAGGCCGAATTCTTCCCTGGTCCCAACTTGAAGTAGGAGTCCATTTCGCCCCATACCTGATCACCGTTTTGCCCCCCTCACTAACGACATGCGCTTCCTGTCTTTAGCTTGGTCATTGGCCCGAACGGCACCGGTAAGAGCTCGCTAGTCTGCGCGATTTGTCTCGGCTTGGGCTTCAGTCCGAAGCACCTTGGACGAGCAGGAAACGTCAAAGAGTTCGTCAAACACGGAAAGCCCTCCGCTTCCATCGAGATCGAGCTTCAGAAACGGGACCAAGACCGCAGACATCACGTCGTTCGAGTGCAGATAGACCGAGAGCGAAACAGCCAGCGATGGTGGATCAACGGCCGTGATACTACCCATAAAGCCGTGCAGAACCTCATGAAGGAGCTCAGGATCCAGGTCGACAATCTTTGCCAATTCCTGCCCCAGGACCGCGTCGTCGAGTTCGCCGGCTGCACACCAGTTGACTTGCTTCACGAGACCTTGCGAGCCGCAGCGCCGCCGCAGATGCTCGAGTGGCAGCAGGAGCTCCGGGACTTACACAAAGACCACAAAGACCTCCAGAAACAGTCCACTTCGCATGCCGAGAATCTTGCCAACCTAGAAAGTCGGCAACAGGCCATGCAAGCTGACGTCGACAGACTACGAGAAAGGGAGGAGGTCCAGGCGCGGATCGCCGACCTGAAGGACGCTCAAATCATGGCTGCCTACAATAAGAGTCGAGCTCGGCATGCTGAGATCTCCCGACGACTGGAACAGGCCGAGCAGCTCCAGCAGGATCTCCAAAACGAATGCGCCCCCTCTTTAGAAGCAACCAACAAAAAGAAGGAATATCACGAGGCTGTGGCATCAGCCGTTCAAGCTCGCCAGGCGGCTGTCAGGAATACCGAAGAGGCTGCGAACGACTTGCTCAACGACGTCGACAACGCCAACGACCATGTCGTCCAGATCACAGCCAAGATAGAGGCAGAGTCAAGAGGGTTCACCACAAAGAAGCAGGAGCTTCGCGTTATCAATCAAAAAATTGGGCAGCTCGAGAACAGACTCAAGAATCGACCACCGGACTTCGATCCAAAGGATCACAACCAGAAAATTGTGGGTGTACTGGAACGGAAGCCCTAGCTTTCAATGCGCTAACTACTATATCCTGTAGCGTGCTCGACAGCATCAATTACGAGAGCTTGACAACGAAATTCGCGCGATAGAGCCCAAGCTGCTTGACGTCCACCAACGTGGTATCCAAACCAGAGATGAGCGGAAACGGATAGCCCAGGAACTCCAAGAACTTGACACACAAGAGGGGAAACAGCTCAGATTTCTGGAAAGGTCCTTCCCAGACGTTGCCAAGGGGTGCAAATGGCTTCGAGAGAACGGCGACAAGTTCCAAAACGACGTCTTCGGTCCCCCTCTGATCAGCTGCAGCATCAAGGACAAACGCTATTCGGATCACGTTCAGGCCCTCCTCCAGAAAGATGACTTTCTGTGCTTCACGACACAGTCCCGTGAGGACCACAAGACGTTGAGCAACTATTTCTTCAGAGAGCTAGGACTTTCTGCTTCCATTCGAACCTGCTTGCAACCGCTCTCTTCATTCCAAGGGCCTTCTGCAGAAGAGGCCAAACGTCTCGGATTTGACGCTTTTGCGATTGATTATCTTACAGGTCCCGAGCCTGTCCTGGCTATGCTTTGCAGCGAGAAGAAACTCCACATGGCCGGCGTTGCTCTTCGGGATATCGAAGACCAGCAGTATAACCGCTTAATGGCCGAGGAGAGGATCCAGACCTGGGCCGCGGGGCGTCAATTCTACAAAGTGACGCGACGCAGGGACCTCGGCCCGCAGGCTGTGTCGACCATGACACGAGATATACTGCCCGGTCGCTGGTGGAAGGACGACGTTGATCTGACCGAGAAACACGAGCTTCAACGACGGCAGGAGGAGATAACGGAAAGGTTTAACGGGCTGAAGCGAGAGAACGAGCAGCTGAGACAGCAGAAAGAGGAGCTTACCGAGGAGATCGAGTCCAACAAGGCAGCTCTGGTAAATCATTTCCACTCCTACGGGTTTCATGGTCTATGCTTCTAACCCGGCCGAATTTCAGGATGACCTCCAACAGCAGAAGAGGGCGCTTCAGAAGGAGTACAACGAATATCAGGCCCTTCCCACGAAACTCGGTCAGTCTACACTGGATCTTGCGCAGATGCCTGCCTACGTAGCGGAGCTGACCATGATGTGCAGAAAACGAGAAGCGTTCCCAGGAGAAGAAGAAGGAAGAACTCGAGTCGTTGAGGGCTACAATACACGAACTCGAGGCACAGCTTGACGACGCAGCAGTCAAGAAAGGCAAAGCTATTCTACGGCACCAACGAGGCCTCGCAGGAATTCGCAGGGCCCAAGAGACGCTCCTCGAGGCGCAGATCCGTGAGATTGAAGCTAAATCCGACTTGGAAGGCCTAAAGGACAGGAACGCCGCCATTGTGCAGAGGCTCGAGAATGAAGAAAAGAACGTTGCCGAATTGAGGGCCGCCAAGCGCCAGGCGAAGGACGAAGGTGTCCGGGCAAGAGATAAGCTACTGCGGGAATGCGTCGACCTGGAAAACAGGAAAGATCACCTTGTAGGGCTGGCAGGCGACAAGTCCCCGGAGGAAATCGAGGACGAGATCCGGGCAGAGGATGCCAAACTGGAGCTCATTCATGCCGCCAACCCCAACGTCTTGCGCGACTTTGAGAAACGGGCGCGCGACATCGAGAAGCTCCGCCAAAGGCTGGAGGCTGCACAGAACAAGAATGATCAAGTCGTGCGTCAGATTACAAGACTGCGGGAGAAGTGGGAGCCGAGGCTCGAGGAGCTGGTTTCCAGAATCAACGACGCCTTCAGCTACAACTTCGAGCAAATCAACTGCGCAGGCGAGGTACGCATTCACAAAGACGAGGACTTTGAACTGTGGGCGTTGGAGATCATGGTCAAGTTCAGGTCAGAGCCCTTTTTTTTTGTGTGTGGATGTGCATTACGACTTTTTCCCTTGCTTTCTTTTCATTTCACGTGTTTTATTTCATTTTCATTTTCATTTTCATTTTCATTTCCTTTTTACCTTCCTTTTAACAACAACAAACTGACTGTGCCGCGCAGAGAAAACGAGTCACTTCAGCAGCTCAACCAGCATCGCCAATCGGGCGGCGAGCGTGCTGTCTCGACCATCTTCTACCTGATGGCGCTGCAGTCCATGGCGCAGTCTCCCTTTCGAGTCGTTGATGAGATCAACCAGGGCATGGACCCGCGCAACGAGCGCATGGTGCACGAGCGCATGGTCGAAATCGCCTGTCGCGAGCACACGAGCCAGTATTTCCTCATCACGCCCAAGCTCCTTACCGGGCTTCGGTATGATGAGCGTATGCGCGTTCTGTGCATTGCCAGCGGTGAGCATATGCCCGTGGAAGGCAACAAGCTCGACTTTGGACGGTGCCTTGGGATTCATAAAAGGGCGATCGGGGCCGCTGCATGATTTCATCCCGGACGTGTTTCGGATAGACATGGGCATTTCCTTTCTTTTATATGTCTAATATCTCGGGTCTCCTGGGACATGACTTGCGCGATTTCTGGCCTTCAGGCATAAGCGACTGGTTACTGGGCGTTGGGCAATACTGAGCATGGCGGATAGCAAGGGAGCCACGTCTTATAATGTCTGGCAGGGCTAAGTCTTAGGCGGCACGATATGGACACCATGGTCTTCGGTTTGCAGTTGTTTCTGCTTGGAACGTTCGGAGATCTAGACGGCTTCTACAGAGATACTACAGAGATATATGGTAATTAAGAGGAGTTAATAAGAACTCTTTTCATTATACACCAAAGTGTCGTCTCGCCATTGCCGGGCTGCGTTGCTGAAGCTTTCATGACCGCTTCATGCAGATCAGGGTCTCTCTAGGTACCTTCTGTTGGTGAAGCCGATCCATGTAGTACCACTCGCTCAACTGTGGTCTTCAGCGAGGCAACTGAAAAACCTGTGCCTGTATTTCAGCAAATACGTATATAGGAGGCACAGCGAACACACGAGTCCTGAACCTTACGATAACGACAGATTCTAAGCAAAGCACACTATTTCGTACTTGGTATAATCTTCGAGTAATTGATCCGTGTACCTACCTGCCTGACTTGGCAAGATAGTCGCACTGACATCGAACTCCGGGGTGCGCTTTGGGGAGAGCACGTTCCGAGCAAAAAACACACGCGTAATGTGTTGGCAGCAGGCGCCAGGGAAACCGGCCTGCAAACTACAACAAGCATGGGACCTCCAGATGGGAGATCCAGATGGGAGAACTGAGAGGTTGATAATGGAACACAGCATTCATGGGAACGGAAAGCGTGTTGTTGACCAAGCAATAGAGGTCCTCCTCCTCCTCCTCCGCTGAGATATTTGCCTGCCGCGAGTAGTTCAAGATCCCAGGAGCCCCAAGCAGAAAACTAACAGGTTGCAAGACAGCAACGAGATTTCAATAAAAAGAACATATCCAGTTGTGTCTTTAGTTTGGAATGTCTAATTAATCTCCCTAGAGCTACTGGCATGCAGAAGAAGCCCGTTGTCTTAGATGTTAGTGTGAAGAAACATGCCTGGCTAGGAAAAAAAGGAGGGGGAAAAGAAAACCCCCTTTACCTACTTTTTTGGGCCTGACCACAGTATCTACAAGCAGGTTCGGATGTCTTGGGATCATCAAACGGGGAACTAGCAACGATTTGTGTCTCTTTTTCTTCGGAGCACTGTGCTCTATCCCATTTGGTAGCTCGTAAAAGGAACGCCATTTTCATCAATAAGTTGGCTTGCCGAGACATTCAACACGGTAATATATGACAGGGGTTCAAAGCACAGGAGATGTGCCAAAGATGTACGTCCTACCTAGGTAATCCTCGTCTCGCGGATATGCGTGCATTACCCGGGTCACGGAGAACCACCATTGGCCAGATTCACAAGTCGAATTGGCAATTCCTTTTCGCCAGGGGCCGTGTCAGGGGCACGGTCAAGCTTACCAAGTGCCAGGGACAATCTGGAATAGGCACATAGCTCGTCTATCTGCTTATTAACCCTGTTCCCCAATCTCTCAATCCCTCCTCCTGTTTGCGAGGTTCGTCAGTCGGGTTTGCTCAAATGTTTGGTACTTGCTATTTGCGAAAGAGTGCCCCCATTATCATAAGTCTTGAACTGAAGGAAGCCACGTATCTGATATATTATGGACGAGTAATCAAGTTCACTATCCTCTTCTTTGGCTGATGAGTTGCTTTTCTCACTGGGCAAGAAATTTATCCTTCCAACAACAATCGCCCTTGTGGACTCGGAGATTCAGACGAGTCAACCCATCCATGCTACAATATATGGAGGAGGTGGTTCTCCGAATACGGTCCCATCTTGAATCAAGAGAGTACTGCCGACCCTAGCAGGACAGTTCACTGTCCGACTATCTGTCCCATCGACCTCTCTCTGTATGGTTATCAACAGGTATCCACAGGAATATACGAATATATATGTATGTCTTGGAGAACCAACAGTATGTAACCGGTCTGGGCACCATCTTCCTTCTGTCAGGAAACCAGGGGGTCCACGAGATCGGGTGAATGGGGAGAAACGAAAAAAGTCGTGTACGTCATTCCAACTTTGGCCATTCCAGGAGGATTTGCGTACCCCCCGGCGCGATAGTGGGGGCGCGGGTCTCTCGACCATGGTCTGGTCTGGCCTGGGCCAGGCCCCCCAAGCTTACGGAGTGATAGTGCTGTGCCTGTTCCAAGCATCTCTACTCCGTAATAAGAAGCCATCAAAAATGGAAACCGCAACCGGAAACCACAACAACGACAAACGAGGAGAGGTCCCGTCGCCAGTCGTCTTTTTTGCGTCTAATCTTGACTCGTATCTCAGATTTCCGCACCAGAGTCGGAATATCCCATGTTTGAAGTAGGCTACTAGGAAAGAAGAGAAGAAGCTGGGTGGTCTTCCTAGCCTCACCGCTGCTCCTTGCCGAAACACACCACGCTGAAATTCCGAAGACCGGCCCAAAACTTGGTTAGCTCACCCGAGAGATCTCCCATCTGTGCAAACTTGTTAATGGTCTCAACGGATGGATGGATGCTCAGCTAGTCCCGTTTGACCTAGCATAAGTCGTATTCATGTGGGGGAGGGAGGGTTGAACCCGAATACTACTTAAGAAGCGCTTTCCGAGAGAACTTTTTCGGATGACCTACGGATACTCCGTAGAGTCGATCCGAGGCTTGATATGGTGTCGATGACATTGGGCGATCACAGTTGTCGGACAGGACGAGAATTCCGGGGCTAACTCTCCTATCCCCATCGCCGGCGAATCAGCGAGGTTCGAGAGCTGGGAGGATACTGGGAAGAGGGGTGGAAAAAGGGGGCAATAATTTCCCTTCCAAGATTCCTGCGTTGCAATCATGCGAGGCCGCCAAACCATGTCCCTGATAGATCTTACTGTATCAAATGTGACGACGCCTTTGCTTCCCCAGAAAAAATAGAACATGGAAAAGAAGAAGAAAGAGGACCCAATCAGAATACGTGCGTGTTCTAGGAACATCGAAAGGTTGTTGAAAAGCCGGCGACAAGTTTGTTTGAAGAAATGGATTTGTCAGCCCTGGGCGATATACATTGCGTTCCTATGTACCTCTGTACAGGAGGTACTTTGTACGTACCCGAGTACCTTAGCTTAACCCGCGGATGAATCCGCACTTTGCCAGGTACTGCATAAGTATAGTGGACCAACGTCTCCATGTTTTTGAGGACTGTATAGCAGAATACCCAAGGTACCTTATGTATACAAAAAATGGAACAAGGTACAAATCAGGAAACAAATCGCACTCCATCCCGGGCAGCAGATGTCTGGAGTGGGGAACCGAGGGACAATGGCTGGGCATGAATTAGTGTATTATTAGCGCGATGAAATCGGGCGAGAAAACAACCCATAGGGAAGTTTGAAGACGACAAGTCTACAATACTAGACGACCAGATCCATGCTGCAATTACTTATATTTCATCATTACATTTAATATGGTTAGGTATTAAAGGAAAATGTAAAATGGCTACCGCAGTTGGTACCATAGATACTACAGCCTTATGTGCTCCGTACGCAACTGACTGACAGGTAGGTAATTAAGGTCATGGCGCTGGTGGTGCTGTAACGGCGAAGCGGGGGACAACGGGAGATGTTCAGGGCTATGGCTACCTACCTTAATAAGGTAATTACCGTACCGGTACTGGAAGAAATGGAAGGACCAGATACCGGTAGAAGCAAAGCAGGGTGTGTAAGGGATAGGTACCTCGAGTACCTGTGCCATTTGTTTCCTTATTTAGGTCCGATGAAGTCTGATAAAGCTTTCTTGGTCTGGTTTGTCCGTTGATACCCGCTGGAGTGCATGTGCTTACAACTCCAGGAGAATATCTAATAGCAAGTAAGGTAAAGGTATCTTGACGTTTCTCCTTGAAGTTGATATCAGAATCCTGAACTAAGCCCTCTACCACAACCCATGCAGCAACCAAAAGTCATATATTGTAAGAAAGTAAATTATGAGGTCTCGGAACCTTCCCCAGAGCCCAACTCGGCCGATAGCTTAAGATATTTGCTACTGCATGCCTTGCCGGTGATCCAGATAGGACGGCGTACGTTGTATTACAAACTCTTGTTTTTCTTGTACTACGCAGTACTGGTACATCAAATAAAGAGGCTATAAGTACGGAGAAAATACCAAAAGGTTTCAAGGACGGACAATAATCAGTGGTCGCTAGCATCCCATATGTAATTACGTTGTACTTCGTAATGTTGTGGCCCACACTAGAATCGTTCTGCTTTATTTTCTCCTATTCCAGGTTTACTGGGCGCTTTCGAGAACTTGGTTCAAAGCCACTAATTATGTCGGCCATGTTGTTGATGGGATGGTCCCTCTTGCCTTACGTTCCATCATCCTCAACCCTAACTATTTGTCCTGAGTGGCTTGCTGCTCTTCGTGTGGATCAACCATGATAAACACCTACGCGTTTGTTTAGCTTTGTTTATTAGTCTTAGGTATGCTCTTGCCTCAAACGTCCCTGGGTTTGATATCGTTCGTCAAGGATGTACCTATAAGGAGTATACCTATTATTCGTGGCTAAGGTAAGGTACCTGTAGATTGGCAGCCGCATGGGACACACGACGTCGTCCTTGTTCACAGGGGAGTCAACTTCCCGATCCTAACGTTCTGTCATTGGCAGGTACAAATACATCAGTATCGATAGGGCATGAGTACAATGACCGGGTCTTGATTTCCCTTTGAAGACCATTCCGCCCGAATACGCCGTAAGATGCACATACATTGTACCTGTACCGTCAGTCTCCCTCCTGTCCCACCCGACAACCTCGTACCCACTCGTAGGCACCCCAAGTACAATCTGTAGTACTGTACCTTAACGGAGTACGAAAGCATGAAGTACGAAGTATGTGTACGTTGTATTATGTAGTGCAGTGTTCCAAGTCCCTCACACAGCCCAGTGGGGGGCCATGTCTCCCGTCCCTAGTGTAGAACCTCATACACTTGGCATCCTTGACACCACTAAAATTGACCCCCCCGGTTCAAAGGTCCGGATGGTCCTGCGTGCGTCAGAGGAGTGAGGTCCTCAAGAAAATCCGCTTTCCACGAAAGGTTCCCTCGTTCCTGTTCAATTCTTCCTAGGTCATTTATCGGCCTGGACTCGAGCCAAAATCACCCTCTTACCAATGTTTCCCTCCACATAGCTCTCCACCTGCTACCGCGTCTTCGCTCTTTCCTCTGCCGTACCCTTCTTTTTGTTTTCTGCCACACTCTTTTTTTTTTCCCCATCCATTTTAAGACCTCCCTGTCTGTCAAACAGCCTTAATTCTCGAGGCATTGGGCTGTCCCACCGCAACTGCCAGTCGACTCGCCGACCACAAGCTCTGCTCGAAGGGTCTCTGGCGACAATCCCCGGTCACATCGCGCGCGCTTCTCGGTTCGGTGCTGGCTCTTGTAATCCCCTGACTGGCAGCCTCTCGACCGGCCATCATCAATTCCACTCCTCTTGTCTCTCGCTGTATTATTTTTCTCGAATCGGCCGAACGCTCCCTTGGGTTATCGGAGCATCAAGCCACCGAAAGCCCCTCCTATCCCTTCGTTTGACGCTCAGCGGTTTGGGCACAAATACAATCAATCGCCCATCTTCCGGTCGTGCCACAAGCGGCCTACAGCGCCTCGAGGAACCGTGCGCGCGGCAGCAACGCTGTTTTTCCCTTTATTTTCTTTTTCGGTTTATTTTCATTTCTTTTGCTTCATCACTACCTGCTGGTATCGTTAGTAGCTGCTAGGCTTATGGTCTTGGCCAACTGGCGCCACATCCCACGGCTCTCCCGCGACTTGTCGACCTATCGCTAGTTGTCACGTCAAGTTCAGCTCGACCAGTACGGAGTAACCCCCAGGCAATTCATCTAGCCTATCCGACGCAATACGCTCGTTTTTAACGTTAATTTCGACCCTCCTGGTGTCTTAACATTGGGCCGTCCCTCCCAGACCCGACGCCACCGAATCTCCGCAGCTACTACTGAATACATCTGGCATCCGCACCCCGAGAAATTATTTCGAAACACTGCTAGCGCATGGGCGTGTTCGTTTCCCGCTGCCATCGTTGCCGTTGCGTTCACTCTCCGACCTGCTGTTCGAGTAGTCGGCACGACATCTCATTGAGAGCCTAGAAGGAAGCCGACACCGGTCAAGTCGTGAAACGAACTCGACCCAAGCACGGCCTGCCGAAACGACTCGAATCCCTCTTCGGAATAGCTTCATAACCCCAATCTCCCTTCTGCCGTAATACAGGGGCTAAGCCGTCATCCCGCAGTCTCCTGAGCGGCGGACAGAAAGTGCAGCTGTCTGGAAGCACATCCGTCTCACTAATCCACATTGGGCTTCCAGCATGGCACCCATGACGCCCCGACTGAAGATACTCTCAGGTTGGTCTCCCCTCTCCCAGCGCTTCTGAGTTGTGCATCGTCATACGTCTAAAAAAGGATTGATTATTCGTGCGACCCGGTTCTGCGGTGTCATTTCGGGTGGTGGAACAGCCACCATCTTGGCCCCACGTTATTATTCTGTCGTGTCTTCGACACTGGATAGTCTCCGCCGTTGCTCCTCTCCTTTCCCCCTTGATTTTTTTTCGTTTTTATCTTTTATTTTTGTCGATTTCCCAGTTTATTCTGTGCTTGCCGATCGTGTCCCCGTGCCGACTGTCCGGCTCCAACCCCCAAGCCTGTAGCGATGATGGCAGACCACGAGCTGATGAACGTGTGTATAGTGGGAGGAAATCCCATCTCTGCCTTTTTGTCTTGGAGACTTCAAGCCACCAACGCTTGCGATGTCACATTGGTTTGGAAATCAGGCTTCGAGCATGTCGCGCAGTACGGGATCACATTCAAGTAGGTTGCACCAGTCTCTCTTCGACAATATCGTGGAGCAGTTTCAATTGACCCGTCCTACCAGGTCGCCGACCTTTGGCAACGAGAGGTTCAAACCACTACACGGTAAGCACCGGCGAATATACACATTCTTTGGAGGACGGAACTGACTGCTGCGGATTACTAGTCGTTCGGTCTCCCGAAGAATCGTCGGCCCAGCAGGAGGGCCCTTTCGACTACGTTATTCTATGCATCAAAGCTCTCCCCGATGTTTACGACCTCGCTTCCGTCATAGAACCCGTCGTCACACCGCAACATACGTGCATACTCATAAACACGACTCATGCTCTCGGCATTGAATCTGCAGTTGAAGAGCGATTCCCGACGAACGTTGTACTTTCTCTTGTTTCCAATGCTGAGCTGTCGCAGCTGGGCCAAAGCGAGTTTGAGCACAAGGGCTCGACAGAGATCTGGGTTGGCCCAGCGAACGGGAATGACAACATCCCACCTACTATACAGGAAGACATGGCCCAGGCTCTTGCCATGACACTCAGCACGGGGCAAGTAGACTGCAAAGTCTCCGGTAACATCAGGCAACAGCAATATGAACGGATGATAGGGTAAAGTTTACCTCCAAGGAACCCCAGCAATGTATGTCCTTATCAGAGAACTGACGATCGTTGTTAGGCCTATCTCTTTTCATCCCGCGAGCGTCATCTTTGAGACGCATAATCATTCACAATTGCTGGAAAAGCCAGGAGTTAGGGGCTTGGTGCTTGGGTTGATCGACGAACTGCTGGCCTTGGCCGCAGCGCATGGCTGCAAACTAGACTCGAACTTCAAGCAGAGGACGGTGGACGAAATGCTCAGGCCCTCGGCCACAGAAAGTATCATGTGGCAGGACTACGTCGCAAAAAGGCCGATGGAAGTCGAAACGTTTTTGGGATCGCCGATCAAACTCGCCCGGAATGTTGGCGTTGCTGTTCCACGCATCGAGACGATGTACGCCATCCTCCACAATCTCAACATCGTCAACCGCCAGAAGCCGCGACTAGATACATCGCCCGTCGCTCCCGGCTCACCCACCGCCTCGCCGCTTCCCAGAATATCGTCTCAAAATGGCATCCGCTCCATGTCCAATGGCATGTCCAACCCCAACGGAATGCCGCCCCGTGGCCCACGCCCTCGCAATTCTTCTTCTCTTGGTCCTGGTATGCGTCGGCCTCCGCCAACAAACGGCGGCCCTCCTAACGGCTACGGTCGCCCACCCGTGAACGGCCCGCCCAATGGCTACCCCGGACCCGGATCGCGAGCCGCATCACGGCGAGGTTCGATGGAAGCAAACGATCTGGAGGAATTCTCCCACCTTGTCCTCTACGATGACATACCTGAAGGAGGACAGCCAGCTTATGGTCAGGATAGGTTAGATTCTTCGCTTCATGAGCGTGGGTATAACTTGCGGCAGCGCGAGATGGCTTTAAGAGAACACGAGATGAGGATAGGCCAACGACGAGGCCCTCCACCCAAGCGAAGCAACCCAGTGCGTCACAGCGCCCACGCTTTCGACGACGATGACGATGATGACGAATACTACGATCCCTTGAACGCCCCTGCCCCACCGCCCTTAGCCGATCCAGACAACTTCGACATGATGAGCGTCACTTCTCGGAAGAATAGAAAAGTACCTGGTCCCTCGCCAGCCCAGCTTCGCAGGAATACCGAGCTTGATGTCGGGCCACCACCGGCGAGGGGCGGCCGATTTCGCCCCAGCTTTGGTCGCAACCGTTCGAGCCAAATGAGCAATATCCCAATCATCAATGACAACATACTCGATGATCCCTTGATGTCATGCTCGTCCAACCGGTATGGCAACGTCGACCGTACCGCGATGCAGGCTGGGTCCAGAGCCAATTCATTAACCAGTGTTCGGCATGAGGAACTGCCATACGGTCCCGGCGGGCCGTCTTCGATGGGTATGAACGGAGCGTACCCCCGCCGAACTAGCCAGTCGCCCGGTAATACATACAGCCCATCGCTACGAGGAGGCAGACCTTCCCCGCCCAACGGGTTCTCCGCCCCCCCCATGGCTGGCGGACCGCACGACGGCGTCAGGCAGCCCGTCCCTCGGTACCCGCCTGGACACGGCAACGCTGTCGCGCCGCAGCAAGTTGAACAGCATGCTGGGGTGAGCGGCCTTCATCCTCATCAAAAGAACGTGCGAAGTCTGACTGGTAGTGCGAGCGCCAGCGCGGGCAGTGGTGATTCGCAGATGGATACAGAGCCTTCGGCACATAGCAGTCAAAGCAGTCTGGGACCCCGACCACCCATAGGCGTCCGATAAATGATACCAGGGGGAACAAACCTCACATTGGGGTGAGGTCGGACCTGGAACTATGTGTATCATAACGATCTTCTGACGACCTGCACATCACTGCGAAGAGACATCGGGATGACTCGCGCATATTTCGAGCCGCAATCCATCGCTTCCTGGCGGTCTGAACATTTCGGCCAACAACCGCACTTTGGGTTAGGTTTTCTTTTGGTCTTCTCTCACTTGCATAAGAGTTACTACACTGGGGTCAGACGGTTTTCTTCTTCTTTTTCTTTTTTTCTGCAAAGGCGCATAAAGGGTGTTGTACATACTCGCTGAGTTTCGGTGTAACACGAACAGACCTAAGTTAGGCCCTCCCCAGGATCACTGCATTCAAAAGGGGGAAGGGGGGGGGGGCTCTTCTTCTCGTGCAGCATTTAATGAAACCTTCCACTCGCTCCTTAGCCCGCAGAAGGACCGAATCCTAGCCTCCGGGGGGGGTTTGGTCGACTATTTCCGATAACAACAACTGCTATCACCACCAACGCGAGCGGTCTAGTGACAGGACTTCCGCGCCTTCGCTTTACCCGCGCTACCTGCTATAACTGGAACAATAGTCACGGTTGAGAGATTATTTGAGGCGGATTGTGTATCATATGAGCCGGGGCCTGGCGACTTACGTTTCTGTTCGCCTTCACTTGATTGAGCTGGAATGAACACTGGACTGGGGTTGAGGGGGGCCGGAGCCGCACATATTGCACCCCTCTCGGGCAACCACCGAGTAATGAAACATAGACATTGGGCGGTTTAAACCTGTGCATTGTTTTGTTCCTTCTCTGTTCTTTTCTTGACTAAAGTGTTGTTTGGGCTCTGCGAGGGCACGGTAGCCCTTCCTTGTAGTATTGGAGTTTGGTATGTCAGGGGGTCTGAGACGGGATGGCATGGCGAAACTAGAGCTGTGGTGGATGAAAGCAACTCTGGAAGACAAGGTATTGTTTTGCTTTCCACGGTGGGCGGACGATATCTAGCCTGTCCACTGAACTCGATGACGCTGACTACCATAAGTGGTAAGTGAATGGGCGATGAGCAGGCAACCGGTTTTGCTTTGAGGCCGCATTGATGATTGATGTCTCCCTGTTATCGACCTGTGTGTGAATAGGGCCCATATTATCAGGTAAGGTTTAGTCGCCAAACGAAGTTAACTGTCACGAAGCTCTTTCCAGACATGGCAGTTTGAAATTGTAGAGAAATACACTTTCGGTGACACCGCCGTCGATAGTACCGGTGGCAGGTCTTAATAATCGGCCTCACCTTTGACTCCTTACGTAACTGGTCTATCTAGCCTACCTAGCCTTAATTACTTCAGCACACTTCGACGTTTCAACGGCAACTTGTACTGTACCTCGTCCATCACCACAAAGTTTCCCATAACATAACGATATCAAAAGGCTGGTCAACGCACCCGCGTTCTCGAGGTGAGGTATAATCGTTCACCACTCCATGGAACAACCTCTGGCAGCGCAGTCTCATGATTTCCACGGGAAATACCCAAGCAGACCAGATTCATCATAGTTTGCTAATCATAGCAATCAAGTCGACCCAGGGGAAAGAATGACGAGCAGGAACTTCGGTACCACCTCCAACCTAACAACAGGCCTACAACGAAACGACACAGTGCGGCCTTCCATGGCGAGCTTATCTGGCGGGGCAGTCAAGGCGCGACAGCTAGTGAGTTAAGAATCCGTCTCGCGATCACTCCATGGGGGATTCTTCACATCCACGCCCAGCGCCAACACGCGGTCGCTGTCACATGCAACATAGGCCGTTTGAGCCAGAGGTTGGTAGCCATGGAGGATGATTGCTGACACTCTGACCGCACGCTTTGTGTTTTGTCCTGGGAACAAACCAGACACACCTTCACTCCCAGTTGGCCCAGCTGTCCGCGAATCTGGCCGATACCGACAACCTGGTTCGGATGACGAGCGTCCAAGCCGAGGCCATGCGTGGCTTGGGTAGCTGGCATGGCGGCCTTTTTATGGCGGCGAGTAAGGTCTTGGGGGAGGAAGCTATTAATCGCGATGCTGGTAGCAAGCAACCGTGAATTTTCTCTACGTGGTCATTGTTATTAGTTGGTGAACTTGCGACATTAGCCTGGGAAGCATCGAACCGAATTTCGAGGACCCTTATTGGAGTTTCCATCTCTTTATTAATTCACAGGCTATTTATTGTTTCTGGCTTTCGCTAGCTAAGTCCATTCGGAAAGGATTGTTTGACACGATGCAAGTCGGATATTTGGCTTGGTATCAACGATACCAATAACCAGCTCGTGGCCGTATCGCCTTGCTCATAATCTATCAAAACAAGTCACCAATCCCTACTCTCGCAATCACCAGTCAGGCCTCTCATCAGACTCTGTATAGGTTAAATACTTACTCATTGGAAACGTCCAGAGCCTGGGCTGAGCCCTGACGCTTTCCCTGCTCAGATACACAGTGTACCACATTGATGGACGATGACCTGCTCAGACATAGTCGTGTGGCAGACGTGAACCTAGTGAAGATTCTCCCTCAGACATGTCTCTGTATGAATGTGACCCTGCACGGTGTTAGTGATCCTGTAAATCATCCGATTCACTCGTCCTGGAGCGCACCTTTCCGAGCGGCCTCTTCGATGCATTCCCGCCACAACTTTGTCCTCCGCTTCTGGGTACCTGACCCTCAAGATCCGGAAAACATCGTAGAACTCTTCGTGAATCTGAGGCAGTCATAAAGATGGCGGTGCCGTGTCCATGGTGCGCTTAGACCTCGCATGTACAGTCATCCTTTCTCTGTCCGGTCCGCGTCATCGAGCGTCGGCGGCTCCTCCCCCGGAACCCGGAACGGCCGCCGCTTCTGCCTCGGGCAGTTGGCTGGGAACCTCTTGATATGACCGCAGACAGTGCATCGCATGGCCATGACATCGGCCCACGGTTTCCTACCGCCCTTGCTATGGTTCTCTACCGTGGTGAAGCATGTGCGGCCCTCCACTAGCACCGTGTCGCATATTTTGCACATAGTCCGCTTCATGGCCGGAGTCGGCCTTATGAGAACCTTGCGGGAGACGGCACGGAGATCTTCCACGAGGAGACGGGCCATGTTTTGGGTGACTGAGTCGTCGTTCTCTTTGCTCCCCTGTTCATTTTTCGTTCGATCTGGCCTATCGTGACCAAGCGTTGCCAAGCGACAGGCCGCTTGGTGGAGATATGACACCCGGGTATAAAGGTGTCTGTTCTGAACGCCGTCGTTTTTGGACTTGCCCATGCTGTTGATATTCGAGTGCTTTGAAGAGGCAGTTGTTTCTGGTCCGCTTTATGCGAAGAAAGGAAAGGGATGAGAATCCAAGGAGCTCGTGATGAGTAAGCTTCAGGATAAAACCAGTGGCACCGGACCTCGACAGCAGGGGAATAACAATCTCATGAGTCACGAGAAATTCATGGTTCGCAGGCTCCTCAAAATACGAAGCGAATAAAAAATACACTCTATTTGACTGAAATATATACATTATAGTAAGGTACTCTGAAGCCTGCGAGAGTTGGTCCACAGTCTCACCTGCGGAGTAGAGAGTACCTTATTACCCAGATGCTGACTGATTGTTGACTCACCCCCTGTATCATCTTTTATGCCTATTAGGTAGTGTACAGCCTCTACGTTGTAATGTTAATACACGTGTACCTAGTAAGGAATTTACGAAGGTGGCGCTTACTCATGAGGTAATCACGGCTTCCCTCCAACCAAACTCCCGACATGTAGCAGCAGCTTGGGTGGTAGATAATTATTCGGTATCAGAATCATGATTTCATATCGTCAATTTCACACAATTCTCTGCCCGGCCTTACTTTAAACTCGGCAATACCTAATCCGTAAGGTACTTGGTGCTGTGGGATGTTGTTGGTTAGGACGTGAAGCCGCCGGTGACGTGTTGACTAAAGGTACCGATCCAAAGTGCCCCGTTAGGTACCTTAATGCCTACTCTACTTTTCCAGTTGGGAATGGGCAACCGTGTCTCTAATCACGTGATCGCGTTTCAGGCAGCTCCTGCCTTCCAAAAGCTTTTGACCGCGCAGCTGCCGCCTTCGCTCAGCCCCAACTTTCTCCCTTTCATCAGCACAAACACGCCAAAACACCTTCCTTCAAGTTTGCCTGCAAAGACATCTTCCAGGGTTTTCAGCAGCCCCCGCAACCGAATTTTCTCTCCTCTTTCATATCAATTTCCTTCGGACGGTGTCTCGGAATTCTGCCCATCTCGCCGGCCCAGGTTTCACTGAGATTGCCAGCGCGTCGATCTACTAATCCTTTTTGCGAGCTTTCATCGCTCCTTTCTCTCGATTCATTCATCTTGATTTAATCCTTGATTAATCTTTCGCCATGTCCGGCCACCAAGAGGAGGATCTTATCGACTACTCCGACGAGGAGCTCCAGACCAACGAGACTGCGGCTGCGTCCAACGGCAAAAAGGGTGCCGCTGACACCGCTACGGCATCCGGTAACAACGTCGACAAGAAGGGCAGCTATGTCGGCATCCATGCTACTGGATTCCGTGACTTTCTCTTGAAGCCGGAACTTCTTCGTGCTATTGGCGATTGCGGCTTCGAGCATCCTTCGGAGGGTCAGTCTTGAGTTTATGCCTTAACCCGTCCATCATTCCCTCCCCGTCCATCAAGCGTCCGTCCATTGCGCAAGCCACATCGAAAGCCATCTACATTCGACCAATCATGTTCGACAAGAAGAGTTGACAGCTCTCTGAATGGACTGGGATCAGTTTTATTTCTTTCGTCTCCTGCTGGTCGAAGGCGAATGGATTGTCTGTCAGAGCTCCAGCAAATGATCGCGTGGATGTCTTGCAGATAAAGGAGAACATGGGGCTTTCATTTCCGGTCTCGAATTCGCGGGCAGCGCCTTTGAAGTGGTCGGCTCCCGACTCGAAGAGCTGTGAACCCCCGTTCCGAGCTGCGCCGAGAAAATTCTGGAGACCCGTCTCGATTCGTCATTCTATTCTTCGAGGAATGTCGACGAGCTTTGAGCAGGTGAAAATATCTGTCATTTGGGAAACCGGCATCTCGGCTTGATTCGTCACAACAACCGTCTCGACGACAACATGGCTACGCTGCGCTGATGGACGGGGCTTGCCGACTTTATCCTCCGTCCACCTTCTCTCTTTGAATTTACTCTAACATCGCTCCGGTCGAACAGTCCAGCAAACCTGCATCCCTCAGGCTCTTCTCGGTGGTGACATTATCTGCCAGGCCAAGTCCGGTCTCGGCAAAACGGCTGTTTTCGTCCTGACCACGCTGCAACAAGTTGAGCCCGTTGCGGGTGAGGTCTCCGTTCTGGTTATGTGCCACACGCGAGAGCTTGCCTTCCAGATCCGCAACGAGTACAACCGCTTCAGCAAGTACATGCCTGATATCAAGACCGGTGTGTTTTACGGCGGCACTCCTATCCAGAAGGACGTCGAGACGATCAAGAACAAGGACACCTGCCCGCACATCATTGTGGGAACCCCTGGACGTCTGAACGCTTTGGTTCGTGATAAGGTCCTCCGACTCGGCAGCGTTCGCATTTTCGTTCTCGACGAGTGCGATAAGATGCTTGATCAAATTGGTATGTTTTTTGCCCCGATTCATCACCCCGTCTCCCTTGCGAAGAGATGTACCGAGACTAATGTTCCGGTAGATATGCGCAGGGACGTCCAGGAGATCTTCCGGGCCACTCCTACGCAGAAGCAGGTCATGATGTTCTCTGCTACGCTCTCCGACGAAATCAAGCCCATCTGCAAGAAGTTCATGCAAAACCCGACGGAACACTATGTCGACGAGGATACTAAGCTCACTCTGCACGGTCTTCAGCAGTACTATATCAAGCTGGAGGAACGCGAGAAGAACAGGAAGCTCAACGAGCTTCTCGATGACCTTCAGTTCAACCAGGTCATCATTTTCGTGAAGAGTACTCTTCGTGCTACTGAGCTTGACAAGTTGCTGCGGGAGTGCAACTTCCCTTCGATTGCGGTTCACTCGGGCGTGTCGCAGGAGGAGCGTATCCGTCGGTACAAGGAGTTCAAAGACTTCAACAAGAGGATCTGCGTTGCGACGGATGTCTTTGGTCGAGGTATCGACATTGAGCGCATTAACTTGGCTATCAACTATGATTTGCCGGCTGATGCCGACTCGTACCTTCACCGTGTCGGCCGTGCTGGCCGTTTCGGCACCAAAGGTCTTGCCATCTCGTTTGTTAGCACCGACCAAGACAGGGAAGTCCTGACGGCTATTGAGAAGCGGTTCGAGGTTGCTCTTCCGTAGGTTCCCCGTTTTTTTTCTTCTTTTCTTTCTGGACCCTTTTCAATGTGTGTTCTCTCCTATATCAAACCTATACTGACATTTGTTTCCAGCGAATTTCCCAAGGACGGCGTCGACCCCGCTACCTACATGGCTACGTAAACCCAGTTGGTCTGGTCCTTTTGCTTCCTTTGGTACTTCGGATTGTTACTCTTTATGTTATATTTTGACGGGAGCTTTTTCTTCGGGTCGAGGTACTTTTGTAGAGCTTGACCATCGTCAACTGGTAAGGAGAAGAGGCTTGTCACCAAAAGAAGCCGCGATCTTCGTCCTTCGGCGTAAGGAAAAAGGTTGATCGAGTCTGTTCCGGACGTCTGATTGTATGTACCGAATAGTTAACGTGGGAAATACGAGACTCTTGTCCACATGCAAGGAATCCCCCGGATAGGTTTAATAATAAGTGGTTATATCAAATTTGTTTTTGACCTGTTCGGCCAGTAAGGCGGCACCACTCCGTAGTCTTGCTGACGGCGAACATCGCCTTCGTCGATATATAAAGGGACCGTAAATCACCGTAAAACCCTCCTCCATGGATTACACAGGACCATGGACCAAAGGCGTGCTGTGTACCTATTGAATTACAAGACGGCCTCTGCAGAAAAGCTTACATAATCTCTGCAGATGTATCATATTGCGGACACCACCAACGTGGACCTGAGTCATGGAAACTTCTCCGGCCTCCGACCGCAGTAGTTTTTGCCAGCCTTTTCCAGACTCGCACCACACGCTCCAATTCCAAGCGCATTATAACCTCCTGTCAGGAAGATGACAACGGAGACTGATTAACGTACACAAGACGTCGGACAGGAGAGGCGGACGATCGCGAACTCCCCAGCTTGCAACAAGAGTCACATATGGCTCTTATTCCGGACATTTCCCTCCCCAGCGGTGCTGATTTTCTTCAGAAGACAGCCATGCTCAACAATCGGCACCATGGCCGTACTCTTTGATGGTTCAAGTGGCACACATCATGAACCTCCGGCGCCTCAGCTAGCCGCGGCTCAATCATCTTGCGCTTTCAGCACTAATCCAAGTTTATGAATTCCACCAGACGACTCCGTGGAGAGGCAGGCGACATCGTTCTAGAAGACGCAGGTGAAGGCCGGCTGGACGGTTCAGGGTCGACCCTGTCGACATCCTCGTCATCGATTCTAATGGCGCAGTGGACTGTCCTTCCGTCGATATCCATCTCATTGTCACTATTATCATCGATGCGGATGGCGCGATGTGCTGTTCTCGCATCGCCTCTGTTTATCGAGCCTTGCATGACGGTCCCGTCCACTGTCAGCACCATGGACCTCTCGCCGATGACGGGCCGCGGCCTTGAACTGCCCACGAACCCGTCCGCTCGATGCAGGTGTTTCTGTATGTGCTCGTAAAAGACCTGGACGACACAAGGGGGGAAAGCGTTGCCGATCTGCTTGCGTACGGAATACTCAGAAAAGCGGTGCCACACCGGGAAGCCCTGTAGGCAGGCAAACTCGCGGTTGGTGTAGTTGCGTGTCCCACTATAATGCCTGTTCTGGCCGCCGCTCGTGGTCATGCAGCGCCGCAGGATGCCGTCGGGGTCGCTCACGATGGCATCGGCCGCACCCGCTGTGATTACGGGTCTGTGGTGGGGGTCTGTTCTCTCGATATGGTTGTTTATCTTTCTCAGGGCCTGTCGTATCGACGTATACTTACGCAAGCCATCCCTCCCTGTCTCCGAGTGCGTATGGGGGGGCCAGTCGGGCAACTTCTCCCCTGGACCGGCCCCGAGCATGATCAAACGCTTACGCCTCTGCGGCAGCCCATAATTCGCCATGCTTATCACTTTCCAGGCAACGGAATACCCCGAGTCCGTGAACCCCGCGACAAGGCCGTTGAAGAAGAGCTCGAATTTCTTTTGCAGAATTCCGAAGGTCTGTTCCAGGGTAAAAATACGGGGTCGAAATTTCTCAATCAACTGTCGACATGAGAAAAGAGCCGCAACGTTGGCGTCGTCATTAACGCCGTCAACGGTGTGGGCGGGGGACCATACTTGACAGGGGGGAGAAAGGTGTAAGACGTCGGCGCGGAGCTCTTGGTGACGGGTCGTGAAGAGGAATTCGTGCACCGTCATCGGGAACAACTTGGCGCGTGGGAAGTTGAGCCTGTAGCTCTCGCACGCATGCCGTGCCATATCAATGCCTCCCTTGATCTTGAAGCCGGCGCGTTCGGCGCCACGAGAGGCGCCGCCAGCACCACAGAACGCGTCGAACATCTCATACTGCTGTCCTTCGCCGCGAACTGGCATTCGCCTGTGAGATGGTACAAGACGCGGCGGGTTGTGTGCACCTCCACGAATTGTAGAGCCTCGCCAGTTCTGGCTCAGGGTTTCTTCGTTAACTCGAAACTCGGCCTCTGGTACCTCGCCAGAAGCGATCCGCGCTATCGCCCATTCGCAAGCCTTCAGAGCAGCATGGGTGCGTGCGTCATGAAAGTACGCGAAGACTTTCCAACGACAGACGAGAGGTCCCTCCTGTTCCGCCGTCTGCTCGTCTGGGGACATGTTGGGGTCGTATCGATGGGCGGGGAAGGGAGCGTTGGTAATGTGAAGGCGACGGGGCACCCCTAGCTCCAGAGCCGGAATCTCAACCAGCCCCTGCTGCTCAACTGGCCGGAGATCGTCGTACTGAACTTCGTAGATCGCAAAGACCTCGTTCCGCTTGCGCGGAAGCCGTCCTCCCAGGGACTTATTTCGGGCGTAGGGAATGCCACGGACGAACTCGTGGCCTGCGAAGCCTCGCTGGATGATTTCAGTGACGCGAAGGAACTCTACCTTGAAATATCTATTCTGCGGACTGCACACTTGGTAGCAGAAGTTTACCTTTATTGTCCTGCCACCTGATAAGACGAGCTCCCGGAGAGATCTTTCGAGAGGTATCGGGATGGGAGCCGGAAAGTGCTGTCGAGGTTGAGCCCGGTAGACGATAGGATCATCATCCGCGGTGAGATCGATAACCTCGCCCAGCTCCCCCAGGATATCTTCTTCGTGCTGGACCTCGTCTAGGGACTGAGTCTCATCTAGGTATGGAACTTCATTCAGATATCGGAGCTCATCCTGCCACTGAATCTCACCGACGGCTTGTTCACCGCGGCGACTTTCCCTGGCCGTACGCCGGCGTGGCTGGTAGTTCCGCACGGCTCTGCTAAGATTGGCAATTGCTCGGTCCTGAGGAGTAACATTGGCGTCATCGTCTTCAACGACGATGGCGTTCCAGGTATCACCTCCAGCCCGATATGTGGGACGCATCTTGTCGAGATTGTAGGAGGTTTCTAACAAGGCGACACGACCATAAGTCAGCGTGATATGTTACAATACGAGGGAAAGACGGGAAGTCCTGTATGCACAAGATCGCAAACCCCACCACATGGACTAAGCTTGTTTACCTGGCGACAGGATTGAGAGCTGGAGAAGCTCGGGCAGCTAATCCAAGAGGGCTTGGCGAGAAGGTTGAAGATCGGGTCTTTAGCCTTGCCGTCTCCAAACAGATATTATTCTGATGGTCAAGGGGTAGTGACCAGGTTTGATCACGGGGCCGACAAACGTCTGACTGGCTAGCGGGTGCTCCTAAGGAAAGAACGATGGATCGCGGTCAGACAACAAGCAGTATATCTAAGTTGACCGATTATCTTGTTGCCTAGGCTCGGGATACACTGCGGCAGGGATAGGTTCGTCCCGAATACATGAGGATGAAGTGTGATATGGCGAGCTAGGACTTGACAGACCTATTTCAAGAGCCTAAGGTCACCGAAAGAACCCAGGTTGCGATTCGGTTCGTCAGGATATGAGAAGTGGTGATGAGAACCTCGACCGATCAAGAGAGAAGGAAACTGGCAAGGGGACCTCCCACTTCCAGAACGGAGTGTAATACGAGCAATGAGTACGAAGATGTCATGTACGTAGAGTGATTGCCCAAAGTGCCAGTGGGCCAACTCCAAGCCTCACGCAGATGTCTTCTGGATCAAGGGGTACGTGCCAGAAGGCAACGAAGTCGTGCCAAGAGCAGCGACTCTCAGGCAGGTGCAGAAGAATACAAACATATTTCTTCATATCTTGTAGAATGTCCAATAAAGCGAACACTCTCCTATCTTATGAGCTCACAGGTCTCTTCCCTTAAGATGGATTCGGGATAACCGGAAAAACGGTATTGATGGCCAAAGTTGATAAAGGAAATAGGAAGCGGAGGCCCTTAAGGTAGTGCTTCGCCGTATCCTGTGTTACTGATTATTCACATAGAGGGTTAAAGCCTTTATTCTAGGAGTTCTATCTGGTATGCTTCTTAGGCTGGTAGCCAGGGAAAGGACAAAGATCAACGGCGCAAAGGATAATGATTGTCCATGGATTATTAAACACTAACGGGGTTGATACGTATAGTCCGTTATACAGCTTGTTATTAGAATCGATAATACACCAAGGTAATGACATGTTCATATAAAGCAGCAGAGATCTGCTAACGACCAAGGACACTTCACCCTATCTTTGGTGTCTAGTAGAGGAAGTTATTTAGATTGCTTGTGTATATTCTATGAGTTGCTGTATTAATATAAAACGCCGCACAATAAGAAGCATTCTTTTAGTCCTAATACGAAGAGAATATGAGAAATAAACGCAGGTCAAAGATTACACTTGTTTGCTCCTGGACAGTTGACCCTTTTACCTTGTGCTAAATAAGTCCCACTTACATGGACGTTTATTGCTTGCCAGCCCTACAGAGTAAAATACAGTACCAGTTCGTACTCCGTACAGCTTGTACAGATACGGCTGGTGAGGAAAAGAACCCAGGACAAAGTGGAGATGACAGGCGGTAATTAGTATTACGGAGTAGACACAGCAACAGCCGTTCCTCGAAATCAGGGGCAAGTTAAAATGGGGACCCTTAAAATGTTGGTCTCGCCAAGGTCCAAGTGATTATATAATCAATCCTTTACAGGAAGGAACGAAAATTCTTCTAATCCCAACAAAGTCTAGTGTGGTAATCCAGGTCCTCTAGCTCCCTCTGGACCAACAGAAGAGCCCGCCGCAAATCAACGGACCGGAGCGCTGCAGTAAAAGTTGGGGCCTCATAGATAGCTCAGCAAAAAAAGCTGTCCACTTAGGTGACCAATCTCCAAAATTCCCTCGACAGCTTCTCATCGTGCCGCAATTTCTCTTCCACAACGCTCACCTCTTGTCGACGGCCGGTGTCCATCTCATTCGGGATTGCCAATCCCATCTTTAATCTTCTTTTTTTTTCACGTTGGCCTAGTTTTTCTACCTTTCTTTCTCTGTCTTGACACCAAATTCCTCTTCCCAACAAAAGAAAAAAGAAAAAAGAAAACAGGACCACAGCCTCCATCCTTCCATCAGCCATGTCCCGACTCCTCCGTCCCGCAGCTCGCCTGGCAGCATCTTCGAGGGCTGCTGCCCTGAGACCTTCCGCTGCCTCCCATCTTACTCCCCTGTCGAAATTTGCCGCCCGGCCAGTCGCTTCCGCCATCCAGTCGAGGACGTATTCGGACGCGAAGGGCACCAAAGAATACACCGTTCGAGACGCTCTGAACGAGGCTTTGGCGGAGGAGCTCGAAGCGAATGATAAGGTGTTTCTTCTTGGAGAGGAGGTCGCCCAGTACAATGGCGCGTACAAGGTTACCAAGGGACTGCTCGATCGCTTTGGCGAGAGGAGGATCATCGACACTCCGATCACGGAGCAGGGTTTCTGCGGTCTGGCCATCGGTGCTGCGCTCAGCGGCCTTCACCCTGTGGTGAGTCTTTTACCTTCTTAAGGCGCAGCCGCCAGTCAATTGCTCTTTTTAATGGCGGACCGTGGCCACTCGAGGGCTCGAGGGAGTCTGCTTCTTCGAATCCCTGCATCATCCATGCTCTCTGGGCAAAGTCCATTTTCGCCGCTAACTCCAAGCTTCATCCAGTGCGAGTTCATGACCTGGAACTTTGCCATGCAGGCCATCGATCAGATCGTCAACTCTGCGGCCAAGACCCTCTACATGTCTGGCGGTATCCAGCCCTGCAACATCACCTTCCGCGGCCCCAACGGTTTCGCCGCCGGTGTCGCCGCCCAGCACTCCCAAGACTACTCGGCGTGGTACGGCAGCATTCCCGGTCTCAAGGTCGTCTCGCCCTGGAGCGCCGAGGATGCCAAGGGTCTTCTCAAGGCCGCCATCCGCGATCCCAACCCGGTCGTCGTCCTGGAGAACGAGCTCATGTACGGCCAGTCTTTCCCCATGTCCGAGGCTGCCCAGAAGGATGACTTCGTCCTTCCTTTCGGCAAGGCCAAGATTGAGCGCGTCGGCAAGGACATCACCATCGTGTCGCTGTCTCGCTGCGTGGGCCAGTCCCTGGTGGCCGCCGAGAACCTGAAGAAGAACTACGGCATTGAGGCCGAAGTCATCAACCTTCGATCCGTCAAGCCTCTCGACGTCGAGACCATCGTCCAGTCGGTCAAGAAGACCCACCACCTGGTGTGCGTCGAGTCCGGCTTCCCGGCCTTCGGCGTTGGTGCCGAGATTCTTGCCCTGACCATGGAATACGCTTTCGACTACCTCGATTCCCCCGCCCAGCGCATCACTGGTGCTGAGGTGCCTACTCCCTACGCCCAGAAGCTCGAGGAGATGAGCTTCCCTTCGGAGCCTCTGATCGAGAGCTATATTGCCAAGATGCTCCGCGTCTAAGCGTGGGTCAGAAATCATTTTTGGGGCGGAAAGGGGAGACGTGTGGTTGGAGACTTGCGACTGGGAGTGCACAATGGGGATGTTCGATACTGTTACTGGGCCGTAAGCGCCTTGTCTGAGCAGGACGGAATTGTATTTTGTATGCTACGTCGCCATATACACACTCATGCCGTTGGCTTCATGTCTGGGTGTTCTTGATTTCTTCGAGTTGGGCGTAGTTGAAAGTCAGCTTTACGGGGACGGGACAGAACCGCCACTGATGGGGCCGTCTTTTGGACTTTATATTTTAGAACATCTTTACCTGCAACAACAAAGTACGCGCCGTTTTGTTCTTCGACATCCGTCGTCAGTATCTTCGCCAGTCGCCTGTCACCTCTACAAAGAAAAGCCGGGATGAAGATGTGTTATGAACGAAATATGACCTCGACAATGCTTGCATAGATAGGTAGGCAACATGTCAAAAACGCAGAGACTTTTAAGGCTCAACAATCAGACATAATAAGCCGGGAATCCCTCCTTCCAGGAGCGTAGACAGGCGATGGTGCGGGATTTTGTCGTTGGATTGCTCCGAGGCAGGTAAGACGTCTGCTTTGCGGACGTTTGTGCGTAGCGGCATGACTTCGATATCCATGGTTCTGGACCTAGGATAGAATGCTTGGTCTCAAGCCATAAGCTGTATAAGTTGGGAAATTTAAAAAAACGATGTTGACGAAATGGCCGAGGGGTTATGGCGTTTGGCTTAAGTTGTACTTATTCCAAATCCCGCAAGGGGTCGTGGGTTCGAATCCCACTTTCGTCACGAATTAACTGTCTAACCCCCCTCTTTTTTTGTCGTATGTCTTTTTTTTTGTTCCAATCGCCTTCAAGCACGTTAAAAGACGTTTATTCTTTATCTCTCGGATCAGAAGTTGCGGCCCCGATATTGGGTTGGTAATAATAAGGGGTGGAGGCGATGAAGATACTTTGAACAGGCGCTATCGGTACCTTGTAGGTACGTTTATCTTAGCGGGGTAACTTGTGGCGTCCAGCCGAGAGCTGCGTCGAGTAACAGTAGGGGCCCGTCTACACCTGTAGGGCGGTGGCTTCTCTTACCTTACCTAATGACGAAAGACATTTAGGTTACTCACACCAAGCTCGCTCAGAGGCAACAGGACCTACAGATTTGCCCCTAGGTACCTTAAACAAACGAATCTTGCCTTTGGCATGATAACCATAAACCACAAAAATATTTGTGATCCCGACCAACTTCCTCGCTGTGAGCGCACGGAGACTAGAATCCTCGGAGCATCATGGCGGCCGAGCTGGTCAAAGCCATAGAGGGGCTCCATCTTCAAGAGAACGGAGTCAACATCGACGACATTCTTTTCGAGCAGCGCCCACACAAACGAGCTCGCCGAAGTGCGGAGGGGCTCAAGAATGATCTTGAAAAGGACTTTCTTTCGCCGTCCACATCATTCTCAACCGACTGGCTCAACGGGCTACAGCAGTCAGTTACTACTTATCCTTGCCCCCATTCGCCCCGTTTTCGTTGCTAATGCTGTCTATGATCAGGCGCTGGGATTGTCCGACCGACTACACCGAGCTGTTCAAGATTGCCCCCCCTCAGACGCGAACTGTCACTCGATTCGAGCGTCATGGCCTCGAAGGCAGGGTCACAGGCTACAAGAATGTTACTGTGCCGGCCAACAGCGCGACAGCCAAGAATTCGACCTCATTCTCGCGGAAGCCTGCTAGTAGATCTGAATTTGTTCGAGGTGCCGCTGGCTTCTTCCCATTTGCTCCCGGCGGCTTAGAAGGCATCGAGTCCACCGCTGCACTTGAGGACCAGCTTCGCCGCAGTGCTGGAGGTGCGGGTGATTTTAATTCTGCAGGCAAGCTGGAGCGAGTCATCAAGCTTGGAAACGATGGCGGCCTTCTTGAGGTCGCACCTGGATTGAGCAGAGGCATCGACTTCACCGTCAAGAAAACGGACCAAGAAGCCCAGGTCGTTGAGCAGGAGCTTGACCGGGAACCCGAACAAGCACCGACCACAATCGACGCTGTGCCAGACGGGCAAGTCAATGGGGACACCGGCGGAACGTCTCCCGAGGAAGAAGACGGCGAGGACGTCGACATTGACACCATTCTGCCGGTTGAGTTTCCCGCCTTGGAGCCTCACGGCACGCTTGCGTCGTCGAGCGCGCGTAAGGCTAGGCGCGAATGGGCGCACATGGTGGACATCAACAGAGATATTCCAAACTTTAGGGAGCTTGTTCCAGACATGGCGCGGGAATGGCCTTTCGAGCTCGACACCTTCCAGAAGGAGGCTATTTACCACCTTGAGAACGGCGACTCGGTCTTCGTCGCAGCCCACACCTCTGCTGGAAAGACGGTTGTGGCGGAATACGCCATCGCGCTGGCTTCAAGGCATATGACGAAGGCCATTTATACTTCCCCCATCAAGGCTCTGAGCAACCAGAAGTTCCGTGATTTCCGACAGATCTTCGACGAGGTTGGCATTCTCACCGGCGACGTTCAAATCAATCCCGAGGCGAGCTGTCTCATCATGACCACGGAAATCCTGAGGAGTATGCTCTACAGAGGCGCTGACCTCATCCGAGACGTCGAATTCGTCATCTTTGACGAGGTCCATTATGTCAACGATTTCGAGCGTGGCGTCGTTTGGGAAGAGGTCATCATCATGCTTCCCGAGCACGTTTCCCTGATTTTGTTGTCTGCTACTGTCCCCAACACACACGAGTTCGCCTCTTGGGTCGGTAGGACGAAGCAAAAAGATATTTATGTCATCTCTACGCCCAAACGGCCGGTGCCGTTGGAACATTTCCTCTGGGCTGGCAAGGACATCCATAAAATAGTCAGCGCGGACAAGAAATTCATCGAGAAAGGTTGGAAGGACGCCCATCTGGCCTTGCAAGGAAAAGAAAAGCCCAAGCAGATTGAGAACAATGCTGCAGCTGGCCGGGGCGGCGGAGGTGGGCAGCGCGGTGGGCCGAGAGGTGGTCAAAGAGGTGGCCCCCAACGCGGGGGTGCGAGGGGAGGCGGCGGCGGCGGCAACCAGCAACGGGGACGAGGCGTGCAACGTGCCAGCCACGCTCCGGGGCATACGGGGCGTACTGGACGTCCCGGTGGCTTCTCATCCGCCGCTCAGGACAAAACTCTGTGGGTCCATCTGGTCCAGTATCTGAAGAAGAACACTTTGCTACCGGCCTGTATCTTCGTTTTCTCCAAAAAAAGGTGCGAGGAGAATGCCGACGCGCTCAGCAACCAGGACTTTTGCACAGCCTCGGAGAAAAGCGCCATCCACATGACCATCGAGAAGTCGGTCGCGCGACTCAAGCCGGAAGACCGGGTGCTGCCCCAAATTATCAGGCTTCGGGAGCTGCTGTCCAGAGGGATCGCCGTACATCATGGCGGTCTGCTGCCCATCGTCAAGGAGATGGTCGAGATTCTCTTCGCCCAGACGCTGGTTAAGGTGCTCTTCGCCACCGAAACCTTTGCCATGGGTCTCAACTTGCCTACCAGGACCGTGGTTTTCTCGGGCTACCGGAAACACGATGGCCACTCATTCCGCAGTCTGCTTCCTGGAGAATATACACAAATGGCCGGCCGCGCGGGGAGACGAGGCTTGGACACGGTGGGCTCGGTGATCATTGTCCCCCCGGGCGGCGGGGACGAGGTCCCGCCCGCCAGCGAACTGCAAAAGATGATCCTAGGCCAGCCGTCGAAACTCAGATCACAGTTCCGGCTGACATACAACATGATTCTCAACCTACTGCGGGTGGAGGCTCTCAAGATCGAAGAAATGATTAAGCGCAGCTTCTCTGAGCACGCCACCCAGCAACTCCTCCCCGAACACGAAAAGGCCGTGAAGCTGTCTGAAGCTGACTTGGCCAAGGTCAAACGCGACGCCTGCGACATTTGCGATGCGGCGATGGATGAATGTCATCAGGCGTCAGAGGACTTCAGGCAACTGACAACCAATCTCTACACAGCGTTGTTGGGCTTGCCCCTCGGCCGTAAGATGTTCAGCCAGGGACGTTTGATTGTGTTCAACAAGGACGGAATAAGGACAGCCGGCATCCTCTTATCAGATGGGGCCAGCTTAAAGGCGTCACCAAGCGGTCCGACTCTCCACGTCTGTGAGATCAAGACAATGCGCGAGACGCGAGACTCGACCGACCTGCTAGCCTTTATCCCCGGCTTCCGAAAGCATTTCACGGCGCTCCCACAAAACAAGAAACATATCGACTTCAAGAACATACACATTCCCGTAGGCGATGTGGAGTGTCTCACTAATTACACTACCAAAGGGATCATTCCCGAAGTCTTCCGTGGCAAAGAGGACCGCCGAAACGCTCAAACACGAGCGCATGGGCTGTGTAGGAGCTGGGATAGCCTCTGGGACGAAATAGACTTGTCGAAGATCAAGAGCCTCGCACTGCAGGAGATCATTCAGAAGCGCAACGTCGCGAGTCGGGCGGCGGGCAGCTCGCCCGCGCTGAACTGCCCACACTTCGTGAAGCATGTAAGTCGCTGCCCTACATTGGACATTTCTGGGTTAATGAATCCGCATCCTTTCGAGCTGTTTTGCTGACGTCCGCTCCTTTACCAGTTCGCCATGTGCCACGACCAATGGCTCATCAAGGAGCATATTTCCCAACTGCAGCAGACCCTGGCCAGCCAGAACCTGCAATTGCTACCCGACTATGAGCAACGGATCCAGGTATTGAAGGAGCTGCAGTTCATCGATGAGAGTTCACGGATTCAGCTCAAGGGGAAAGTGGCATGCGAGATCCACTCGGGAGACGAGCTTGTCCTGACGGAGCTCATTCTGGACAATGTGCTGGCGGATTACGAACCAGCCGAGATCGCAGCGCTCTTGTCGGCCTTCGTGTTCCAGGAGAAGACACTGAGCGAACCGGCGCTGACGGCCAACCTAGAGCGGGGGAAAAAGACCATCATAGCTATCAGCGAGAAGGTCAACGACGTCCAGACGGTGCATCAGGTGATCCTGTCATCGGACGACTCCAACGACTTCACGTCACGGCCCCGCTTCGGGCTCATGGAGGTGGTCTACGAGTGGGCTCGCGGCATGAGCTTCAAGAACATCACTGATCTGACCGACGTTCTCGAGGGGACTATCGTTCGCACCATCACGCGGCTAGACGAGACGTGCCGTGAGGTCAAGAACGCGGCCCGCATCATCGGCGACCCGGAGCTGTACCAAAAAATGCAGGCCGCACAGGAGATGATCAAGCGGGATATTACCGCCGTGGCCAGTCTCTACATGTAGACGTATGTTTTTCGGCCACATTAGACGTTATAGACATAGGTAGGATCTAGGTATAACAGGTAAAGGATCCTCGGAAAAACTCCGTTGCTGATACTCTCCTGATCTTCCGGCATGGCATGACGGCAAAACCAAAGTTTTTATAAATAAAGTGGTTAAAGAATCTCCCATCGCCAACCTATATGATATGATAAGATTTATTTGGTGTATTCAGACCATCATCGAATGCAACCTATCCACCCGAGAAGTCCTAAAAAGAGAGAAGAAGACGGGGAACAAAAGAACGCCATATCAAACCAACCCGATGTGAAATCGAAAATCGTCATCATCCCAAAAGCATTGTCATTAAGGTCACGCGAGGCAAAAGCCAGCTTGCCGCATACGCAAATGTGTCTCCCTTCAAGCCCTCAAGGCGCGAAGCCTCTGCTGAAGGGCGTCTTCCTCCTCGGCCGTAGGCTCGGTGGTAGCTGAAGCGGGCTCGGCCTTGGCAGGGGTGGCGCTATTGAGCTGCTGGCTGAGCTGCACGCCGGCATCGTCGGCCAGCTTTCCGAGGAGCTCGTGCACCGCGTCTTCAGAAACCTGGGCGCTGGTGGACTGAGAAATGGCGTCCTGGTAGATTCCGTTGGACATTGCATATTCTTCGTTTTGCTGCTTGAATTGATCGAGGGTGACGAGGGTCTGTTGGCGACAAAAATTCGAATGTTAGCCATGCCATCCCGTAGACAGACCTCCGTGCCAGGGGCGCGCGCAAGAAGGAAAGAAAAGAAAAGAAAGGAAGACGAAAATTTGTTTCTACGTGAGAACAGCATAGACATTACCTTCTCCGGGTTCATATTCCTCTGTGCCATGGCCATGGTGCGGGAAGACTGGCCCATCATGTGGGTCATGCGGTTCATGGAATTGTTTGCTTGGATCTGGGCAGCCGAGAGCTCGGCCATGTCGGCCATCTGATCCATCTGTTGAGCGAGGGCTTGCTTGGAGAGGAGCATCTTGGCTTTCTGGTAGGCTTTCGTAGTGTCGCCGGCCTTGAGCAACTGAAATGGGAGAGACGCGAGTGTCAGTCCTGTATTATAAACCGGCGGTTCGTTCACCCTGGTGGACATACGTCTTGGATTTGCTTCTTCAAGATGGGATCCTGTTTGGCGGCCTTTTGGGCTTCTCTTCTCGCCTGCTTTGCTTGGAACTAAGATAAGGAGGGCCATTGTCAGCCACGTCGTCATTCGGCTCGGATTCTAAACGTGAGCGGTGGACTGGGCCATGGGTTGCGGATCAGATATCGGGCAGGACATACCCTGGCCTGGAACTCGACCTGCATATCACGAGCGAGTTGACGGTTCGCCATGTTGAGGGAGATGATGTTCGCGACGAAGACGAAGTAGGGATGCAGATAGATAGAGGCGGGGCAATCCGACGGGGGATGCAAAAAGTGCTCGCGCAATTCTCGTCGTCGGCTCGGAGTCGATCGCTGGACTAGAGGTAACAGAGATTGAACGATGATTAGTCGAGCTTGAAGTTCGTAGTGCTTGTGGTGGAAAGAAGCGAGGTTTAGAGATAGTTAGGTAGATGTCAGCGAAGGGTTGGTAGCCTTGACATTCGCCTCGTGAGGCTTTAGACTTCCATCCATGATGATTCCAGTCTTCTGGTTGGTCAGGATTTCCAGGTCATGAGGTTCACAGCTGGTGACAGGTGGTGTCGGTCCGCTCTCAGCTTGAAGGCAGCGGGGCAATTCAAAGGCGTCCGGGCCGGGGTATGACGTAAACATCCCATGGGACTCCCTGCCACACGTGCACCACGTATGAAGGTAGGTAAATTATATGGGCAGCAGAATCACAAGGGTACCTTGGTATTATCGTGTGCAGTCATCTGTAACAGTAAATACTATCCGCGCCTTGGATTAAAAGACAGATGCCCTTTTATGACAGATGTCGGAGTGCAAGAAGTTGCCTTGTCCATGATCTCGTGCCTCCATGACCACATCGAGCAGGTTTTCTGACTAATCTTAACACCAGCCGCCCAGAAACATGGTAGGTATAGGTATTACATGGTACCTAGTGTGATGTGGGTTCACAGTTTTGTCGGCAAGGATCCGTGGGAGACACCGAGCTTCTGGAGAAGCCGGGTTCCAAGGGCCAAGACCCACGAAAGGTCGAGCAGTCGTGAAGTCGTAGCCGTATCAGATTCCGTTCCACCCTCCGTCCTACAGAGAGCTTTGATCGCCCAGACAAGGCTACTGTGTGTCAAGTCAAGCCGTAGAAGAGCCGACTGAAGCAATGGTACTCCGGAACGTGAGCTGTCTGGGGCAACTATAGAATGTTCAATAAGCCGTCCACCGTCGGCATGTTAGCCCCCTGGCCATAATTGATTCACCGTGTCACACCGACATATCGTTTCACACGGTGGACGAGGGTTCTTGTCACTTCAGTGACTTCCGGCAGAGCCACATGTCTGCTGCAGCACTAACTACTAGACACACCCTTTATCGCGCGTATCTCGAGCTAAGCGACATCGCCTTTGTCGTGCACCGAGGCCAGCCATAACGGACACGAATAATAGACCGCGACGAGGTGTCCAAGCGCTCGCCACTAGGGCAGGTAAGGACTTATTTATTTATTTTACTTTTTTTTTCGAAATAATAATAATAATAATCGTTTCGGTCGAGTATATTTAGATATGGGACCCAAGGGCTTAGCTTATCACACCGAATGCTCTTACGTCCGATGTGAACTCGGGCAGTGCGTGCGTGTATGTGGTGGCAAAGAGCCTTTATTTAGTGTACACGAGTACTCTGCAGGGAGACCAAAGCTGTCACGGACATAGGTACGATGTTACTATTAAATACACTACTCTCCTCCGTATTGCTGGCAAGATGAGAAGCATTGCAACCGAAAATCACGACGACTGGGTACTTTGTGATATTACTCCGTACCTCTTTCACGAAGTACGATCATCAAAGCAAGGAGGACGCTGACGTTGGCTGACACCAAATTTGGGTTCATGAAGTCAGCAAGGGTAAAGGGAGCAATATGACCATCATACTCCGACCTGACTTCGCGACACAGGTCCATGGTGTAATTATTTCGTACGCAGTAATATGCGTAACTCCCAGACACAACGGATCTTATCCACTCCCCAGCCCGAGAACTGAGGTTAACAAAGTTCTCGAGACGGAGATGCCCCATAAGCAGAGGCGATATGGTAAGGGACTTAATAGGGAGACCTCGCGTTTCAATATCGAGACCTCATACGTGATATCTTAGTAGGGCCATGGCTCCACCGCCAAGATACATATATACCACACCTATTTTGTATGTGCACATTATGTAGAAAATCGCAGGTGATATCGTAAACCTTAACGTATTACTTCCTACACCGTAACTCTGAATCCAACCGCCCAAAACACCACAATAGTAGATAGAGGCGGCGTAGGCAGCGATATTAGATAGTTGGAGTCGAGGGCCAATATTTGAGTGAGTGTTAAGATTTGAGGATAGAGATTGAGTGATGAGATTAAGTTGTTTATAATGTCGCCTGCGATTTTCTATATAATATATATATATAGAATAGGCGTGGTACCTATGTAGTTTGGCGGTGGAGTCGTGGCCCCACTGAAATATCATATATGAGGTCTTGATATTAAACGTGAGGTCTCCCTATTAAGTCCCTATAGTAATTGACGTGGATTAGGGCATATTAGGGCAAATAATAAAGTCTTGTAGACGTCTGCTTATTAACCGCATGGTAATGACCTGCACTCACTTACATTTCTATGGGGGATTTACTTTTTTCGTTCTCGGAAGTCCCGGTAAAGATTAATACGGGAGAAAGAAGGCCAAGAGGTCCGTCTTGACGCTTTCCCCTTCTCCTTCCTTCGAAGAACCATCACGTGGACTATGAAAGTGCGGCAATACCCATACACTCCGCAAAATCTCCCCTTCTAAAAGATTCTACCCCAGATTCGAATCTGGAGCGGGAAATTGACAGCATTTGCCAAGGGCGGGGAGACGGAGGCACGGAGAGAGCGTGAGGTGAAATTGGCCTATCCCGGATACCCGAAACGGAACTCGTGCCGAGTGCTCCGTGCAAAGGTACTCGTGCCGTAGCGTGCACGGGACATAAACGCGGGGCCCAGCCTGGAGGCATACCTCCGCCAGCCGTACGTTGTACCATGCAAGAGGTAGCCCGCTGGTGGTCAGCCATGTGAAGACACGATAATCGTAGAGCCTGTGCTATGAGAGTAAGCCAATGTCCCACGACCAAGACAGATCTCGTATTTCGCCGACATTACCTAGGTCATTTGCCATGTAACAAACAATGTATGAATGGCTCTTCATTTGAGAGGCTATCCATCCGTACCTATACTCGGGCACGACAAAACAGGAGCCCCAGTCACGTCAATCTCGATCGGTAAGCATTCCGTATCGGCACAACAGCCCATGCATCATTCCATTCCATTGTGGTTGTGGAGGTATGGGTATGGGCACGGTAAGGTAGTTGTCGATTCTGTTATCGTCGGGTTGTTCGGTCCTGCAAGCTCCGTCAGCCTCGGAGAGGCTAGGAGGTACCTATCATTACTTCGTACTACCTACCTTGGTAATCTTAATCACTCCCCGTTCGTACTCTGCACAACCCGGAGCTAGGTGGTGGCTGCGATCAAGACCTAGGGGCGCCTGAATGGCCGGGCCGCCTGAAAGGGGGCTTGCTCCTGGACTCCGTACTTCGTTCGTACTTTGTAAGTTCCAAGTTGATCCTCTCGGCGTTTCTGATTCATGGGGCTGTTCCGCTATCCGACCAAGACACGGTGCATCATTGGCTATGCTGATTGGGCTATTGGGGAACGCATCAGAATCCCCTTGCAGCCGATACAGCGGGCTTTGTCGCCCCCTTTCCCGCCCTGAGCCTACCTGGGTAGGTACGTTTCCCTCATAATGCAGTGATAATGATAAAGTATTCCCTAATGCAGAAGGAAGGTCGCCCCAATCCTATCCCCACCTTCTGGAATCTTATTCATAATACTGACCCCACTTTTCTGGTCCAGCCACCCTGTAAGGGAAGAGATAGGAAAGAACAGGAAGGGAATCGCTCCGCGACTCCCTTTCCTGGCGCAGCTCGGACCCATCTACCCTTATGGAAGGTTTCTGCCTCAGGCACGAACCCCCTTGAACGGAAACGTGTCCTCGATGATAAAGAGCCCCATGCCCCTTCCTAACAGGCACCAGTCTGAGTCTGGATCACACCAACAATCCAAACAGAACACCGTGTCCTCTGACCCCCCAAGCTTACTCGTCGTCACCTTTCATTAGCATTTGTCGATTGACCTGCCTGGCTGACTCATTGGAGTCTCCTTGACATGATGTCGTCCTTCTAGGCAGCCAGATTAGGCCGCTCTCTTATTTCAATCATTGACCAACGACTTGCCCAAGGTCATTCATCCTCATCGAGGAGAGATAGAGAAAATCAACGACACAATAGTAACACGCAGCTCACCATGGCTACCTGGGACACTCCCATGATCAAGTTCGAGGGCTCGCCTACCGAGTCGCTCCTCTCCGCACCCCCCGACATGTATACCTCTCTCTTCTCGCCGGGTACGCCGGGTACGCCGGGCACGCTAGATCCCTCCGAGATCCTATCACCACGTGCAACCCCGGAAGCCTCTCATGCCGCAACCCAGGCCGGCATGACGACCCCCGGCCCTACAACTACTTCCGCCGCCACTCCGGCAGCCTCCTCACCGGGCGCCTCCACACCGGGTGCCGACTCCACGTCCGAGAAGAAGTCCACAAAGAAGCGCAAGTCGTGGGGCCAGATTCTTCCCGAACCCAAGACCAATCTCCCCCCAAGGTATGTCGATGTGTTGAATCTCCCTCCCCGACCTGAAGAACTCATCGCGCCTAACACCACTTGCTAGGAAACGGGCCAAGACGGAGGATGAAAAGGAACAGCGGCGTGTTGAACGTGTTCTCCGTAACCGCCGCGCTGCCCAGTCATCAAGGGAACGCAAGAGGCTCGAAGTCGAGGCTCTCGAGAAGAAAAATAAGGAGCTCGAGGCGGCCCTGAACCACGCCCAGCAGGCCAATGCCAGGTTGATGGAGGAGCTCGCCAAGATGCAACGCGACTCGGGTGTCATGCCCCGGTCATCCGCCCCCCTTGATTTTTCCGCCTCGAACAATTCGATGACTCTCTTGCCCGAGCTCTTCGGCTCGCCAGACGGTCGGCGGCCTTCTGCCGACTCGGCGATCTCCCTAGTAGATGATCTCCTCAAGATTACCCAATCTAACGCCACCGTCAACCCCGCTTCCCTATCACCCGCCCTCTCGCCCGCCCCACAGGCGGACGAGATCGAAATCCACGAGGATGCCGATGCGATTAAGACGGAGCCTATCGACGTCTCTTCCGACCTGACACAACGTCCTGCAGCGATGTTGTGCGACCTGCAGTGTCATCAGTCGGAGGAGCGTCCGGAGACTCGGCCAATTTCGCAGACGACCACTTGGGCTCTGTATCTGCACCTTCATCTGCTGATGATCACCTCGTCAGCAATCATCTCGGCCTGTCAGAGACCTTTGATGCAGATCGCTTTGTCCTTGAAAGCGGGCTTCTCTCTTCCCCCGAATCAATCGATTATGACGACGATTATCTGGCTGGTGACTCGTCCCTCTTCTCGGTCGACCCGTTCGACATCAACGACTTCCTCCACGACGAGGTCAACGCGGCAGCTCTCACCACAAACGCGGCAGCAGAGAAGCGCCCGGCGGACCCGATCATGGGCCACCACGCCCCTTACCCTGAGACTCAAGTCTCTTCAGAAAATTCTAACCTGCAGCCCCACTCTGGCGCGTCCCCTTATGGATGCGACGATGGAGGCATTGCGGTTGGTGTCTGAGGGCTTCGAGGATCGGGTTGGGGGTATGGGGGCCGCTTGGCCGGTGACGCGAGGCGATTCTCAGCCAACGCTGACGTGGCTCGACGGCACCCCGTTCCCCTCTAGAGAGGTTCTCTTGACGTTGCTCTGGACTCTTCGAGTCGAGGAGCGCAAGATGATGCGGCAAGGGATTTTACCCGACCCCCATCCCGAGACGAAAGCCCATACACCAACCGGATCAGTCGTACTACTGACTAGTACCAAAGCGCCTACGAAACGCAAGAAGAACGTTTCGGCGGCTTAGGGAGGAGAGAGATGCTTACGACGCTCATGTTAAAATTCGGGTTTGATGACCACAGGTGGTCGGGATGATGCGAGGCAAAATTGGGTTATGACCATTTGGTATCGACAGGCGCAAAGAGGGTTATTCGTCCATCAACTGTCCAGCTAGGCGTGTTCTGGCATGTAACATTATGAAATGGTCCGAATCAAATCAGTTCGGTCTGACTCTGTGCCTACAAAATTCACGTATCACTACAGCGATACGTTTTCTTTTGCGAATGTCCTCAACTCGTGATCACTGAATGCAGATAGGCGAGACATGGAGCAAGAAGACGGGATCGTCAGAGAATACCACGCTTCTGGTTTGGGATTCGTATCGAGTCTTCGAAATGGTATTCGTAATGAAGCTTACTTGTTCGCATACGATGGGAGTGGTGGCATGCGGGATATTCGCCTGAGTACGGCATCCTAGGCTAAGGTAGATAGATACCTAAGGTAGATGGCAGTGGGCCAGATAGCGCCGCGTGGTTAGATAGGTAGGTAGTACAAAACAAAGTTATCTTCCAGTGAATCCACCGAGAAGATAAGCATGACTTTCAAGTTGCTCCACGCAGCAGGGTCTCGACCGCGAAAAGGTGACTTTCTACCTCTAGTGTATCCGTTTCTAATTAACAAACTCCAAAAGCCTATCTCATATCATCATGTCATGGTGATTTGAAGGTTTTCCGTTTTGGTCCCACACCTCCTCGATGGAGAGAGTGTTCACCACAGCCCCTCCATCTCCGCCATGGCCGCTTCTTCGTCGTCATCGGGCCCTCGGTCTGGTTCGGGGTGCAGAGAACCAGTATCTGCAAAGTCCGTGGTCCCTGCCTGTGGCCGTGTCTCTGTTTGTCGCCGCGTCCCAGCATCAGCTTCCGCCATGAGAGCCTCTAGGTCGTCTTCATCGTCCTCCTCGTCGTCCACCAGCCGTCGTGGGGCGGGCTTGTTCTTTCGCGGGGTGGCGGCGTAAAGATCTTCCTCGTCGTCAGGTATGCCATCGTCATTATCATCTCTTGGTTGTGCAGCTTGTGGTCTTTTCGTTCGCTCGTTTTCGGCGGCAGGTCGTAGGTTCTGGTGATTCGGTCGTGGCTCAGATCGCACCGCTGGTACTGCTGGCTCTGCTGCTTCCGCGTTCGCCAGGGGGTTGTCGTCCTGATCGGCTTCGTCGGACGCGCGGGGCTTGCACTCGTCTATCCACTCGGCGCGTTTGCTGACCAGGACGCGCTTGTGGCCCGCCTTCTCCACCATGGCGAGGGCGTCGAGGAACTTGGCCTTGGGGAAGAGGTCGTCTAGCCAGAACTGGTAGAATGTGAGGAGGCGGGCGGCGTCGGAGAACTGCAGGATGAAAACTAGAGCGTGAGAAACTGTGTGATGATGACGATCAAGATGATGATGGTAAAATGATACGACAACAGCCGGGCGTGGGACATAATGCAAAACCGAGTGGCGTCGTACCTCGTGGCCTTTGCCCTTGAACTTCAGCCCAGCGGCACGCTTGCGGAGCTTGGGAATCCCGTCGTCCGAGAGGAGGCGGGTCTCGTCGAGTTTCACGCGAGGGACTCTGGCACGCTTTGTTACGTCGACTTCTTCATCGATGCCGAGGCCATCGCTCTTGCGCTTCTTGGATTCGGTGTCGTTTTGGCGTAGTGGACTGGGGGAGCGGAAGGGGTCATCATCCAGGTTGACATGGTAATTGTCAAGATCATCAAGACTTGGTCTTGTTGCAGAGTTTGCTGTCATATTGTCATGCGTCGTTTATGTCGCAGTGAAAACGAATTGTCGACTCTTACTACTACTTTATCCGTATAAAGACAGAGAGGGGGTTAATTGACTGTAACGATTATCTTGGTGTTGGTCCGCGTATCTCTTGGTCGCGTCTTAATTGATCTGGGGTACGCGTATGGAAAGTACGGTACGTACCTCTACCGGCTAAGAGATGGTCTGCATCGAGGGATTGCCCTAAGGTACCTTACCGTACATAGGTACCTAGAAAGATAAGGTACAAAGACAAAGTACTTGCCAATGAATTCTCTGCCTCAGGCCGCAATCGCACCTTTGACGACCTGCCTCGGGAATTGCATCTCACGACATCAAGATTCCGGTCTCTGGTCGTCATTAAGGTATCTATACGGCGAAGTGTCGACCGCAACCATGTCGAGCACGCAGAATCCCACCTTTATTCCCTCCAAGCCTATCCAGAGCGACTATCCGGTATGTACACGCCCGCCAATGGCTCCATTTCGAGATTCTTCCGACTGACCCCCCCTTTCTCTTCAGCTCATCGACAATGACCCGTAAGAATGCTATCCGCGTCCAACGCCGACCCAGAAGCAGAAGACGAAAGAGTTGCACCACTAATTGTACTACTGGCACTTAAGGCACTTTAAGCGTGTCGTTCGATATGCTCGGCCATCGGACTATGCCCACGGCGCTGTCGCCGCTGCCTTCGGACCCGCCGCCCTCCTGACCCTCGAGCGATTCGCCCCTTCACATGTAGGCAAGGGCGGTTTCCCCCCGGCCATGCGTCTCGTTACTGCTATCGGCCTTACCGGCGGTTTCCTCTACTTCTACCAGCGCTCAGCTCGTACGTTCACCGACACCCTATCCGACAGAATTCTTTTCCTCGCCCATATCGCCGGCGGGGTGTCCGGGATTGCAGGGCTGGGGATAATTATAATTCTTTATTGTCCCCTAGTTCTTCCCCAAAACCACAGAATGCAGGCTGACAGAGGTATTTATTATAGTACGGTTTTACGGAGCCACCGAGAACGCCCGCGAGGTCGAGATGGATATGCGCGAGATGGTTGACAAGGTCAAGGCCGGCGAGCCGCTATACGGGGAGAGCTCCCTGACGCCGCACATGCAGGGTGTTGCCGCTCGGCAGTCACGCTACTCGGCTCTCTTCATGGGCGTCGTCCCGTGGTTCAACTTTGTCAACCACAACCAGCATGGTGTCGATACGGCCAAGTACTACCGGCAGGCGGAGAGGGAACTCGAGGCCGAGAGGCAAGCGAAGAACGCATAGAGTGAGGTTGGGGGTTGGGGGTTGGGGGTTGGGGGTTGGGGGTTTGTTGGGGGGATGAAGAGGGGGTTCGTGAGTATGTAGGGGCTGTATGTGTAAAAGCTTTTGTCAAGGATCGGATGATGGAAGGCTGCGAGCCAGGCCGAAAGGCTATGATCTCTTCATGGGGAACGGGGACTGGCCCCGTTTGTATACAATCTGGCAGGAGAGTGGAGGGCCAGGAAAGGAAGAAATAGACGCCGGCTCATCAACCAAACTGGTTTTTTTTTTTTTTTTGTCCACAGAATTTATCCCCGGATGGATGGCGATATAAATCCTTCTATTTGGACCTGAGATCTACCTAGACTTGCATAAATCGGCTTGCGCATGGCTGTCATATGTTGGTAGTCGGAGCGTTCAGTGAATCCTTTGGATTACATGTGGTCGAAATATGAAACCGAAACAACACTCTCTCAATCCTGCTGGTCCCGAGGTGTACACAAATGCAACGTAGAAATTTCAGAGATTTTCAAATCGTGTCTGGTATTGCCGTTCCGTCTGCCAGGAGGTCCGCTTACGACAAGGGATTTGGATGCCTCAAAAGGTACCGTACCGTACAGTTTACTCGTGCGGAAAGCAACAAACGCAATGGTCCATAAATCGCCTCCAAGAATTCACATTCAGAGAAACTCATATCAGGGTGGGGGGGTATATTAACAGCGTGTCTTCTCTCGACGCCCTGGCACATCTATATGGTGGTAAACGCATCACTCATTCAAAAGAGAAACCATGGAGGGTAGGAGGCCTTCCAAGCCGAAGACGGATACGCAAGGTCAAATAGCAACAACAATAACAACCCCCCTAAAACAAGGGAGCACAAATAACGGGAACAACCCGAGCCGGGAGGACAGGCCTTACGACCCATGCCCATGACCCTTACGACCCATGACCATGCCTAACCATGGTCATCCCTCAGTTGGATTTCGTACGATGAGGCGAGGTTGCCGTCTCACCAAGGTCCTTCTCCCGAGAAGGGTCGGGAGATTCGTTCAGGTCGGAGCTTGCGGTACGATCATACTTGACATGACCGTCGGCGGGCTCCTGGGCGACAGTCTCCTGGACAACATCCTCGCGCTCCTGCTCGTAAGGGCGCCAAAAGTCCTTCTTGCCCCGGGCGAGGCGGGTGACCCAGCCGGGCAGCAGACCGCCGGGGACGCGCCATGTCCAGGGATCCTTGTCGGCGTGGTTGTAGGGAACGACGCGGCCGCGGCTGAGCTTGGAGATGAGGAAGACGAGGGTGTTGATGAGGATGTAGCTGCAGATGCCGGCGATCAGGCCGTCGGCGATGGAGTAGGTGAAGGGCATGACGGCGATGGTCAGGAAGGCCGGGATGGCGTCGCCCAGGTAGCCCCAGTTGATCTCGGTGACGGCCCTCATCATCATGGAGCCGACGATGACGAGGACGGAGCCGGTGGCCCAGGGAGGGATGGAGGCGAAGATGGGGGCGAAGAAGATGGAGATGAAGAAGCAGATGCCGGTCACCATGGCGGTGATGCCCGTCTTTCCGCCCTCCGAGATGCCGGCGCCGGATTCCACAAAGGCGGTGACGGGCGAGGTGCCGAAGAGGGAGCTGATGGAGACGCCGATGGCATCGACCATGTAGGCGACGGCGGAGCCCTCGAAGTCCTGGGTGCGTTCGTCGATGAGGCTGGCGAAGCGAGCCATGGAGTACAGAGTGCCGGTGCAGTCGAGAATGTCGACGTAGAGGAAGGTGATGAGAGCGAGGGCGAACTGAGAGCCGTATTCGGAGACGTCCCATTGCTGCACGACGAGGGTGCGGCTGATGGGGTGGAAGGCGACGACCTGTCTGAAGAACTCGAAGTTGCTGTCGCCCTGCGGAGTGTAGGGGAAGTTGGTGACGGGAGTGCCACGAGGCCAGGAGATGATGCTGACGAGGATGATGCCGATGAGGATGGCGGCCTTGACGCGGTACAGCATGAGCATGACGGTGAGGATGCCGCCGCAGAAGATGCCAACCCACATGGTGGGACTGCGCATCCTCTGGGCGCCCGGACAGGTGCCATCAGGGAGGATAAATTCAGGAGCACATCCGGCGAGGGTGACGGGGGTGCCGGTGCCGCTGCTGATGAGGCCGATGCCCTGGCTGTAGGTCAGACCGATGATGGTGAGGAAGAGGCCGATACCGACGCCGGTGGCGACCTTGATAGGGCGGGGGATGGCACGAGCAAGCCACTGTCGCATGCCCAAGAGGGTCAAGGCGAGGAATATGAAGCCCTCGATAAAGATGGCGGTCATGGCGACTTCGTAGGGGACACGACCGGAACCGTGAGGCCCAACAACCTAAGACGGGGGAGAGGAGATGGGTAAGCCAGGGGTCAAGACAAGACCGGCGAGGGTGACCATTAAAAGGAAACTCACATCATAAGCAAGATATGCGTTCAGACCCATGCCACAACTCGCCGCAACAGGCCTGCGAGAGAGAGAGAGAGAGTAAGTCAGAAGGGGGAGTCTTCCCAGCATTCCAGCAGCAAGCAGGATGAATGATTCTGGAGGCGGAGAGTGAACAAAACACACATATTGGCGGCGAGACCGAGAAAGAAGGAAGTCAGGGCCGAGATGGCAGCCGTAGCGGTGACGAGATCGCGCCTGACCTCGTTCTTACACACGAGGTAGTCGTCGTTGACCTGGCAGTAGGGATCGTCGCTGTTGGGCCCATTGCTACAGACACAAGGGCCGCCGGACTCGGCGATGATGGAAGCGTTGACGGAGATGATGTAGGCCATGGCGAAGAAGGTGATGATGCCGGCGCGGATCTCGGTCAGGAAGTACGAGCCCTTGCGCTCTCTCGGCTGTGGTGGAGGCAACTCGTTAGCCAACTCGTTAGCACCAGGAGAAGGGGGGGGGGGGGGGGGCGCTAAAGTTCACAGTGTCGTCGCGCCACTGCTTTGCAGACGGGCTGAAGGGGAGAAGAGAGACTGAGGGGAACTGACATGACCGGAACCCTCGAGCTTGAACCATCTTCCGAGGAAGGTGGTCGCCACCTTCCTGTTGATCTTCTCAGCCCAACCCATGGTGAATGAACGAAGAAGAGGTTGGCCTGATGCTGCGATGCTGCGCCAGGTAATGATGCGCCAGGAAGTTGTCGCGAAGACGGGGAGGGAAGATGTGAACAAGTTCCAATTCCAATCCCTTTTTTTTTTTTTTTCCTCCGTTCGGCTTTTTCTTTCCACCCCCGGCTGTGAGTGAGGGAGGTGTTAGGTGTTAGCGGGGTGAACCGGGGCGGCGTGGCGGCGGGGCGTTGGTCGTGTGCGCGTTGTATCCGGGGTCGGTCGGGAAAAGGACGCTAACTAACACGCGGACTTCGGGTTTGAGATGGCCTTCTAATCTGAAGGAGACAACCCAACGGTGAGAGAGAGAGAGAAAAAAAGGAGAGAAAAAAAAGAGCCAATGTATAGCCGGTCAATCTAGGAGTAGAAAGATCGAAGACAAGACCAGTATTCTATACCTTAAAGTCTTAAAGTGAAGGTGCTCGAAGCCTGGCCTGAATTTCACTACATTACGGGACGAAGACGCAAGTCGAAGAAATCGTCCACTTTTTATGGAGTCCATCAACACAAGCAATACCTTTTATCGCTGAGTGTGATGTCCTTGAACCATTATTGGCCCAAATCACTTATCGATCCTGGGCCCGGCCGGGACTAAGGTAGACGCTTAGGGGCAAGGGGAATGGGTCGGTGGAGTCCGCCGAAACCTGGTCCGGAGGATAAGAATGCTGTAAGAGCGTAACCAGAGTTTTGGCGTGGAGAAGACTTATGGACCTTTAATCGCCTTGGGGTCAGGTACTCCATGTCCCTTTACAGAAAGACGGGATGAGGATATTTCGCATTTCAGTCCACCTATCTGAGTGGCAACTCTTCCAACTTTTTTTGTCTTTTTTCTTCTTTTTTCTTCTTCTTGTTTTTGTATCATTTTTCTGTTAATTGCTGCGGGTTAACCTAATTTTTCTCTTCTTAATTCTTATACGATCAGGTGTGTGATGGTTGATACGGAAGACTTTCGGCCTATTATTACCACCTGGAGCTGCCTCGCTTCGGTTATGCAGGACATCCCAATACCCCGGCCCGGCCCCTTTTGCGCAACCAATCCTGCAGGGTAATAATTCAAGGCGACCCTTGTTCAACAGCTGTACTACAGGCAGTTCGAGATCTGCAATAGCGAATTGTGTGCTTCGTAAGTGCACATGGCAATCTCCGTCTTCCGCACGGCGGAACTCAGCGACGGTCTGCTCTAGCTCCTTCCTATACGCCGCGCCTGCACCCTTATCACCAACCCCCCCCAAGACGAGACGGGTTGACATGCTGACATGCTGACATGGGGAGCAAGCTGTCTGTTGGACTCGAAGAAGTCCGTGAAATAATTACGTTCTAGTCCCCGATTGATAGGCCGGCTAGAGCAAGAAGTGCTTCACGGCATGACATGTTTGTAATCCGCCCAATCGGCAAGGCAATTTCTTTTTTCCCCACCTCCCAAGATAGTTGATAATGACAAGATAAAGAGCGAGATGATAGCGCGTCCTGGACGAGCTGCACATGAATTCGATGGCGGTGAAAGGACGTGAACGGCGATAAATATGAGAATATTCTGACACCTTCGAAGGGAAAAATGAAGAAGGAAAAAAGGAGAGAGGTGGCATCCTAGGAGTGTAAAACGTATAGGAAGATAACGGCTTGCGAAGAAAAGTCGCAGCCAGACTCATAACGGCGGCGGCCAATAATATAGCGATCGTTGTTGATCCGTGACGATACTCGGTCTTCGGTCGAAAACTCCAGCTGATAAAGTACCCCGCCGGTACTCGCATGCCTTTAACACACGTGTAGATGAGAGAGTGAGTAACTAGGTATATACCTAGGCGAAATCGCTAGGCCACCGCTAAACCCAGTTCGGGTTAGGGCCAATGTTGTGTAGGATGGTGGCGGGTCCCGTGGCCCTCGAGTGGCTTGTGCTGATGCGGGATGATAAGGGGAAGGTGCTACCGAGTTTGAGACGAAAGCCACGAAGTACGAAGTACGAAGTACTACGCGAGGGAAGTGGTCCCAGAGGCCTCGAAAGAGACGGCTCTCGAAATTCCCAACCAACCCTCGAAGCTGGTTCAGGGAGAGGTGAAAAACCGCACATGATCAAATCGTTGATGTCTCACCATGAATACCTTACCTCAAGGTACCTTAGGACAGCCGTCCTCCAACGTCAGACACATGATCGACCCGACAACACAGGCGCGAGAACATGGGTCTGTTCTTTCCGTTCATCAAGTGGCTGGCTTTTCCAACCGTGCCTCATACAGTCATAGTCATACTAAACATATCAAGAGGTTCGTTCAGCTGCTAGCGGCGGCGTGGCAACGATGCAGTCTCTTGTTGTAAACTTCCCCGGGCTTCAGGCTTTGTCTTGCTAGTAACGGGGAACATTACCACATTACCATAGGACACAGGTGTCCGATCAGACGATCGGTAGTAAGGTAGTTAGGTATTCTCTTGTGACGATACCCCATGCTACCTACGATCATGCTGTATCTCAGGTTTCAACGCATGGTCTGGGCACGAAAAAGATATCCCCAGATTGGTACTTCATGAGAGCTTCTTCTTTCCCTCTTTTCGTTTGTTATGGTTTGTGATATTCTGCTTCTCATAGTTATGGTCTCCTCGGGTCCAAGAGCATTCCTGGCAGCAGCCCTCCGCAGTTGTTCGCACTCTGATTTACAACCATGGCACCGCATCATCAACGCTCAGAGTCGGAGGACTCCTACGAGCCCCGACCCAGTCGTCAGGATGCAGACGGTGACTATGGCTATGACAGAAAGAAAAGAAGTCGACGTGGTATCGATGGGAAATCGGACGAACTAACTCGGCGTCATCGGAGAGGACGCGACCCCGGAGGCGGCCGCAAGCAGATTCGCGGTCGGACCCGGACCCGGACCCGGAACAGGAGTCGGGGTGGCGACGAGTGGGATAGGGACCGCGAACATGCTCCACGAGCAAGCTACACCCGCAAGCCTCGGTACTCCTCCGGCCCTTCCTGCTGCGGCATGCGGCGTAGCCGTCCAAGGAACGGGGGCAACAACGACGACGAGACCAGCGAGGATGATGACGAGTTCCGCCCTCGCCGCCGTCATCCAACCAGAGTCAAATCTCGACCGACAACTTCCGAGCCCAGACCACGAGCCCGTCCCCGATGTCGCGCCCCGAGCAGCGGCTACAACAGTCCCTGTTGGTGCCACAACTGCCAGCACTGCATATGTCGTCACTGCAACCACCGGGCTTATAATTGCCAGCCTTGCAATCGCCAGCCCTATAACCCCCAGCCATATCATCAACCATATAATCAACCATATAATCCCCAGCCTGGCAACTGCCAGCCCTACCCTCCCCCTGGGCCACCTCACCAGGCTCCCCCTGTCCACGGACACCACCCTCCCCCTCCAGTCCACTACCCTCGCCCCGACCCGACCACAAAGGGCCCCTCCGCCAACGGTGCCAACGCCAACACCAACACCAACACCAAACCCAACCCGAACATCGGGAATCAACGCCCCCAACCCCGGTCGAACACCAAACCCAACGCCAAGCCCAACGCCAAAACCGAGACCAGGGCCAAGCCCAAAACTACAGCCAAGGCCCAAAAAGCAGCGCAATACGCCGCCCTCGGCACCGCCGTCCGCGTAGCCCTCCAGTCTGGCGCCCAAGCCGCCTACAAGTTGCGCAACCACCCGTCCCCCTGGCTCGGCGAGAAGGGCCTCCGTGTTGTCGCCGCCGCCGTGGTCCCCGGCATCGTCGACGGCTACCTTGCCAGCCGCAAGGCCTCTTCCCGCTCGTCCTCGGCTGCTAAATAGGGCGGCGGGAAGGGTTATAAGGGGAGAAGATACTGCCTAGTTGGACAGACCGAAGCGATAGGTGGCCTTTGTCTCTTCTCCCTATCATGTATTTTCCGTTTCCTCTTTCCCCCGTCTGCGCGGCCAAAACATCCTTGGTCATTTGTATATTGGTAGTTCGTCTGTAAGAGATATATATATATATATATATAATACGAGCGACATGCTAATGCTCACCATTTCCACTAACACCGTCGACATTTGGACGCACATGAACAGCTTCGGTTTACCTTGATATAAGATATCCAGTTCACAACGTTACAAACTTCGACACTTATATCGGCAATATACATTTTTGAGGGGATTCATTACCCTGCTCATGAGGCTATCTTCTACATATATCCATGCTATAGCGTTCCCGCCAATTCTGCGTCTGAACAGCTCCCTGATCCGATGCCCGCCATGGGGAAGAACATGAATGCGGGCAATTCTATGCAGGACATGACTCCAAAAATCAACCGATCTAAGGTATTAACATGAGACGACCCGTCTCCAACCATCCATGACCAAACCGTGGCCACGTGGCCTAAGCCCTATAGAGGGCGTGTGCTTCGTCCACATAACCGTCTCTGACAATGGTTGGTAGCAACAGGTGACAGGCCTGCCGTAATAAAGAACCATACCCTCGTAACCCCAGGCCAAAGTGCGGATCCACCATAAATGATACGCCGCGGCCATGAGGGGCAACTTGCTTTATCTATGACGTCTCGTTGGTCGTCTCCTAGCAACAGACACACCTGACGATCCGGTTTCACACGGCCAAATCTGTTTCTTCCAATCCACGTTTACCTACCCCACTGGCTAAGTTCGGAGACTGCATTGGGATGTTCGCATTCGTAATGTTTTTCATCCTCGTCGCCAGACCGTCGGTGCCGTTTGGTCCCTCGTTTGACGTGTTGGCTTTCGTAGCTGCGCCATTTTCGGCCGGATCCACACCAGTAAGGCCTGCTTCCAAAGCCGCTAGGCGGGCTGCGCGGCCTTCCTTCTTTCGCGGCTGGGGAGCTACGGTGCGCAAAGTAGGTCAGTTAGTGCTCTACATAGTCTTGCACGAGGAAGGGGTGAAATACCTCGACCATTCTCCTGCACATAGAACCGCCGTAGCAGGCCAACGGCCTCTTCACGACCCCATCCACCTTCGATGTCGAAACCGTGCTCGACATTGCCACCATCGCCATCAGGGTTCGACTGCGGGATGTGATACTGGCCAGCCATCGGCTTGGGCTGCACCAGGGACCCTTGCGAATGCGCCGAGGCAGGCCGTGAGCCCGGAATAGCATTCGGAATGGAATTTAGGACCTGCACCCCATTCGCCCCGATGCCATCGCTGGCGTTCGAAGTTCCCGGCGAGGTTCCTTTTTTCGCGGCCTGGACTTTGTCCTGAGGCCGAACCGAGTTCTTATGGATGCTGAAGACGCCGCCAGTGCCACCAAACTTGTCATTGACGGCGCCAAAGTAGACCTTGCGGATGCCGAGTTGGCGTAAAAGACTGGCGCACATGACGCAGGGTTCGACAGTAACATAGAGAACCGACTCGCGGATGATGGAACGCGGCACACGTGGGTCTGGATGTAGCTTCTGCCCGTAGGGATAGAGGTGGCCGTTACGGACGTACTCCGAGTCGTTGACGCTGTGATCCGGACCAAGCTCGGCGTTCTTCTCACGCTCCCGTTCGGCGGCAGCGGCAGACGATAGCTGGGTCGGAATGTGCCGCGGCTCGGCAACGGGGTCATCGGCGGTTACACCGTTCGGCCGGTAGGACAAGAGGGCAGAAATGGCCATGAACTCGGCATGGCGCGTGCCGTTGCGGGTGACGTTGGTGGCATTCATGCCCTTGGCGATGACTTTACCATTATGAACGAGAACACAACCCACGGGCGTCTCATTTGTGCGGAGAGCTAGGCGAGCCTAGGGGGGAGAAGAGGGCACTCAGTTTGTGTCATCACATAAAGCGGATTAAGGATCGGGAACAAGAGCTTTCAGAAAAGAGGCAAAATAAGGGGAAGAGAGAAGGGGAGGGGGGTAAAAGACAGAAAAAAAAAGGAAATGAACGATGATGCATACCATATCCAAGGCTTGTTCCATAAACAACAGATGTGTTGGTTTCTCGACGGAGCTAATGCAATCCCTGGGAGCCAGGGGTGGTATACTTGCGGCAACTGGCTTCAGGGGAGGAGGACTGACAGCGTCCCCCGGCGATAGTGCAAGTCGGGCCAGAGACTCATTGAGGTCAGAAGCCGGCGGTTGGTTTTCCTTACCGGCGATCCTGGCTAATGACGGAACGGCAGGGATAGGAACACCCGGAGGGGCCATAGTGTTGTGGCCGGTGTCAGTCTTGGGTTTCGAGGTTTCTGAAGCTGTCGTGATAATGCTTCCCTCGGGTTGCGCGGAGGAGGTTGAGCGAGAGGATGAAGAGGACCGGGGGATGAGACGGCGAAAGAGACCGCCAAGGAATCTCCCAGTCGAGGAGCGCCGGTGGCCTATGCTGGAGTTTGCGGGAGAAGTCGAGGGAGAAGGTGCTGGCGCTGGTGAGCCCGCCCCTGAGAAAGGAAGTCTCGCCATTATGGTGGCCCAGCAATGCCGGTGGAAGGAGCAACGGTGGTAGCCTGCCTGCGCTTTCCTTTTTTTTCCCCACCTTCCTCTTTGTTGCTGCCGTCGTGTTTCCCTGTCTTCCCCTAGGTACTTTACCTTGCCTTCTAGGTTGACTCCGGGTAGTGTAGTGCCTTCAGCTACCTACCTACCTTAGGTAAGGTAGAATACTGCCTCTTCGAATGCAGGTTCGTAACAGGAGGAGCACCTTCCAGAAGACAAGTGACAAGGCTCCTTTCTCAGACTCTTCCAACCGACACCCCTTTCTTCACACTTCCCCCACTGAAACCAGGAAAGGGATGGAAATGTTCGAGATGCGGCGGTTGTGTCCGTGACTGCGACCGTGAATACGTCCGTCTTCGTCTCCGTCGCCCACCTTCCGTCTGGTCTGATCAGTCACTACAATTCCCGACCAGTTTCCCAATACACCATGATGGGGCGAAGCAGCCGTAATACACTCAAATCGCCGTGTATTATTATCGGCTATCCGTCCTATCGATGCCCGTCGTCGCTCGCGATATTGACTGAACTTCTTCTATCCGTCTGCCCGAAGCAAAATGAGTCGTACTTTCTGGATGCGTGGTCGCTGCAGCTTCTGCCTTCCAAAAATAATTCGACGTCTTTCGAACCCAAAAAAAAAAAAAAAAAAAAAAAAAAAAGGATTTCCGTCAAAGAGATCCACGACACATGTCTTTAGTCTCTGGCTCTCATGGATGAGTTAATACCGTCCTGTGGAGTCGTATACTGGCCGAGGATATTTGCTTCGAGGTGCGGATACACGTAACAAAGGGATAAGAGATGGAAGCGGAAAGGGTAATTGAATCACCCGTTAACGATCGGGGGAGGATTTTTTTTTGCCGTTGATAAATACTCGGTATTATTTCAACCTGAGATTGATGCAAGAGATGACCGAAGAAAAATTCAAGACTTCTTGGACGATGTTCGATCCTCCGGGTAGACTTAAACTCCATCTGGACCAAATGTACCCACTATATCTCTACATGAAGGGACAGACACGAGGAACGCCACCTGCCTTAACCACGTCTAATCCAAAAGCAGTTTGAGTCAACCCGGAGGACTAAACAAGGGTGGGACGGAAGACCGGTACTTGGGGCAGTGGACACCAAAAACTCAAAGCCACGTGATATTCTACCCCTTTCCTGGACACGGACCACAGAACCAAGCCGGCAGCAAACTATTTGAAATCAGGAGATGACAATACGCAGAGAATCCCGTACGCGAAAGCGAATTTTCAACAATCGTCACGAATTATATATTAAAGAACAAGGAAAGCAGTATTGGCCGGGTCAGAAACTTAAAATTCAACTACAGGACACGTCTGGAGCATCTACCGCAAGCCACCAGCGCTATGAAGCTCTCGTCTCATCCTTACAAAACCATGGTGCTCCCTCCCATTGCCTCAGACAAGACGCCGAAGAAGAATGTTAAGATCTCACTGACCGACTCGAACGTCCTGTACGTGCCGGACGAGTAATCTAAGAACAGAGGGGGTATATATCGACAACCAAAGATTCCCTGACAAACACCAAATGCGCTTAGCATGATGCTTGCTTTGTGACATGACAAGACATACCGACAGCAACACTCAAAATTCCGAGCTGCTGCAACGGCAAAGCCCGCTAACCCCCAAGAGGGGGAGACGAGGGAGAGGAAAAGAAAAAACCGTCCAACAATGACTGCTCAGCTAGATGTTTCACTGAGTGAGCGCCTGCAACCTATGGGTCGCCAGGCGCCCAGCAACAGCTGTAGAATGGGCATTCTGTATCTGGCGACATAGGCCACGTATCCTCGACGTCCAGTCTCCGCGGAGGTGGGAGACAGTCGAGGCCGGTTTGTCGGGTTGCGTGTGGTTTTTGGTTGCGTGGGTCCTCTGCTCGTAGGGACCCGGCCAGACGGCACTGGGACCGAAAACGGACCCGAGAGCCATGAGGCCGAGTGCAAAGTGTGCGATCATGCACACCATAGATTGGAGGCCCTGTGGCGCTGCCCATGCTACCACGCCCAGTGCGACCACCGCGAGGGTCGCGTTTTGAGTGGTCGAGGTCTCATGTTGCGAATTGAAGCCCGAGGGTTCGGAGGGGATATCCTCGCCAGAGATTCGGCCGGTATTGGAGCTTGTGGTAACGGCCTGGACAGGGACCTCAGTCAATGTGTATCCTGGCGACGCGTTCTCCGGTAAGATTCCACGGATGCTGAGTCGGGAATCCCTTGCTTGTTGACCCACGGCGTAGGCGTCGGAAAGACCGTGCCGTTGTTGCTGTGACCTAGCATCCGTGACGCGTAGGACTGTCCTTTCTTCCCACGAGGAACCAGGTAGTGCGGCGTCGGCGGGTCCAGACAAGTTCGTCCTGGTGCTATTGGCATGTACGGATTTCGTCTGCGCCGGTGTTGACCCACCGTCCACACCCAGGGCCTCTACCTGGGCGATGGACTGCAGGCGACTATTAGACTGCATGGAAAGTTCCCCGTTGTTGGGCCTTGGAACAGGACGAGAACGAATATTCTGATCCGCAGTTACCGTGTGAGAAGCATCAGCATCACCTCGTTTGTCCTGACATCCTGTTAGCCCGGTCCAACGTGCACCAGTCTCCGCAATACGTACCGAGTGTTCGGACGCGCAAGTCGGCGATACATGTCGAACGGTTACGTCTCGTTTGTCCTGACGTTTGGTTAGCCAAATGCAGATTCTGAAACCTGAAAAAGAACATACAACAAGATGTGTGGCATTCTGCGTTGTAGAAGCCGCGTAAGACGACTGGCCATGAAGATCAACTTCTGACGCCACAGCCGTGCCTTGTGTGGTCGAATTTCTTGCAAATTGGAAGACAGCATTGCGCCTGCCCGCTGCAGGGCCCGTCTGTGAGGATCCGGCTTCATCCCATTCTGGATCCGGCATGGTTAACTGCTTGTGTTGGACGGATGCTGGCTGGGATCCAGGCTCGGGGCAGAAAGCACTGGAAATTGAGCGTCCTTGGTCTCGCTTCGACACGACTGGACGCCGAGATACTGCCCAATCCACGTTGCACTCCTCCAGGAGGCTTGGATCAAGGGTGTCAAAGCTCGAAGTCCCGAAGTGCCCAGATAGATTGGCACCGATGTCCACGCGAGGCATGGAGTCTTCATCGACAAAACTATTGGCAGGAGAGAAGAGGTTGAAGTCGACATAATTGGATCCGGAAGCTCCGCTCAGATAAGGCAGATTCGGTGCCGGCAGATCAGGTGCATGAGCGTTTGAACCGTTGCGGGGCGAAGACTGCGCCTCCGTCGATGGAACGTGCTGGCAAGGAGGTTGAGTGGCAGTACAGGGCTGAGTGGGCGAGGTGGACATGTTGGAGTCGGGTGATGTGTAATCCGTCGAATCAAAGAACATATTCCAGTCGGAAACGTCCCCAGAATAAGGCTCCTCCTCCTCGTATTGAACGAAAGCTTCCCAAGGGTCTTGGTGGTTGGCCGCTGATTCGGAAGCCTCGACACCAGCCAAAAGCACGCCGAAGTCGGATAATGATGCCGCCAATGCCGTGTATTCTGGCGGTGGTGGTGGGGCTGCGGGTGTTGGACAGGCCGGCTTCTTGCTCTTCCGACTCGAGGCGGCTGGCCTCGCCGGCCTGGTTCGGGAATGAGATTGTGACTGGGATGGGGGCTGTGTGCTGGCCTGAGGCCCTGATGTGCGCTTCTTATGGCTCGGATCGCAGCGGACCTTCTTCCTTCGACAGGCATCGCAGGCCTTGATGATGCGCATGAGGTGTGCATGGTCACGCTGCTCCTTCGTCTTGCAGCCACGCGATGCCGAGTTGGTGACGTCTCGGCCATCCTTTGTCATAATCTTCATGCCCGGGATGTGGGAGAAGTCGTCATTGTGAACAGAGGCGCGAGACGAAGCCTTTTTGGGGACCGCGTTGCGAGCCTTGGGTACAGCGAGATCCTGGGCGGACGACGACGGGGTTGACGCAGCAACAGAGACCGGCGTGGGGGACGGCGACTGCCAGCTCCAGTTCGATGTAACAGGGGAGACAAAACTGGAGTTGTATCCCGAGCCATGCATGGGGCTCAAGCCTTCTGATGAGGGAGCCTTTCTCGTCGGCGCGACATCAACTGAGTAGTATTTCACGGTGGCACCCGTAATCTGGGCGTACTCGAAGAAGTCCAGAGAGATGAGGGCCCTCTTCTCCTGAATTGTGGCCGGACCGGGTACATAGGCGTGGACCAAGTTGTCGAGTTCCTGAGTGCCCAAAGCAGGAGAAAATTCCAGAGGGGCTCCTAGAGCCGGCTGCCAAACGAAGAATGTCTTCATCGTGTCAAGGGACTCCGTTGCCGACATTGATCCAATCCAGATGGGAGTTGACACACTGGGCAGAGGAGACCTGATAGTGCATAGATGAGCATGGAGGGCTTGTCGCTGGCATTGTTATCCATTTAGACCTACCTTGGTTATATTTCGAGGCTAATGAGCAGATAGTTGGCGGGATATTAGATGCTAAAATGGTTCGTGGTGAATTGGTTCACGGGTTCTCGGGTTCTCGAGATATTCGCTGACAGGGCAGGGCGATGCTGCAAGTTGCTGGTGGTGAGACGTCCAGCTTTCAACTTGGATGCCGCTGACGGATGCCTGTCGACCGTTTGTCTATGGAAAGTTGAAATCTTGCTTCCACTGCCAAAGACGAAATAAAATGAGAAAGAAGAGAAGGAAAGAAAGCGACTCGGCTTACAGGATGTCAGGCAGCTAGTACCTTATTTACCTCTTGAAGTGTTACTACGCTCGAATGTACGAATACTTCGTGTTAGGGGGCGGCGCAGTGGCTTCCAGGTCAGAATGAGATTCATCGGCGAGCTCGAAAGGGTATAGTGTAGGAGGACGATGAGACCGGGGTCCAACCAATACCAAGTGCAGAAAGGAGGAATGCGGGGACAGACCTGAGTCACCATTGGTCTGCCTACCCCACTACACCCGCAGTTGGCACGAGCTTTTCGGCGAGAGAACGACCATTTGATTGGTCAATGGCAGCTGAGATGCATATCACGTGATCCTGTGAGTCAGCCTCAACCTCCTCGACGTTGGTGATGATAAAGTTGGGCGAGTACGAAGTATGAATTGATCCTGGCTGATCAAGTCCAAGCATTGTTATAGGAGTCATCGATCCATCCATGCCTGTGACCAGCCAACTCCAGTTCATCCTCGCTATCGGCGCTGTAGCGCGAGTAAGCACCCACACCGCTCCCGGCTACTCCAGCTTGGCATGTCCAGATGATGGAGGCGTGTGACCTACGATAAGATAGGTAACCGTGCATCTGAACTCCATCTAAGCCTTGAGAATAGGGATAAAGAGGAGACGAATGGGAATTATTGACGGTTAGACGTATCGTCAAATTGCTTCTCAGACTCGATTCGAATTGTGTCGCATGCTCCTCCACGAAGCACTACCAGAGGATTGGGCAACTGACTTGGTAGACAGCTGTTGTTTAGATGCCAGGCATACACTTGAAATAACACCTTCAACGCCCATCAGAGACGTATGCTTATGACGAGGGCCGCTCTATGCCCAACAAGTCATAAGCTGTCTTGCTCCACGGGCCCCCATTTGCCCGTGTAAAGAGAGGGAGCTTATCCTTCAATGGAGGCGGTCCCTCTTTTCCAGACCGGTTCGGCTCCGCAGTTGCCAAAGCAGGACCAATTATCGGCCGAGCGATCTGTCCCGCCACATCTGATTGAATCGCCGCTTTCCGATGTTGCCTAGCCGGTTCGGCTCGTCTCCTTGGCTCATGTGTATCAGCCTCAGGTCTGGTGGTGTCTTGGCCGCTTCCAGGGAGAGACCCATCTACTTCCGAGCCCGTAGGTCTGTTTCGAATACCCCGAGCCCCCACGCCCTCCTCCTGCAGCCGTGCACCTGTTGACCCCTGTTGCGTGTTTATGTCACTTCCTGACTTCCATGCCAAGGCGTCGATCCGACGGTTCTGACGATCAGGTGAACACTTCTGCTTGGTGATTGTGGTTGATAAGGCGACCTCGACATCGCCGCAACGAGTAGAAGATTTCTGCGTGTCTGCCTCCTGTTTGGCTTCTACAACGGCCTCCCTCCCACTCTCTCTTGGGAGGTATAATCCACTGGGTCCGACCTCCTTGGCCTCTTTGGACCTAGCTTGCGCTAAGGATCTGTCTGTTGCAGACAGCCCTGCCTTCTCTGACCCCTCTGCTTTTCCCACTTCAGTCCGTTTCATGTCCTGGGGCCGCTTTTGGGGGGGCTGGCTTTGGTGCGAATTTCCGCCTGATTGTGCCATGCCTTCTCCGGGTTCGTCAAAACCATGACTCTCGTGGTTGTGACCGGGCGTCTTGAGCAAATCCGCGGCAGGAACCGGGCCGGCGGTCCTAGGGCTTCCCAGTGTGCACCCGACATCCGAATTACCGCTGCGGAATCCGATGATCTCCTTGCTCTTGACACTTCTCCGTATAGAAGCAAGGCGCGGCCCTTTGATCTGCAACTTCTCTTCAAGCTCTATTGGGTTTCGTTTGCTCCGCGACGTAAGAGGACCCGGCTCGTCTTGGAAAGGGAAGTCTTCAAAATCCGATGTCTCTGTGTTGTGATCCGTGTCGACAGAATCTGTTCCACTTTGTCTGAATCGGGACTTCTTGCTGGGAAGCGGACCCGTCGGGCGGTCGTTCGATCTGCTTATATCGAGACGCGTTTCCAAAGGCTTTCCCAGACCAGAGTCTAGTTCGCTGTTGCATGGTAACTCCGTATCTGGTAGCCCAGGGAAATCGCGGCCCGTAGGTTTACTGCCAGGTTCCCGCAAAAACGAGCACCGGAGCGGAGTACTCGTATCCCCTTGGTCAGGTACATCTTCAACGCAAGCACTACCGCGCTCTCCTTGTGAGCAAACCGATCCGCCGGCATTGTCTTTCCTTCTCTTTGTCGAGTTATTTTTTTCGGATACTATAAGGAGGCCTCTCTTCTTGTTCCGTCTCGTTGTCGAGATCAGGCTCGTTGTGTTTTCAGTTGGATGGATAGAGATATGCCTAGAAGCACAAGGGACATCCCTGGTCGCTTTGTCCGTACGTTGGCAGTTTTCCAGAGATTTCCGGGCTTCTGCATCGTTGTAGGGCGCTTCGAGATCAATGCACACGCATGTCGCATTTGGGTCCTGCTGGGCCGCCGGGCGACTAGTCGCATCGAATTTGCCCCATTGTCTGCCTTTGGAGCTCGCAAGAGGGGCTCCCTTCGCGGGATGCATTGTAGTTTTAATCATAGAAAGTAGTGACTTGTCTGTAAAATCACTGGTTTCTCGTCCTGGATTTCTCTGTCCCGGTTTTGTCGCGGACTTCCGGGCAGAACCACTCTCTACTGGCGGGGAAGCAGACAGGCGAACGAGAGTGGGAGAGGCGGAAGCATTCGAATGGGTAGAAACGGGAGTTTCTGTATCCGGCTGCCCAGTAGTAACAGGACGATTGATAGAATGCGGCAATGGCAATTGAGGCTGTCTATTATTTGGGTTTCGGGGATTGGTAGATGTTGTCCCAGCAGTATTACGGCGTTCTGTAGGAGTTTGAGAGACTGTGCTTTGCACTGATTGGGCACTTGAAGTCCACGGCGCGAGAGAGAGCGCGGCACCGAAGAGACTCTGGGCATAGCCACTCTTGCTCGGAGCGGTTACATTGGGCTTTCTCCTCTTTTTTGGCGGAGATTCATCATCTCGTTCTCGTTGTGGGTCTCGCATTCGACGTTGCTCGTAGGGCGAGACAGAGGGAATGACTGCACGGCCAATAGGGGCTGGACGAGGTGTCACGACCTGACGGGGCAATGTCGACTGTATGGATATGGCTCCTGAAGGCTGGTGAAGTAGAGCTGACCGGAGAGTCACGTCGGCCGGGGAGGAGGCATTGTCACTGGTCCGTGGTTGCCGATGTTGCCGTTGCTCCTTCTGGCGATTTTTCTTTTCGAAAAGCTCGGTCAAATCTTGGTCCTTGCTCCCGCGGCATTCGGAGACTTGAACAATGACGCACCCCTGTTCCAACTGAAACTCTTCACCTTCTTCAAAGTCGTAGTCCTCGCGCCAATGAGTATCGCCGATGAAGTTGCCGCGGTCGTCGTAGACCATTACACGTTTGTTGAAAGTGTGAAACGTGAGACGACCATCTTGCCATCGCTTTTGCTTGCGTTTAAGGTCGTGCGTGAAGAGGCAACCAAAATCGAGAACAGGGGCGACAGTCGGTATTGCCGATCTCGGTTTGTCTGAGCCCTGTTGGGACCGATGCGTCGAAACTGTGGCGGCCATTGTCGGAACAGCAACATGACGGTGCTGTACACCGAGTCGTCAGCGGAGAGCTCCAGTTGGAAAGAAAGGATATTACCTATGACGAGCGAGAACCCGCGTACATGAGGTAGGTGTGTGTGCAGATCTAGACGAAATGAGTGACACCGAGGGCAAATTGGTGTCTGGTGGTGTGCTCGAGGTCAGATGGTGGGGTGGGGTTTGGGTGACGCGCCGTGATACCTCGTGCCGAGTTCGCGTAACGCCAAGCCACGTGACCAGGAGCGCGTGAGGCCGGATAGGAGCCTTTTTGCCCTTTTGCCCCGCACCCATTACCAATATATTGCAAAGGTCCAGGGCCTCGGCACTTTTGTGGAACTCCTGCTAATGTTGCCCAGCTCCTCATGTTCCACAAAAGGTCCGAAGCAGTTTACTTTGACTCCATCCCGACAGAGTTGCTGGTTTCAGCTCCCTGCAGCTTGCAAGTAATTACGCGCTGCCGAGCACGCATGCACCCTTTCGCAGTATAAATACACTTCGGAATGCAAACCCGCAGCAGTAAGATTTATAAGAGGCTGGTATATAATACGATCGGCCAGCGGTGTTATTTTTTGAGGCTTTCCTAGCCCTGGTAACTCGGGCTCTTGCTATTTGTTGTCACCGGCAAGAGCTGGGAGGCACCCTTGATTGGGCTGGGTCGGCTGGGAGCAAGACAAGAGTGCTCCAAATATGGAACGCTGTTGTTCTTACCAAGAACACGTAGTTTTGTTCGCTGAGCAAGCGTCAGCAGATTACCTCTATGTTGAAGTCAACTTCCAGCCACCACTCTCCGTCATGACATGGTGGATAGTGCAATTTCATCGATCAGTTCGCGTTCCGGCCGGCGAACGAGTCGCCAATCGAGGGATATATCCGGCTGTCACCAAACACTTCCATAAGAGTGAAACCCCACCGCGCCCGGATTCCAACAAAGTAGAATCGTCCTTACTGATAAAAAATCATTTAACCTGGGTTGATGTTTGGTTCACTTACTCGACACTTGCTCCTTGTTACGTTTCTCAGTTATATTCATGCTGACTCTGGTATGAATTATATTGGCAGGGATCTCGCGGGACTTCCCAACTGAACCATGAGATCGTACTGTCCTCCATCTAGCATGCTCAAGTGCGAGCTTCCATCAAGAGGGAAAGGTAAGTGGCGTCGGTTTCTCCGATACTTGCCCCCGGGTCCGTTCTCCTTGGGTACCAGTACAATTCCCCAACCCATCGCCCCAAGATCTTTTACTTCTAATACCCAAGTTCCACGCCAGTTTTCCTCCCCGTCAATAGTTTGTTCTAATCTCCAGGGAAATTCACCATCGCTTCTAGACTCCCACCCTTGTCTGGAAGCATTTGTTGTTGTTGTTGTTGCTGTTGATTATTGAGGTTTGCCTTGGCCTGTTGTGCCTTTTGACTTCAGAAGTATCTTCGTGGGCCTTCTTCTTGCGGCCAGTGAGTCGACTGCAGGCAGCGACCAATGCCTTATGGCTTTGTTGATTCTGCCCATGACTCTTCCCGGTGTGGACCGTGTGGTGTTGGCGTCTGGATGGTAGTAACAGAGCAGATTTTCTGGCTTCTTAAGTTCTTAATGGTACTCCGTCGAAATAAGGGGACTTCTAAACAACAACTGTTAGGTGCTGTCGGGTCAGTGACGAGATTGAGCTTCTCTACCGTGTGGTGATATGAGTCTAGGATTTCATATCAGCCAGCATGTTTAAGAGAAAGTAGATATGCCTATCTAATTGTACGAGCCATGGGAAGTGTGGGTGATAAATGGTAATTCCTAACTTTCAATGCACGGAAAGTTTATAGATGTCCATAACTGTCGTAAGGAAGCCCCCAAGAAGGGAGCCTGGGAGGGGTTTGGTGATTTATACACCAACAGTGAACCTCATACCACCTAGAGGCAACCTACAGACCCCAAGCATTATTAATGGACTTTAGTTCGTACGGTGACTTGGGCGGCAGTGGCTGGCTATAGTGATTTTATTGCGTAAGGTATATAATACGTATAATATATATGTTGCGGTGCACGAATAATATGTTGTTTTGGGATATTGGAGCTTAAGGTATATAGGAGGACGCTTTAAGGCCCGCAGAAAGTGTACTTACAGATAATGCTTCGTCCTCTCTTGCGGACTCGGATACGGACTGAGCGATTGGCGTAGGTACCGAAACTGAAGGGTTGGCGATGAGCTTACCTTAGTGAGCCTGGTACTTCTTCGGGGTACAGTCAAAGGCCAGCCCTTAGGACGATGGGCGACCCGAACCATATATTGCAATGCAGCTGATTCCCCGTCTGCCGCGACCTTTAACCTTGAAAAGCTAACTGTCGAGCGACTCCGTTCGCTCCAGGTACAGGTCTAGGTATCGCGTCGGGCTTTCGAGCTAACTTCTTCCCGCGCATTTACGCCGAGGGAGGTGCTTCATAAGCCGTGGCCTCAACCCTGAACAAAGACTACCATCGAGTCGATGGGATACATGAAGTCACGAACCCCAGCGACCTCAATTAATAAGCGATATTAGTCGTAAACCCAGGAGCTTTCCAGTGCCAGAACGCCGCGCGGTGATATCGGGGCTCCTGTCCAGGGGATAACGCAAGAATTTCTTCCTAACTTCTCGCCATGTTGTAAACAATTCCCACAAGACTATTGAATCATTCGAAACCGACCACGACGGAAATATCGGCTTTTGTCTACCCCGCCCACTCCGATTATGACCCACGCCTTTACCGGCTAGAGCTGGGGTGCCTCCGGTACCTGATCTGTGGCCGGTAGTGTAGTTTAAAGCCCGTTCCGCGAAAAGGGTTATTATGTTAAGCAGCATGTGCGGCGTAGAACAGAGCTCTGCTTAAAGTGTGAAGAACTGCCGTAGATCTGCTGGAATTGCTTGGCGGAGAGCATGGCAGGTGGTGGGATCTGCGGGGGTGGGGCCTGATGGGGTAGGGTGGAGGAACTGGTCCACGCTTATAACTAGTAGGTGGTGACGCGGCTTTTCTAAAGTAGTATAGCTCGGACGGCAGAGAAAACGTGGCGGACGCTAGGATGCTACCTACCGTTGTACACGTACCTACCGGGGCATCGCATGGGATATTTGTTCCGAAAGAGGACCTATGGTAAGATCGCTGATTGGTTATTTCGTTGCCTTTGAACGACGCTATTTTAAAACCATCGTTTCCTCCCCGGTATCTATTACGGGTAGGGTATCCATTTTAACGAGACGACGAGTTTAACACGCAGATTCCGCTTTAGTAACGGAACCGATATACCCGCTAGGCCCGTCCACCGAAGAGAATGCCATACGGTAATTATATTGCCCGATACGTCGCAGAATATCGCTGAGTTCCTGGAATCCACTTCTAAAGGATTACGTACACGGTACCACGGTACGTATAATCGCCTACCCGTTATACTCCCTCTACGTGTACTAGAAAAATGTTCACGACGACACTGAGCAAGTAGGACTTTCCAGGAGTTAAAGAATTATGTATGCAGATCTGTATGATATCGCGCTATCATCCAGACAGGCGTACCTACCTGGAAGGGAGCGGTCTTGGGTTAGAGCCTAAGGTAGGAAGAGTCAGACTGTAAGTTGCCTTGCTTATGTACAACGTAGAGCTGGGCAGGGCCGCAGGGGGAAATAGCTGATCATTATGTCCACACTCTGGACAGTGATCGGCGCTCCGTCGTAGAGCCACATCCGTAAGAATGCCGTCTCTTAGACGAGGGGATCTATCGTGAGGAGATGGCCGTGGCAAACCATATGTCGATCACTTGTCGCTCAACCAGTGACAAACTACGTGCTCCGCATTGAGTCTTGGTGCTTCTAGGATCTTGATTCAGACTTGAGGACTCGGTCTAACTATCTCTGCAAATCTTGTCCATACTTCGCTTGGGAGAGCGTCACATTGGCTACTTCGCCTGGGAAAAGTCACATCGGCTACTTCGCTTGCAGGAGAGCCACCTTGGCTACTTCGTTTGGAAGAGAGGGATCTTGTATACTTTTCTTGGATAGAGGCATCCTGTATGCTTCTCTTGGATAGAGGCATCCTGTATACTGCTCTTGGATAGAGACATCCTGTATACTGCTCTTCGTAGCTTTAGCGGTAAACCTCCTCGAGACAAACGCTCAACGTCTTGGCCATTCTGGGGATCTGAAAAGGTATAAGAAGGGCGCTTCCCTCCCTTCAAGGCTCAAGCTGGATGATTCCCATCCACAATCACCACAATCACCACAATCATACATCTCGGACAACAAACTCACATAAACCAACAAGTCACCCCTTTAAATCATTCATAATGAAGTTCACTCTCGTTGTCGCCCTCCTCGTCTCCGCCGTTGCGGCCATGCCCGCTGCGGCTGACAACGCCAACGCCGAAGTCGAGGTAGCCGGCGACAGCCTCCAGGCCATGAACTGCGGCTCCGGCCTCTGCCGTGGCATCCAGGACAGCAGTCTCTGCAACAACCGGGTAAGCGGCCAAAGACAGACGAAGAGAGTCATTGCGTCTTCCAGGACATGAATGCTAATCCGTAAAATTACAGTGCCAGAACTGCAGCGGCCCTAGCGGCCCGTACTCTCGTGGAGAGTGCGGCGGCTTCCTCTGGCAGTAAGTAACACACATCATTTGACAGTCATCTACAATACCTATGGCTAACACCACGTTCTACCAGGACTTGCCGCTGCTTCTACTAAACATCTTTTCACGTCTCGTGTGTCGTGTGTCGTGGAATGAATGGCAGGAAGCAACCTGGTGGGGGCTGCCCAATACTTTGGGGAAAATGGTGACATGTCAAGGGGATAAGATAGGACTTGCTCCTTAGAGTCAACAATATAAGGAACATGCCACCGAACTTTGAGTCTCTGTCTATGGAAGAGTGTTGCATGCAGTGATCGCCTTTCTTCCGTCTCACTTGGTAGATCATCTTGTTGTACATTGTAGATCATCTCGGACCAGGGTTGCTCAATCGGTCACTAACCATGTGCCGACTGCCGAGTATCGCGTCAACGCGTGGCGCGCCAAGGGATAGACATCAGCTTTGCCGATATTGGAAGCTGCCCTGCCGACGGCAGTGCAGAGCGGGGTCTTAAAAAACTGGGTATCAGACACAGGTTTGTAAGACAATTTGGGCTACATATCAAATGCATACCTAATCGTGTTGGGGACCCAATGATACCTTTCGGCATAGCAATACTAATTACATACCACCCAGAATAAACCCAGGCGACCTACAAAGCTCATTTCCAAGTCCCTCGCTACATAACAACAAGAACCGTATTGACATGGGCCCCGACAGACGCTTCAACACGACCACCGTGTTACGGTGTTTTCTCACACACTCCAGTCTCCAGACAAAGTCCTTGACTCCTTAACGATATAGGCATTTTTATTTTTCCGGAGGATCCTTCTCGTGGCGGGAGGAAGCAGGATAGTCTAGGAAAGCCAAGTGATTTTCTTAAAGCACTACTCGCCTTTAGTGATATATTCACGTTCGGACACAAGTCGCGGTCTAAGGGGCAATGCGTGTCGTTGTAGCGGGCTGACCCGATTGGGTTAGATCGGCGGCTCTCGCATCGGCCCGCTTATGCAAAAATTGGTATGGGTACCAGTCCAGGGCGGATGTACGTATTGGGTAACACTGTGTGAGATCTGTGGGATCGGCGACATGGTACCTCAGGTAAGGAAGCCTCAACTGGTGCCGCACACATGGATTCCAACCCGTAGGCCCTCATAACGCCCCTCGCTTAGCGGGCAACTTGGGAGTACCTATACGATGTAGCCCCTAAGCCTGTCTGTGATTGCAGTATCAGTGTACACGTACATATATACATAAAGGCCGAGGCTGGGCTAAGGATTTCTGTGGGGCGGAGTGGCGTGGTATGGGGCGGAGAGTTTGGGTAGATAATAATTTAGTATACCGTAAAGACTCAATGACTTCGGGAATAGCACTAAGGACTTAGCACCCACTAACCCTACCTTATTTTAAAACAACTAATAAAATAAGGGAATTTTATAAGGTAGTTAACTAAGTAGAAAATCCTTATCGTAATTAAGGCTATAGGAGGTAAAGGGGTATCGAGATACGTAATTTACACGTGTACGATCGACTTAACCTATATGGGGAAGTGGGTAATTTTCATATAAGCAGCCTAGTACCATTCCCGAAGTTGTTGAGTCTTTACGGTATTTTACAAGTCGTGTCCTTTGGCGCTTTTATGAATATTAGTCGGCTTCGCCCAGATTCTTCTAGTTCCCTTAGGCATTCTATAAAAGGGTCGGAGCAGTTAACCTCTAAGTTATACCGAACCTTCCAAACGTGAGGCCTACGGACGGGGGTAGCCTATTAGTAAGCCTCGGATTTATAGATAACGGACAACTGTAGCTTATATCGACTATGCTAGTCTTCTACCATCGGCATTATATACAGAAATTCATTCAGAGGTAAGCAGAACCTACTAACTAGCATAAGGTAGTACACGCATACCCGAACATCAAACGCAAATTACAGGGGGTGGGGCAGGGGTAGGCTATCGGAGTGGAGATTAAGAAGTTCGGGGACCCAGGTGGTGGCTTACGACGTAATAATACACTAAAAGGTACCTAAGTGTAGAAGGGACTGTTGATGAGGTCATGTGACCTATGCTGGGGTTAGGCTGCTTACCTATCACAATCTTCCACTGTAGCATTTGTTACTTTCCCCTTCATCACCAACCTTCTAACCGACCATACAACGTAGAATCGTTCTTTCACAGGAAGGACGACTGCACCAAGCTTTGGGGTTTAGGCTTCTAAGGTAGGCCATATTTTTCAGTCAACTTGATTCTTACATCACATGGCAGAGATGTATTCCGTGTGTGTTGGACATGCTGAACAGGCTAGTTCTGCGTAGTACGTCAGAGTTCGGACAGAAAAGCCTTTGCTTTAACCAGAGCATGTATCTAGGTAGTCGGAAGAAGCCAGCCAGGCTCTTTCTTACGTAGGTACCTTACGAAGTACAGCCTCTAACCGGTGATCCGTTTGCTGTCCTAGAAAGAACCGTCCATGGCCGGGTAGGTACAAATGTCGCCGACCTGAACCTACCTTTGCACTGCCAACCTTAAATGGAGGTATTATGGGAGCGTCAGCTGGTGACTCCTCACACAAGTAACAACAGATCGGATGCGTCATATCAATCCAGCGGAACCCGACGTACCTACAGGTAAGGTAGGTAGGTACCTTAGGTACCTGACCCTCGGGAAACGAGGTACCTCAAGGAACACAAAGCACTTTCGGGTGTTTCAGCCTTCCCAGGATCGCCTTGGTGCCATCTCTTGAGTTCTACGGAATACGGTGTACGTTGTAGTGACAATGCCCCCCCCGGACATTCAGTAATTAATTACTTCACGTGCAGCTACGGTATTATTGAGCTGCCAATATACCTTGGCAGAGATCCTAACTCGAGCGCTTGACCAACCAACCTGCACCAGAGTCTGATCGATCTCTTCCCAGCTTCCTTCGTTGCTCATCTACAATCAAAGTCAACTAAGACAAACAACCACCTATCTGTCTCCCAGGTGCCACGAATAGTTTCGACGTCCATGTATCTCTTTTCCTTCCTTCTTGACCCCCTGCCTTGAAACCGTTTTGAGAGCATCGGGCCGACTTGACCTCGCTTACCCTGCCTACCTGTACACACCGCCCAGTTCTTTGGGTTGGCTGTCGACCTCGACCGAGTCTCACCTACCTACCCTCTGCGGCTCTGCCCCGCCATGGACCGTATGCAACGCAGCTTCACCAAGCTGATGAACAAAGCTCCAGGCGACAATGCCAAAGTCGCCCTGATTCTCAAGGAGTACGATGATGCCATTCAATTCCTTGGCAAGGTAAAACGACGAACCGAATTTATTTTCTACCATATCTTGACACATGCCACCCTCTCGCATTTTACCATGTAGCCAATCCGCTAATCTCGTCCATACAGATTATTGACGGTAGCAAGGCCCTACGCGATGCATGGCTTTCCGTCGCCAATTGCCAGTATGTACTTGTCAAGGAGTACGCTGAACTCTACGATCCTCCCGTGGGGGAGTTGGAACGGCCCACCAGACCTACTCCCGTGCTTCAAGTCAAGCGCACCTTTGGTCTCCGGGAGGCCTACAACGAGCTCAAGTCCGACCTTCTACAGGAGGTGGCGGGGATTGACGTACAAGTCATACGCCCTGCCACCGACGCCCTCGAGTTCATTCAGCCCATGCGGAAGACCATCAAGAAGCGTGAGAACAAGCGACTGGACTACGAGAAGGCCCAGGACAAGGTCAAAAAACTTCAGAAGAAGACAAGCAGGACTACTAAGGAAGACGCCGCACTTTCCAAGGCGGAGAGTGAGATGAATGTCGTGTCAGAGGTACGAAGAAGACGAGACAATCAGTTATATACTGTCCAATGCCCATGCAAAGGGTCTCGTTGCTAACTCGATCATACCATGCAACGCAGGAGTTTCAAATCGCCGACGACCATCTTCGGCGAACGCTTCCCCCACTCATTTGCTCCGTTTCTGACTTGGTTCCTTACTTGCTGGCTTCTCTCGCAACCATCGAGAACCGACTCTTGGGTCTCTACTACACCGTTCTCCACGGCTATTGCCAGGATCATGAATTTCCCTCACCGCCTCCGCCCATGGACCAAGTTATATCGCAATGGGCATCTCGGTTCAAGCCCGTCCAGTCGGAGACAGAGTCCATGTCAATCCTAGCGCGTGGTAAAGCCGTGCGCATGCCGATGGCAGCGAACTACGACTCGCAAAGCGGTAATCCCGCGCCCCGGAACAGCCAGACTCGCAACACGTCGGGCTTCCTGCCTGGCTTGACGGAGAACAATGGGACCGAACCTACCAGAAGAACAACGCGAATTCCATCCACCAGCTCCGCAGCTCTGTCGAATAAGTCAGATGCCTCGCCGCAGTCCAGCCGGCAGTCAAGCCAGTCCGCCCTGTCGCGCTCCAAAGTCGGCCTGCCGACCGATTTCACAACTGCGACTTCACTCGGCCAATCCCCGGGCAGCGGGCCCCTCGCTCCCGGCTATACGCCCTCCCGAGAGCGGTCTGACTATTTCGAGCATCAGTCGCAGCTTGTGATCAGCACTGTCGCGTCGCCGCAGGGCCGTAGCGCCTCCGGGGGCATCATGAAAAAGAAACCGCCCCCACCGCCCCCTACGAAGCGTGCACAACAGGCGCCAGTCGAATACGTTATCGCCGAACACAACTTTACGAGCGACCAGGATGGCGACCTGAGTTTCAGAGAAGGTGACAGGATCAAGATTGTCAAGAAGACCCAAAAGCTTCAGGACTGGTGGGTGGGCGAGTTGGGTGGCGTACAGGGCAATTTCCCTGCCAATTATTGCAGGCCCACGTAAATGGGTACAGACCTAGCAATAAGTCGATAACAGATTATTCTTCCTCCAATACCGATAGTCTAATATACTTATGTGAGGCTGCCATGCTCCAAAGGCCACGCTATGGCTTCATCAAGGTCACACGACAGGAGACATTCCTCTCACAATAGCTTTTAAAGAACAGACTTAAGGCATAAAGCTTAAGGAGTCGATGGAGAACCTATTCTACTCGAGAGACATAGTATAGGCTCTCTATTTCTATAAGTCTGAAAATACAAATCAAGGAAAGCCACCCCTAAGCACAATGCCATGCTTTGTAGTGTCTGATCGAACTCGCAATGTAAGGGGTATGCATTGGGGCCGCAGGCCTTCTGTCTATGGCTGGCCATAGAGGAAAATGGAGGGGTATCATGAAAGAAAACAAAAATGTGCGAAGACTGCAACTGCAGCAAAAGTTCGTCCCGGACTCCTTTCCTGGTTACGCCAAATATCTCCAGCTGCACAGCCTTTCGCAGCTTCACGTATGTAATCATGTGAATGCAGGTCCTGCTGCCTCCACCTAGGAAGGCGAAGCGCTCTCTCTTCTGATGCAGGTCTCATCAGCCCGCACCATCATTGTGACCTGTTCCCCTTCTCCCAATGGCGAGCATGCTTGTCTGCCACGCCCCATGTATCCTCCTTCCTCTCCCTCTTCGAGGTCCATAGGCGTTACAGGACCGGGGCTGCCGAGAGGCAATAGCCTCGGCGCCGTTGGTTTGTGGGTGTTCGATCCCCGCAGGGTCTTCAGAGGCGCGCTGTTGAGCGCGACCGAGGATACGGAATCTTGGCTGGATATGGAGACGCCGTTGAGTACTTCGCTGGCTGCGAGTCTAGCCTGAGCGACCATGTCCCGCTGATACTGTTGGAACATGCGCTTCACCTCAGAATCGTGGCGTGGCGGAACAGTGGATCGCGCGGGGACTTGAGGATCGGATTGCATCGAGGCTAGGCCGTTTAGGGCAGCTGAGCGTGGTATCGGTTGCTCTTGTCCCTGATGTTGAGGCGAGCGGTTCCACGTCTCGTAATTTGAAGGATAGTATTTGCCCATGGGCAGCAGAGTATCCGGTGCACCGCTGGGTAAGTAGGATGCGACCGGCGTATGAGAGGGGTGATTGCCCAGGTCTACCGCGGATCGCACAAATTCTGGCATAGTCGCGAGGGGAGCGGACGACCCGTGTTGGTGAAATGTCGAGGGTAATTCGAGGGAAAGATGGAATTCGTGACGAGATTTTCTGTTTTCAGAACAGAACGGATGAGGTCGATGTACCCGGGAGTTCGGGTCTTCATGTAGCGGGAAATAACCACTACGTCACAGGCCGGAGTTAGCGCTAATAAACGGGTAGCTCGAGACGGAACCAACGCGGCTTCCTTACCCAGGCACGTCACCACGGGCCGATAAAGGTTCGGGAGGGGTACCGCCCGGAGCCGAATGGAGTTTTCGGATTTGGGGGACTTCGATAGCCATAGGACGACTGCGAGTAGTTGTCGCAGGCGCCGAGGAGCTGTCGTCATTCGGCTTGAAGGTTGGTGCAGAGTAAACAGAACCGACTATAAAGTCAGTCAGATCAACCAGATTGGGACGATGAGTAAGAATGTTGTATTAATTAATGCATTGATCTCGAAGCACGAAAAATCAAGAAATAAGGGGTCAAGAAAACAGGGAGGTAATTAGAGCGCATAATCAACGCGAATGCGACACGGGCTGAGCGGGGTGGGGCTAGGGACCCCGGAGACATTTTCCAGGGCCCGATTTGGCGGCTGACTGACGGCATGGCTGCACAATTGCGTTGTGCCTGCAAGTATTCATTCCTTGAGAACATAAATGCAGAAAGCGGCCGAACTCGCATCGTCATCGTGGGACGACCAGCCGGCGCTAGAAACGGGCTCCCCGCTCCGGTTCCGTGGGGCGAGAGACGGATGCCGAGGGTAGTCAAGGTCAGGTACTGTTACACTAACTCGTACCTTACCTCCCCAGCCAGTGAAATACAGCCTGTGAATTTTTCGTGCCACTGAATAGTTACTGGGGCTCTTGGAGGATGTTTTGGTGTTGCTTCTTGTCTTCACGGAATCCGCCCTGACGTGGCATAACGCATGCCTCAAAAAAAGATAAAGAAAAAATAAAACTCACCTCGTGGGTTGGAATGTGTTTCATGTGTTTCACCTAGCGGTGTCGAGGGTGACGCTATGGCATCATCAGGCTGGCTCTTTTCACAGGCGTGACTGCCGAGTCCGGACATGATGGAATGGTCGTCACATCGCGAGTGGGTGGACGTAGCAGACATATCGGACGAGTTGGACAGACTTCTGCCAGGCGTGCCAGGCCGCCTGGTGCGTGCCAGGTAGACCGGCGATTTCAGGGATCGACTCAAGATGGACATTGCTTCCTTCTGCTCCAAGACAGAGCCTCTTGCTTCATGCCCGGGAACGTCTTGGTCTTTCTGCATCTGCTACCAAATTCGTCGTCTGCCTTGGTATACGGTGGCAACCCGACACCATACCACGTCTATAAATGCTGGCAAGTGAAAGTGCCGCCACGTTTCGTTCGAGCTTCCGAATTGAAGCGGCTCTTCAAGCACTATTCTCTATTGCAATCGTATGGGAGCCGCTGTCCTAGCAAGGACCTGTCGTAGTGCTGAAGGCGAATCTCGGATGGATCGTGTAAGAAGAGGTGTCGCAGCAGTAGGGACGGTAGCGTATTTGCGTGGTGAGGCCGCCTATGCGGTTCTGGATAGGCTAACAGAATCAACCTCAGTGTTCTTGTTGGACCGAGGGAATGTTGATGATGACATCACAGATTCCAGCTTGTCCGCTTGTGCAGAAAGGTCGTTTGCCGAGCGGAGGTTGTCAGGACGGGGTAAGCACAAAGACTATAGTACCCACCTCTAAATGGGGGTAGTGGGCAGTTATGATAAGGGAGTGGTTGTTGGAAAAAGGAGGGAAAAAGACAGGAGGGGAGAAGGAAAGAGAGGAAGGGGGCTTGTCAAGTCGGGCATACGAAATCGCCGCACCAGGGCTTGTCAACATGGTCCCTTGACCACTACGGAGTACGTTGTACAGTGTACGTGTAGAGTGGGTAGGGAAAAGTCTGTTATGTATATTCGTAGGTATAAGTTGGTCCTTCTCGTTCTCCTCCTGTGAAAACGCTCCTGCCAATTTGATCTAGGGCTAGGGGATCCGGTGTTTAGTGTTTTGTTTGCCGGTTTGTCCGCTGGGAAGTTGGATACCTTAATAAGCCACGGTTCCGCTTTGTCTGGGGTGGCTGTAGGCTACCTCGACAGGTACCTGAAGTAGGACGCATGGCATGTATTACCTAGCTCGTCTGTCTCCGTAACTGCAAAGTATTTCGTACAGAACTTGATATTAAATGTTGCGCTTACCCCGCAGTACAGGTACCTGCCTACCTTAGGTACCTTGCTACCAGGTAATAAATGCTGCATTTTCCAGATGGTATCTCCCCCGAGCTCAAGGAAAAGTCGACCCGTTACACTACTTGGGTTATAAGCGCTTCTTACATGGAAAATTCCTGCGACCTGCATGACGTGTCTAGCGATCGGAAGGGAAAAAGGAGAGAAGAAGAAGAAAAAGAGTTGCCAAGGGAAGAAATCATGTGTCGGTTCTGAACGTGATAAATGCCTTGGAGGCTGCTCTTTCCGCTGGTTAAGCAGATCATGGGGGATCATCATGGGACCATGGGTGCAGCCGATTCGTCGTCGGTTTTACTTGATCATTCACTCCTCCTCTCCAAAGCCAATACGACTATAAACAACATTGATGGTTTTAAATCAGTACGCACGAACTTCATGGGAAGGGCGCGCCCGTATGGTCCGAGAGGACCGGATCTGGTTCCGGCTCGAGTCTATAGATAGACGAGTAGGCGCTTGGGTGTAATCGAAATTTAGACCTCTAGGTTCGCCTTGGGATCCAGACGAATCATGTACTTACCTTATTGTGTTGTTATTATCCGCATCTTTTAAATTGGAGTACAATCCGTACCTGTATAAACCATAAGTACGACGAAGGCATGGTTGCATATGATCTGCTGCGGCCATGCGGCACCAGGATTGCAGTGGCGCACTTCTTCACCAGTTTTGTTGGTGGTCGATCTGCTAAAAATGCATGCATGCAGCCACAAAACCATCCATCAGTCCGAGGGGAACGGAGATGGTAGTCTACTCCGCAGGTAGAGACTGTACGCAGTCTTCCTGCACACCTACGTGCGGTATGGAAGTTATCGGTAGGTCTATGGGAACGAACCTGGCTTCTCGCATGACATTCCAGCAATGATATCCCGGGGAGCCCGTACAACGACTCTCCGTGTGAGCTAAAACCGTATCAGAAATACTTGATATTTCGTAAGATTCCCTCACTTCTCATATCAGCAATTGATGCTGGCTGCTGCTCGCTGATTCGCTCAATGCTACGGAAGAGGCGGTGGAGGTGAATGCATGACCCCAGGCGACTGACTTCCTTGGCAGTCGCTACCGTACCTATGTACGTGTACAGGTCATCAGGGGTACGGAGTATTACGGATACACGCAGAAACGAGGTTACTTACGGGGCCGGACAAGTCGCCGTCGACACAGTCAATCTTCGGCCAATCAGCTTCATTGGTTTATGCCGCTAGTGTCCTCGCGGGCTAATCATCAACTCGGTGCCTTCCCAGGAACGCAACTTATTTCATCTCATAATTACGGGATACACCACGGACTGCATTACAATCAATCGGACACGTTGCCTTGGTTCTTTTACCTGGTTGCCTCGTACGATATTTCCTGGACCCTGGACACTAATTACTGGAATACGGCACGTCATCCGACGTGCCAAGGCTGTTCTGGATAGTGTTCGCTCAAATGTCTCAAGAGTACTCATATCTCAACGAGCAGCTCTCACAGAGGAGCCAATTAGAGATCCTATCTCTGCGGGCTGGAGGGGATGATGAGACCCTCGACGTCATCGGTTTATGTCCGGCCTCCGCACTAGACAGCCTGAAGTTTCCTTTCCTTTTTCCTTTTTATTTTTATTTTTATTTCGCCTACGTGTACATAACATAGAGCTTTCAAAGTTCGAATCGGACAGCACCTCGGAGGAGCAATAACTTAGTACCGAGTCAGTACCTAGGTAGTTCATCTTGATACCGGTTAGCCCGAACTGGGTTATGGTTGTATCTAGTCAGTACCTACCTACCTTAGGCCAAGCTTTCTTAATCTTACGCTTATCTATTCGCCCACCTCATTGTCTCAGATATCGGTTTGATTATCACCGGCGATCAAGTCTTACTTTACCGCAAGCGTCTTCCAACGGACGAATCCTAGCGTTGCTTCGCAGGGGAAGTAGCCATCACTTCGATCTTCTTCGGGACTGACGAGCGAATATAATATTATCAGCTTTTTGACTTGCACTTCTGTCTATCCGAGCTATTATTAGAAACGAGTAATCGAAGAAAGTTGGTAGTCCGCCTACATACCTACCTACACCTGCCCACATACTTCTTCGTACGCAACAATCCAAGTCTTTTAATATCAATTCCATTTTCTATCTCAATTATCAAAAGGTTATGAGCCCGGGTGAAATCGAAGAACTTTTTATTTCGCGGATTCGGCAGAGCTAATCCGGGCTTATAACCTCTTGATAATTGAGATAGAAAATGGAATTGATATTAAAGTACAAGTCATATACAACGAAGGAATCCATATTTTAAAGGTTAGCGCGTATACAACGCACTGACTGGCTCAAGATAACAGGGAGCCCATGTGCGTAGACGTACTTCTAGACCCATAGAAGCTATATGTGTATGTAAGAACCTATACCTAGACAGAAACTCCGTTTCTCGACACTATCACTATTATCAATAATCTATCTTCGCCGTTCCTCTTAATAACCTACCTAATATAAGCGAGTAGGAATTACAGGAAAAAGCGATAGCTTTAGTTACGATATATATAATTAACATTAACTCCCTTAATCGTCAGTAATCGTTATATAGCCTTTGTACCTGTTTATATACAATAGGTGGAAAGGCACGGATGGACAGGACTAATAATAATCTAATAAGCGATTAGATATGGGCGAATTCACACGCTAACCTCTAAAACCCTGCGGGAGGTGTACATAATAAGGGAGCTAACACCAAGAACAAGACACTGTTGCTGACTTCGCTAAAACCGCCTCGCTCAAATTGTACCCTCGCCAAGTACTTCGTACTATTCTTAGGTACAACAACCTTTAGTTGGAACACCATGCGTCGACCATAAACCTAGCCCGTCGTCATTCCACGAGTAGACCACTGGCCCACGCCTCCGATAAGCCAGAAAATGTAGTTGGCCAGAATGACCCAGGCGGCATAATGGATGCGCTGGGCGCGGTTGCGCCTTAGAATCAGGTAAAGACCTAAGAGCAAAGCCCAGCCGATGAGGAGGAGCATGTCGACGAAGATAGTGTATTTGGGCCGGGGGCCACGAAGAATATAGACCTCGGCCGTGACAGCAGAAGCGGTGCCGAGGACAATGGCGCCGATCTGTAAACATGACTTCGTGGTTAGCAGTGCATATATCTCCCGTCAGTGGCCTGTAGTTCGCGGAACCGACGTACAAATATGATGGGGTGGACATTTGTGTCCTTGCCAGCCCGGAAGTGGTTACCAACCAGGATACAAACTGCTATCCCAAGGGCAAACTGGACAATGTGGACAACCATTAAGGCCTTGAAGGCCAAATGGACGTTGAAGGGCGAATGGACGTCCATGGTGGGTAAGGAGTCTAGTCTGTTGTTCTTTGTAGGTGAGTTGTCAATACTGTGAGCATCCGGGATGAGAGGGTAGTCATTGTCGCTGTGACAGAGATAAAAGGAAGAGTATTAGGGAGAGGAGGAGTAGAATGAATTCCAATGGATATATGCAGCACTGCGAGAGGCTTAAAATCTTTTCTTGGGGCGGGTTTGAATGCAGCCATGGCTGAAGGAGGCCCTGGGAGGCTGCACGGGATCTCGGAGACGAAACATGACTGGAAAAGAAGAGGCCCTTTTCTGGTTGTTTAAGCATCCTCTTGATTCTTGACTTCTGCGTGTTTTCTCAGCATAAGTATAACCGCTGAGGCGTGGCGCCCTAGCCTTGAACGCAGCCCTCCGTATGCCTTGGGGAGGCATCGCTGTAGGAGACAGGAAAGGGCAAAGGGCCTGCCACTGTAGGCGGGCGTCGATAGGGCGCCGTTAGCCATTGTGTCTGCCTCTGCCGCCTCGGGGGTTCTGGGAATGGTCAGACTTCAACAGAGAAGTGTATTTTCTAAAGCCTACGTTACTGGAGCCATTAACAATTATTCCATGGCGTTGGGGCCGCGCAAGAGATGCGTTGAAGGGGAAATGGAAAGGCTAGGGAGCCCCCCCACAAAGGCTCTTGTATCTGACACACTCCTATCATCTCCGAGAAACAACACCTGACCTTTCAGAGTCTCTTTCGAGGTTGTTCTTCTTATAGCCATTCTGTCCATCTGGTGTTCCTTTCAGTTGTTCTGTATGCCGAGCTGTTCTCACTCAAACCTTGCGAGCTAAGCCTCAACGCTTTCGGCGGAATATGACCCTTAGGACATTGTCGGAGCCATCAACTTTCGAGGGCGTACTTTCAAGGGCACACCAGCTCCTCAAACCAACCACGACCGCGGTTAAATCCAGATGAACATGTAAAGAATGGCATTGCCGGTATTAGCCCCTTCCACCTAAAATTGGGTAGGGATGGAGTACGAACAGCTGCTCATAAATGTGCCGCGAACCCTGTGATCGGGGTATTTGGTCCGATACTAGTGGCCAGAGGATCGTATGGTTCCCCGAGAAAAACGAAAGCTTGTTGGCGATCCGTTCCAGCGCAGAGATATTCAGTCGATGATTCACATTCTGGCAGAACACGGTGCCTTACTCATGTCCGATGATGATCGGTTCTGATAGGCTAGGCAAGTTGCGAGAGGGTTGCGGCTGCGCTCTCAGATTCTCAGCCTGAACCCGACTGACTTTTTGAGGATTGGTATCGCGGAACTACTACGCCATGCGAGGTCGATAAGATCCGCTATAAACGGTCTGCTGAGGGCAAGGTTCTTCTGGCGGTGGCAAGAGCTGCGCGCAAAAATGGATCCTCAACAGACGCTTATAAGCCCCTACGTCCTCCAGGAGTTGAACCTTGTTCTCGAGGAATTTGCGTCCAGGGGCCCGATGATGCATTGTACAATCAAAGCGAGCCACAGGAAGAAAAGAAGAAAAGAAGAAGAGGAGAAGAGGAGAAGTGGAGAAGAGGGAGAGCAAGGAGAGAGAAGAGAGGCGAGGCAGTAAAAATAAATTCTCTTATTGCTACAGTGATAGCATGGCCCACAAGGGAGCTGCCGTGTGTGTACGACTTTGATAAACTCGACGCAATAAATGGCTCGTCCACCGTAATAGTACAGCAAAGTAAGCAACCCAGACGCTAATAATACACCTGGTATATACAATGGCTGGAGGCTCAGGTTCCCAGCAACTGAGCTACACCGCCAATATAGTGACTGCTCATAGGCAGCCAGAAGTTTGTGAGAGATATCCCGGACACGTACACGTGTTCATGGCACTGATGTCGGGATCTTGATTTGACCTTTCCTCCGATCGTTGAACGGCACACCATACCGCCAGCCCACGGCCTTACGGCCGCGTCCGTTCTTGCCCACGACTTCCATATTAATATCTTTGAAGCGGTACTCAAAGCGGTCCGTGTCGACGCGAGTGGTGCGCTCCTCCTCCTGGGCCGCTCGTCGTTCGAGCTTCTCGACCAAGGCGTCCTCCTCGGCCTTGGTTTCGGCCTGGAACTTGCCCTGGTTTTCCTCGTCTGGCACGCCAGCGAGCTTCCGCTTCTGCAGTTCGATAAGCTCCGGGTGTGGCGACCGGGCGTCGGCCGAGAGAAGATTGCGATGAAATGCCTTGGCGGCATCCTCGCGGGTGAACTGGCGCGACTCCGAGACGGGCACAAAGAGCTGCTGAGTGGTGAGCTTGTGGACGTGGATCTCATTGACAGGCTCGTGTATGGACTGCTGGCCCGGCGTATATGATGTTTTGGGCAACAGGCAGAGGATCGCGTTTGCATACGGCTTCGCCAGCTTTTTCCCCTGAAAGTGGAAATGATTATCCGTCAGTAAATAGCCCCGAGAAAGTGGTTTGCTAGTATCGACGACGGGGAAGGAGAAGAGGGACAGCGTATCAGAGAGGCTCGCAGTGCCAAAATTGTAACCATGTGTGTGTCTTCAAGACTAATCGATTGTTTGAAATGGTATTCATCATTTCACGCTGGGCGTAGGGCGCCGGGAAGGGGAAAAGGGGGAGGAAAGCAAAGATTCTTCGTACCTCGGACTCCCATTGTTTTTCAAGGGCCTTCATCCGCACCACTGCGGCCACTCTCCTGATATCTACTGAGAGGTCTGCTGACACAGCCTTGAGTGACACCTTATCTTCCTTCACTCGCCTGTATATCTCTTCTCTCATGCTTTCGTCTAGCACAGGCTCACTCCTAAATAGCGGGTTCAGAGGAAAAGGCTGATTTGGCAGATGTCCGAGATACCTCGGAAAGCCATGTTGTGAGTCCTCGAAATTCTGCCCTTTCATATCTAGCCATCTGTACATATCGGACCGCAGCTTAGTGGTCTTCTGACATTGGGCCGTTGTGGAAAAGGAACAGGCAACCTGAATGTGCCCGTTTCGTGCTGCGGGCGCCGCATGGGCACTACATCGCTTCAGGCCCGTGCCTAGAGCCGAAGAGGCTGAGCGGGAGGACATGTGCAACGGTCGCTGTGTGTGAATAAGCGAGACCGTTTTTTATGGATGGTGCATGGCGAGGAGTGAGGATGTATGACGGGAAGAGAATTTTGGATGGACGCCAGGAAGATGGGCATTGGGGGAAGGGAAGAGATTTTTCTCCTGGATTCGGATCGGGAATAAATCCGTTCCCTTGTTATTGCTTTGACTTAGTGTGGCCCGTGCTGTAGTCCGTGCTCCGCTGCGTGAGTGTGACTAAAGGTACGTACCTATTCAACTGCGAATGGGGTAATTATGACTTTGTACCTAGGTACTCCAGAAGATCTCGACGATGCCGAGGAATGCGGACAACTCTGCTCCGTTCGTTAGCTTCGACATAAATCTTCATGGGACTTCTCTGCAAAGCCCGCCTGGACGCTCTGCCCGAGAGAGCGGTCAGCAATCAACCTGTATTTAGGTTCGTCCATACTCTGACGAAGACGTGACCATCACTTGTTCCTCCTGTATGCACTTCTCCTTCGCTCTCATGATAAATCCATTGATATTAGAAAGCGTCAAGAAAACATCTGCTACGTGTTACCCGAACCTTATTCCAACCTATCTCTGTTGAAGGTAGTACGCTACTAGGAGAGGACCCGATCACGTCGACATGAATCCTCAGCTCCAGTGTATGGTCCCAGATCAACCAAACAGAAGTGGTCCTGGGAGGTGAAGAGAGATTTGAAGGCGACGGCTTGAAGCCTAGCTGAAACGACTTCGAGGGCTTCCTGGAGAAACAGGTGTGAGGGGCTAGGATTGTTAAGCCGGTATAGAATATGATGGTTGTTGTGACTTTTATTATTCCACGATTACCACCGGCGGCTTAGATCAACTATCGAAAGGACACTATGTTTCCTCTTGGTTCCCTCCTCAACGTAAATAGGTTGATTAAGATTCTCGTAATCCTCGCAGAGCAAACAATTCCATGATACTGCCGCTGTTCGTTTGCCATACATTACCTGCTCAGAGAAATCGACTCGTAGATCCCCTAATGATTCGTACAAAAAAAAATCCCCCCGAAAGCAAAGCTAACTCGTGTTTTTCTTTCCCCGAAGGATGTCTTTAGTGGGAATCGACAAGTCCACAGGAGTTTCCGTCGTCGGCGACGAGATAAACCGGGAAGTCTTTGCGTAAAAGAAGATTTTCCGTGGACATCTGAATTGCCCAATTCCCGAACTGTTCCATCATGCATGTGCTGTTGCCATGGATAATCGATTCTTCTTCGCTTTGGCTTTCGCGGCCGACGTCTTCTTCACTTCGGTGTCATCTCCCTCCTGCGAGAAATCCTTCCACTTCCTCCATCCGTCAAAGTCGATGAGGGCCTGCATACAACCCCACTCCATGACTTTCCTCTCGAGCCAGACAAAGTTTACGGGCTGTATTGCGGGTTAGCCAGACTGATCCGAGGGACGTGTGGGAAGAAAAAAGAAAAGAAAACGCACCTTGGTCAAGAAATCATTACAACCGGCAGCCAGGGCCTCGTGCCTGTCGCTCTGGAGAGAACTGGCCGTGAGGGCGACAATGATGACCGGGCTCTTGAACATTTCCACGTTCTCCAAGCGGTCCTTCTCCTCGAGCTCGCCCTTGACGGTTTCGACTTCACTCGACGCCGACGAGAAGACGCCAATGGAATTGACGCGCTCCAGTCGGCGGATTTCCCTGGTCGCGTCGAGTCCATTCATGACAGGCAGCTGGATGTCCATCAAGACGAGATGGAAGCCTCCGTTCTTCCACTTGTTCACCGCATCCCGGCCATCGATGGCGGTCTTCCAGCGAACCTTTAACCGCTTGACGAAGGCTTCCAGAAGTTTCAGGTTGATGGGGTTGTCTTCCACGATCAAGACGTTGATGGGAGGGACGCCGCCGTTCAGCATGCCGGGCGGGAGCACGGGGTGGTCCATTTTCTTGACCTTCTTGGGCCGCGCGCTGGCCGGGCGGGGCGACGAGAGTCTCGGCGGAGGTGTGGCGGCTCGTTGAATTTGCTGGGTCTCGGGCGCGGGTGGCGTGGGAATGGCGGGGGCGGCGGGTTGCATTGTCGTCTCCCCGGATGCAGTAGAGTGTGCCCGGGAGGGGGGAGCCCTCGGATGAAAAGAGGCATGTGGAGTGTGCCCGGCAGCAGCCGCGATGGGTTGTACCGGTCCGTTGACGTTGGTGGTCGGGGATGCGGTGTGCGTCTTGCCGGGACGCGGTCGTTCGGGACGGTCCCTGTAGGTGCGAGACCAGGTGCCGCCGCCGGGAGAGGGAACGGGAGGGATCTGGCCGGTGCCCAAAACAACCATGGAGTGAGGTACGTGTGCCGGTGGTTGAGAATGGGAATTGACCGGCGCGACAACGGGGACAGCAAGGTTGGGAGACGGCATGGAGCCGAACGGGGGGAAGTAGCCTTCCGCGCCTTCTGGTGGCCTTCCGTCCTCGGTCGCGAAATAGACGGCCGCGGCGTGGGGTGGATCGGATCGTGGTGATGGCCGGGGGGTGCGGCGAGTAGGTACGTCGATGACCAAGGCCTCGTCGACAGTTTGGCCGCCGGGGAAGTAGGCGTCAAGGGTGCGGCCCATGGGCTCTTCGGGCCCTAGGGTCCTCTCTTGCCGGTGCTCTCGTGGGCAGATGCGAAGTGTCAAATCCGGAGCATCCAGATATCTGCCAAGCGAATTGGGGTATTTTTTCAGAATCATATCGCGAACATCGTCGACGAGGTCGTCCTCGTTGACGGTGATGAGGGTAGCCGAGGCGCCCGGCCGCTTGACCCAGACCTTCCGCGATACCATGTTGGGGTTTATTGCCCGTAAGGTCGAGGGGCTGGCAACGTCGGCCTCGTGGGCCTCTGGGGGAGAAGCGTCGAGCAGAGTCTTGATGAGGGTAGTTTGTCGGTGCGGCAAGAGGCTCTGTCGGCGTGGCGGAGCGGGTGGCCTGGAGAAGGCGGCGGAGGATGATGAGGTAGGGGGTGTCAGAGGGACGTCGGCGGAAGGAAATGGGGGTTCTTCGATGCTAGCGGATGGCAGAGAATGGAATTCGTCGATGCTTGGCAGAGGAAAGGGAGCGTTCGCGGTGGGAGTAGCGGTAGCGGTAGCGGTAGCGGTAACTGTAGCGGAGGGGCGCAGATCTTTTCCAGGAACACCACTAGCCGTTGACGTGGGTCGCTGCCAAAGCTCGCCGTTCGTGTCTCGGCTTGGCCCTACCAGCGGGGAGGAGCCATCGTTACTGGCTTTCGTAGTCGTAGTCGAGGTGCTGCCGCTGCTAGTGCTGTCTCTTGTCGTGCTTGCGCGAATATCAATATTTGTAAGATGCTGCTCCTCCGAGTGGTAGTGGTAATGGTCTTCAATATTTTGTTGATGTTCTTCTAGTTGATGTTGTGATGGCTGACGTGTATTTGGGGTGTCAGTGGGTTTCGCATCACCAGCCTCAGAAGAAACGCTCCTGGTCTCGTCTGCGTCAGGCTGAGAATGGCGGCGGATGTCGCTCTGGGCAGAAGTGATGGAGCTGGCTGTTGAGTTCCTCCTAGAGAACTTGGCGACCAGGCGAGCTTTCAGCTGACTACCACCCATCGGGTCGGGGAACAGGAGCCAAGCCCGGCCACAGCCAGCGATTTCAGAAGGTCGAGGGACCCAGTTCTTCGTTCTCTTGCCTGTTCGACTCGACCTACAAGCAAGAAGATTATCTCTCCCTTTCCCTCTCGTTTGTCTTTCCTCCTTCTTTTCCTGTCCCGTTTTGAGACACTTTCGAAAGAGAGAAGGGAGAGTTTCGCCCTTTCTTTTTTTGCTTTGCTTTTGTCCCTTTTTTCTCTCGACAATCCCGCTCTCACGGGGTTGTCTCTTGTTTGGGTAGGTGGGTACGTCTACGTGTACGTGGAACAGTTGGGGTAAATGGAAGAAGGGTTGAGCGTACCGGTACAGAGTTCGGTGTACGGATAATAATAAAGGAAAAGCAGCTCGTTTCAACGACGTATCTATTATTGCTGATAAGGATTCAAGTCTAGGTAATGGGCCTGGCCACCGGCTGAATGGTGAGGGGAGTTTGATCACTGGGCTTTTTTCTACTTTTTTTTTCTCTTCCTAATTGATATCAATGACTCTGCAGTTTGAGCCGGGAACACTCGCCCGATGCTACATAGATATCTGTGGTTTTGGAATTCTAAATTACTAGTGTCCTAATAAGGTGCCTACTCTTGATTAGGTCCAACAAACACACACAACGAATAACTACGTAAGGACAATACAACCCTGTGTCGTGCCCTATTACGATCGATAACCGACGTTGTCCTGTCCTCCCCTACCTATCCCAGAGCTCACCAGCCTTAAAGCAGGATAAGCTGGCTGCTATCTAAGGTATATCCTCGACTTCAAACAAGTATTCCACATTTTCTCTCGAGTTGTTCTCCGAGTTATCCATCTAGTGTATCATTATGTTAGGGAAAGAATGGAATACCTACTCCGTAAACATCAACAATCCTAAATATCATGTAGTCGTCGACAATTAGGGATCACAATCCGGGACCTAATTGTACCGGTTGTAGGGGAAGCGATAAGCTGCTGTACTTTACCTAAGGTACCTAAGGCACCTACCTAGGTAGGGATGCTGATACGGAGGAATGTGGGCCTCGAGTGATGAGGCCACCTCACCTCACCAGGTACAAGCCTTGTGCTGGATTGGCTGGACGGACCCATTGAGTTCGAGCATGTGGTCCCTTTTGTTGACAGCCCCTTTATTACAACGTACAGCCCCAGGAATTTGACCAAAAGAAAGGGAGAAAACCCCCCCCCCTTAAGTACCAACAAGTATTCGCACTGCACACTCCATACCTACAGGTACGCCGACAAATGGCAACGGCACCCTCCAAGACGCCCTAGACTTCTAGGAGCTTCCTCCTGCATTTCTTCCACTTATTATCATCTCCGTCTGACCTCCCTTTTTCCCTCCTCAATAGATTTTCTTTCTATTGATGGCCATTGTCGGGACTACGGTTGTCTGCACTGTGATTCCATGACAGCCACTTAATCATTTCGCCTCTTCACTTCATCACACTCTTTTTCCTCCCATTGTTCTTTGGTTTCTTTTTTTTTTCCATTGACCCGAGCATTTGGACGTATCTGAGGTGGTATGATATAGGTGTCCCATTGACTCGTGAATCGTCCAGGAGACCGAGCTGTGCCACCGAGCTGTGCACACGGGACTTGGCCTCGGGGAAATCCTTGAACCTTACGAACTGTAAGGTATCTAGATAGTTCTGCCCGTGTCCTCGACCTCCCATCACCTTTTTCGAGCTTCCCTGACGAGTGGCCTCTTCTCTTCTCACAAGCGCCTTCGCCGCCGCCGCCTGGCAAGGCAAACCATTCGACAATCATGGCCCAGCCGAGTGCCTCCACGAACTTGGTCGAAAAACCCCTGGCCAATTCTTCCAAGGTCAAGACCCCCGCCAAAACTTCACAGATCGTCGCGAAGAAACTCAAGAAGACCAGCTACAAATCCGACGGCGTTCAAGACCACGATGTCTTCCTTCTCCCCATCTCCGACTACCAGATTATGCTGGTCCTTACCGTGCTTGCCGTCATTGTGCGCCTCTTCCGCATCTATCAGCCCTCGAGCGTAGTCTTCGACGAAGTCCAGTACGTTTTCCTTTTTCTTCTTTTTCTCCTTGTTCTTCTTCTTTTTCTTGATCATCATCATTTATCATCCCCCACTCCCCCCCCTTGGGCTGGGACCTCGCATAAGGCAATACGCTAATCATGACGTCTTTCTCCTGGCAGTTTCGGTGGCTTCGCTTCGAAATACATAAAGGGAAAGTTCTTCATGGACGTCCACCCTCCCCTGGCCAAGATGCTGATCGCCTTGACCGGATGGCTTGCCGGCTTTGACGGCAACTTCGACTTCAAGGAGATCGGCAAGGATTATATCGAGCCTGGCGTCCCATATGTTGCCATGCGCATGTTCCCTGCTGTCTGTGGCATTTTGCTAGCTCCCATGATGTTCCTGACCCTGAAGGCAACCGGATGCCGCACTACAACTGCCGCTCTGGGCTCGGCTCTCATCATATTTGGTATGCATTTCGCATTTGCTTTCCCTCACCGCGTTTACTCTAAATTGCTGAACGCTAATCCGGCCATAGAGAACGGCCTCCTGACCCAGGCCCGCCTGATCCTGCTCGACTCGCCGCTTATGGCCACTGTTGCCTTCACCGCTCTCGCCTTCAACTCCTTCGCAAACCAACACGAACAAGGTCCGGAGAAGGCCTTCCAACTGAGCTGGTGGTTCTGGCTGGCTATGACTGGCCTGGGCATGGGCGCGACCGTCAGCATCAAATGGGTCGGTCTTTTCACTGTCGCTTGGGTTGGCAGCTTGACGCTGGTGCAGCTTTGGGTTCTGCTTGGCGACACCAAGACCGTGACTCTGGTATGTACAACTTCCCCCCTTTCCCCCCCAACAGTTCATCCACTGTGGTTGTGCACCTGTTTCTCCTGGCTGACTTTGACTCTCCCGCCGCACAGCGCGTCTGGGCAAAGCATTTCATGGCCCGCGTTTTCTGCCTCATCGTCATTCCTGCCACTTTCTATCTGGCCATGTTCGCCATTCACTTCGTCTGCCTGGTGAACCCCGGCGACGGCGACGGTTTCATGAGCTCCGAGTTTCAGTCCACCCTCAACAACAAGGGAATGAAAGATGTCGCCGCCGACGTTGTCATGGGCAGTCGCGTCTCCATCAGACATGTCAATACCCAGGGCGGTTATCTGCACTCTCACCCCCTGATGTACCCCACCGGCAGCAAACAACAACAGATCACCCTCTATCCTCACAAGGACGAGAACAACATATGGTTCATCCAGAATCAAACCCAACCTCTCGACGTCGACGGCCAGCCAGTCAACGGGACCCATGCCTGGGACAGCCTGCCCGAACCCGCCTACGTCAAGGACGGGAGCGTCATCCGTCTGTACCATAAGCAGACCCATCGCCGCGTCCATTCTCACGACGTTCGTCCTCCCGTCACCGAGGCGGATTGGCAAAATGAAGTATCGGCCTACGGCTTCGAGGGCTTCGAGGGCGACGCCAACGATTTCTTCCGTGTCGAGATCGTCAAGCAGAAGTCGCTGACCCCCGTTGCCAAAGAGCGCGTCCGGACCATCGAGACCAAGTTCCGCCTCGTACATCTCATGACTGGATGCGCCCTGTTCTCTCACAAGGTCAAGCTCCCCGAGTGGGCTTCCGAGCAGCAGGAGGTGACCTGTGCCCGCGGTGGCACCCTGCCCAACAGCCTCTGGTATGTGGAGTACAATGAGCATCCTCTGCTCGGCGAGAACGCAGAGAAGGTCAACTACCGCCGCCCCGGCTTCTTCGCCAAGTTCCTCGAGCTGCACAAGGTCATGTGGAAGACGAATGCTGGTCTGACCGATTCGCACGCCTGGGACTCGCGTCCCGAGTCCTGGCCCATTCTCCGACGTGGCATCAACTTCTGGGGCAAGCAGCACCGCCAGATTTACCTGCTCGGCAATCCCGTTGTCTGGTGGAGCTCGACGGCAGCCGTCGCCGTCTACGTCCTCTTCAAGGCTATCGCGATCCTCCGCTGGCAACGCAATTGCGGTGACTACGCCAACAGCACCTTCAAGCGCTTCGATTACGAGGTGGGATCGTCCGTTCTGGGCTGGGCCTTCCACTACTTCCCGTTCTACTTGATGGCCCGGCAGCTCTTCCTACACCACTACTTCCCGGCTCTCTACTTCGCCGTCATCGCCTTTTGCCAAATCTTTGACTTTGTCACCGCGCGATTCTCTCTTTTCGGTGGCCGGAACAATCCCATCTTCAACCGAGCATCTGCCGTTGCCTTCTTGGCTCTTACTGTCGTGGTTTTTGTCCTCTTCGCACCCTTGGCATACGGCAATGTCTGGACCAAGGCCGAATGCAAGCGCCTGAAGCTCTTCAGCACATGGGACTTTGACTGCAATACTTTCCACACTGATGTAAGTAACACTGAGCTTGTGAGCTTGTACTATATGCGGATGCTAATGTGATGGTGTCTTTTGATGAACAGTATTCGCAGTATTTGCAGACTTCGAACTCAACTACCGCCGCGGAGAAGACGCAAGCCAAGTCGACCGAGTCTAAGACGAATACACCCAAGGCACCGAAAGTACCTAAAGCTCCCAAAGCTCCCGAACCACCCAAAGCACCCGAACCCCCCAAGGCGCCCAAGGTGCCAGTCAACAACCAGGAGGCCCAGGTACCCCTCGCCAATGGCAATGAGGAAGAGGCTATCTCAGGCGCCCCTGAGGCACCAAGCCAGCGCATCGTCGGGCGGGAAGAAAGGATTGAGTACCGGGATCAAAACGGCAACCTGCTCGACCCCGAGCAGGTGAAGGCCCTGGAGGGCAAGGTGGAGTTCAAGACGAAGTATGAGACGCGGACTCGTGTTGTGGATGAATATGGAAATTCCGTTCCATTACCTCCCGATGAGCAGCAGGAGGACCAGGGCGTCGCACCCCCGCACCCGGACGTTCAGGGCGTCGACCAGGAGACCAAAAAGAACGTGCCGGCCGATGACTCGCCGATCCCTGAAGCCGTGGAGAGTGTCAAGGGCGAACGCGAGGCAGAGCAACAGAAACCCAAACCCGCCAGCGATGGGAATGATGCTACCGCTCAGGAAGAGTGAGTGACGGAACGGCTTGTCCTGTCATCACCATTCTTTTCCCCTTCCCCCCTTCTCTCCCTTTCTGGGTCTCTTCTCATCCAACCTCCCTGGCCATTATGACATCTGTGCTTTCCATCTTCGGTCTACGGAGGGATATCCTCAGTTTTCGAGGACAATATGGCATCTCTACGCAGTGCCCTGTTGTATCGATGGAAGCACAGGGTCTTTGATGAAGCGAGCCATGTACAGTAGGCAGTAGTAGTTATACGACCTGACACCAGTCAGGCCACGCAAATCTCCCTTGGAGTCTTAGAGACATGGAAATAAAATAATGAAGCTCAAAACATTGTAAGCCTGCGCCTCGTTAAGACTTGCCATGACTGATGTCCAGTCATTAGGCAGGTTTCTAGGGTCGTACGTAACATGGTTTCGAATGTCCTTTTGGTCTTGTTTGTTTCTTTCGAAAAGAAATATAGCTTTGGTATTATTGAGTATTTACTTGCCCACCGATTCTGCACACCACCTAGCCGCCACCTTGGAGAAACACCCAAGGACATTACGGATGATACTGGTCAGTTACCCCGAACAGCAAGTTAGAAAGGATCCGCACCGTTTTCAAGGCTTAGGTGTCACGTGTTCGCAGCAAGATCCAGCCCTAAAACCACGTTGGATTTCAGTTTTGAGTGTGATGCATGGATCATGTCCGTCTTCACATTAAATAAGGGGGGGAGGGGAATAGAGGGGACGGGATGATGCTTGTCACTAAATACAAACGAAAAGGAATCCCAACCCCGATATATGTTCCGTATGCCATCCAAACCAAGCCCGTACATGAATAATCAAAAGGCAACCACCTAAACTCCTAAAGTGCCTCCTCTTAGCCCGTATAGCTTTCGCCCTTGTCCGACATGCTTTGAAAGAGCAAGGGAAAACAAGAGGGAATGAAGAAAAACAACGCCAAACCCAAGCAACAGAAAAAAAAAAAAAGAAAAAAAAAAGCAATGCTGCCACTTATGCTACTAACCCGCAGCGAATATTTTGATGGAAACCCGAAGAGCCTTGTCGATGAGGCAAGAGCAAAATATTGCAGTATGTACCATGGGGTAAGTATGGTGCGTGAAACAAGAATGTATAGGCAAGAAGGCTGTGGCGGCATTTCCTCCATTGCGCGTGTATGTGCAGCGTTTCAATATGATATGTGCGGACTAAATGGGATGGGTGTTTATCCCTCCACCTTCGATATCGTGATGGACAGCCTCTTCGATTCGGTCTCCGTAGGCTCGACAGTATCGTCAGTCACAGTCTCACGGGACTGAGGGGAAGCATGAATAATACGGGGCGACGATGCTGTGGGAGCGCCCCCTTCGTCTGTGGAATCGGCGGCGGCGTCGCTCTGTTTTCCGATTTGGCCTTCTGTCGCCACAGCTGTGTCGTCTGCGGCGGCTGGAGGGGACTGGGGGCACGGCTCTGGCGGGACGTCCTGGCTCGGTCGAGGACTGCACTCGTGGTCCAGCAGCAGTGGGTGGCCGGCGGGAATAACGCCGCCTCCGAGACGAGACCAGAACATTTGTTCCCGAAGCCGGATGCTCTCTTCCCAGGCGGCCTTCTCGGCGTCTTCCTTATCAGTGCGCCAGTGGCCGTCCTTGAGGATGCGCAGGAAAGAGAGGAAGTCGCAGGTGGACCTGACCCGACCCAGGCAGTATTTGCAGAGAGGATAACGTTGCGCAGAGTCCGACTCGGTTGTACGAAAGCGGTAGGCCCGTAGATAACGCTCGTCCTTCCGATTATCGCCGCAGAGAGAGCACGGGTAATACTGCGGCTTGATGAAGGCAGAATAAGGCGAGTTGGAGGGAATGGGCTCCACCACGATAGTCCCCTCTATCATGGCGTTCAGAACGCTACGGCGCGCGAGCCACGACAAGCCAGGAGCCAGGTCCAGACGCAAGGTCGGTTCCACGTCTTCGGCCAGGACGCGTTTGTAAAACTTGGTCTCTCTCAAGGAAGGGAGAGGGGTGACGGGCTCGGCGGAGCCGGCGGCCGTGAAAGAGACCGGAGTATTCGGAGTCTGCGGTGATGACGAATTCGCCGCGGCCGGCGGGGCGGCAGCGTTCGGCAAGGACGAGGTTGAGCCGGTGGAGACATGCCTGCTTGACGTGCTACCGCCAAGGCCAAGCCCGAGCTTTTGCACGCCAGCAGCGAGAGAGCCAGAAGAGATGCGATTGGTACTATATCTTCGCGAGAGGCGCGCTAGCATAGTGAAGTCTTCGTACGAAGCCAGGTCCGTCCTTACGACAGGTTGGATCAAGTAGGTCAGGCTCGTGGAAGCGGTGGGAGAGACGGGCTCGGGAAGAGGGGTGGCGAAGGTGGTGGTGGTGATGTTGGTGGTTTCGGGAGAAGACGCATCGTCGTTTCTCAGCTCGAATCTGCTCAGGCCGGGGGAGGAAGGGACGGTGGCGGAAACGGCAACAGCAGCTTGTTCGTCTCTCTCGGTGGCCATCTGTTCCATGACGTCCTTCAGCTGGGCCAGCTGGTCTTGCTGGGACTGGAGTAAGGCCTCAGTGTCGGCGAGCTGGGCCTTTAGCTGGTCGTTCTTCTTTTGCAGGAGTTCCTGGTCCCTGCGGGCCTCCTCTTTGGCAGAAATGACCATCTTATTGGCCTCTTCGAACAAGGCTGTGGTGAGATTCTCGAGCTCGAGCTCGATCCTCTTCTTCTCCTTTTCCACGTCTTCTCTCTGGAGTTTTTCGGCAGCGACGCGGTCGTTCAGTTTCTTCTTATCTTCCTCAACGGTCCTCTTCCGCACCCAGACGTCGCCGGAGAGCATTTCGCGTTGTGTGGCGTTCCTCTCTTCCAGCGTCCTGATTTGTTGGCGAGCCCTTTCCAATTCGGATCGTGTGGCGGCGAGAGTATCGTCGAGAGTTGCTTGGTAGTTGATGGCGCTAATGAGCTTGTTGCTTAGGGTGGCCACTTCGGCGTTCAGGTCAGGATGGTGAGAGAAGGCATGGCCACCGACTACTGGGCTCATGTTTCGACTTCGCGGGTCGGGCAATGTGCTCAGCTCGGAATCGTCGGTATCGGGCATGGGGGAGCGAGGCAGCGAGCGCGGGGATGTGGCAGTTGCGGCCATGGCGGGCAACTCGGATGTGGAAGGAGACCTTGTATGCTGTGATCTCGGGGGCATCGGAGTCGGAGATTTCGGTACCGAGGAGCGTGATCTGTAGTGACCGAAAGGTCTGCCGTTTCCTGAAGCTGAAGACTGGGAATTGGAGTGCTGTGCCCAGCCGGCAACAGCGATAAAGCTGTGCCAGATACCATTAGCTGCGGTCATGGCGCGTCGTGCGTAGGGAGAGATGAAGGAGAGAAGACGCGAGAAGGAATGGCAGTTGGTGATGGAGGCATCGGTGGGAAAGAAAGATGTAAAGACTATGGGACGGGGGAGTGACAGGTGAACGGATGGACGGCGTGGTTGTATAAAAAAAAAATAAAAAAAAAAAAAAAGGTAGGAGAAAAGCTCGGAGTCAGGTGAACGTACGAATCCATTGCTTCTGCGGCACCGCAGTACCTTGACTAATTAAGGTAGTCCGTAGCTGTATTCCGTAGACGCAAGTGACGAAGTCCTGGGCCAGCTGGAATGCGTTCCTGGACGCGGTGGAGGCGGAGTGAGACCAAAGAAGATGTTGAGGTGGGACTCGGCAATGAGCTGCAATTGGCGTTGAACCCAACCCAGCCAACAATGCAGCGGGACCGATAAAGGAAGCGGACGGAGGAGGTAACTTGGGTGAGACAGGGCGCGTTGGTGGTGGTGAGGGAGAAAAGGAAGCGGAGGACGGAGGGCGGAGGTACGGGAGCGGTTCACTGGCCACGGCAGGCGTCTGAGAAACAACAATGCAACTGCGACGACAGCAGCAAGCAGGTCGCGAGGCGAAGAAAATTCCAGGCGGTACGACGTATTGGGGCGTTGTCGTGTTGCCCAACCACGACGGCAGGAAAGGGGCGAGAATTGGTTGATGATGGGCGCGCGAGCTGGTGCGGCGCGGCTGCAGTGAAATGTTTTGGGCCAACGAGAGCGGAAAGCTCAGCAAATAGCGAGTCGGAGGTTACCCCACATGCCCAAGGGGTAAGGTACCTTAGATTAGAGGTAACTAACTGTACCTTATGTACGTTGTATGTACCTAGATGGGTGAACGGCTATCGGGGGGAAGTTGAGTCAACGTTGAAAAGGGGAAGGAAGGATATATGTGCTGTGGTCTCTTGGGAGAGAAGCTTGACCCAGGTTCGTGAGTGCACCAAGTACCTAGGTGGACGGTGGACGGTGGACGGTACAAGAGACGAAAGGCGAAAAAGGCGCAAGGCAAGAGAGGAAGATTGAAGACGATGGGTGTGGAGCGCGACTACCTTGCTGAATGCGGTCGGAAAATGAAAATACGGAGCGACCCGAGACTAGAGAGGACAGGAAGGTGGGTTTCAAAAGAAGCAATAGCACAGCACGTATGTTGTTCGGTGGCACTGGAAATTTAGTCTGGAGCTCACTCAATTGGGGGCTATGTGGTGAAGGAAGGAAAAGCCAAGTACGGGTTGAATACCTCATGGGTACATTAATTACTCCGTAAGGTATTCGCTACCCGCTCCCCCAAGAAATGGGTACTTTACCATTAACCTTTCACTAGTGTCCAGCGCCCTGTGCGTATTTCGATCCTAGCCCACGTGTAGATCCTCCCACTGACCACCGCGAGCACTTTGCTTTTCACGTCGTACGACAAGCTCACGACTAATGATGACGACATGTGTATTCCGTACCTAGTGACCTTCTTCATACGGCAGCTGTTTCCCACCTTTCCCACCTTAATTACACCATACACCAGGCAATCGCCGCGTCACATACACTTTATACATACTCCGTACTGGGTGGTACTTGGACACGCTGATACCTTTTCGTCCTTGCTGCAGAAGGTACCGACCGGGTAGCGACTTGGCTGGTATTTATTTCCCTTGTGCCTCCTCGGAAGGAAAGAAACATTCGAGTTGTGCCACATGAGAACTCGACGTTACCTCATCCTGCGCCCTCTTTGAGCAACATGTAATGTAAATGTGAATACGTACCAGCTGCTATTATGATATCTCTGAAGAATCTCTAAACAGAATGAATCCCTGCGATAAATGAAACTCCGTGACATATAGGAAAGAGATTATCCTTTTGCTGGCCTTCGCGCTAGAAGCTAAACAGCAACTGGAAGGTAGTAGTTAAATAATAGCATAGCAGCAGCAAAATAGAAAGAAATATACCAGGGTATTACGGTTGTTGCCTGCATAGACATAAGAAATATGTGTGTACAAGACTGATCCAATAGGTGTCAAAAAAGGAAGAGGTGGGAAAAAACAAAAGAAAAGAAAAGAAGGGAAAAAAACCCCCCGGGGTGTTGGGGTGTTGGGCTTCGGCTTGATTAGAAAAGAAAAAGAAAAAAATAGCGACCGACCCGGCTCAAAAGTCGCCATCGGTCTTCTTGTCGTCTTCCTTTATCGGACTGGGTCGTCATTCCAATCCTCGTACCCGCCGGCTGCATACGGATTCCACTCCATGCCGGGGTAGCTCGTGGCACTCATCTGGGGCGCCTCATCGTCCGTCTCGTCCCCCTTCGCTCGGCTCGCCTCCGGGCCGTCCTCGTCGGGGTTGTACACGATCTTCTCCTCCTGCCTATCGACATGGATGATCCTCTTGCGCCCGTCCTCGCTGTCATCGAAATCGGCTGCGCTGCTCTGCGCAAAGTCAGGGGCCGGAGCCTTGGCTTTCTCGCCGCCATCCTCCGTCTTGTCGCCAGACACAGGGGCTGCCGGCTTGCGCGGCGTCGCGTCGTAGATGTCCCCGTCAACCTGGTTTGCCTTTTGCACGTTGACGCCGAGGTTACGGGCCGTCGGCGTACCTGGTTCAGGTCCCGGTTGTTGTTGCTGTTGTTGTTGTTGTTGTTGTTGCTGTTGTTGCTGTTGTTGTTGTTGTTGTTGTTGCTGTTGTTGCTGTTGTTGTTGTTGTTGTTGCTGTTGTTGCTGTTGTTGCTGTTGCTGCGGTAAACCCTGCGTCTGCCCTTGAATGGCAGTGGTATGATTTGACCCCGCGGGGCTTCCGTACCGCCGTCTATCAGTTTGCGTGCTGTTCGGGGCCTGTTCTGCCGGTCCACTGTTCTGAGAGCCCTGCTGGAGTGGCGCTCCTCCCAAGCGCCGTTGGGAATTGTTGGCGACATCATACACCGCAGTAGGCTCCCCATCCGGCTTATCGCGAGGAACGAAGCCGCCCGCCTGACTGACCGCTTGTTGACCCGGCGAGCTTGAGTGCTGCGACGAATTCACGCTCAAGCTCGAATCTGTTCCCGCCTGTCGGACTCGGGCATACTGCATCGCCGGTTGGCCCTGTTGTGCCTGAACATGTGGTGGGAAGACGTGCTGTTGCCCCTGGACTGCATGCGCCGGATGCGTTGCTCCCGGAATGGAACGTCCGACGTCGTAGGGTGACGGCACAGTCATGCCTTCCCCATGGACCGCGGCGTAGCCTTTTGGAATGGGGACCTGATCGTACTGACGCTCCACGGATGGTCTCGGCGGCTGCTGTGTTTCAGAAGAACGCCCGGCCCCGGGCGCGTTTGTCAGGGGACCAGGCGCAGGGCCATGAGTCCCAGACAGCTGGCCAGCCGGCGGAACTGGTCGTCGCCGCTGGGATTGTCCCGGACCAGCCTGCACCCGGGGTCGGAAAGGACCGCTCCCGAAGAAGGGAACGGCTGAAGGGGTGACAGGTCGTTCTTGCTGCGGCGTGTATTCCTTGCTGGCCGGTTGTGACTGTTGGAAGGGCGGCATCTGCGGCTGCTGTTGCACTCCCTTGCGCAGCAGTATTTGTGGCGTTTGTGCTTGCGGTAGAGCCTTTTGCGGATCTTTGGCCTCCGTCTGCTTCGACGACCTCTTGAATGCACTCAGCAAAGACTTGGCCGCACTTACTTTTGCGACCTTAGGCTGTGCCGGTGCGGGATGCTGTTGTCCTAGCTGGCCTCCGAGCCCTTGGCTGACGAAACCTTGTCCCTCCCCCGTGCTCGACGCGACAGGCACCGTCTGGGATCGTTGGGCTATCGTTGTGGGAGGATGCGCAGTCGGCCGACCCGAAGCCGCAGGGACGCTGGGAGGCGTAGGCAGCGAACTCCAAGAGCCTTGAGCCTGTTGTTGTGACAGCCACTTCAAATCATCTTGCCCGGGGCTTTGTGATCTTGATGGGTCGGGGGTCTCCTGCAGTGACCCGGCTGAGACGTGGGACGCTCGTTTGTCCGGCAAGGAACCTTGCGACAGTGATGATGTCTGCGAGATACCCAGGGCATGGGGAGATGGCGAGGCCGATCTACGAAGCAACTGTGCACCATCCGTTTTCAAGGGGTCGCCGTTTTGACTGGATACCGCTGCATGTTGTTTCGGGGAGGCTGAGACTCGGGTGGCTCCGTCTAGCCTATCAACTGTGATGTCCTGTTGGGAGGGGGCGGGATGATCGCGATTGAGATTGTTCTTGGAAGGTAACTGGTTGCCTGTGCCTGTGCCTGTGACCGTCTCGCCCTTATCCCTGACCGGTTGCCAGGGGTTAATCACTGAGCCGGAGGGGGGGGCGCCACTCAGTCGGCCACCCTCACGTCCGGTTGGCTGCATCGGTCGAGTTGTTGTGCCTTGGTCTTCTGCCGGCGCCGGGGTTGCTCCTCGAGTCGCTCCGGGGGCGGAAGGCGTATCGGACAGCGCACCGGCTGATCTAGCGGAAGATTCAATTTTTTGAGATTGGTGATCGGTGGTTATGGCATCAGTTTGAGAACCAGAGGCGTCAGATTCAGGCTGGACTGGCCTGATAGACGATTCAGCAGGCCTAGGCAAATTCTGCTGATGGACGGGCGATGCAGGGACGCGGTTCAATGGAGGAACAACCCCGGCCACAGGATGAACAGGAGGGCCTTGTGTCCGGAAAGGGGGTGGATGTTGGCCATAAGGAGATGCAGGGGTGGACACCGGCGGAGAGCCTGCCTTCTGCCCGGATGGCGCCTGCTGTTGACTCGCCGGAGGCACATCCCGGTATCCCAGGGTCGGCTCGCTGAGATGATGCTGCTGCTGTTCTTGCTGACCATCTAGTTCTCTTCGAAACACCGGTTGCTGTTGCTTCTGAGTCTGTGGTTGAGGATCCCTCGTGGTAGAGGACGATCGGTTGAAAAGACCCGAAAGGAAGCCGGTTGTAGACGAGTGACGACCCCGAGACTCCCGAGGCGCGCCGGCTGGTGCGATATGGATAGACTCTCCGTCACCAGTCAGCCTCGACCCGGCCGTGTCGCTCCGCTGCCTCCCTCGGCGTTCAGCAAGAGGACTAGGCACCCCAGGCTGGGTGTTGGGAATACCAGAATGCCGGCTATGAAAGGACGGGGCTATCGATACTGGCGTGCTGGGTTTGGGTTGCCCGTCCAGAGACGCTGAGGGACGGTGGAATACCTTGCTTGTGAGAGCAGAGAGTCGTTTCTTCGGTGAGTTCTGACTATGAATGCTGGCCCCCGAATCGTGCAGGTTGCTGGTAGTTGACGTTCGAGAGAGACTAGGCTGACGAAAGGATGTGACCCCAGCAGGGCCCGGCGCATTGGACCCCCTCCTTTCCTCAGAAGCCCGTGGTCGAGGAAGAACCTGGCCAAGGCGTGCATCGACCAGTGACGGGACACCAGCAGCGCCGCCTTCATGACCGCCGGGCTGGCCCTCTGCTGCGGCTTTTGGTCGGCGAAGATTTACGAGGAAGTTGCTGGAACGTCGGCGTTTCTTTTGCTCGGCAAAGTCGTCCGTAGCAACACTCGATTCGGAGACGTCATCGCCCCCGGGGTCTCCCCCGCGTGACAAGCCAGGGGTGCGGTCATCAAGAATCGAGTTCCGTCGGTCTTTAGACCCGGATCGCAGGCGAACACCCATGTCCTTGAAAAAGCCCGAACTTCGCCTTTCCCTGCCTCGGACATTCTCTTGAGAAGGGCCGGCGGCAGCAGGCAGAAGCTCGCCTCCCTGGGTCCGCTGAAATGGAATATCCACCTGATTGGGAGGCTGCTGATGCATGGGAGACGAGAGGTCTTGGGAAGTTCTCGGTACTCCCTGCGGGATGACTTGCCTTGGGTCGGCGGGGCCGCCGAAGAGGGCCGGATATCGACGGGCAGACGAAGGGGGTGTTTCAGATAGCTTCTGGCGAGGAGGCACTGGCACTAGTGGACGGGGCTGCCCGCCAGATTGGGCTGGGGCCGGAGGTGGAAGACTGGTTTCTTTGTCGAACCCAAGAAACGGCTGACGAGGAGGCGAAGCATTCATGAACTGACGGCTACGGCTGGCGGGCAGCAGCGGTTCGGACAGGTGCGACTCTTCCAATTTCCAGGGACCCTGGGGAGGCAAATGCTGAACCGGGTTGCCTTCCGGGCCAAGTGGCCCGAGACGGAGGGGCGCCCGCATGGTGGCCGGTTGCATTTGATTGCTTCCTCGGTTTCGATTCTGCGCAGGATGGTCCTCGAGCGGAGGCGGTATTGGCATCTTTTCAGGGTCTTCCCCGAGATCCCCTTCGGAGGACTCATTAGATGGTCGCCTCAATGTCGACGCGCCCAGCGTGTCTTCGGCGTGGCCCTGTCCATCATTTTCCCGGGTTTGCCCATTTACCGTTGATTCAGTGTCGATCAAGGTGCCCGAGCCCCGGCGCTCTTGCTGCAATGCAGCCGAGGTAGTAGGACCGGCGTTGGCGTTGGCGTTGGCGTTGGCGTTATCCGGATGAGTTGATGCACCTGCGGCCGCCAAAGTGGCACCATCTGCATCGTCTTCATCCAAAGAGAAGCCTTCCTTGGCTCTCCGAGTGTAGTTAAGGCCAAAGGTAGAGGCTCTTCTTATGGGCGGGAGGCCGATGAAGGAGGAGTTGCGCTTCGGCGACTGCGATCTGGGTTCCTGCGCTGGATGGGAAGTTCCATCGAGAGGCTGCTCATTATCCCCTGCGGCCTGGGCCCCTTCGGCCTGTTGAGCAGGCGCTTGGGGTTTCTCCGGTGGGACCGGACGATACGAGTCCCTGGCGGAAGCCGGATGAGGTTCTTCTACTACCACCCATTCGTCGGAAGAGTCATCGAGGAAATTCGTCCGGCTGACTTGCGGTCCTTTTGCCGGCGCGGTAGGGATAGCCGTCTCTGAGATGGGAGAGACTAGCTCCGGCTGGCCCACTCGACCGGTATATGGTAGGGTAGTTTGGTTCGGAGGAGGCGGCTGAGTGCCGGGAGGTGCCCACGGAGATTGCCTGTCATCAGGGAAGGTTTCGAAAGGAGACAGTCGCGCTGGCTGTGGAATCTGGGGAGCCGACGTCGGCAGACCAGGCCGATCTGGGTCGCTGGACGGTGGTTTTGGGTCACTGCCCGAGCCTCTGAGAGCGGTTCGGGCGCCGAAATTAATGCTCCAGGAGGTTCGGCGATCCTGCTTGGCTTTGGGCTGGCTGGGTGGCGGGGTGGATTCTTCGTTCTGCGGGACAAACCACATTAGATATAAGCTCACTTTTCATCAAGTCATCAGGGCATCTAGGTAGTTATCAAGGGAATACATGATCGTGTATAATGTCATATCATTCCTTATTTCGTACACCATGCCATCATTGGGCCAAGAAAGAAAAAATAAGAAAAGAAAAATAGAGGCGGAAGGACGGAGACACACGAGTGCGACCACATAGGTAATTGTCAGAAAAGGTCCAGCATTGGCCTGAGGAAAACGAGTGGAGAGAAAAGAAGAAAACATGTCCAGAGAGTGTGTTTGGTCCCAGTAAGAGAAATCATTAAGGAAATACCTTGTCCCCGCGGAGTTTATGCTTGCCCTTGCTCAGCAGCCCCTTGCCTGCCTTGCCCGCCGCGAGCAACAGCTCCTTGCCCTTCGCCCCGACTTGCCCGCTTGAATGCTTGAAATCGCTGGACGGTAAGTGTGAGCCCATTGGCATGCTGCTGGGAGAAGGCCGACCGGGAGGCGCACTGGCGGTGTTGGGCGCCGTGGCGTTGAGATACTGCTGGTAATACGGCTGTTGTTGTTGTTGTTGTTGTGCAGGTTGAGCACTCGTTGGCGGTTTCAACGCCGATCCTGGACGGGCATGACTGGCGCCTGGTTGCGCCCCCATCGCCATCGCCTGGAAAGACGATGAGACGTTGGCATAGTCAGGGCGTTCAGCCTGCAAATCAAGGAGCCAGCCGTTCAGCCCTGAGTCCATGGCGGCGAACTGAGCCCGCGTGTCGTTGTACTTGGCGACTCTGTCCACAGCATTTGGCAATTCTCGTATTTCCTTGAAAGTCAGGATTCTTTGGGTTGGCTGAGCGTGAGCTTGCGGTGCCGACGCCGGCGCATCGGATCCTTGCGACTGCGTAAATGCCGGATGGACGCCTGGCGCTGAGACGAGCAGCTTCTCTCCCGCCAGAGAGAGACGGTGCTTCTGTACTATCGAAGAAGATGAGTCTTGACCCGAGGCCGCGGATACCGGTGACGGTGGTTCGTGGGCTTCCAGGTTAGGGCGTCGCTGCCCTTGGGGCAGGGCGCTCACTTGAGGGGTCTGGTTCATGGTCGGCGTCGAATGATCAGGGGCGCCACTAGCACCCTCCCTCTCCTCAACGCCCGTGGAGAGCAATTCACGCCCGCTGCTGATCTGGGACGAGCCGGCTGGTTTTACAGGCTCGTGGCTTTCCGCACCCTGGGAAGCATCTTGTAGCGGTGAAGACTCACCGGCGACGACGGTTACCGGGTTGGCAGGTGAGTCGGCCGCGGGGCTTCCTTTCTCCGCGAGCTCCTCGGCCTCCCAGGAAAAGCGCCGACTAAGGGGTCGAGAACCTGGACCAGCCGTCGCATCGGAGTCGACTCTACGGGGACTCAGCGGGGGGATTTCGGAAACCCGGCTGGAGGTTGCGCCTGCGACGCCGTTGTTCGCGGACCCGGGGGCGGCAGCAGATGGCTTCGAGCCAGGGCTGTCTTGCTTGGGCAGTGGAACGTGTTTGTCATCCGACGCCGTCCAGTAGTCGTCGTAGACGCCACTCAAATACCTGCTCTCGCGGCCGAGATCAGGCTTAGAGTGGGCAGGGGCCTTATCAACACCCAAGCCATTCTCGTCACTAGTGGGTCGGATAGGACTCAAAGAGCGTATAATATCTTCCGTCAACTTGTCGCTCTCCTTAACGGGAGAGGGAGGAGGATCGCCGATTTCAGTCGTGGGTTGCATCCGAGGTTCCGTGGGTCCGACCAAATCATCCCCAGAGACATCGGTAGCGGGTTGAGCCCGTTCATGTTCACTCCTAGGGGCTTGGGCAAATTGGGTCGGGGTTGGGCTTGTGTCGGATTGCGAGAGATCGGCATCGGGCTGAGTCACGGGTGCCGAGTCACGACGACCTTGGGTCGCAGCAAGACCATCGCGGCTTTGAATCTCTCCCGCCTCATGCTCCGAAACGGGGGAGACGTTGTCTGAATCCACCGACCTTGCCGAAACAGGTGGGATGTCTATTTTGTTCTGTAGAGTCTCTGGCACCGCGGGTGGGCTCTCGCGGACTGATGAGTCAATAGGAACAGCGGGCTGCGGCTGCGATGGCTCCTGAGTCTGTATCGCTGCTCCGTCATTGGGGTTCGAGGTAGGCAGAGAGTGTGTTCCCCCACCGACGGACTGCGAATTACTGCTGGCACGGGCTGCGTCTCGCGTCGGCTTCTCAGCCGGCTCTGGTGTGGGTGTGGCGAAATCAGCAGCAGTAGCAGATGCACCGGCGTCCTCGTCCATCGTGGTGTTGGGTGGTGTGTTAGGCACGGGAGAAGGCCGAGGAGATTGGGCGGGCTCTTCCTGTACAGCGGCTACGTCTGGCGTAGGCGTGATTGTATGTGTACTTGACTGGGTTGCGTTGGAAAACAAGTCGTCCCCGAACGAGGACATGCGAGCAACGTCAGGAAGTTGGGGGCTGGAGGAAAAACGATTGGGTTTGTCTGCAGGCACGTCCGCGGCAGACTCGTCCGGCTGACTGCGGTCATGGTGTTCAGGGTGCCCTGTTGGAATTTGAGTGTATCCGTCGTTTTCTTCTTCCCTTGTGGAGGCGCGGGGAAAGTTGGCAGTCGTGTTTGCCTTTGGGTAGGTAGGTTGGGGTTGGGCAAGTACTCCGTCAAAGGCGTATCCGTAATCGCTCTTTCCCTCGACTGCAACGCCAGAATCTTGGGGCTCAGTCATCCTCATTCGGTGGGTGGCGCCGTCTGGCGAAACATCGGGGATTTTAGGAGCCGCACTAGGATCTGCACTAGAGCTTGAAGCAGCTGTTGCAAGTGCCGTAGCCGAATCTCTATCCAAACCTACTCTTCCCGCAACCTGGTGTTCCGTCTGGTGGGGCGATTCCCGTGCTTCGTTCACAGGATCGTATGGATCGGCTTGGGGTTCGTTGAGTTGTGCTGTCGGGTCCCTGGCCCCATTATGCGAAGCAACAGAAACTGGAGGTTCGACACGGTTGTCAGTCGATTGAGACTCCGTGCCACTCGCAAAGACAGAATCCATCTTTTGTTGCTCAACCGGTATCTGTCGACGCGGTAACGGCTCGGTCGGCTGCTGAGACGACGGGAGAGCTGGCGATGATGCCGATGCCGGCGCTGATGCTGATGCCGACACACTGGATGGAAGTGCGGGAGGAGGCTGGTAAGGACCGCCGACTCTCAGCGGGGCTACGGGCATGGGCGCCGGCTCGTCGCCAAAGTCGTCGCCAAAGTCGTCGCCACCCCAATCATCTCCGTCATAATTTGGGGCTTTGGCCTCGACCCATTTCCTCGTCTTTGTTCTGTTGATATTGGCTCGGTACACAGATGTGTCTGCTGCGGGGAGGTTGGGGCTCCTACGACGATCCAAGAGCTAGTCAGAACCGCTCCGCTACTCGACGGATGATATATAACACGCACGGCAGAGGGTCGAATGACGAAAACAAAATAGGAAGAAAGAGGGAACTCACAGGGGGCTGTTGGCCCTGATGTAAGGGTTCTGGTATGAGCCGTCCATTACGTCGACAAGTGGCGACGCACTGCCCTAGCTCCTCATTCTTTCCCTAGGTATCCAGAGGGCGAGATTGGCCACGACGGCTTTGTGTCGCGTGAGGTGAAATAATGCGTAACGACAGGCAGATACGAATTGACGCCGGGCACGATCGTTTTCGTCAAGAAGAGATACCAACGGCGGAGAAAGTCGGAAAGAGGATGGCGTGTTGCCAGCGGTCCAACAACCGAAGAATGAATGATATGACAACAGCAGGGGAGCAAGACTGGATTGAGAGGTCAGGAGACGATGGAAAAGAGAGGACGAAGGAAGGAAGAGAAACGAAGGGAATCAAAACGACGATGGCTTGCCGGAGAATAAGAGCAGCAGGTGTGGTTACGTACAACGACGACGACGACGACGACGACGATGACTTGGGTCGACGAGGGTGAGGTTGGGTTAGTTGAGGTTGGTTTGATCCTACACCAGTTGGCGAGTTGACGAAGGACGTCCCGCGTCCCAACCTATCCACAATTAATTGCCAGCTAATACTCCGTCCTACGAAGTACTTGGTAGCGGTAAAATTACGCCGACACGGCAACCTGGTTTGTGGTTGATGAGGACAAGGGGTTGGAACTACTTCGCCTGGGGACAAGACCAGGGACTCGGGGCGGAAGAAGTCCTTTCCCCGCAACGTTGCGCTGGGAGTGTACACCGGACGATCGTTATATGGGTTAATGATTAGGTAATTACACTACCTTACGTTGGGTCTATTCGTCCGAATCCCCCCGGGTGGGTCACTACCTTAGAGATGGGGCTGAGGCGGTGCACAAATAAATTCTACGAAGAAATTACAGAGTACCTAGCTTGTTGTCACATAAGGTACCTTAAGCTTTGAGTAGGTATCCGGACTACCGTGTACATCGTACTGTGATTACGAAGTACCCATAGAGTAAGGGGTCTCAGTGTTGAAGGCGAGCATCTATGAAGTGGGGATGTATATATTGCGTAACGGATACACATTGAACAACAGCATCTCATTAGCATCAAGCATTTCTTAGCGGCTGACATTCCTCACTTGGTTCATGATGGGTCCAGTGTCGGGTGTGTTGGACCAAAGGCTCTATCTGGGTGAGGTACCTGTTCCAGCCACCTACAACGATGTCGGGGTCCCCGCCACAGATGCTATTTTTACACAGTGTCATTTAATCCCTGCTCCGAAGGTACAGGGAGATGCAGGCATGACAACGTTTGAAGTAAACAGGGGAAAATGTAGGTAATAAAAATAAAAAAGGTTGGAAAGTCTTGAATTTTCCACAAAACTTTCACGCTATCCCAAAGAGGTAACAATTTGGCTTAGTTTGCGCGGAGTATCACTCATGACAGGTTTTGGCTATAAAATGTTTAATGTTTCTAGTGTCTGGATTTGGAATCGCACCTGACGTCAAACATGAATCACGTTCCATACCTAAGGTACCTAGGTAAAGGTACCTTACCTTAGGTACCTGTTGTTGGGGCAGGTAAGGTAAGGAAGGTAAGGTACTCTACTGGACGCGGGCACGCCCTCATCTCAAGGCACATCACAACCTCCCTCCTTAACCATCAACCTACTTTTGTAATTTATGTTCCCCTATTTCAATTCAAGACCGTGATTCCTTTATTACCTTTCTTCAATTTCACCAGAGAAACAACGTAATTTTTACGTGGAGTCTGGACACTTCTCCTCTTCCTCTGCTCCGCCATTGCCTTCTTGTCTCTCTTCTCTCTTACACTCTTACTCGTCTTACCGGACAAGACCTTACGTGAGCATCATCAATATGGTGCCCGTACCGCTCATTCGTCTTCAGTGTGGTGTTAATTCATATGAATGGGGAAAGAAGGGCTCTGAGTCGGCTGCTGCGCGTTTTGCTGCTGCCACTCCAACTGACAGCCTCTCTATCCAAGATGACAAACCCTACGCAGAGGCAAGTCTCTCTTCACGGCCTACCTGTCTCTCGTGATGCATTCTCTCCATCCAGTTAAGGTGCCCAGCTAACCGACAAGTCAATCACCTTTACAGCTCTGGATGGGCACCCACCCTAATAACCCGTCCAAGGACTGGGCTACAGGCCGCGCACTAGCAGACCTCGTTCAGGAGAATGCCCAGCTTCTCTCCTCTTCCGTCATAGCCAAGTATGGCACCCAGCTCCCTTTCCTCCTCAAGGTCCTTTCCATCGACAAGGCCCTCTCCATCCAGGCCCACCCCAACAAGAAGCTCGCCGAACAGCTTCACGCTCGTGACCCCCAGAACTACCCGGACGGCAACCACAAGCCTGAGATGACCATTGCCATCACCCCATTTGAGGGTCTCTGCGGTTTCCGGCCCCTGAATGAGATCGCTCACTTCCTCAGAACTGTCGAGCCCCTTCGAGCCATCGTCAAGCCCCACAAAGCAGATGAGTTTGTCTCCTCCATCGAGACGTCGGCGTCGTCGTCTGCCGAGGCACCCTCGGATGAAGTTCGCCATCACAACAAGACGGCCCTCCAGCATATCTTCGCCTCTCTACTTTCCGCCACCCCAGATGAGATCAAAACAGAGACGGCCAACCTCGTTGCTCTGGCCCAAAACGAGGGCGAAAACTTCGCAGCCGGCGGCACCCCCTCCTCCTCCTCCGGTGCCGTTCTCTCGGAGCTCGTCACCCGCCTCAACCGCCAATTCCCGGACGATATCGGCCTCTTCGTCTTCTTCTTCCTCAACTACGTCCGCCTCGCGCCTGGTGAGGCCCTTTTCCTTGTGGCTGACGATATCCACGCCTATCTTTCCGGTGACGTCGTCGAGTGCATGGCCTCCTCCGACAACGTCGTCCGTGCCGGCTTCACTCCCAAGTTCAAGGATGTCACCACCCTCGTGGATATGCTCACATACAACACCGCCCCGATCGAAGACCAGAAACTGCAGCCCACCGAGTACCCTTACGCCACCCTTAACCGCGCCGCGTACTCGGCCGGCTCGTCCGTCGCCCTCTACGACCCGCCCATCGAGGAGTTCAGCATCGTCCGCACCGTGCTTCGTGGTGACGCTGCCAAGGCCATTTTCGAGCCCCTCGACGGCCCCAGCATCGTCATTTGCACCGCCGGTCGCGGCACCATCGGTGTCGGCCCTACCGTGGAGCGCATCAGCGAGGGCCACGTCTATTTCGTCGGATCCACTGCCGAACTGACCCTGCAGTCGGAAGGCGGCCCCGACGATGAGTTTATTACGTTCAAGGCGTTCTGCGAAGTGGACAACCCTCGCGATTTGGGCGAGAAGCTGTAATGGGGCCTACCGTATGATAGGTAAGGTTTGAGTTGAGTGAGACACGGTGCAAAATACTCCGATAAAAACGGATAGGACCAACCTTATGGAGGTGGAACCTCTGCAGTCTGGCCCAAAGAAACAAGAAGAGCATATTAATGATAGCAGGCGATTTGCTCACAGATACCTACCCGTGACAGTTTAATAGATGCATATATGCCTTCACAGCACCGGTCAGGCTTGATTGTGCTAGGAGAACGGTGATACGATGTGATTCAATTCGTCGCTCACTATAGCCGGAGAGAGGGAATAAAGGGTGAAAGAAGGGTTCTAGAAGGGTGAGGGAAGATATCACTTCCCAACACCAGTCATGTCCAGGTTGTCTTCTCCTTTCCTTCGTTTCTTTTTCCTTTTTCCTTTTTCCTTTTCTCTCCGCCTCCATACCAACCAACCCCCATGGGGTTTTTTTTTGGCTACACGTGGCCTGCAAAAGGGGGAAGGTGAACAAACAGAAGAAAACTTGGATACAACCGACCAGGCCAATGATTAGACCTCTCCTTGAATGCTGACAACTTTTGGTTTCCCCCCTTTTTTCTTTCCTTTTCTTCCTGTTCATAGGCACATCATGTCCATGGCATCGCTGAGCGTCCCGTCCCATCCACAATTATTTTTGCATGGTGTAAAAATGATGCTGCCTTTTCTGTGCCTCTTGCTTTCTCCGAGGAGGTAGATGCCGTAAACTCGGCCAACACCCTGAACATTGAGCCGATACGCCAGGAGAGGACGAAAGGAAGGAAGAAAGGGGGTGTATTACCCATTACCGAGTGTCTGGACCATTGCCCAGGGACATGAAAAGGGAATACAGACGCCTGAAAGCCCAATGCTGAGAACGAAGAGAGAGAAGAGGAGAAAGGAAAAAGAAAAAAGAAAAAAAGAAAAAGAAGAATTGAAACATGGCCCTCGGTCCCGGGTAAAGTGAACAATGTCGAGCGAAACAGGAGAAATGACGCAGCAAAAAGCAAAGCCAAACAAACCGGGGCCTCTAAAACCCCCTTCCCGAGTATGTGATGGATGGGACACCCTCCATAGGGCTCGTAAAAAGACTCCTCCGCGTGAGCATACATAATCTTCTTCTTCTTCTTTTTTCCTTTTGGTTTTTGACGCTCCATGTTTGCTCTAGACAAACCCAATGACGGACCCAAAGAAAAAAAGAACAGAAAGAGAACCGAGCCAGAAAAGAAAGAAAGGGCGGGACAGGGACAAGAGAGGGGAAAGCGGAAAGGTCCCAAGGCTCACGTAGCCTGGACGAGAATAGTTGACCTGTCCCAAAAATAACCGGCGGCCTCCCTCTTTATGCAACGTCATGTTACACACAAGAACTCAAGGGTCGGGAAAGAAGAAAATGCGAGCGAGAATCCCGTGCTACAGCATGTTACAGCGTGATGTGGGCAGGCCGTACTTTGGGCTGCGAGGACAAGGGCCTCGTCAACGAGAGAGAGAGCGGGGTCTGGAGGCAGCAGACCAGTCGACATGGGTAAGGTCTGGTGCGAGTTGCGGACCCGAAATCTTGACAGAGTAAAAAGAAAGGTCCAGAAGAGGAACCCGTAGACCCGGTTGGCTGGCGTGGGCCTCGAAGGGGCGTTGTGATGTCTGCCGTACATGGAGATCGGAATCGGGTATCGCCCGCCCGGGTCGGGACGAGCGTCGAGAACGAAATCCCTTGTTGCGAAAGAAGGATTTTTCCGCGATAACCGACTCGTTGGGCATGGCAAAAAGCCACGTCCACGTGCTCGGGTACAAACCAGAAAAGGCCCTCGGTCCTCCTCTGCGATGTTGTCCTGGGCCGACGGCGACCCGATGGGCTGTGTCTCATGTGGCGACGGAAAGAGAATATCACACAAGAGAAACGACGCCAGCCCTGACTCGCAGATATGACATGCAGTGGGCATGCATACCAATACCCTCTTCAGCCAATTGAAGTTTGCCAGGCGGAAAATAGAAGCCTAGTGCCGTCACACAGCCGTATCCCAGGCACAGGAAGACGGCGTGCAAAGGGGGGGCAAGGGTAGGTCAGGGAGACGACAACAGCGCACAAAAGGTAGGACAGGCAGGATTATGGAATAAGGGGAAAGAAAAAGAGAAGGAAGGCGAAACAAAAAAAAAACGGAAAAAGGGGGGCCGGCGCTTGATCGAAAAGCAGCCACAGAACACACAGGGAGGGAAAAGAGACAGAAGCTGCAACGTCGATAGTACACACAACCAAGACACAAGAATGAAGGACAAGACAGCAGCCCTGACGTCCGAAACTGCCATGGCTTTCGCCCCCCACCCCCCCTTTTTCAATTTTTCAATTTTTTCGTTGTTCTTCCGTGGGGGCTAAACGCAGAGGCAAGAGGGTGAAACTGGAACGAGGTTGAGAGGACTCTCGCACGAAAGCCAGACATAGGATGGCCCGCCAACCAGGGGCCCAAGTTGCTCCCCCGCCTGCCCTACGCTGCGGGAAGGCTACCTGCAGCAGTCCGGCGCTGGATGTCCGCATGGCCCGTGACACCGCTGGGCCCGCCACTGCCGCCGATTCCTGTCGTAGCTCCAGACATCTCTGCCGTCGTGGCAGTCGCCCCTGTGTTCGTGGGACCGCCGCCCGGCATCATATAAGCAGCTGCAGCGGAGACGCCGTGGGTATGATCGACGTGGTGGTGACTATGGAGGGGAGCCGATGAGCTTGGAAGTTGGGGAATCATGTAGGGATAGCCGTTGGAAAGAGTCGAGGTGCCGCTGCCCCTCCTCGACGAGTCGGCGTACTTGTACGAGAGATCGCTGTTGGAACTCTGGTTCCGAAGGCCTGATTCTGATTCGGAAAAGAGGGAGCTCCCTGAAGAGGAACTCGGGTAGACATCGGTTCCACATGAAGTTGACGTGGAGAGCCGGTGACTGGAGGGGATGCCAGAAGAAGAATGATACGTGGAGACAGATGGGCCGTCGTACCCTGTGTAGTTTCCAGGCATCTCTGTAACTGCTGTAGAGGGAGAGCCTTGCGTCGAATCCTCTGGGGAGGGCTTGGGGGAGCCGTAGTCTCCTCGGTGAGATGCCACTGCCCGGTTCACCGGCGTAGGGAGCAACTTATCATTCGTTGCAATGGTGGAAGGCAAGGAGGCTGCCACAGTAGATAGCGAGAAATTGGCCGTCTCAGCACTGACAGGTGGACGATGGACACAGTTATAAGTTGGATCTGTGCCGGTATACATGCCGTTCGCCGATACTGCCTTGGCATTCGATGCCATCCTGTAGAGGTAGGTCGGGTCGTTGCCGTAATAAGCATGAGGGTAGCCAAAGCTTGCATAGTCGACGCCGTCCTCGCCGTAGGCAGGTGGCCAGCTGGGTACACCAGAGTAATACCTGGACGGATACTGGTAACCGCTCGATGGCGGGTGGTAGCGGGAGAGGCTGTCGGTCATTTCTGGAGGGTAGTGTGGAGAGAAGGGGGAAGCAATGCTGCCTCTCGCCTGGAAGACTCTGGCCGAGTCCATGTCGTATCCGAAGTTCTGGAAGATCGCCGTCTCCGTAGCATTAACCTACGTTGGAAGATAAAAAGAACAACCAGTAAGCGACCTCTTCTAAGAAGTTCGGAGAAGTTAAGAGGAAAGGATGAGTCTAACTCTCAAGAACTGGCATGGCTCGGCTCCGGCACTTTTACAGTTTTGACACGGTAGTCCGTTTCCCGGATCACCGCTACACCGAATCTTACGTTTTCGGCAACGGGCACACTGTCCAGTCAGTTTTGTATTAGTGATAGGTGAGGGGGGAAAGAAGATATAAAAAAAAGAAGGAAAAAAAGGAAGAGAAAGAAAAAAAAAAAGACAAGTCTCACGAGAGCATCTCGAGGACGGGCAAGGAGGGGACCACGCTGCGCCCTTGAAGCAGGAAGAAAGGGGGCCCAACAAAAAAAAAAAAAAACAGAAAGGGGAGCTCGGGAGGTGTAAAGATCCTTACAGCAAGGGCGATACGCTTCCGTGGCGGTGTCGACTCTGCTTCGGGCTCTCGTTCACCCATGGCCTTCATATTGGAAGGCCGTGTCTCTTCTGACGAAAGGTGATATCGCTGGCGTTCGGTGAAAGGCCCAGGAAATCGCGGGCCAAGACGGTTATATCGTCCTCCGTCAGTAGGGTAACAGATAGGGTTGACCATCGTTGTTCTTGCGATGTCTTTTCTGCTCTGGTGGAATTTCCGTGTTGCCGAGCACGACGAAATGGCAAAAAGGGTTTGGGCACTCGGCGATTTGGATCTTCAGTCCCGAGCTGACAGGGCGGTCGTCGGATGTTTTCGTTTCTCTCTCTCTCGGCACCGAGGGCCCGCCACCGGAAGGTCTTGATACACGAGAGTGATCTCGGCACCCCCTTGTTTAGTCTGTTAGTCTGCCGCTGTGTCTTGCTTTCTTGTCAAGATGGAGGCCGAAGACTGTTGGCTAGTGGCCAGTTGAAATGTTCCCACGGGGTTTCACAGGAAGCTTGCGTGGGGAGAGGAAGTCAAGAAGGGGAGAAACTTGGTTAAGCTGCTGAAGAATAGTAAAGACGTAAAGACCGGAGAGAGCGGAGGAAAAACTGAAATGGGAATTGGTTGTATCCGGTGTTGTTATAACATAAGGATCGCTCAGCTGTTAGTAACGGTCCTCGTCGCCCCTGAAGCTCACCGTCGTGTGTTTGCATACCCCATCCCCTTCTTCTTATTACGGGCCTCCCCCTTCCTCGAAAAAAAAAACGAAAAAAAAAAGAAAACAGTGGCCCTGTCATGGATCGATGGTCTCCTGGGTTCTGTTCTTGGATTTGCATATACAGCGGCAGAGGTACAGACCAGGTCGTACAGCGCATCGACGCGAATGTCAATGGTCTGGTCTGTCTCTTGGTCTCGCCCCCCACCCACCACATAGCATACATACATACATCGTACATCGTACACGCACACAAGAGGGGTGGTATCTCCCGCATGGCGAGTGGATGTCTCCTCCTGTGTCCTCCAAACGGATAGCTGCAGAGAGGGTCGGGCGAGAAGTACCTTCGTAATAAGGCTTTGGAACGGCGCCTTCAAGAGCCGACAAACGACAGGCCGAGATCTTCAACGACTAAACCGATCCTAGTGGGCCCATGTGCCCGGGGTTAGACGTTGGACGGTAGACATTATGGACTTCCTTCTCTTACGCGGACCAAACCAAGAGCTCATAGGCGATCAGCTGCCTGTCCATGAACCACCTATATTGGACCGCATAGACTTTTCGTTTCGGCGGAGGTCTTAGACCCCATTGAGCCCTCCTCACTTTTTAACTGTTGTCGTATAATACCACGCGTCCCAATGGTAGGCGGGGGTCAGCAGGGTCATCTTCCCCATCACAGGAACGCAGCCGCCCTCGCCAGTGACGCATTCTGTCTCCAGCTTGTTCGAGGCAACCCGGAGAAACTTCACTGATAGAATGCACAGATATCCCGGACTTCTCTGTGCTGCCAGAGCATGGGAGACCTTGCGATATGAGCGCGCAAAGTACCATTGCTCCGACTCGTATCCCATGCACTCCATCTCACTCCCACCACCCCCCCCCCCTTCAGTACCCTTCTCCCTTCAGGCTTCAGGACTGTAGACGCCTCCAGAGGATGGTGACCCAAGCTTGTCCTTCTCGCCAGCAACCTCGTCGACGGGACCCTGGCAGCACATGTGCGATGACACTGGCCAAACTCGTTCATTCCGGACAGCTCGATTAGCAACTAGAAAAGAGCATCGCGACCCTATTATCCCCTTTTTGGCAGTTACCTGCTACTCAAACGGGGAATGCAACGTGAGAGAGGGGGAACCCAAGGACAAACAACTTAGTCCCATGCTGGGTGGACAAGACCAAAAAGAAAGAAAAGAGGGAAAAGAAAACGGAAGAAGACGAAGAAGAAGCGTCGTCCTGCTAAGGACATGGGGAACACAAAGGGGAGACGAACAAACCGGGGGAAAAGTAGATGACGAACAAGGAAAAACATGTCTGCTACTCCCCCGTAGTCCAGTACGCAACGCAACGCCATCGTAAGCAGGGGTTTTGGCCCCTACGCGCCTTCGGTTGGTCTGGCTCTTGACTGGCTCTTGACTGGCCCTCGTTCAACGACACCAAAGCTCACGAAGAAATCCAAGTGACATGAAGTAAGAAGATACCTCCAGAGAGACGTTTTCGGGAGGCGAGAAGTGCGGTCGTTTGTGCGACGACCCCCCCCCCCCCCCCCCTTTTTTTTTTCTTCTTTTCTTTTCTCTGTAGGAAGGTGGGGCGAAGATGATCCAAGGGGCAGATACAGACATGTCCCCCCGTAGGGCGGTGAGGGACTGCGAAGACTTTCGCCCACCTCCTCCCTGGTCTGTATTTCGTGCTCCCATAACTAGTGATCTTCGTGGGACATGAGCCTGGGATAATGACGGACCGACGGCGGTCCGGTTTGTTTCTGACTTGCGACCATCCTCTCTCCTCTGTCCCCCGTGTGGGGGGCCTTTTCACAGCATGCAGGTAGTAGGTTCTTCATCAAGCAAAGAACCGTCAACTCGTCAAACAGACTACAGGGGCAAGAAGAAAATAAAAAAGAAAAAAAAAGGAAGAAAAAAAGGGGGAGGGGGGAGAGAAGCCGGGCTCTGTGTCCTTTTCTTCACCTATATCGAATGATACTTTCGGAACCGACTCGTCTCGGTCCACTAAAGTCTTCGAGAGAAGGCGAAAATAAAAGAAAAATAAAAGAAAAACAAATAAAAATGAAGCAAGCCTGCGAGCAATGGACACGTACGAGAGGGGTCGGCCAGAAACATGCGCGGTTTGAACAGTTTCGACTGTTTGCTTCCGAGAGGTTGCAAGTTACTCTCAGTGGCCCTGGGCAACTAGCGAGAGAACGAGACCGACTTTGAAAGACTTGGTCGGCAATGCTTGAAATTAGCAATTCAACCAAACCATCCCTGGCGGAGTGCAGAAGGCGGTAAGAATCACTTGCATGCCAAACCCGGAAGAAAGCTCCAAACGCTGAGGGCCGCGGAAGAATCGATTCCTAATCAACAGACGGGGTAAGTGAGCTGAAGATGCGCGCGAAAGCAACTCTGGATGTTACGGGCGGCTCCAGATGTACCTACAACGTACTTCGATGCATCGTGTGTCTTGCAGACAAACGGTGGAGTTTCGGCCACGGTCTTTTCTGCAGCTGGCCCCTGTCCCTGTCCCTGTCCCTGTCCCTGTCCCTGTCCCTGTCTCTGTCTCTGTCGAATCTTTCCCCGGCATCATGTCCAGTGGCATACAATACAGTACCGGTAGTGCCGACCCAAGCCAGTCCCACGAGGCGCAATATGTTAGGTAGCCCCGTTTCCAGCTCTGCTTAGGTAGTTGACGAGGTCCGTTGCCCCCATTTCTTTTGGTGTTGTCTTTTTTCCGGCTACAAGGGGATAACAATGTATCTGCCCAGAGTGGCGCAAGGTCGAGCCATTCGAGAACCCCTGATCGATACTAGGGTGTCGTTTGACATGCATAACAAGCGTTTTGATGCAGACAATACGGAGTACTTACCCTCTAGTCCGGAATCGAAATAGATATCTATTTCTAGAGTGCATCCCGTTTCGGAAGCGCCACTGAGGAGATGCCTAGCCCCAGTCGTATACTAATCCCTTGAGGATCGAGATGACCCTCCGACAACTTGCCATGTCCTTCGTTCAAGTTTTGTTGTGAGATCCTGTCGCGAAGTTGTAGTTTTGGACTCTCGACTCTGGACTGGACTCTGGGGGCCATCCGAGGGGCCTGTCAAACTATTCCCGGCCAACATCTGTTGACTGCTACTTCGTGCTGAGTGCTCACTTGCCAACATGCCATTGGCAAGACGGTACGGAGTACATGAGGCCCGTTGCACCCCGTTGCATGCACTCTGCGCAGCGCATTTCTCGAATCGCCCCTGGTACGTCTCAACGGGGTAATGAGGCATCAGGCATGCAGAGATGACAAGCGGTGAGAAAGACGCTCGGAAAAAAGAAACGCCTCTGCGGCATCGTCAGCCACCCTTCGAAACGCCAAACGTACTCCGTACTACTGGACGAGGGCAGCTCGTATCGAGAGGCTGAAACAGTCCTTGGTAGTGTGCAACGTGAACCGCCCCACCTTGTAAATACCGGTACAATTCGTTTCCCCAGATAGAGATAGCAGGTGGTTCAGTGACCAAAGATGCGGGCCTCTTAGGCCTAGGGCGGCCTTGCTTCCAGGCATATTCGAAGCCTATTGGTCACAGCACCGACTCAAGAAAACGTCAATGGCATGTCGTGCAGCGTAAAGGTGGCGGGTGGAAGCACAGCACGGGGAGACGAGTGAGCTACCGCCGACCATAAGAGGAAAGCGATAAGAAGAAAAGAAAAGAAAAGAAAAGAAAAAAGAACAAGGAGGAAGCAAAGAAAAGCAGAGAAACAAAAAGAAAAAGAAGAAGTAAAAAAAAAAAAAAAAAAAAAATCCTTGATCTTCGGCAACAAGCGTCATGCATGCTCCCCTGCTGTCAGTATCGAAGATGTTCCGCAGCTTGCCGTGATCTGCTCCCAGTTACTAGGTAAAGCCATTGGGCAGGCTTGACACGTTGGCCGGGCATCCGGCTGAGTCATTTACCGCAGCACAGTTGTACTCGGAGGGCTAGGTCTTACCGGAGCACAGGTCGGATATGGTGCAAAGCAAGTGGTCAAAGTGAGTTGAGTTGCTTAACGGGCCGAGCCTCTTGGTCGTCCAGATCGTCGTTGTCTATCCAGTCTTCCCTCGCTTCGGACCGCTTGATAGGCTGGCAATTGTAACACAGGGACGGGTCCCCCCCAGAATATTCACGAGCTGGGAGCATCGCATAGGCGAGCAACACAAGCCGGCAAGTGCAGACGCCTGATCTTCTCATTTGCCGGCGCGCATTCGAGGCTGCCACCCCATCGCCGTCTGTGTAACCGGGGTGAGGAGTTCGACTTCCCTGACAATCTGTTCAAGACGAGCCTGGCGTAACAGAGTGATAAGTGCCGCGTGGTCTCGCCGTGGGTCGGTTGTTCTAGCCAGAAACGTCCAAGGGCCTTGATTCGTCCTTCAAAAGCTTAAAGGTGCATGTAGATGCTGTCAAGTTCGGGGCGTTTACGATGTAGTGATGTAGTGCAGAGGCGTGGCTCCATGTCTGAAAGCACGGATATCTGTGTTTATTCCTGTCGTTTCCTCTTTCCTGGGGCCTCATGCGTCGAGTTGACGACTTCAATATGGCCCAGCAGTCACACAAATGGGACCTTGCATATACCCCGTACTTATACACGACAAGCCTCGCCAGGAACCCTATACTGAGTAGGTACTGAGTAGGAGCATCGGAGCGTGTTATGTATGTGGCTTGACCGCCCAAGAGGTTTGCAAAGGCACTGGGAAACCCTGTCAGTTGTGGCCGGCTGAAGTGCACAGCCTGCTTGTCCCATGACTTACGGCACACGAAGACCCCACTCGGAATGAGCTTCCCGGACGCCTGTTTGCAGGCGATGAAACCTGTTTGTACCGGCATTCCCCCACCCTGGTTCCGCGGCGAGGTTTTTCAACCGAGACATTCCGAACCCCGGATTTCCTGACAGCGGAGAGTGGCAGAAGGAGCCATGTGGAAGTGGGTGAGCCGTTTTAGGACGCGTCCAATGTTTTTTCACACCCCCCACCCACCCCCGGATGAGCTGAAATGAGTTCTGGATTATGATGATGGAAGCTTTTGGGCGACAGGCAAGCAAAGAAGGGACTCCAAGGGTAAAGGACAGGGCGAGTCGTACTAGAGGTCGTGCAAACTGTAGCTTCTGCAAAGCTGTGAAATGCTGGATATGTGCATCCCATTATTTCTTATCTTTGTCTTTGTCTACGATTGTCGTAGTCCCGGCCTCGGTCTCCATCTCGGTAATCTCGATCCCGGTCTCGTCGGTCTGGGCGGTTTCGGCGGTCTCGGTGGTCTCGGCGGTCTCTCCAATCGTTGTCCCACTCGTCCCGTCGCCGATTGTACCGAGACCGGTCATCAGTTCTTCGAACATCCATTTCGTCAGGCCTGAGCCGATCTCCAGCCCTGCGGTGCCTCGGGCTCTCGCTCCGGTTCCGGCTCCGGCTCCGGCTTCGGTGCCGTTGCCGCTCCGTGCCTCGGCGGTCCGGGGAGCTACTCGGACGGGTCTTTTCCGTTGGTATGTCCTTGTCCTTGTGCGACCCCTCAACCCGTTCATGGCGGCCCTTCATCTCCTCTGCGCCATAGACCAAGTTGTAGTTGGTGTCCTCGGCGTCGTCGTCTTGCTCACGGTACTGCCTCCTCTTCTCTAGCTCCCTGACACCTCCCCAGCCACCGCGGGAAGCGTTTTGCCTGCGCTTCTTGTTCGTGTCATTCCTCCACACCTCGCTGAGCTTGCTGACGCTTTGCGAGAAGTCGACGTGGATCCTCCGGTCGTCAATCAGAACATCCTGCATCTTGAAGTATGCCGCTTCGCACGAGGCCTTGTCTGCATACTCGATAAAGGCGTATTGTAAGCTATCCCCTGTCTTGCGATCCCTGATGACCTCACAGCTGAGGATCTTACCGAACCGACCAAAAATCAGTTCCAAGTCGCTGTCCGTGGTGACTGGGTTCAGCTTGCAGACGAAGAGGACGTTCTCCGGGGGAGCGACCTCAGCAAAAGGCAAATCACCCATCATCTCCAAAGTCAAGGCCTGAGCTCGAGCCTCACGTTCACGTCGCTGTCTCTCCAGTGCCTCTTCATCCAAGCCGTCCTCCTCGTGTAAGGCAGCCTCGTCTGCGATACGAACCGTAGCAAGCTGGGCCTTGCTCGGCGGAGGCGAACTACTGGGCTCCCTCAGCCCAGGTGGGTCCGGGTATGGGTCGTCGAGAATTACTGTGTGCTTGATGCGAATATCGACCAGAGGATACCCCCGGTCATCCACGAAGGCGTTGTTAATCTTTTCCAACACGTCGAAGCCTTCGACTACTTTGCCGAAGATGGCGGCTTTTCCGTCCAGGTAGTCGGTATCATCGCCAAGCGTCACGATGAACTGGGAGGCCGCAACGCGTGTGTCCGGATCTGTGTCTAATGGGACCGTGGCCATACTAACTGTGCCCCGCTCGAGATGCTTCAGTTTCGGATGAAAGAAAGCCGGGAATGTTTTCTGCTTGCTGTCTCCGGAAACCAGGCCCCAGATTGAAGTGCCGCCATCGGATTCTCGTGACATAGGGCCAAGCGGATCGCCAGTCTGAAACGAGAACGTCTTCTGAACGGAGTGTATAGGCGAGAAGTTGTAATATTTTGCTTTGCATAGTTTTAGGAAACTACCACGACGAATTCAGTTAGCAAAAGGGACGTGGACTAAAAGGACATGGACGACAAGTGTGGCCAGTTGCACTCACTTCTCGCAAAGCTTTGGAGCGTAATCGATCAGGAGATCGATAACAATGTCTCCAGAGCTGGTCTCAAGGAGCACCGACATGATGTACAATGTTGCGCACTCGACTACACGCGTGGAAGCGCCTAGAAATCGTGTCGTAAAGGATACTAACGACTTCCTGCCGCGTTGGAGCCGAAGTTTCGGGGTGTTATGCTAGGGTTTGACGTCTGGTTTTCGCGGTCTTTCGAGTCTAAAGTGATGGCAACCAACCGAAGCTGGAGAGAGGTATTTAAAGAATTGAGTACTGAATATAGTGAAGATGGATATGTATGAAGTACGGAAAAGGATGGATGAAAAGCATGGGGAACGTCAGGCACGTACAGAGAGAGTACGTCAAGTTTCGCGACTGCTCCAGTATGAACGCATTATGTAAGCAGTCTTATCACGCTTCACCTCCCCGCAGAATCGCGAGATACGTACGGATGAGGTAAGTACCTTAGGTACCTTTACCTTGAGGCGCATTCCAGTTCGGCTGCACCTAGAACACGAACCAAATCACGACCAAAGCATTGATTCCAATACGGAGTATAATCATTGCCCAATGTTGCCCCCGGTGTCAGTGAAGCTAACTTCCTGAAGCAATTACTACTTATTAATGCCATTACAATTTTCTCTAAGCTACCCTTTGTACAGGTTGAAGACAAGGCAAAAGCCGCGCAACGCCGTGGACCTCAACTCGTTCCAGTTCCTCCATCCCACCAACTCGGGTATCCTTTGAACCATCTGAAGCCGCTATGATACCGAACGGTTCAACGGCTTTGCAAGCGCCTTTGACGTGAAGCGAAGAAAAAAACAAAACCCCTAACCGAAGCTGTTCCCAGTCCTTTCTGACCAGTTTTACAATCCCATTACCGCACCCCCTTTTTGTTTCGTTGTTGTGTTGTCCCAATTCCCTTGAAGAATCCAGTCCACATGGACAGTGAGACCGAAGTGGCGAGGAGTGTTCACCGCGCGGCACACTATGGCGCACTCTTCCTCCTCCTCTCCGACCTCAGTTCTTTCTCGGTGTCCATGAGCCGGCACTGCACCCAGGTGCGGAAGGCAGGATCGTGCTTTGCCTGTGCGCCGTTGAGCATCTCCATCAGAGCTCGTTTCATGGCCTCGTTGACGTCGAAGAGGCGGCGCTCTTCCTCGACGACCTGGCCCATTACCGACTCGTCTGCAGTAGGCGACACGCCTGGACTGCCACGGTACATCTTGGGTGGTCCCGCCACGGAGGCGCGGCGTGTGTGGTTCCGGCCTGATGGATAGTGGCCGAAAGGCGAACAGGGTCGGCGGGTGGGGGAGACGGCGGGGGAGGAAATAAGAGAGGTATGGCGAGTCGACGAACCCAGCGACGGGGCACTCGAGCGAATGTGATCGAGATTTCTTCGGAGCTCTTGGTGTTGGGAGTGCAGAATGAGATACTTTTGCAAGGCAACGTCGGAGCTATTGGCGTCCGCCATTGCGGGCGAAACGGGTGGTGTTATTGCACCGGGCATTGTGCTTGGCGAGGGGAAGCACAGGCTGACGGAAAGATTGTCGTGCAATGGGTGCCAATCCCATTGAAGTTCGGAGGTGCGTCGTTGCAAGCGGCTGCCAATTATGAGAGGTGGTAGCTGGTGTCGCTAATATTGGCCAAGCTAGGAGGCACTGGTTGTTATGAACCTGCCCCTGGCGGACACGACACCGAGTGATCTGCAGAGTTGGGAATGGACTGTCGTAAATACGGAACGAATATGGAGGAAACTACGTCTTCCCGCCGAATACGGCTATGATCTAGCTAGGAAGACAGCAGTGGACGCTGGAGAGGACCCGTGGGTAGTTTTCGGATCGTGATTCGCGAGGGAGGCGGCGGTTCCTAGAGATATAGGTCTCGCCAAAGCGTGGAAGCGTGTTGAAAGAGAAATCGATGTCGAACAAAAACTACCGAAAACGCACCACTGCTCTCTGACAGTCGTGGTAAGTGTTAGGTAGGTAATAGCGCTAGGTGGGTTTCTTCGAGGTGCGACAGAGGATATAAGGTAGTATGAAAGGCGGGTGAAGTTGTCAAAAAGTAAGGTGATTGTAAGTTCAGACCAGCCGATCAGGTGTGGGCAAGATGTTTAGTCGCCGTTTCGTTGTGACCCTTGGGGTAGGTACCTAGCGACTGTAGTGTGGAGCAGGGTATGACGCGGAGGCGAGTTTGGTTGTTGACAGAGAGACAATAGTAGTCAGATAGGTGCTACTGTCTGGGTGAGGCAAGTCAAAGCCGGGCGTGGATGGGGACACGAAGGTGTAAGGACGTAGGTGGTAAAAGAAGGGCAAGTTTTCGTCTGTTGCGGAGGGTCGAACCGAGGAGGCAGAGATGGAGTCTTGCGATATGGGTGAATGTGGTTTGTCCCAAGCTAGCTGGTATCGTAGGTATCCCAGGAAGCTGTATCCATAAATCCGACAAAGAGGGCAGAGAAGAAAATATTCGATGGCGAGATGGGACAGACGAAAAGGCGACACACGGAAAGAGATGCCTCAATGTTCTTTTCTTTGCCGTTATGTGCAGCAAGCGAACGCCGGGTGGCCCGATGGGCGAAGGTGTTGGCCTACATAGGTAGGAAATAATAATAGAAATCTCCCTACTCCGTCTAGTGTAAAGCGAATGGATTGATGGAGGGGAGGAGACCAACAAATCAATCCAGTATCGATCCAGTCAAGTAGCAAGCTGGAACGGAAAGCGAAGTCCGTACGGAGGCTACATTAATTACTTCGTACGATGGCCCCTTATCCCCTTATCATCAAATCCATCCCGGTCCGCATGGGCCAATAGTGAGGTGATAAGCCTTCCGTATCAATGATGGAGATCGGGCTAATACCTACTACTTCGTGCAGACGTCAGCAAAGCTTTGACCGGAGCTTCTCCTGACACGGGTGGAGTGGAGCCCATTGAGCAACTAATGGTGGGCACTGGTGGACGTCGGTGACTGTTGAGGCCTGATGGGCACTGATGGCGCATTTGCCGGGGACGGTGTCTCCGCTTTAAACGTTCTGGCCCTCGTTCGGCCTGCAGGCCCATTCCCATTATGGAAGCCCGTGCCTCTGCCCACTGGCTTGATTCGACACTAACATTGAGTTGGGGAAAGGGGGGTGAGGACATGGACCCCTCATTCAAGATTGTTCTTGAAGCTCATGTTTTGCTCATGTTGGAGGGAAAGATAACCAAAAAAACGTGACTTGTATCATATGGGCAAAGAGCGGTGTTATGGGGGTACTTTTCCACCTGACACAACAGCAACAACTAAAAAAAACCAATTAAAAAAAAGAAGGGGAAAGAAAGAAAAGGGACATAACAGGAGAACAAATGAGGGTGGAGATAGAAGAAAGAAGCAAGAAATAACAAGAGAAAAACGGTGATGGTTCGATGTCTACATAAACATAAGAGCGAGTAAAGACGTTGCACGCCTCGTATTCAGAGAATATTACCTAAAGACGACACAAAGGTGCACGCCAATATTATGTGAATTTGACGAATTCGGAATCATTCCAGAATCCCAGAGAATCCGCTTGCAGAAAAACATAGGAATCTTCGGTCATCTATTATGGATACGATCCACTAAGGTACCTGCAACGTAATTACCTAGGTACCTTACTCTCTTACTCTGTCCTCTGCACGTACCATCGTTCGCCGTTTCAACCCTGAACCTAGAAAAAATGCAATAAAGCACTCCTTGTTTTGGGAGAAAAGCGAAATGAAGGAACCACTGACAACAAGCGCAATCTCATGTACCTTACCCTTGCTTACTGTGCTGACACAGCGAACACTGTGACACAGGAGTTTCTTCAAAATGATGAATGACGTTGTACTTATTCCTCCCAGATCCAGCATTCCTACCTAACTTATTATGTAGGTACCTTAAGGTAGTTATCGGTCTCGTCTGCCGGCTCATCTTCACGGCTGACCATAAGACACGACCCACCACGGCTGAGTCTGGGAACTGCGGGAAATGAAACAGGGGGATGTAATGCTATCGGACCAAGTGCTCGAGTACCGATTCGTGCTCAGATGGGAATCGGGAATCGGAGGGATTGGAAACAGAATGGGATCTGCGTGGAGGGGCTACTCACGAGACCATAGGTTAATTATGTCAAGGAATTTACCGGATTTACGAATATTGACGTCCTGTTTGCACAAGCTACAAACCAACCGCTTTCCAGTCAACATCCACCTGACAAGCCAGGGCTGCGGCATTTACATCATCGGCGGTCCAAAAGCTCCATACAAGTGACGCCTCATTTATTACCGCTCCGAAAACAACACAGCTGCGGTCACCCAGGTACTCGGGATTCGGCCGATCCATCTGCCACGAGGACCGACCGACCGACCATCACCGTAACCTCCCCGCGTCATTTGGCGCATTGAGTCCCTTGCAGAGAATACTCGTCATCGCCACCGGGCCACGCATGATCTTTGGTCCGTGTTACGACTCGGTACCCCTTAGGATGCCATGTGCTACCGCTGCCCTGAATGAGCGGCTGTTGTCCTAGCTTCTCAGGACCGTACTCTTCCCCGCCACTACACTTACCTCATTGACTTCGCCACAAATCATCCCCTTACCATGTGTCTAACAAGAATACAGGGCCTTAGTAGCTACGGTTAACTTCCGTGCCAAGTTCCTCACGGACCTTGCTACGTCCTGCCACGCAATCGAAGGAATTGGATCCGCACTGATGGTGCAGGACGCATCCGATAGCAACGAGCCCGTCGAGGGGGCTAATGCACACAATATCGTTGTTAATTTACACAGTCATGTACTTGCGACGTGAAGATCCTCCATATTCGCAGAGGCACAGCATCGCTACAGAACGGTCCCATCTGGAGCTCCTTCGGGGGAGCTGGAAAGTCAACGTCAGACAAACCAAGGCCGGCTTGTCGGCACTTTATTTGGAACGAGGCGTGCGTCTCCTGGCTGCGCTCTGCCGCCGATATTAGGACCTCTGCGTCAGGAAACATAGAGAGCAGATCGACTACTGTTCCAATGAGCGCCGAATGTGCCCGCTGGTCATATGTAATATCCGCCCCGAGGATGACATCAATCGCGTCGCCACCGTTCCATTGCTCACCCTCGGAGCCGACAACTGCATGGCCCCATTTCAGGTCCATAACGCTGACTGCATCGTCCCTTTGCAGGTCATTAAGGAAGAAAGATTCCGGGAGGTTGTTGATCACGTCATCGGAACCGTCCGAGGCAATCACTCGAGCGGCGTCAAGATATTTGGCACAAAGAATGGTCAGGTATCCCGTCCCAGCGCCAAGTTCTAGCACACGTTTCTTTCTGATAATGTCTGGATTCGTGCAAAGATACTGCCCGAGATGGAGACATGCCTCCCACGTCCGTAGTCCAGTTGTCCCAGAGGCAGCTATGAGCGTCCGTGACTCGAGTAACGTTATCGTGGGAATGGAGTCTATGCCGTCTGGGACTTCGGCTCTACTACAAGACAGATGCGAGAGATGATAGGTGACGAAAGACTTTCGTTGGACGGACGTCGACTCGGGGGGTAGAGGAGAAGCTAAGAACTGGGCGAGGGCGTTCATAAGATCTTCGGAAACCTCCTTGAGGCCAAGTGTCAGTTTACATAGTGTCCGGACATTGCACGGGGTCCATCATGTGTTACTCCAGTTGGACGACAGCTTACATGGGCGTCCCAATCTTCAATACTGGCTTCGATCCTCGCAATCAGATCTTTGAGACTCCGAACTCGATATCTCTCCGGTGGAGCATACCTCAACGCATCATGGGAAAACAAGCGAGAAAATATGATCTGTTGGGTGGCTTGTTCTCGGAGTAAGGAAGCCTCTGGATAGTCAAGATCTTTCTCAAGCTGCAAGTATTGGCGGCAGAAGCGATCAATCTGCGATTGGGGGTTTCTGGGAAGAGAGTGACCCATTATATAGGCGTCCACGGGGTTCTTTGTTCGTGATCGAAGAACTCAACACCAGCTCTTGCCCGAGAGTGGGTTTGAGTGAACGAGAATAGATCTCATTCAAGGAGGAACCGGTGGTTTTAGAAGTTTCAAGTGAGAGAAACGGCAACCTTCGTGGGGGGGACAAGGCAAAGCTGTGAAGAATAGCAAAATGAATGTCACATCTCTGTGGGAATTTCTGCAACTCAGAACCCATGGGTCGTGGGATTCCAAGTAGAATGGCGAAGTTCCAACAGTTGAATCTGTCTCCGGCAAGCTGTGTTGTCGAAAGTGAGGGACGGACCGTATGACGTCGAAGCACTTGCCTGAAAGTGAAAGTGGACTCGCAAAGGGCCCGCTTCCTACTAGCTGAGCTAATCATAATCACGTGACTTCAGGTTCGAAAATCCCCCCGTCAAATTCTTTGTGGCCGAATCTGAGACAGCCAATAGCACACTTTCTAGGGCGAACCCTAAGCGACCCCCAGAGAGCAGCCGCCCCTCCGGGTAATTCAACTTTTCACGCAGACGTCGGCCCCATCACGAAATATCGCCCAACTCTTTGATCGACGACAACCCATCTCGCACCCTGTCTCACCGTCAATCTTGAGAGACACGCCTTCGACTGTCGCAAAGATGGCGGACTCCGAGGCCCCCGTCACCCTGCGAACTCGCAAGTTCATCCGCAACCCCCTGCTTGGCCGCAAGCAGATGGTCGTGTGAGTTGCAGCCTCCTTTCTCCTCTCTCTCGCTCGTTTCCCAGCCCTCCTTAACCAAATGGAGACAAGCGGTGCAGTCAGTCGTGCAATTGCTGGAGGGAAGAAAAAAAGAAAAAAAAAAGAAAGAGGTCGACCCACGGCAATGGAACTTGGCATAAGAAACAAAACACAATCAAAACAATTTCGAGGACGAGATGGGATGGGAGTTTTCCCTGGGAAACACGCAGAGGGGACCATCTTTGACGCGATTGAGGGCACAAAGACCATGATGAGCTGACCAGAGCGTGCTTTCTCCCTTTCCGCAGTGACATCCTCCACCCTGGCCGTGCCAACATCTCCAAGGAGGAGCTCCGGGAGAAGCTTGGTAGCATGTACAAGGCGACCAAGGAACAGATCTCCGTCTTCGGCCTCCGCACCCAGTTTGGTGGTGGCAAGACCACCGGCTTCGCCCTCGTCTACGACTCCCCCGAGGCCATGAAGAAGTTCGAGCCCCGTTACCGTCTCGTCCGTGTCGGTCTCGCCACGAAGGTCGAGAAAGCCAGCAGACAGCAGCGTACGTTATCCTTCTTGTTGCCCGTCCAGTCCTTGTTCACGTCCCGTTCGATGCTTGAACTGCGTTTTACGCTTCCCCGATACCTCGTGGGATGGATAACCCCCGATGGAGGACTCTATTATTGCTTTGCGGAGTTGGATCTGAGAAAGACCACGTCACTGATAACCATCTTCCTAAATACAGGCAAGCAGCGCAAGAACCGCCAGAAGACGCTACGGGGTACTGCAAAGGTCAAGGGCCCCAAGAAGAAGAAGGAGTAAGCGGTTGGACCAACAAAAGCGGGAAGATCATCACTGCAACTACCGGAATATCAGGAGGAATGCCCTCAGGGACGAAGAATACCTCTCGGTCGATCGATCAATTTCGATGGACGACCCGGCTGGCGCAGTGGTTTGGCGTGGGACATGGAGGGCAACGTTTTGGGCCCCTACCTTTCGGGCCTTTTGTGCATTACGTACGGGCTTTTTGCATCCCTCGACACACTCACACTTTTTCCTCGTGTCGATGAACACGGCTACTCGATAGAGAGTTACGAGGCGCGAAATGGGAGGGAATGGGTTCATGATTCTCTCAAGAATACAAAAGCATCAACCAAGGTCCTGTCCGCTGTGTGATAGGGTTGTTCGTGGGTTATAACCTGGAAGTGTCGTCACGTCGTGACAAGACGATGTACACAATACCCCATTCATCTCGCTCAGAATTGCCAACGTCGGAAATGTGCCTGGTGGAAAAAAAGTTGGCCTGACTAGGTCCTACAGAAGAAGCGGTTTCCCCTCCGGTTATTTTGCTTCTGCGCTGTATTGACTCGGAACGACTCTTGAACGTAGAAAAAAGGCTTGTCTAACCGTATCTACCGACGCCCGCGACGCCAGACCGAAACCACAACATACCCTCATCGGAATATATACCCAGTAATGACGCCTCCCAGCCCCTCCCAGCACCTTCATCCCAAACCCCAATTACCAAGTAAAGAACTGGACGAACGAGGAAAGGAAAGGAACAAAACAAATGAAGAAATAAAACCCATTACAAATACATCGATAAGGCAAATCTCGCTCTTCCTCATTCCTTAAGTCTCTTGGCCGGTCGCAGAGAGTCATCTTGCAGCCCACTCCGCTTCGTACCCGGCAGGCTATTTGTCCTGATGTCGTTGTCGTCTTGGCTGACCCGGCGATGCGGGTACTCGTTCTTCAAACCCTCGAAGGCGCTAGAGTTGAGGCGGTCGCCTGTGGTGAAGAAAGGGTGCTGCAGGGCCTTGGCGGCCGTCATACGCTCGTCCGGGTCGTATTCCAGCAGGCTCGCGAGCAGCCTGTAGCCCTCGGTGCCCAGGGACACGAGGGGCGCAGCGGAATTGGACGCCTGCGCAGCGGTCGTCGCAGCGCCCTGACTCACGGTGCTCCAGTACCACTTCTCGAGGGACGAGCCGTGGGCATGAGGTCCTTGGGCGGCACCATGGTTGGAGCTGCCAGGGTGTGCATAGCTGGAGCGATGGGAACGATGATGGTGGCCGGGGTGGCCGTGATAATGGGCGGAGGCAGCCAATGGAGGCTGCATAGTGGCGAGCTGCGAGTACTCGGGCATCGAGGTGAGGAGTGGCCAGTGCTCCTTGGTGGGGAGACCCATAATGTCGACGATCTTTTGCATCTGGTTACGCTGGAAGGGGACGGTCTTCTTACTATCCATCTTCGCCTCTTCCCCCTTGAAAATCGGACGCAGAGAAAGAAGCTCGGCGAAGATGCAGCCCACGGCCCACATGTCTATCGCCGGGGTATAGTGACGCGTGCCGAGTATGAGCTCAGGTGCGCGATACCATATTGTCACGACTACCTTATCGCCGCTGAAGAGAGAATGCAGGGGTTTATCGAAGCGACGGGCGAGGCCGAGATCGCCAATCTTCACCTCACCAGCGGATGTGACCATGATATTAGCCGGCTTGAGATCACGATGCAAAACCCAGTTGGAGTGGAGGTATTGGCAGCCGTTGAGCAGCTGAAACATGATGCTCTTGACGGTTTGAGGGGGGATAGGATGCCGCGGCTGTTGAGTGTGGTGATGGATAATCTGGAGAAGATCGTGCTCGGCGTACTCGAAAACCATGAAGATGCACTTATCTTCGAGGATGATCTCGACAAGCCTGATAACGTTTGCGTGACTCAGCTCACTGCAAAGAGACATTTCCCTGATCGCGCTCTGGGAAATGCCGGTGTAAGCCACCTGCTCGCCTTCCTTGTCCGGTTTGAATTTCTTGATTGCAAACTCGCCGGGCTGGCCTTGACGGCCGAGGGCCTTGTACACACGTCCATACGTGCCACTACTAATGAATCCCACCACTTTATATCTCTCAGCAACGCGAACTTTGGGTTGGTAACCAACTTGGCCACCAGCTCGCTCGGCCGGGTCTACACCCAAAAGCTGTCAGCATCTATTCACCGAATACAGCCCTGGCAGGACGGAAAAATGAGATCAACCAAAGAAACAGGAGTGACGATACATGGGGATGCCGGGTAACTGGTATAGCCCTGTCCTCTCCACATGATCCTGGACGTGAAGAAGACGATGAAGAAGAAGAGATGAACGGGCGACTTGACGCACTCGTACTTTTTCCTTCACTTTGGTAGGATGGAAAACGAAGAAAGAATAATGAAATGTCGGGTTTTACATGCTGCCTGGGCAGCTGAGAGAAATGTGGTATCTTGAATGTAATGGAAGTAAAATGAGGCAAAGACAGTGATAGTGCTGGGGTTGGTGGTAAAAAGGAAAAAGTCTTTGAATGAGATATTGGTGCTGAGCCTTAAGGAGCTCATAATCCTGGGCTCATCAATCAAGCCGGGGGGTGAGGGGCGACGACCCGCGATAACTGCGGCAAAGGGGGGGCCCAATAATTATCCGAGAGACAGAAACAGCAATGGGAAGATATGGTGGGGCTTGGCAGGAAACGTCAGAAGTCAAGTCAAGACACCTCTAATAATAAGAAACGGTCTAAAATCAAGACTGGCGAGTCGCGACTGGCTAGACGCAGGTTGCAGGACGCATGGCGGGAACCCACCGCAACTTTCGAGGTTCTTTTTAGTCCCCGCGCAATCCGGGTCTCAACCACCTTTAAGTGTGTTGTGTAATTAATTACCTGCTCCGTACAGTGGGGAAGAGACGCAGAGCCGGTTGAGTTCCCGGTAGGCTGGGAAGAGGAAGAAGCGGGGGCATTTCGGGTTCCTGGGTAGGAACAGCCACGCTGTTCGAATGCAAAGGGATTATTGATCGCGCGACCCCGATCCAGGTAATGCATTTGGCTGTGAGGCGGAGGATTGAGGTCTGAGAGACGTGTGAGGGGGGAAAAGCGTCTGAAATTGTGTGTGTGTGTGTGTGGGGGGGGGGGGGACCCAAGTGAATTAACAACAAGTCAGACCTTTGGTACCGTAACGTACGGAGTAGTGTAACTTGTGAGGTATGGCGGTGCGGAGTACTGCAAGTCAGATAGATGGTGGAAATGGCGAAGCCGCCGAATGGGTCGTCACTGCTCAAAACGAAAATGCGGACAATATGGAAGGCAATTCAGAAACATATGATTCAACCCGGGCATTCTGGCCAGACAAAATAAGTTGGTCTTTCACGTACCTTCGAAAGCCACCTGTGTATTCCTTTTCAAGGTGCCAGTACGGACACTCGTGGACACAGAGCCCGGTCCTGGTCCCTGCGACGTCGTGGACGGTGGATTCGTCCCGCTCATGGCGAGCCCTCTTCTCAAAACTACCGCTCCCCGCCTGATTCTGCTGTTACGCCCCGCCCCACTGCTCCTTTGCGTTTGATCCGTTCTCCGTTTCTGCCGATCTGACCCCTTCCTTCCTATTACCAGAAAATATCGTCCAAAATGACTGAGGGGGTGGGGTGTGTGCCTTGTTTCCGGGGTTCGTGTGCACCAGCAAAGACAACGCCACCTCGGGAGGCAGACGATGATGAGATATGGACACACGGGTCAAAGACGGCCAAGTTGGGTACGAAGTAGATTCGTTAGATGGCCGCCGAGCCAAGCTGCAGTGAAGCAAAGCAAGCAGAGGAAGAAAATGTAAGAAAAGGCGCGCTTATGCACCCTCGGGGTCGACTGGATCTCTACCCTTACTCGGCGTCCGATCTGAGCCCAGGTGTGCTGAGCTGTGCTGAGCTGAGCTGGGATGGGGGGATGGGAGAATGGGGAGTGAACTCCCTCTGTCCACCACCATGTGACGGACCCCAATCAGAGGCAACTTCCCCTCACTTACACAGCGGCGTGCCCAGTTTCGGATACAAACGCCAACCGTAGTTCCAGGGACGGTCGGCTTGCGATCAACACGTTCTTCTGTGCGCGAATACAGTATCTGGAGTCGCGATAATAATAAATTGCCTTACTACCCTAGGCGATCGCCGGGGCGGGGAAGGAAGACGTTGGGATTGCGTGCTAATTAAACTGCGACGGTGTAACGGCATCGGGCGTTGGTACCTCGCCTAGGTAGCAAGACTGTTGTTGTCGCTGACCTAGGTACTGAAAGGCTGCCTAAGGTAGGTAAGGTAGGTAAGAGGCCAGTGTGGATGGTAGTCCGATCACGAAATGTTACCAAAGCGTAAGAAATTGCCCGCGTTCTGACAAGATGTACGGAGTATGTTGAAGGAAAGAGAATATTTTGTTGTTCGATGAGGATGAGAGGATTGATTACCTTAGGTACGCAGGTACTGTCGAGAAGATCGGTACTCCCCTCCGCATCCTTCCAGGTACTTTCTTTCGGTGGCTTATTAGGTAGGTACATGACCTATGACCATACGTAAGGTACCTTACTTCCTCCCACTACATGAGGCACTGTACAATTTTCACATGCTCACCCCCAATCGTGGCGCTCACCCAAGCCCAGTCAGATACATATAGTGTACAGACTCCAAGAACCCGGCCGGGGAAAGGTATCCGTACTACTGGGTAACTAAGGTAAGGTACCTTTAAGGCAAGGAACGCTGAACTTCATGCTCAAGGCCTCGCTTCCTCGACTTCGCAATACCGTACCTTAGTATATACCTAAGGTACCTACCTTACCTAGGTAGGTAGGTAGTATTCATAACCAATCTGATATACTAAGGTACAGGATGAATTCCGACTAGAAGTTCAGACGGTGACAACGAACCACAATGTTATTTATTTACTCAAATATGTGTTGGCGTAGTCCTCATAATGCTCTGCTCTAACTGACGGACGGTGAAAAAAAGGGGGCAAACAAGAAGGCTGTTGGTTTGAGAGGAAATAGGTGCCAAAAAGCGGAATCCATATCATGCATGGAAATGGTTTTCTCCTCAACCTTCCAAACCAGTTGGCAACTCAGTCAGCCAGCTTACCGTGGGCCAAGCTTCTCCAGCACTCTCGGCCCCTGCTCTTCCCACTCCTGCTTAGTTACCCACATGCTCTCCTTGTCTGCCATGATGTTGGCCAGCACCGCACCTCCCAGGAACACCATGTGCCTCCGGCGCGGCGGGTCCTCTATCCGCACCTTGAACTTGCTTAACCGCTCCGGGTTGCCTCCAAGCACCCGCGTCAGCCACAGCTGCTTCAACTCCTTCTCTAGCCGCGACGGGAGACCGGGGTACATGCTGCTACCGCCCGACAGCACGACGGCCTTGAAGAGCGAGGACCGCACATCCACGTCGGCCGCCTGGATTGTATTGAACAAGAACTCGGCAATGCCCGGCTGCTCGCAATCCACCAGGTGCGGCTGGAACAGGCACTCGGGCGCCTCAAACCGCTCGCTGCCAACGCGGATGACCCGCCCGTCCGGCAGCGTGTAGCTCTCCACCAGAACCGTCGTGTCCTCGCTCAGTCTCTTGTCCAGCTCGAGGTCGTACGACACGTAGCAGAGCTTTTCCTTGATCTGCCGCACCGTTTCGAAATCCGCCGTCCGGTTGAGCGCGTATCCGCGCCGGAGCAACAGGGAGATCAGGTTCCGCGTCACGTCCCGGCCCGCCACGTCCAGTCGTCGTGTCAAGTGGTTCAACACCACCGATTCGTACACGGGTACGATGTGCGTCACGCCGTCGCCGGAGTCGACCACGACGCCAGAGCTGAGACCTGTGACGAATGACGCACCGCCCGCCTGGTCAGTACAAGAAAGTAGAGGGACACCCGTTCTCTCTAGGGGGGCTGGGAAGCGCACCTTGGGCATAGAGCGCCAGAACGGCCTGTATAGCAACGTAGACGCCGTGAAAGCCATACCGCTCGAACATGACTTCGCACATCTGTTCTCGGTTCTTAAGAGGGTTCATGGGCGGCTCCGTCAACAGGATCTTGCGACCGCGAGGGTCAATCTTCAGTTTCTCGAAGAACGTGTAATCCCACAAGTGCTGCATGTCGTCCCATTTCTTCACAATTCCGTTCTCCATCGGGTAGCTGATTTGGAGGAGCGTCCTCGCCGCGGCCGCCTCGTCGCCGCACATGATGTCCTTGATGACGATGTCATTGTCACCTTTCTCCTCTGTCCGCAGAATCGGACGTCCCACCATGGACGGGTATTGAAATTCGGGGAAGTTTTGCGCCGCATATCCGACTTTAAGGAAGCCGGTGCCTCCATCGAGGACTAAGGGGGGATAGTTCGTCTCCTGGTTAGCGGATGCGGGTGTCGAGAATGGGTATTATGTCTTGTTGGCGGATGGTAGAAGAAAACATACCAATCGGGGCCTCCGCCATTTTAAGAAAGAGAGAAATCCCAAGCTGCGGACAGTTTTGGAGAGCAAAAGCGTCTGCTGGCTCGGGGAACCGTAAAACGTAGGAGCTGGAGGTGAGGTGGGAGTTGCTGGTATCTTACGTCGTCAACCCCATACGGCGTAGGTAGTGGGGTCAGCTTGGTCCATGCCCAAGCCCAGCCATAATCATCACACACTCCAGGGGCTTAGCTTTAGATCACGTGATATTTCGAGATTGGTATACTGGGTGCACAGTATGGCCATGCTTTGAATACTGTACGTGGCATACCATAGGTACCGAACGAACCCCGCTATCACGTGTTGTCCGAATACCGTGGATGAAAGATGTGACTTGAAACGCTCACAGTTCAAGCACTTGAGGGTCATTTACCTACCTCCACTTCGGGCGAGCAGGATATAACCTTTCGTAGTTGCATAAAACTTGGGTAAGGTAGTTGACCTGTTGCTTGGATAAGAAGGCCATAACTTTTGTGAGCCTTTCACCGTTAGATACTCCCACTTTCTGGCCATCAACCGGCGTCTGCCCAACGTCCAGCCGCAAAAATGCCCGGCGGGGTCATCAGTATTCTCGTCGTCAATCCCAACTCATCCCATGCCATGACACAGGGTATGGAGGATGCAATTAAAGGTATTCCGTTGGATGAGGTGAGTCCTTGACGCAATATCTTTCCGTTGAACAGGGCGTGACCGTATTCCGTGTTACACCCCCCAGTCGATCAAAGTGTACACGTACACAGCACCTCCCGACAGCCCAGCAAGTATCAACGATGCGGAGGGTATTCAAATCAGCACGGATGTCGTCCTCAAGGACCTCGCACAGTCGGGCGAGCTGGAGAAGTACGACGGCATCCTCGTCGCTTGCTACAGTGTCCACCCCCTCGTCGGCCATCTCGCAGAGCAGTACAAGAACGGGCTCTCCGTAACGGGTATATTCGAGGCCAGCATCCTCACCGCCACTTCTTTGCTACCGCCCGCGACTTCAGGCTCCGGCTCCCATCAGAGCCAGTGGGGGATCGTGACTACCGGCGCGTTCTGGGAAGAGCATCTCGGGACGGGGGTGAGGGAGTTCCTCGGCCAGGAGTCAGGGAGCAAGAACGCCAAATTCAGAGGTGTAGCGTCTACGGGTCTGTCAGCCGGCGACTTTCACCATGTGAGTGCCCAGGAGGTCAAGGTCAAGCTCGAAGAGGCCACCAGGCGGCTTCTGGGAGATGGCGGGGTCAGCTGTGTGGTCATGGGCTGCGCAGGCATGGCTGGTTTGGAGGAGATTATCCGCACAACTGGCATCAGCCAGTATGGGACCGAGGCAGGTAGCAGCGTCCTCGTTGTGGATGGAGTTAAGGCCGGCATTCTCCAGCTTGAACAAATGGTCAAGAGCCGGCGGTTGTTTTCGATGAAATAGATCTGCCTGTATTTCATGTCCCTGGGAACGCCCCATAATTGGATGGCCCTTGTTCCCTATTTAAAAACATCCTACATGATGACCGTACTATAAGAAACGCCACGCTAAGGGGGGAAGTTGGGGAAAACAATGAAGAAAGAACAAAAGCAGAAGAGGAAGAACACTGAATTCAATTTCATCATAGGTCCATAAGTCACCTCAGTCCAGGCGTCGTGTCCTGCCCCAGACCTCATCCGCGTCCTTCTTCCCCTTCGTTTCTGGCACTCTCCAGCTGATGAAGAAGGCAAAGAAGAGGGCAAACCCAGCAAAGATGAAATAGACCCAACCGGCGCCCCCCAAAACGTCATTGAGAGTCGCATTGATGATGGGGAAGAATTGGGCGACGAAGAAAGTGGCGATGTAGTTCGCAGCCAGGCATAACGATTGGGTAGCTCCTACCGCTTCTTGACCGACCAGCTCGGATGCCAGGATAAACGGAACGGGGCCTAGACCCACGGCGAAGAACCCGACAAAGGCGACAACGGATACGGCAGACAGGATCTTGATGCCAAACCGGATGGAGAGAGCGAGAGCTAGCGAACTGGTTCCCTGACCGATGATCGACAGAAGAATGCACGTCTTCCTCCCAAGTCTGTCCGGGAGTGGGGAGCAAGACACAGTCGTCACCAGGTTGACGACGGAAATCAGGATCGTCAGCAGGGCAGAGCTTATGGGGAGGAGATCTGTGAGTAGTGAAACAGAGTACATAATGACCGAGTTAATGCCGCAAAATTGTTGAGCAAACGCAACGGCGACAACAGCAATGATGGCCGGTCGATATTGGGAGTCCTTGACGACCTGGATGAAGCCCAGATGAGATCCCGATGACTTGGAGCTGGGTGTAGGGCGTCCGTCTTCGGCGCCGGTCTGTGATAGCAGGCCTTCCCGCTCCGACTCGAGATCTCCACCCTCCCATGCTGCTGTTTCCTCCCCGATGTCGTAGTTGCTCCCGCGAATGCGTTGTAGTACGCGCCGCGCCTCGGTGACGTCGCGGTTCGCAGCCAGCCACGCGGGACTCTCCGGCATGAAGACAAGACCAGAAGCCTGGACAAGAGCAATGGCGATTCCGGTCCCCAGGATGCCGCGCCACGCGCTGCCGTAACTTAGAAAATATCCCAGGGTCTGCGTGAACAATATGCCGACATTGATGGAGATTTGCGTGGTAGCGCCGAATAAACCGCGCTCGCTCGGGGGGGATATCTCGCTGATATACAGTGGCACGACAACAGTGGACGCCCCGGCGGCCACGCCTGATAGGAAACGCCCGACAGCGAGCCAAGGGATGTTCCCGGCCGTCGTCTCGAGGGTTGCGCCCACAACGTATAGGAGAGCCGTGAGTCGCATCGCAGAGAGCCGGCCTCGTTTCGAGGCATAAGGACCGGTGCACAAGGCACCTACCAGACCCCCCGCGGTGAATATCGAGGAAACAGTCGCAAAGGCGGCATCGTTCATTGGGATACAATGGGGAAGCAGGCCGCCGGTGGTTTTGGATTCTGGTCGCGCCGAATGCCACCATTTAGACGGATATGGTTCGGCCGTGTTAATGGCCTTCTTCTTGCAGTTGATCACATCTTGCGGTGCGTTCAGCTCAGCCTGTCCAAGGGAAAATGGCATGTTAGCATCATTGCAGCTATTGCAGTGGATACCTCGGCGGGTGAAGCAGTAACGCTAACAGGATCGTGGGAACGGGGGCAGCATACAAGATGGAAGCCAAACTGAAGAGGACCAAGGGTCGACACGACCACCAAGAGTATTAGATAGAACGTCGAATCTTCGACGCACTTCCTTAGGCCTGAAGGGGCCATGATGGAAGGTGCTTACGATGTAGCGTTGATGAATCCCGCGAATGGGTTGCGGGGGTGAGGATGGTTGATGGAGGTCGAGCTAAGCTACCTATCCGGGTACCGTGAGGAGGTCCAAGCTCCTTTATTATGTAATACATCGACACGACAACGCTAATTACCTTACGCTTACGGAGGACTGAAGCCAGAATCATTCGTCATTCATCGTCCGTCTTACTCGACCGAACGAAGCAGTTTTCGTACAACGTCCAAGAAATTCCCTCTTAATCGCATCATGTGGAGCTTCCCACGATTGCAGTACAGTCGATAATGTGCCAGAATTGAACAGAGATCGTCGGATGGTGAAAGCACCAGAGAAGGACCGAGAGGGCCCACAGACATGCTCGAATGCCAGACTATGCGTCCTCAAAACCGTCCTGTCACTCACTTGGCTGCCAGGGGCACGCTCGCATTGTGCACAAGCAACATATAGGTTTTAATATATCAGCCTGTTCCCAGCTCTCAAGATACCGAGGTATTTCGTTGGGCGGGTGCTGATCAAGCCCTGACGCCCTCACTACGACGCCACGACATCAGAGCGTTGTAAGATAGTGTGAGCAATTGTCAACTTCCATAAAATAAAGGATCTTCAGCTTCTTCAGGGAACGCCTTGCGCCACGGGACTTAAATGCTTCACCGACCAGTTGTAAGTGCCCGTTTGACAGCTCCCTCTAACGTTTCCAAATCGGAATCCTTCAGCCCGATGCTCTCATTGTCCGTCTTCTCATACAACGTTCCTCCTTCCGACCAGATCCTCCGTAATGTTAGGATGGTCGCATACGGCTCTCCCTCATTCCAAGCTTTGGTCTCCGCATCCCGTAGGGTCTGTAGTGACGAGTAGGTCACATCCCACTTGGCCCCCGTCTGCTTCTCGAACTCGGCCAAGATCTGCTTGGGAGTGACCACAAAGGATTGCACTTTGAGTGCTTTGTTGAAGGATGCATCGGGGTGCCGCAGTGCTGCCACCAATGCCTTTCCCACGCTGCGGAGCAAAAAAACCGGAAATGAGCTGGCGATGTCTAGGAGAAGGGATGGAAACGGAAAGGAACGGAAAGGAACGGAAAGGAAAGGAAAGGAAAGGAAAGGAAAGGAAAGAGGAGAGAAAGATGGGGAATAACGTACTCAGGCATGGTCGTGAAGCCTGCTTTGCCCTCGCCATCCTCCACCAAAACCGCCTTCTTCCAGACAGGGTCGAAGCCACCGGCCTCCCGTCTTGCATCGTTCAGGTCGAAGCCACCGGCCTCCCGTCTTGCATCGTTCAGGTCGAAGTACATGTCGATGTACGGTCCGGTCACCAGGAATGTGTACTTCATCCGCTTCACGTTCTCCCGGATATACTTTCGGACCTTGAGCTTCTGCTGGTGAGGCTTTTCGTTGGCGCTCGAGGGCCCGTACTCGATATCGGTGCCGTATTCAGACGGAAAGAACCATTTCACAGATGTGCATTCCTCAGCGAGCCGGACAAGCTCGGTTTGTAGTCTGATGACGTCTCGGCCTAAGGCGGAGACGACCGTGTCGATTCCCTCCAACGCGGCTTTGACGTCCTTTTCGTTTGTAAGATCTCCGTTGACGATTCTGACTCCCTTCTGCTGCAGCTTGTCCAAGTAGTCCGCCTTGCTTGCTGATGCCTCCTTGGATGTAAAGATGGTCACTTGATCAAAGCTCGGCTGGGCATTAATGACGGCATCTGTGATATATTTGCCAATCTGGCCAGTCGCCCCGAGAATGAGGATATTGAGCGGTCTGAAAGAGGCCATATTGTCTCACTGTTGTCAGGATATCGTTTACTCGTAAGGGCACTCCTTGACTGAAAAGGGAAGGCAAATAATACTAGATCAGGCTTTAGGTCCGAAGTTGTGAAGAGTGCTTATACCAAGGAAGTTGTTGGAAGACTCAAAGGTCCTGTGGCCACAAAAGCACAAGACTCCGACTAGAGATCGTCGCAGAATACCGAGGTTTCCCGGAGTATGTGTGCTTGCAAAGTCTTGATTGGATTCCGAGTCGAACCGTCTGCGGTATTTGTCATACTGAACCACCATTGCACCAATTTTTGACGCCATCAACCAAAGGGCGTGCCTTCATGGTTAGCCTCCCCGCATCGGAAAATCACCCGAAACACTTGCAGAACTTGTGAGCTAAATCCCGAGAGTAACATACATGTAAGGCAGGTGTCAATTAAAGTAATTGGAATGTGACGTTGTGATACCACTCCTCGAGCTTTCTTCAATGTCCCATGCTTGCACTGGGGCTTCGCAGAGATGACATAAGCGGAAAAAGAAACCCCGGGTGGCTCGCCGTTTAGATACTTGAGGATAGTGTATACTGCTCCGTGGACTTCGCCATCCATCTGGAGTACGAGGAACAGAGGCCGGTTCATAATTCACAGAGTCCTCGCCCTACTCACGAAATTGCCCTCGGGCTCGAACAGGGTATCGTCGCCCTGGCTCCATCTGTGTCTAATAACGCCGGGCATGTCGGTATGAGACCGCCACCTGCTGTTTAGATCATTCATCACGTCGAGGGCCATGATACGCCAGTCCCAGTCGAAGGGAGACCGGCACTTCCCTAGCTGCTGCCAGGTGACGATGCTGATAATCCAGCCGCGTGGCCCCCACATCTTCCAGCTCGGGCGGTGTTGAATCTTGACTTGGTAGTCCGTCCGGCAGATGGCGCAAGAGGAGACGGAGTTCCGCACCGGCGTGATAAAGCGGTTGGGGATGGCGAGGTCTTGGTTCAACTCGGGTAGATTGCGAGGCCATGATGCCACAGTGGAGGCGTTGGAGGCCCGGATGCGCAGATGGGGGCATATCTGTTGATGGCTCACTCGCATGAAGCGCATCAGTCTGTCGGTGGTATTCTCTGGGTGGTAGTAGGTGAAGGAGGTGCAAAGGAACAGCTCGTCCTGGAGGATGCGTGCGCGCCAGCACTGCTGGCAACGCACATCACTGGTTGGACATCTCTTGGCAAAGGTGCCCTCAATCACGGCGAGCGGGAGCCCGTGAGAGGGCCCGTACAGGTGGCGGTTCGTAACGAGGCGGGCCAAGTTGTACTGCAGGCTGTGGCCCTCGGGAAGGGGAGCTCTGAACGGGTGCATGGCCCGGCACCCATGGTAGGAGGGCGAGCGGCCCCGTACATCCCAAGGTAGAATACGGCCGTCAAGGCGCCATGGATGGAGCTTCAGACAATCGTAACAAAAAAAGGAGTGGTCAATGTCCTTCTCCAGCAAGACAAGCAAGGCCTTCCTAGAGACCCGATCCAAGTCCCGTCGAGAGGCTGCTTTGGGGGAAAATTGCCTGTAGAGGGCTTTGCATGTCAACGAAAAGCAGATCTCTGCTTCCTTCGATAGCAGCTCCAGGACAAGGAGGAGAATCTCCGGGGGCAGCTTGAAGACCGGGGCAATGTTGCGAGACCGCGTCGACGACGCTGATTGCCCCGCCGATTGCCCCTTCTTTAGGTGGATCGGGGGAGTGTGTGTTTGCTGGAAGTAGGGGAGCGCCATAGGAGTACACGTGATTGAACGGACTGAAATACAGACTGTAAGACTCGTAATAGCAGAATGCGCTTGCTCCTTTGTCCTGATTGATCTGAAGCCAGCATCACGACGCAAGATGGGAAGTCGTGTGAAACGCGAGTGAATAGCAATCAGGTGATGCGGAGTATTGCGGAGCACAGTGTTCTGGAATATGTGTAGGTATTCCCCGTACCTGGACGCCGCAAGGGTACTTTCGTGTTGTGTCAACAGGGACGACCCGCACCCAGGTACCTGGGTGGGGCTCCCCACCTATCCGTACCCCTATTATTTTTTCCTATAGGTAGGAGGAAAATACGGGAAATATCACGAGACTCGAATGGGGGTTTACGAATGCTTACTGTCGTCAAGCAGTTCAACGGCGGTTAAGCTGTTAGACGGCATTTTGGAACCTTCCTCTAGACGTTCTACGGAAGCAAATTCAAACCTTAGGCTTCTTGCCGGAAGGCACTACGTAAGGTTTTAGGATATTTCAGATTTCTCTCTTCAAGGTAGGTAATATAACCGATACCGGACCTAGGCTCGCCATATCCGAGATCGGAAATACAGTCTTCGCGTAGCCTCTTTCACTACTGTGGCAATCGTACCAATTGCCAGACTTATCTATCCCAAAAAAGGTCACGACCTTCCTTTCGCTAATTCTCAGAAGTATTGCTCGCCCTGGTAACCTTTATCGTGTAAATCCAGGTGGAAGTCCCGGTCCAGGCCCGGTCCAGGCCCGGCCACCGCCCCTGCTAGGGCTGAGCCGACGGAAGCAGCCGAATCAGGTGTCCCTGGGTCCGCCCGGCGGGAGCGGCACGACCGTGTCAACCGCTAGGGGCTTCCCTTTCCCCATCGTGATCAATTGCCGGGCAATAGGAAGACAATGTTCATTACTTTCCGTGCAGCAAACCAATGCGGCAACCCTGGTCATTATTGATCAACTCGGCGCTGAACTATGTTATCATGACCTCCAGCCAGCCACGAACGACTGCTCCATCGCGACCCTCGTCCCGAACATCTTCTCGACTCCTCGGTTACAGCCTCCTTTCTCTCTGATTCGCCCCTCGAACGAATTTCAGCTACTTGCTAGCCTGGTGACGAACCAAATGCGTCGAGTATGTCGACGATTTGAGAGCTGAGAGCAGAAGATAGACCGACACGGGAGAGAATCGAAGGTCCGCCAGCGCATAGCAAGTTCACTGGGATCGATCTAGAACCCGGAGGACCGAATTGAAGCTCTCAAGACCCTAGCTCATCCATGGACACGTAGGCAGAACGCTGAATGAGCGAGGTGAAGGGAGAGGTTGAAGTGTATGAGCAGGAACACCCGCTGGCAAGCATCCGGCTCTGGGTCAGTGTGGGAATGATATATAAGTAGGTGCTATCTACCCCAGACATCACCTCTTGATCTTTTGCTCCTTACAACAACAAACTCAAAGTTCCAAGCTTCTCCTGAAAACATTCTACACCTCAGTTTCACTCCAAGCCGCCATCTCACCTCTTTCCCAAAGCGCCTTTATCTCTCAACATGGCTGCGATTATTGTTGGACCCCTCATCAAGGCCGCATTCGGCGAGAACGTCTCCGACGTCGCCGATGTCATCCTGGGTTTTGATTTCAGTAAAGTACTAGAAAAACTTTCATGAGAGGGTTGGGGGGGGGGCTTTGGTATATCGTCGGGCTGACTGAACTGCGCCAGATGGATGTCACCACTACTCATTCGGAGGAGTATCTCCACACGGAGCTTGCACCAAGTTACGGCAAGCTCACCAGCAGCTCGCTAGAGGAACTCGACGACCATTTGAAGATCATGATGAGTGGAACGATGAAGAGTCTGGCCAAACTGGAGAACAAGGACTGGGCATCGGTTGTGGGCACCATGATGCAGAACCCGCTGCTCGAGACTGACGGATCGGAAATCGACCGTTCTGATATGTTGATCAAGGATAGCGTTGCTGATTTCAAGTTCGACGGTTCCCCTGACTCCGCGATCGTCAGCGAGGTATTCTTCTACACATCCGTTGGCCCCTTGTTGCGTTGACTTACAGTCTGTTTAGGTCCAAAGCTGGTTCACCAAGCTCATCAACGATGAAGATGTCCTTCTGAGCACCAAGATTGATCTTCCCATCATGGCACAGATTGTCGCAAGCAGCGGTGCAACCGTCGACAGTTTTCTCAATTTCTGGGCCAAGCGCGAGCGCCACAGCCAAACCATGGTCGATATTGGCGTTCTGCGCTTCCCCGACGTCGACCACCCTCACTTCAAGGTTTGTGGTCCCAATCCGGGGGATAGTATTCGGCTGTTCAGGACACCTCTTTTTTTCTTCTTTTTTTTCTTTTTCTTTTCTTCCTTCTGACTGGCTTTCGTCAAACGACGAATATGACAGCTCTACCGAATCCAGCTTGAGGCTTGGCAGGACAGCTCCCGCATCCTTTGGCATCAAGAAGACAAGAACGGCATCACCGGAAGTACGTTTTTCGAGCTTCACCACTGACATCAAATCGATATGCGTCGGGCGTGCTAACATGTCTGGTGTTCTAGTCTACACCTGCCGCAGGTTCAAGCCTCGTGAGAGCGTCATCAAAGGCCTGACCGATACGGCGCGTGCAAAGGCCATCGAGGAGGCCAACAAACTGTTTGACTAATCCGGTAGTGTCGAGGATATGTCGTGTAGCGGTGAGTCCGGACAGCATGCAGGGAGGCCTTTCACCGTTTCACGCATTGGGGAAAAGAACACCTCTACTGGGGTACCGCTCTTTTTATGCTCCCGTTGCGAGGTCAGCATATCATTCAACATGTTACGTTCTGACCCCCAGCGCGGAAGAACTACTCCCCCTTTAGATAGTCAGGAATTTGCTCAGGTAATGAATTTGAATCCTTCCTTGTTTCGAGCTTCTTGAGTATTAGAGGCACAGCCTTTTCTCATACTACACTTGTAATACCTATTACACTGAAACCGGCCCCCTTTATTTGTCGACCACTTTTTGGCAGCCTGCTTTTCGTACCGTTACTACTGCCCGGGCCCGTTTTTCGACTTTCTACGGCGTTGTTGCGGTGTTTTTCGGGCGACTTCGTTTAGCAGTATGTATCTGTACAACCCGTAGGAGTGACTACTTTCATAACGTATATGCTTTAGGCTGTTTTTTCGTATCTTTAGTAACAAATACAGTGTAAATCGCGCGCATATTTGACCGATAGACTGTGCAGCCTTGTACCGCGCCGTTTCTACTACTTCCTAATACGATAAGGAAAATAGAATAAAAAGTGAATAGAATATTAGAATAAATAGAATGAAAATAAAATAGAAAAATATATATAAAATAAAATAGAGTATAAGTAAAAGAAGTCTATAATATAATTATAATTATTAAAGTTATTAAGATAAAGTTTAGACTATTATTATGATTATTTATCTTACTCCGCTATCGTATCTAATCTATAGGAGCCTGCCTAAGCTATACGGTCCTTCCTAGGTAGCTATAAAAAGGGAAAACCCGGGGGAGAACCTCTATACTCTTCCTTAGATAGAGTAATGCCGCTACGGGGCCGATATAGCCCCGGTTCGCCTCGTCTACTTATCTGGATTATACCTCTAGGCTAATAGCTAACGGGTATATTATTCGGAAACCCACAGTGCAGAATTCCACATTCACTGTAACGTGCACGCACCAGTCGGAGCTTAGCTCCACCGAATGCCGACCCAGCCTTCAAGCAATTGGTACCGTTGTAGATTTTTTTTTCTCTCTCTTCGTTTCCGGGACAGCTTTCTCGGTGCACCAATGCTTCCGTAACGCGACCCCTCGACACTACGCACCCATGGCCCCGGTCGAGGAAACATCTCCGGCGATCAAAGGGGATAAATCGGATAAGACACGTAAGAAGGAAAAGTCGGAAAAGAAAGGAAAAAAGAAGCGAACTCGCGAGGATGATGCCGAAGCTGGCCACGAGACTGGGCGGAAACACAAGCGGTCAAAGAGCACCGTAAAAGAGGAAGAGGAGGCAGAGGACAGCTTCGTCAGGGGACCATCTCCCGATCTCTCGGCTGCAGCGCCCGCGAGTGCGAATGACAGCAGTGCTCCAGACGACGAGACGTCGGCGAAGAAGAAGAAGGGGAAAGAGAAACGCCACAAGAAGCACCGAAGCAAGGCGGATGACGAATCAGACCACGATGCGGTAGCTGAGGTGGACGTGGACTCAACAAAAAAGAGCAAGAAGAAGAAGAAGAAGAGAGAGAGGCAACCATCGCCCGATCTCGCAGAGGCGGCGCCGGCAGCAACGCAGGATAAAGCCGATCTCATGGACGTCGATGCACCATCCGCTGAGCCTCAGCCGCACCAATCCACGTCGCGACTACATCAGCCCCCCGATGCGCCTTCTGATCCTCAATTCCCCTTCTTCACCCAGACTGTCTCGCTTTACCTACCGCTCTACCCCATAGGATGGGCAGAACCCCGCACCGCTGCGGCAACGCAACATCTCGAGCCTATGTTGAACCGCTACGTCCCGGTGCTCAAGGGCGTGCTTTTGGCTTTCCGAAACGTCAGGGTGTCGGATCAGCCGGGACGACGGGACGACGGCGACGACGAAGACGACGGCGGCGGCTCGGACATGGACTCGTGCGAAGTCGCTTCCATCGACGAGTATGCTGTCGGCTTCGGCTGGGTGACGGTCGAGGTCGACCTCTTCGTTCCCAAACGCGGCGCCTGGATGGAAGGCAGCATCAACCTGCAGAGCGAGGGCCACGTCGGCGTTGTCTGCTGGGGCAAGTTCAACGCCAGCATCGAGTCGGCTCGCCTGCCGCCCGAGTGGCGCTGGGTGCACCTGGGGTCGGACGAGGCGAACGAGGCCGGCAACAACAACATGGACGACAGCGTCTCGAACTACACGGCCGAGGAGCAGCACGGCGCCGTGCGCCAGATTCACGCCACGGGCTACTGGGTCGACGGGACCGGGAGCAAGGTCAAGGGCAGGGTGCGGTTCCGCATCAAGTCGTTCGATGTCGGCATCACTGGCGACCATGGCTACCTGAGCTTGGAGGGCACGATGCTGGACGCGGCCGGCGAGGCCGAGGCGGTGCAGCAGGATGTTCAGCAGGAGCTCCGGCGCAGGCGGGGTAAATCGGGCGGTATCCTCGTCAAGGAACGGCGCATGGTGCCCGAGTTCAGCGTCACCAAGTTTGGACATGTCGAGGACGAGGAGGAGGCGCTGCGGCAGGACGTGTGGAAGACGACCGAGCCGGCGGCCGATACCCCAGCGACGAGCACTGTTGCATTTGCCGGGATCTCGAACGACGACGCCTAGAAGGCGAATAGAAAACCCGAGAGACGGGCGCTTTTGTAATAGGGGCGCAGCGATGATGCTTGGTTTGGCTTTTGCTTACTAGATATCTCAACCGTTGAGATGAGGCTGGTTCGGGATACAATATCACAGTGGTTTATATTATGATGCCTCTAGATTGCACCGCGACCATCAAATTTGTCTTCGCATCACTTCTCGTCAAGTCGACCATGCACTGCGCTGATAATCTACCGAAACCTCCGCCCTTTCCCCTCCTACGTTAATATCCCACAACTTATAACGTCCATTTCATCCGACGACGCCTTTGGACAAGCGGTAACACTAACAGGCTAAAAGGCCCCAATCCTAGTCATTCTCATACTGTCTCGAGTCTCAAGGCAGTAGCGCGGCACGTTGACCAATGAATCAATCGGAGTAAGAGGTCCGAGAGCGTTGAAGTACAACGTGTATTAGTGATCGTGCGGACGGGTAAGTTTGGGTGTACGCGTTCCTTCAAAATCAACCGATTTGTCAGTGGCTTGGCTTCCTTTTTTTCCCCTCTCACTCACTACAAGTCCGCAAGTCCGCAAGCCACCATTACGTGAACGTCTGTGAGTATAGTTGTGAGAACATAATAAGGTACGGAAGATTGTGTGTGTATTCATCTAAGTGAAGTTCGTGGTACTTCACGGGGATGTCTAACTACCTAGGTACATTACCTTACCTTATTCGGAAAAATAAGGGGAAATAAGTGTGGATACATAGGAACGAGGTACCCTATAAGTCTGATATAATATGTCGTATCACACCTTGATAAGGTGGCTGTGGGCATCTGACAATAGTAATCACCATTGAACGACGCGCACGACGACCTCTCTGGAGGCCAAGCTCAAGTCTTGCCTCCGGGGATCGAACATGAGGGAAATGGCGCCGCAAAAGATATAAAAAGGTCTTCAACGACCGCCACAATGACCTCGATTATTACCACCATCAGTCTGGCATCGCAGCGAACCCCAGATCACTGAGCACCGCAAAGCATCCTACCTACCACCGCCAGTCGTTCTACACTCTTCTCTTTGATATTCATCCCCCATTAAATCCTGGATTCTCATAATGGCCACCAAGCTCGTTACCGTCTTTGGCGCAACTGGTGCCCAGGGCGGCAGCGTCGTCCAGGCGTTGCTCCGCGACAAGTCCGGGACCTTCAAGATCCGTGGCATCACTCGCAACCCGGCGTCGGAAGCAGCCAAGGCCCTCGCCGACTCGGGGGTCGAGGTCGTCAAGGCAGACGGTCTTAACATAAGCGAGCTCGTGCCTGCTTTCGAGGGAAGTTGGGCCGTTTTTGTCAACATCAACTCGGATGATCCAGTATGGCTTCCTTCTTCCCCCCATTTTCCTGTTAACCCAGAACTCTGGGAGACCGTTCATACTGATGCAAAGTGACGACAGTGCCTCAACCAGAAAGACGGGCCCTCGGAAACAGACATGGGCAAGATCATCATCGATGCGGCTCTCGAGGCTGGCGTCCAGCACTTCGTCTTCAGCGGCATGGCCTCCGCCTCGGAGATCACCAACGGCGCGGTCCCTAACCAGGCCTTTGACGGTATGTTCTTCACACCAATACCATCGTTCCATATTGCGGTTGTAGTTTGGCCACACCATTTTCACCAATCCATCGCTAACATTTCCCCCCAGAAAAGCATGCCATCGGACAGCATGGCCGCAGCAAGGCTTTCACATCCTTTGTCGACGTCAGCCCGGGTTGGTACATGGAATCTTTCCTTTGGCCTGATCTCGCGCCGGTCTTCGGCGGTTTCCCTTTCAACCCCGATGAAGAGGGCCACCTGACCTTCACCTGCCCCCGTTGGGGCGGTCCCAACGACGAAGCTCCCTTCATTGCCATGGCGGCCGATTACGGCGACATGGTGCACGGCGTCCTGCTGGCGCCCGAGAAGTACAACGGCCGGCTCATCCAAGGCCTAAGTCAGTCTCGTAGCCTGGAGAGCGTAATACCCGACTACCAGACAGGTGAGAGTCCCTCAGATCCCGTGGCCTTTCGGCCACAAGGTCTCTCGCCCAGCTATATATAACTGACTTGGTGGGGTAGCAACCGGCAAAAAGGCACGTTTCCGGTTCATGGAGACATGGGAGGAACTCGAGACGTATGGCATGTCGGGGCTCGTCACCGTGCAGCGCATGTTCGGCTTCTGCCAGTACTCTGGAGGGTTATACTATGGCTTGCCCAACGACACGATGCAGGCTGCCGAACTCAAGGCCGCCGCTGCCACCGCCCAGGGCAAGACTGGAGACGATGCAAAGTTGATGACGTTGGAGCGATTCTTCAAGCAACATCTTGCGTAAGGGAAGAGGCTCCTGCGGTGTATCTCATCATGTCATCTCGACTCGTCAAAGCAGAATGTCAATATCATATGCTCTCACTATACAATACCGCTCGCTACATGCCAGACATTATATTTCTTTCCCATGCTTCGTGACTCGGGGAGAGTTTTAATGTGACAATAGTTGTTCACTCGGACAGGTCTGCCAACAGCTTACGGCCTCCAGCTAAAGGAATCTCCGTCTCGTATTTCTCCAAGCGTTCCTTCTCCCGTCGGCCGTCTTTCACCCACTGCACCACAGCCGGGTGCTCAAGCAAACGCTTCGCGTAATCGGCAGCCGGTCCCCGCAGCTTGATCCCGTAGCCATCGAATCGGACAGCGACCGGAGACCAGAAGGCGTCGGCGGCGGTGAATTCGGCGCCCGCCAACCAGGGACCGCCGAAAGTCGAGAGTCCCTCGTTCCAGAGCTCTTCGACGCGGTCGATTTCGCGCTGTAGGGCAGGGTCGGGAGTGCCGATGTCGATGCGCAACGCGACGTTCATGGTCAACTGTTCCCGGACGGCGGGGAAGCTCGAGTGCATCTCGGCCACGGCGGAGCGGGCAAAGGCGCGGGCTTTGCGGTCGCGGGGCCAGGCGGCCGGGTAGTCCTCTGCGATGTACTCCATTATGGCGAGGGAATCGCAAATGGTAAGGTCATCGTGGTAGAGAGTGGGGACCTTGCCAGTGGGCGAAAAGGTGCGGAATTGGGTCTGGTGAGGAACGTTGGGTTTGAAGAGATGGAGTTTCTCTTCGAAGGGGATATCTAGGGCTTTCAGAAGGACCCAGGGTCGCATGGACCATGAAGAGTAGCGCTTATTGCCGATATGCAAAGTGAGAGCCATGACGAGGTGAAGGAAGGGGGCGGGACAGACAAAACCACGGAATATTGAGCTCGAATCAGATATCCCCCGTCGAAGGTAAGTATGCAATGGTGGGTTTATGATATCAATGCTGGAGAGAGAGAGACAGAGAGGGAGAGGGATAGGGATAGGGAGAGGGAAAGATAAAGAGAGTAGAAGGAAGGAGTGGAAAACAGAACACTCAGTTTATATACCCATCTCCTGGCAGCTAAAAGTGGCAGGTGTGTTGATGAAGGGCGTCCTTGACATCGCGCCTTGCTATTGACCTGAGGGGCAGAGACGACCCCTGAGAATAATGAGATCCTATCAGGAGGGCTCGAGCTGAATGCTGAACTGCTGAAGCCACTTGGCTCGGGGGTTTGATGCATTGAGGCCAGAAAGAAATTGATTTATAAGTGATTTGAAGAGTCCAATTGAGAATCTCTCCATGCTTAGAAATGCAAGCTGGCAATTGAAAAGACCTACTGTGAACTCGTGTATCCGCAAATCGTGGTTTGTGGTTGGCGATGACGATGTACGAAGTACGAAGTGGAAAGGATTACGGATACAAGGCTCATTGGAAGGATGAGGTAAGCAGAAAGCGGTCACCACCTCCCTCAGACGAAGTCAGTCGACACCAGCTGGCAGCGTAATGTTCTTCAGTCCCATTCCCAAAACAGCTTGCATCTACACGCGATTCACATGCCCATCACGAGGTGTAGACCAAGATTTCACACGCCGCCCCCCTACGATTAAGCATGCTCGGGGCGCCATGGGTATGCCGGAGCTGCCTAAGGGCGCTGCGACTTAAGAAAATACCCTTCGTCCGCTATGGTAGCTCAGGTAAGCCCCCAGTCGAACCTCCCATGTGACGCCTTTTTTTTTTTTTTTTCTTTTTTCCCACTCTCCGATTTTCTTCTAACTTGGCTTCGTCACCCACCAGTGTCGACGCAGGGACTCCCGGATGCCCTGCTAAAACGAGCTCGTAATCTCTCCTCCGAACACGAAAAGCTATCGGCTTCGCTCAATGAAAACTTCGACACCAAGACGGCCCGCCGGGTTGGCGAGCTGTCGAGCGTCGCCACCGCCCTCCGAGAGTGGGAAGCAGCCCTCTCGTCCATCGAAGAGCTACAAGGCCTCCTAGCATCCAGAGACGCCGAGCTACGCCAACTCGCCAAGGACGAACTCGAAGGAACCACGGCCGAGCTCACTTCCGTATCCCGTCGTCTCTCCGCCGCCCTGACCCCAAAGGACCCCTACGCCCACCTCCCCTGCCTACTCGAAATCCGCCCAGGACCCGGTGGCCTCGAGGGCCGCTTCTTCGCCGACTCGGTCTTCAAGATGTACCACCAGTTCTGCGTCCGCAAGGGTCTGCAGGTCAACGTTATCAAGTACGATATGGCCGACTCCGCGGGCGACGCCGCCTCCGCCGCCGGCGAGCTGCCGTTACAAGAAGCCGTCATCGAGATCCGCGACGAGGGGGCCTACGACCTCTTCCGCGGGGAGGCGGGCATCCACCGCGTCCAGCGCGTGCCGGCCACCGAACGCAACGGCCGCGTCCACACCAGCGCCGTGGCCGTCTGGGTCCTGCCCTCGTTCCCCGAGAGCGGCGCCGGCGCCGAGGACGCGAACGACCCGGAAAGCGACTTCTACCTCAATCCGCAGGACGTCCGGGTCGAGACGATGCGCGCCCGCGGCGCGGGCGGCCAGCACGTCAACAAGACCGAGTCGGCCATTCGCCTGACCCACATCCCCACCGGTACCGTCGTCTCCATGCAGGACAACCGCTCGCAGCACCGCAATCGGGAGGCCGCCTGGAAGGTGCTTCGGTCACGCGTCGCCGAGCAGCGCCGCGAGGCCCGCGAGGAGGAGACGGCTCGTCTGCGGGACACCGTCCTCTCCAAACGAAAGATTACGCGCGGCGACAAGATCCGAACGTACAATTTCAACCAGGACCGTTGTACCGACCACCGGAGCGGCATGGACGTGCATAACCTTCCCGATGTATTGATCGGCGGAGAGAGTCTCGACCGCCTCGTGGACAGCGTCAAGGATTGGCTCGTGTCGAACGATATTGCGGCCATGATGGCCGAGGAAGAAGCTGCCGCCACTACTACTACGGCAACTGCTACCAAGTCGAAAAAATAAGGCGGGCAGGATAGGATACGCCCTGTAAAAAAATAAAAAATAAAAAAGAAGAAGAGAAAAAAAGTTGTACCAACATGTAACTGTATAAATGATGGATAATATAGAATAGAAGCTATATCAAATCCGACAGTCATGGACAGTCTAGGAAACCTAGGAAACCAGCAGCAATTGGACAAAGCAATGGATACTAAGAAAAGTGGCATAAAGTCATTTCCGTATTTTTGGTTACATCTTACATCATATTTTGCCCTTTCGTTTCTTTTCCATCCGACCCGAATATTGCCGGACATGAAGGGGCAAGCCGTACAGATGGCGGGAAACCGGGCACTCGCGAAGTTCGATCTGATCCTCATGACGTCCACCGAATGTTTCCGCCCCAGTTTCTCAAAATAGCCCAAGCGCCACGCTGGATCAAGTAAGCGCAAGAGGAAAAAGCAGAATAATACATACATTGAAACGGGAGAGGGGGCGAGGAAAGGGGGGTAGGAGGGGAGAAGGCAAAGAGTGACGGTGTAGAAAAAACAACAAGAGAAAACCGGAAGACTTTGTTTTGACATACGAGCGTGTCAAGGTTGTAGGTGTGTGTATATATCCCGGGGACCGAGTGATCGTGTTGCGAAAATGAATGCGCTCCCCCCTCGGCCCACCCAGGGCCAGGGAAAATCGAGAGACCCGAGAGAAGAATAAGCGTCCTTGATCGAATGGTCAGATCAAGCCGCCTGGCGTTCCCGTCTCATCATCTCCAGCACGCCGACGACACCAGCGTGACGCAGGCGCTCGAGGACGACCCTCATGCCTTCCCTACTCTTTCCAATCTGGGCCTCCGTCTTGCTGGAAGCCAGGTTCTCGATGCTCCGCTGAATCCCGCGCTGACCCAGCCCCGTGACCCAGCCGGAGATCCACTTGTTCTCCCTGAAGTCAGCGGCCTCGGAGGAGAACTGGTCCTTCTTGGCGCGAAGACGCTCGCCGAGGCGGGATCGGTACACGATGGTGGTGGTGACGTTGGTAGAACCGACGGCATCGGTCGAGGGGGAGGTACCCGTAGACGCAGCAACAGGAGGAGAAGAAGAAGTAGCGGAAGAAGGCGACGACGACGACGAAGAACAAGAAGAAGAACAAGAAGAAGAAAGAGACGGGATGTCAAAATTTTGGCGTTCGACGACGGAGAGGACGTTGTTGAAATTGAGGTTCCGGCTCTCGGTCCGCATCCAACCTTGTCGCATGTCGACGGTGCTCGTCTCGAGGATGTAGCTGGCCTTCTCCCCGCCCGAACCAGCGCCGCCGGTGATGGATGAAGGGAGGAGCTTGAAGACGGTGGCCGGGAGGCGAGACTTCTTCAGGTGGATGCGGGTCGTGTGCAGCCGACCGGTGGTTGGGTCGACATAGCTCTCGAGGGTGTCGGTGCTCAGGACATGGGTAGAGAAGGGATTGAGTTTAGGAGAGGAGTAGCGGAGGAAGTAGGCGAGGGTGACGGTCGGGAAGGGATGATTGTAGGTGTCGGTGGTGGTGTGGGTGAGGACCATATTTGCCGGCTGAAATGTCCTTTGCGTTCGTGCGAGCGTGCGTGTGCGTGTAATGTGTGTAATTGCGTGTGTGGTGTCTTGTATGTGCGTGTATGTTCTTACTTTCGAACAATTGCTTCCTTCTTCTCCCAAAGTCTGATCGTGATGCGATTGAAGCTGAGCCAAGCGGAGGTGAGATGCCACTCACGGTCGGGATGGTCGGCAGGTATCTCGGTCGTCGTCCATACCACTTAATGTACACCTGGGTGGTCCAGCTCGATAAGGCTCGAGGATTTGGAAAACAATGGACAATGATGAATGAATTACAACCGACTTGGCCCAGGTCAGACCGAACGAGAAAAGGATGGGCAAAGGTGACCCGTGGGAAATATTAGGCGTGGCGGAGTGCGGAATAACTATGGACCGATTTTGCGGGGTCTTGTGCTGCAAGACAGAGGTTTCACGCGTCAATCAAGCGACAGAAACTAAGGTACGTACCTACCTACGGATTCCCTTCATTTCGTCGTAGCACTGGTTGGTTTTTATCCATGTGATAAAATGTAGACATGATACGTCTGGTTTAACACGCTCATCTATCCTACTGCGTACATTGTTATAAATGCCGTACCAATTTTTTTTTCCTTTTTTCGAGGCACTGGCTCCTGTACGACTTGAAAAGCTCATTGCATGTCGTGACAAGCTCTTTCCGGGGAAGTCGTGATCTTGGGCAGTCATCCATTCGTCCAACTTCCGGATAGACCGGGACCTTGAAGCACGAGCTGATTCTATGTACAGTGTACTTCGTCATTCGTGGTACGCCCCGACTCCCGCTGATTGCTCTATCTTATAGCGTATCCGAAGACGCCGTGGCGATGAGCCTGATAGGCGCCCCGGACGTCGCTAAGCCTGCATATATATATATTCAATTCTGAAGTGTTTGGCGGAATTCCATGCGCAGGCATTGCCCAGAGGTAATCTGACGCAAAACACTCGACAAGTCCCGTTAGGTAGCTAGGTCTGGATTGCGACTAGACACGGTCACCCAACTTGGCCCAAAACACCGATCCCGATAAGTCTGGCTTTTTAACTGCCCGTCTTGGCTTGATGCACTGAGATCATTACGGAGGACCGGTAGGATGGCAACGGGGGCAGTGGATTATCACATGAAATTCCGTGGACAGGTTGACAGCTTGCCCATCGAGTCTGTAGGTACGGATACTTCGTTTTAAAGTACTTCGTGGGTTCATTAATGAGTAATCCAGACAAGCCGAGGTTCAAGAGTAACGTAACTGGTCCATGCGGCCCCATATTCTAACTAGTACAACGTACACTTAGACTGGTCCGTGGTGCATTTGGTGCTCTACCAACCGTGTTGTCCCTGAAATGGTTGAACCCCCCCCGTTGCACCTTTCTTCGCAAGAAACTTCCAATCTCCGGCTCCGGGCGCGCCGCTAGAAAGAAGAGAAGAAGAAACTGGATTCAGTAACCAATGTGATTGAGTATTGTGTGGACTTTGGTACGTTCTCAACAAAATCCATCCGCATCTTTTCCTTTGGGGTGTCATAGCTATGCCCTGTGCCTGACCCTGTGCCTGACCCTGTGCCTCGGCTTTGCTTATCGTTCCGAACCTCCGGGTCCAAGAGTTGCACAATTCTCGCGTTTTTTTATCCTCTTTTCTTAAGTGCCTTCCCGTCCCTCCCTCTTCTCCCACGCACATCGATGACTTATCTCGGAGTCTCGCAGGCCCTCCTTTCCAAGTGCTCGACCACCCTCCTCTGTTACCTCCGTTTCGCGCCGCTTTGGGTTGTCGCGATCCTTGTTCTGCTCCTTACCGCGGTTCGCCATCGCATCTACGACTCCCTCCACGGACTTCGACCTCCGCGCTCGTCCTCATCGTCGAATAAACCAAACCTCCCGAGGCGCATAGGGGCTTAGGTCTCCTGGGATCATCGCACAATGGTAGCGGCATTATCAAAACCAGCCGTCACGGTGGCTGACCTGGACCGCACCCCGGTGCGCGTCGTCCGTCTTCTCCGGTTAGGTCTGGCAAGTGGTGTCGCATTCGCCGCGTGGAAGATCCAATGGAGATTGGGGTTGGGAAAGTTCTTTACCGGGCCGGGCAGCATCAGCCGCATCTTGCTCCTCTTCTTCGTCCTTTCTAACTGGAAGAACATGCCAGGTGTCTGGACAGTACGTCGCGAATTCCACTCTCTCTGCCGACTTGACAAGAAAAAAAGGAAAAAGGAAGAAAAAGAAAGAAAAAAAGAAAAGCTAGATGCACTTTGCCGACTAACATACTCGTCCCCTCGCAGTACCGCATCTGGCACGCCATCATCTACCACTGCTTCATCCGCAAGTCCCCGAAGCTGGGTCCCCGCGCCCTCTTCCGCCCTATGATCACCGAGACGCACGCCCCCCTGACGGAAATCGACTACAACATGCACAAGTCCAACTCGACCTACTTCTCCGACCTCGACATCGCCCGCACCCACCTCGTGACCCACCTCCTCCGCCCCGGTCTTCGTCGCCTCACCCACAACACCCAGACGGGCCTCGTGCTCGACGAAGAGACCGGCAGGGCCCGCCGCGGAAGGATGGGCATCATGCTCGGCGCCGTCCACTGCTCTTTCCGCCGTGAGATCAGCGGCTACCGCGGCTACGAGATGTGGTCGCGCGTCCTAGCCTGGGACCGCAAGTGGCTCTACATGGTCACCCACTTCGTGCCACGCGGCGTCGCCCGCCCAACCGAGTACCTCGACGTCAAGTTCGGCGCCCTCCGCACTCGCAAGGGCAAGGCCGCTGGCAAGGACAGCACCGGCAGCGGCACCAACGAGACGGCCGACGCGGGCGCCGCCTGGGAGAAGAAGATCCACGCCACGGCCGTGAGCAAGTACGTCTTCAAGCTGGGCCGCTTCACCGTCCACCCGTCCTACATCCTCGAGGCCAGCGAGGTCCTGCCGGCCCGCCCCGGCGGCTGGCGCAGCGGGCCCAACGCCGTCGGCGATGAGGACGTCGACCTCGACGACGTCGCGGATGACGGCACCTGGGACTGGAAGATGGTCGAGAAGAGGCGCCGGGCGGGCATGGAGTTCGCCCAGCAGTTCGCTAACCTCGACACGCTCGAGAAATGGTTCGACGGCGGTGACGGCGGTGACGGCAGCGCATTGGGTCGCTTCGGCCTGAGCGCTGCTGCTTGGTAATTTCGCCCAGGATGCAACATACTATGCATGGGTTTCATCGACCTTTTTTTCTTTTTTTTTTTTTCCTTTTTTCTTGTACATTTCTTCATTTTGTTTATCGGTGGGCTGCTTACATATAGGGCCTAGGCATGCACTATAGGGATAGAGGCTTTTCGAAAGCCGGCGCGTTACGGATAGATATTATATTAGATTCACCATATCATCTAGGCATACTAGCAATAATCCTCTGCAGGCCACTGTCAAAAGTATTATGACTTTGAAGAGTACGTGATCTTGTTTCCCCTCCTGTACTTCCGTCTAACATCCACCCCCTACAACAAATGGATGATGTTCAATAAACATGGTCATGGTGTCGGTGTGACGTCCCCGGCTTGTGTGAAACCATTTTGTGTTGCTTCTTTACATGGCGAGAGCAGCAGCCGCGATAGCGCCAGCAACAGCCCACCCGGCAGCCTGGACGCGAGGCGCAGCGCTTCCACCGTCACCATCACCTGCGCCAGCACTCTCACTATCGGAAGGCTCAGCTCCATCAGTTCCCGTGGCAGAAGTGGCAGAGGTGGCAGAGGTGGCAGTGGTGGCAGTGGTGAATGAAGTGACCGTGTCCGTGTCAGTCTCGGTTTCAGTCTCGGTCGCGGAAGAGGTCGCGTCCGAAGTGATAGTAGGCAAGTCGATAAAGTCGCTGGGCGTTGGCACGTTCGAGGGAGTTATGGTCTCGCCAATCTCGGCGCAAGCCTCAACGGACAACCTGATGAGGACTATGAGAGTTGGGAGTGTTAGTCGAGTGGTGCCAGGTATAGGTGTCTCTGGGAAGGGTTTCTATGGCTTTTTTCTTCTTCTTTTTTTCTTCTTCTCTTCTTCTTTTTTTCTTCCTCTCCTTTTTTTCTTCTTCTTCTTCTCTTTCTTCTGGTTGTTTGTTTGTCGGTTTGGTTGATACGTACCGCCAATGTCTTCAGGGGAGCAGCCGTCCCCGGCACACGTCTCGACTTGGTTACGGAGAACGTTGAAGTTCTCGCAGAGACAGGCATTGTCGGTGGCTTCGCAGCTACTCTCGATGATGGCGGCCGTCAGACAAGGGACGGCGCAGGATGGGACATCCCCAAAGGGAAACTGGGCAGCTGTCAGGGCCGAGAGGAGGGAGACGATGACGGGAATGGTGTACTGCATCGTTGCGATTGTCTGGGGAGACAGGGGAGCAGGGGAGGCAAGAAACGTAATAGATTTAAATAAAAGGGTGTGCAAGTGAGTATACAGTTCAATGAGCTGAATGTCGAGGTGTGGTGAAGCTGTGAGGATGCAGGTACAGGCCTGATGTAGGAGAATGTGGAAGCAGGGACAGGAGAGGAGGTAAAAGTCCACGGCGTGGGCTACTGGGGAAGTGAACTGTTTTATCTGTCTTGGGGAGATAGATGATCGCCTCGGAAAGCCCCCTTATTCCAGTTTTGCCAGGCCACTTGTCCGTCTTCTTTGCAGCACACAAGGGAACGTGCAGCAGCAGTGTTTGGGGATCATCGCGACGGTTACGTGTAGAGCGCCCCGGCCACGTTAGTCGTGGGCGACCTCTGAAGCCGGATATCCACCCCCTGACGGCCAAGGATTCAATGCGGCGATCTGCAGCATCTGGCGGTGGGCATTGGCAAGACAAACGAACGAATTGCTCGATACGGAGTAAGGGAGTATGGTACGAAGTAGGGCCGGTTGGTGCATTGGTGGGTTTTTTTTACGAAAATCCCCCAGTCTCCATTTCTTTTTCCGTATGTATTTTTCTTTTCTTTCTCCATAAGACAGACGAACCATGTTCTCACAGGTTTTCGAGTCCGAGTAATTCATTACTTCGTACTTCGTATCTGCGTACAGCAGTTCATGAAGGTGGAACAGGTTACACATTACAGGTTACGAAGCAAATGGAGTAATACCATGCACCTACCTACCTTAAGGAGAATGAAGGGTAAATCGGTGTTCCCATCGGTTAGCGACATTGAACGAAAATAAAATACGAATGTCGGGTGTTGTCCTGACTGGTGGTACTTTTTGACCGAGCTCTCCCTCGTTCCCTCCCGTCTGTGTCTGCGTGGTTCAGAAAGCCTTGGCTGACGTTACCCTTTCACTACAACGGAGTGCTGTACTTACTTCGTACATATATGCACGAGTACGAAGTCTGCCCGCACGCATGGCCCCTAGCCCCTCAATTCTCAACGAACCAACCAGTAATCACGACGTGGTAATCTTATACCCCGTGCGCTGGCTGAGTATTTGGCGTAATCCGAAGTCTACCTTACCTTATTAGGTACCTTATTATGATTACGTTGTACTACCTAGGTACCTACCTAGTATGGCGCCAACTGCAAACGAGAAATAATACAACACAACACGTTGGGCGTTGAAACTGAAACGCGGTGTCTTTTCTATAATTGGAAATGAGGGTGCCGAAGCTGGCGTCACCTTTGGTGACGGTTTAACAGAACTAACACCTTACCTCCTGCTTAACAGACAGGATAGTGAATCAATTAAAGGAGCTTGGTTTCTCATTGTCTGACACAAAATACAAGACCTCCCAGCCCTCCGCCGCCTTAAGCGGATTTAGTAACCATCTGGTGCATTGACCCAACATTGCCCTCCGTGTCCTTAAAGTACCGGTAGACTCCAAAGTCTCCTTCTTTCATAGTGCCCGTCAACACCTCCCCCCCGGCCCCCTCGATGGCTCGCGCTGAATCCTCCAAGCTCTCGACCAGCCAGTGGATACAAACGCCACCAGGCCCGGCGTTCAGCAGTCCTGTCTCGTCGGGGACCTTTTGGATCCCTCCACTGATGTTGACCCCCTTGCCACTGAAGTCGAACATCTGAAGCTCGGACGCGTCATATCTTGGACTTGGAACCCATTCGAAGTCGAAGACGGTTTTGTAGAAACGGGCAGCTACATCAAGGCAAAGGGAATTAGTATAGACGAGCACCATGCCGCGGTCGTTGCGACACGGGAGAACCGGTCACCGGCATTGCAAAGGAGGAACATAGGAGGGGCATGCGTACCTCTGGCGACGTCCGTGGCCGGTATGCCCATCCAGACTGGGCTACCGAACCTGGGAGCTTTCCAATCTGACATTTTGGTACTTTTATAAAGGGCCACACAATTGCGAGGCGCCCGGAGTCAAGAATCTGATATGAGCTGTTTGCCAAGTGGTGAGGATACTCGAAAAGAGGCAACGTCCGTTGAATTTGCTCCCATGGCCACGAGTGGGCTTTTATCCTCCTTTTCACCCCCCTGGCATAGTCATTTGGCGGAATGTAATCCCTCCGTGATGACAGCACAGTTGCTTCCCACGGCCAGCCTTCGCGGTCAGACTCTCCATAAGGCGTTAGGACGCGCAGGGGACTGACGCCACAAGGCCACGACTTCACGTGAGCTTTGGCCGCTCAGCGAATTGGACCCCCCACCTCACAGTGAAACCTGACGCGCCATCTTGGAGATTGACACTGTGCCTAGTGCCCCGCGATCCTCTCTCAACCCCGCCATCCCACTACTCCGTACCTTTTAGTGCCCTTCCCGGTCGAATTCGGAGTTCGGTCTAGTTGGCAAGCTTGACACAAACTCGGGCACTGCCGTCCACCCACGATCCTTTGCGTTCACACATCTCACATTTCTTTTTTTGCGACCATGCCGGAGAAGAAGGTGTCCGTTCTCTTCGTTTGCCTCGGCAACATCTGCAGGTCGACCATGGCCGAAGGCGTCTTCCAGTCTATTGCCAAGGGGCCGCAGTACAAAGACCGCATTGGCAGAGTCGACTCCTCAGGGACAGGTGCGCCACGTTCCCTTCATTGTTGCCCGCGTTCCGGGACAAAGAAACTCAGCCCAAAAATAACTGACGACTCGGCCTTTTGTTTTTATCAGGTGCCTATCACATCGGAGAACCGCCAGATGACCGGACCATGTCGACTCTGGAGGCCCATGGCATCACCGACTACGACCACCTAGCGCGGAAGGTATGGGAAAACGAAACCCCTCCACTAGGGCCATCCAAGTTTGCATTTTAGGCCACAGCCCACTTACCCCTTCTTTGTTCCGTCTTCGTCCGGCTAATGCGATGCGGTCTGTAGGTGCGCCTCTCCGACTTTGACGAGTTCGATTATGTATTCGCCATGGACCGGCACAACCTCCAGGATCTCCAACGGCTGAAGCGCGGGAAGCCCGACTCCAAAGCGACGGTGAAGCTCTGGGGAGAATATTCGGGGTCGAAAAGGGTCGAGGAAATCGACGACCCATACTATGGCGGTGGGGAGGGGTTCCAGAGAGCATACGAGCAGTGCACGCGATTTTCACGCAACTTTTTGAAGGACATATTCCCCGACGGAGAGGCACCCAACTAGCGATCTGTCGTCGTCCGTTTCCGTTATTCGAGGGTGTTTCCGAGTTCTCGTGCCAGGGCGGGCCACGTCTGAAGTGTTGGCCCTGATTTCTGCCGTTGTGTATAGAGATACCCGACGCTATCATCCCATCACAACGATGGAGTTGAAGCGAGTCTGACCAGTTGATAGACATGACCAGTTGATAGACACCGAACCACCGTATAAAGATATCAAGCCCAGCAGGGAATTATACTTTTGTCGTCAAGTTGGAAAACATTTGTAATTATCTGCGACGACCGCTGAGGCAATCAGAGAAGAGATCCGAGTGCTCTCGCTGACATGGTCCCGATTGGATAGGCGTGCATGGGTCAGTTACGGCTTTGGTTGGAATCCTTCGTCGGCACCGAAGCCTGCCAGCCCTATGGACTGCATCCATGGCCATAGGAGGTCGTCGAGCGAGGTGGAAGGCCGTTACGAGGCTATCAAATTGAGCGATGTTTGTCTCGTCGAGACCAAAGTCGCTGAGTGTTAACAATCATGGTCTTGTCCTGACAGCTCTCTATACGTTTGATGCCTTTTCTGGGCTTCGGTCCTCCGTGGACCCGAGGCGCGTGGGCGTGGCCGTGGGCGTGGCCATGGTGTTGAAGTGGGAGACGTATGGAAACATTTCCCGATAGGTGAGTAATAGGAGCGCGTAGTACGGCTTGTACGGCTTGCTGTGCACCACGAGGCGAAACGATCGCGAGATTTCAACAGGGAGGGATAAAGCGATGATGCTCTTGCTGTGGCGCCCCTGCCAAGAGAGCTTTTTGGAGCTGATGAGCCATGCTACGTACTCGAGCCGTTTATCGCGCGGTTAGAAAGATGGGAGGGTCCTGGTCCACCAATGAGAAAACGGAACGTTGTGGAGTGAAACGACTTGTCCGAAAGTACCTTGCACTAATAAAACTTTACTTCGTACAAAAGGCACTCCAAAGTGCAGACAAGGCTTGAAAGAACACCGCCTGGGCATGGTGGATCCGATAACAACCACAAAGGGTGCCATCGTCCAATCAACTCAGGCCAAGATGCTTACAGCGGGTCCTATCCCCTTTGCTTGTCCCGCCCTTGCCAGAGTTTCTCACGAGAGTGCACTTAGGTACTTCCGTAGGTACCTTACTTCATGTATGGCAGTGCAGGTCCAGTGGAATGGATGGAGGTTTCATTCCCAAGATGCGTACGTCAGGGAGGGGACAAGGAAAAGAAGGAGCATCCCGCCGAGGTTAGGTAGGGACTTAAAGAAGGCCAGCGAGTTGCTGAACGCCTGTCCTTTCATTTTCCATCCATCACTCCCTTTCCCCCCTCCTTTCAACTCAAGTACTCCGTATTCTCCCTCCTTTTCTTCGTCTTCGTCTCATCTGCCCATCAGGTCACGCAGTACATACTTAATACTCCACCCCCTGCAGTCAGCGACCGTTGCTGCCCCTCCCTCCTAGTGTAAACTGTTCGTTCACTGCCCCGCTCCAGTTCCAGATTCCCGTCCCAGTCGCCCGCCAGATGCTCGAGGAACCCCGCGTGCGCCCCTTTAGCATCTGAATCCCGAAAACTTGTTTCAAGCTCTCCCGATAACGCCAATTTCAAAGATCAGCTCAACTTCAAGCCTTTGAATCGTCTACCCGTCCTTGAGCTTCGGCCACCCGCTCTAATCGAATCGCGTTTTGCATCTTCCCCTCCTGCAGCTATGGCTGATCTTGCGGGCCGTAAGGTCTTCAAGGTCTTCAACCAAGACTTCGTCGTCGACGAACGCTACACCGTCACCAAGGAACTCGGACAAGGAGCTTACGGCATTGTATGGTAAGGCACTACTATCTATCGGCCTCGCGGGTCAATTATCCCACTCGAGGAAGGCCGCAAGGAACTGACCTGTTTTTTTTTTATTTTTTTCCTTACCTGCGCAGTGCGGCCGTGAATAACCAGACGAATGAGGGGGTCGCCATCAAAAAAGTCACCAATGTCTTCAGCAAGAAGATTCTGGCGAAGCGTGCTTTGCGCGAGATTAAGCTCCTTCAACACTTCAGGGGCCATCGAAATGTACGCTCACTGCATTCTTCCCTCCTTCCTTGTTCCTCTTTGCCTCATGACTTGTTCGTGGATTCTCACATTCGACTGCCTTGAAAGATCACCTGTCTGTACGACATGGACATTCCCCGACCCGACAACTTCAACGAGACTTATTTGTATGAAGGTTAGCTCATCTCCACGCCTCACCCTCCCTTTTTTCTTCTCGAATTTTATGGCAACCCTGCAGTCTACTCTGCGGGGTGATTCCCCTTGCTCGCCGTCTTGCTGACCCCCTTCTCGCATAGAGCTGATGGAGTGCGATCTTGCTGCCATCATCCGCTCCGGCCAACCCCTAACGGACGCGCACTTCCAGTCGTTCATTTACCAAATCCTCTGCGGTCTAAAGTACATCCACTCCGCTAATGTTCTCCATCGCGATCTCAAACCCGGAAACCTGCTTGTCAACGCCGACTGCGAGCTCAAGATCTGCGATTTTGGCCTTGCCCGAGGCTTTTCGGTCGACCCCGAGGAGAATGCTGGTTACATGACGGAGTACGTTGCCACCCGGTGGTACCGCGCTCCCGAGATCATGCTGAGCTTCCAGAGCTACACAAAAGCCAGTATGTGCTCCTGCTCTTTACCTGCGCCTTACGTGCGGAACTGTTCGCTGATCTGAGATCTCCAGTTGATGTCTGGTCGGTCGGCTGTATCTTGGCCGAGCTTTTGGGTGGGCGTCCGTTTTTCAAAGGCCGAGACTACGTCGACCAGCTGAACCAGATCCTCCACATTCTTGGCACCCCTAACGAAGAAACGCTGTCCCGGATCGGTTCGCCCCGTGCCCAAGAGTATGTGCGGAACTTGCCCTTTATGGCCAAGAAGCCCTTCCCTCAGCTCTTCCCCAACGCCAACCCCGAGGCGCTCGACCTTCTCGACAGGATGCTGGCCTTCGATCCGACCAGCCGTATCACGGTTGAGCAAGCTTTGGAGCACCCTTACCTGCATATCTGGCATGACGCTTCCGACGAACCGGAATGCAAGACTACCTTCAACTTCGACTTTGAGGTTGTCGACGATGTCGGCGAGATGCGCAAGATGATCCTGGAAGAAGTCTATCGCTTCCGCCAGTTCGTCCGTACCGTTCCAGGCTCGGCGCATGCAGCTTCTCAGGCGGCACAGCAGGCTGCTGCTGCTGCTGCTGCTGCTTCTTCTCAAGTGCCCATCCCGTCCGGTCATGGCCAGTGGACAGCAGACGAGCCTCGGCCTCAAGAGTATTTGGGCCAGGGCAACGGACTTGAGGCGGACCTGGCCGGCGGCCTTGACGGAAGGAGATAAGAGATATCCACCGTTCAGGCCAGTGGAATGAGCCACTTGGCATGAGCGCCTTCTGATGCGAGACGAGTTGGGACGGCCGGCTTGTAGTCGGAATTTTGAATTCAGTAGCGTCTCTGACATGTCTGATTGGGAACCCTGCCAGTACTTGGGTGTAGGAACCATGATCCGGGGTCAAGGGACTGGGTGAAAAGCATTGGGGTGACCAGTGGAGTGAAGAGACGGATGCTAAGCGATATGTAGTTCAAGCATCGGACGCATATGAACACTATAATGAATGATTGAATTATCGACCCCAGCAGCCTTGGATTTCTTGTCTGTTTTAATATATCAGTGGCCAAGTGACAAGTGACGGCAAACACGATGGTGTAGGAGAAGAGAACAATGAGAGTTCATTCGTACGACTACGGGGACTTGCCGGTGCTACATGAGGCCGGCTAAGCACATATAGGGGCAATTGGGCTCCTTGCATGACATCGATATAGGTGGCATCAGAACAACTCATAATAAGCTGAAAAGGAAGAGGGCTGGGGTAAAGAAGATGTATGTTTCTAAAGTAAAGCTGCAGAAACAGAGTGACTCGAGTCGATGCACCCCCAACCAGAACGCTGCACATCTCGTCTCTAAAGCCCATCGGTCTGCGTCCATGTCCCAAGATGACATGAAATCTTTCCATGATAAGCCTCATTCTATCGTATGTTCGTTACGATGCCCGAGTTCATCGCTTTCCCCAGTGAACTTCCAGCCGAGATGAGTGACCATGGTGAGTTGTGGGTATATCCAAAACTAAACAAAAACACGCAAAGACCAAGCGGGCAAAAAAGGATGACAAAAAAAATCCCTCGTATTTACATGCTGATTCTCTTATCACACAAAGAGCCCTCCCCCCTTTTTTTTGTCCACCCTTCTATCGAGCACCCCAGACCGCTGAAAAGAACCCCCCCTTTCAATCCTCACGGCCATAGAGCCAGTAGTAGGTAGCGTAAGGGACGCTCTGCGACAGGCCGTCGACACATTCCCTCGGGGAGCCGCCGGCGGTGACGACGCGATAAACACGGGACACGCCGCGGCTGTCGCCATTATCGGCGAGGTGAAGCCAAGCGACGGCGCCGGTGCCGACGGGACCGGGATCGGAACGGGTCGGGGCGGGGACCTTGTCGACGAGCTGGGCGCGGAACACGAGGTCGGAATCGGCCTCGGAGTCGCCCGAATGGAAGACGGGGACGCCGGCGGCGTCGAAGAAGTGGTGGCCGACGAACGGCATCCTGACCCCCGGGAGCTCGAGGCCCGGGGCGGCAGCGGGGAAGGGGTACTCGGCGGCGGCGCCGAACTGGGTGGTGCCGTCGCCGTTGAGGGGGAGGCCGTTGGCCCAGAGGGCTAGGGTCGTGAGGGCGTTGAAGTGGGCCTCGGTGGCGACGGATCTGCGGCCTTGGAGGGGGAAGTAGGCGGTGGCGTCGTAGAGGACGGCGACGGCGCCGGAGGCCTTGGCTTCCTCGCCCGGGGTGGTGCAGGTGTAGTTCTGGATGCCGTGGCCCAGGAGGATATATTTGAGAACCTCGCCCTCTTCTGGTTGGGGGAGCTCGTTGTCTGAAACCCATGTTAGTCTCTGTGGCGATACATTGACGGAGGCTAATAAGGTAAGGTAGGCAAAGACATACCGCCACCATTGAGAGGTAGTGTGGGATTAGTGGTAGCGGCGCAGCTACGGCCGTTTGGTCTCCTTAGTGGGGTGGCTAGGGTGAGCGCCACAGAGGCGAGTGCGACAATGCGCTTTGTGAGCATGATTTCGGTTTCGGGAGATGGAGTTGTAAAAAAAAAAATAGAAAATAAAAATAAAAAACCCGGTACCCCAAGCGGGAGATCGACAGGAGGGTCGCCAAACGGTGTTATTATATGCTGTGCCAAAGATCTATTATAGGACGGCGACGGGTGAAACGGCCTAGCCCAATAGGTCGCGCAGGGGTCTGGTGGGCGCTTAGAGATGAGAGGGTCGAGGGGACTTTTGCGAATCAAGGGTGGCTGGTGAAGAATGACCGGGGGGGCGGCGGAACAGTAGAAAACCGAAGAGAAATACAGGTCGAACTAGAAAAATAGAGGAAGACTCCGCGTATGAGAATATGAAGTTGAGTGTCCTGGTGAAAGAAGAGCAGAGAGTCGGAAAGGAAACCAAGGAAACGGAAAAGAAATAAGGAAAAAAAAAGAAGAAAAAAAGAAGAAAAAAAGACACAAGGCCGTTTGTATGGCTTCTGTCTGTGTATGATAGTGAGGCTGGTGAGTTGATGAGGACGACCCAAGGGAGGATGGAAGACGGGCCTTATATGAAAACCCCAGAGATTGAATAGAAGGCGCATCATGTAAACGGTCCAATTCCACGGAACCGCATGGATGATCTGAATCTGCCTATCAGAGACAGACCTAGCTTCCCCCCTCCCCTCCCCGGGTCTGGGCGTATTGACGGGACATGGTCAAGGTGGTCCAAAGTGGACATTGGAGGGAGCTTAGGCCATGAGATGAGGCCCGGGTGGGGTGGGTAGGCGCGGCGGCCTCGCTACTCGCCGCCGGTGCCGCCCATGGCTGGACGGCTCAGCGCATGTACTAATTATGTACACTACCTTAGGTACATACCTTACATCGTGTGGGTGGTTGCACGCGGCTACTTTGCTACCTGGATCCTTGTTCGGCCAGTCGAAGCTGAATGGGGGACTTTAGAGGGTCGCGAGACCTGAAACAGAGAAAGGAACGGTGGTGTTCGATGTTTCGATGTTCGATGAGTTTTCTTTCTTCTTCTTTATGTTTCAGAGACTACAAGATACTCCATGGAAAGTCGCCTCAGCAACAATATCCTCGAAGTTGGGAATACGATCATCGCTCGTGGTTTATGCATGTCCCAGATCTAGGAGCCAAAAGATGAACTGTACAGAACAACAGAACACGCATACTGTCGGAATTTTGGCCTGGCAGGATAGGATGATGGATGCATCGCAGAAAGCGAGAGGTTGGCGGGTAGTTCAGAGGCTGACCCTTCCATTGGCATGCTTGGTTATCGTCAAAGGCGCTTGGACAGCCGTGCCAAGGCCCAGAAGCTCTTGGCACGGCAATGAATGCGGTGTGGATCTACAAGGTGCCGGAGAACCGTCCACTCAGGCGAGGCGTGGCGGGGGGGGGACCCTTGCTGTCAACTCGTCGATAGCCGCCGGGCTCTTGTTTCGTTTACTAAGTATCCCTGCCACCACTAAAGTACACGTGTACCATGTAAACCATTCGCGGTCGTCGTCTTTGATTACGGAGTTGGCTGCCGCATTTTCCCCAATAAATAGTCTGAATGCGTGTAACCGCTCTTTTGTCGTACATGGGGCTTGGCAACGGTGCACGGAATAATACTTTTTCGTCTTTGCTTCGCTTCTTCTTTAAGAGTTTATATAAAATGGGTGTATGTGACTGATCACTTTACGAGCAAAGCGGAGTCGGAAGTACAGCATCTCAGGCACTTTTGTAGGTATAATGTCATTATACTGGAATGTACAGGTAGGGATACATATCATAGCATAAGGTACCTAAGGTACGCCTCCGTAAGCTAAGCGCGGCTGGTGCCCTACGGATACACAATCGTGGCAGAGAACCCCGGCCCGGTATTAACTAAGCCGGGAGCTGACGGGTTCGGCAGTACCACGGAATCCTCCGAATTGACGAGTTTGACCAAAAATAGGGAGGGACGAGAAAGACTGAGACAGGTACTAAGATACCTTCTTTGTTCGAACCTCAATCAGTTAACTACCTAGCCAGCTACTAGATCTCCAACCGTACGGAACGTTGCGCCGAGGCATGGCCATGTGTGTGTGTGTGTGTTGGCTGTTGGCGCTAATATCGGCATCGCGGCAAATTGCCAACACTGGCCTTTGGAGGACCGGTATCCCGGGCCCAAGTAGGCTTTGGTCCTCCCCATTGCCACCGGCATGTCTTTTGTTCTCGTGGGAAAAAAAAAAGGGAGGTCAACCCGAGGAGACAAATTCTGGCCCGAGAGGTCACGTACCAAGGGAAGATGTTTAGCTACATCGAAAATAAAACCACGACAGTCCTGATTCCTGTCAATTTTGTAAATACGCAAAACACAAAATACAAATGCACTTTAATACCTAAGCTGAGAAGCTCTGTGACCACCATACGTCGCGAGAACATTCTGTCCTCGGTCTCCTCCATTTACATCCATCCTCCGAAAACATACAGGGGAAACCGGCTCGCCTGTCCACTATCCAGTCCCCCCCTTCCCTCCCTTCTCCCCCTTCCCACATTCCCTTTTCCCTCTTTTTCTCCTTCCCCCCCCTAGTCGTCATGTCGGAATGTACATTTGTCTCCTCTGGCACATTTACCCTGTTGCCAGAACACGCACGGCTTCGTCCCAATGAGCGCTTTGTTGGCCGGTCGGTGTGGCGGAAGCGTCGGACCTCCAGGAGCATTACCCTTGCGTCCCCCCTTGGCGCCAGCATGCTTCTCACGCCAGGTCTCCCTGTCATCACGATCCCGTTCGCGACTGTCGCGTCGGTCCCGGTCCCAAGGGGGGTCGACGTCTCTGTCGCGTTCGCTGCCGTAATCTAGTGCCGCCCGAGAATCGTATCCGTGATCCTGCTTGTCGTCCCACTCTCGTCCGTAATAACCCGTCGCTTGGTCGCCGCCCGAGCTCAAATCCTGCATCTTCTGGTATCCTCCGTCGCCACCGTCGAGGTCAAGGCCGTGTCCCTGGCTGCCGCCCTGCAGGGCTGCTCCCACCTGCTCCGGCTGGGGTTGGTTGATCTGGCTCAGCAATGCCTGGAGCTGTGCATCGCCCAGTTGGCCCGACTGTGCGCCCAACAGAGCAGCCGCCGTCTGCGTCGTAGCTTGCTGTGCATGTGCACCTTGGGCCTGTTGCAGCAGCGCCATGTATTGAGCGTATTCATCTTGCTGCTGCTGCTGCTGTAGTAGCATTTGTTGGTAGTAGGCCGCCCAAGCATCTTGGTGGGTTGGCACAGCCTGGCCCTGGCCCTGGCCTTGCTGAGGAGGCACGAAGGACGCAGCAGCCGCTTGCTGTACGTTCACGGCCGCCTCAGCGCGAGCTCGATTCTCAGCCTCCTTCTTCGCGCGAGCCGTCGCATCCTTCTGATACCCAGCCCACCACTCTCGCACCCGCTCCTGGTCGTTGGCCAGCCAGCCAGGGGGCTGCGTGGCGGGATACGGCAGGCCTTTCAATTGCTCGAACACCTCCTCGAGCGAGTTGATGATCGCCTGCAGCTCAGGGTCGGCATAGTCGTGCCGCCTGTGCGTCCGAGGCGCCGACGAATGGTACGGTTCGGGATCTCGCCAGCTCCCAACTTTATCGGCCGTAAGCAGAGCGAGAACCTGTGCACCGAATGGGGCCTCGGACGCGGCCGGTGGTTTGGGTTGTCCCGAACTGCCGAAGACGACGGGTTGCGCGTGTTGCTGGGGCGGCGTCATATTGTAGTTGTAGCCCTCGGGAGCCGCTTCTGTCGACGCCGTCGTCTTGAAACCGCTCAGAAGCGACTGCAGCTTGACAGCTGGGTCGTCCTGGTGGTCCTTGAGACGCTTGATGGCATGGTATACAGCCGCATCGGCTCCATGCCTCTGGCATTCCTGCCACCGTTGCCGAATCTCCTCGTACTTCCCTCCGTCTCGGGGCAAGTGCACGTCCTTGGCGTCACCGTCGGGGACACTCGGCTCGGGAGGCGGCGACTTGGGGGTCGGGGGAATGTCGGAAACAAGAGCGTAGACCGCCATCAGTTCCTTTTGTTCGCGTTCCTCCATGGCGTGCTGCTCATCTGTGCGGAAGGTCCGCGTGCCACCCCGCGTCACAAACGACTTGGCCCTGTAATCCTCGGGGATACAAGAACAATCCGCAACGCCCGGCTCAACCCAAGGACGATCCGCCAAATCGTCCTCCTGGTCCTCCTCGTCCTCCTCTTCGTCTGTCATTTCAGAGCGCCGCTTCAACATCATGCCCTCGGAGCGGTCGTCCGCCGCGTCCTGCGTCATGTTGTTCTCGTCCTCCGCAGCCTCTTTGTGGAAAATGCGGACCTGCACCAGTTCTGCCTCGGGTCTCCAAGCGACTCGCAGCTTGCGCCGTGCCTCCTTACGGAGTCTCTTCGCCTTTTCTTCCGGCGTCTCGGCCGTATCGGCGGCTTTCGCCGAGCTTTTCTGCGACGACTGGCCGTCCGCCTTGGGCATGTTGATGGAGTCGAGGAGAGAACCGATGCTGGAAAGCGCACCGCTAGACGAACCCGATGGTCCTGCCGTCTTTGGAGTTGTAGCTGGTTTTGTTGCCTCCGTCTTGACTCTCTTCGGCTCTGTTCTGGACGAAGGACGAGCATCGATGTCCATGGCAGCCGACACTGCCGAACCATCTGTCTTGGTGGCATCTGTTGTCTTGGCAGAATCAGAGCCGGCTGCCGGTCTGGCCAAGGGACGGTTTTTAGCGGCGAGTGAAGTGGAAGGTGGTCGGATTTTCGGGGCTGAAAGTTTAGACTGAAGCGTCGTACCGGCCGATGCCTTGGATGATCCAAGCTTGCTGCTGAGCGAGCTGCTAGATCCGTCCACGTTGACTTTCTTGCCCGGTCGCGTGTCTGGCTCATCATCTTGCGGTCGTTTGGCGGGCGACGCCCCGTTACTGGGCCTTGTGGCGGATAGAATCCTTGCATAGGCAGTGCGACTCGTTGCTGCTGCTGATGTTGTCGAGGAAGCAGCGGACGGAGTTGTCGTTGAGGTTGAGGTGGCAGCAGACGAAGAAGATGTGGACGATAGCTTCTTCCCTTCGGCGCCGTTGGACGCTTCGGATTCCTTCCTGATGCGGGAGGCAACCGTCCGGATTAGGTCCTTCACCTCAGCATCACCCTTATCTGCAAACCGCTTTCGAACCGTCTCAAAATTAACACCGTCCGCAATCCTCTTCGTCAAGCTGATGTTTGTCATGAACTGTAGAATGGCTTTGGGCAGTTCCCCCGAGTAATCCGCCGCTTTGATGCAGCCGATCAGGAGGTTGACCAGGCTCAGGACGCCCTTTTGGTGCCCACCCAGGTTCTCAAGAACGGCCTCGTCGCCATACTTGTGCGCAGCCTCGCATGCCTTGACGACCACGTCTTTCTTAAGATCGTAGTCCTTCTTCAGCTGCACTACCTCGCCATCAACGTGCTTTTCCTTCGCAGCTTGGTCGATTTCCTGCTTCAACTTGCTCATCTCGCCACGAAGCTTGATGAAGTACTCCCCCAGGCTTTGCACGGCACTGGCAATCAGTGAGTTGGTACGGGTGGCCGCGGGGTCGATGTACGCGATGCCCAGTATATCCCAGGCGGCCGCTTCGACGGGGTCACTGGGCCGCACATCGGCCCGGACGGGCCTTCTCCGCTCCTCCTCCTCTTCCTTGCGTGCCTTTCTCTGTGCCTTGGACTTGGCGGCCTCGTCCGCCTTGAGCTGCTCCTGAAACGCGAAGGGGTAGTCGGCATACTTAGGTCGTCGGTTCCCTAGGCCCTTCATTTCCCGCTGGTACTCGTCGATGAGAGCCTTGGCTTCCATTTCCCGGTCTTCCGGCTTGCCCACAAAGTTGGCCGACGGTCTATACCTGTCCGCAAAGTTCCCTTGGATTTCGCAGGGAAGAGGGTAGCCAAGGTCCGGCATGATGCGTTTACCGGTTTGCGACGGCAAGGCCACCATTGGTGTTAACCTGTCGTAGCTCCTGGGAGTCGGAAGCTTCACCGCCCCGGCGGAGATGAGAAAAGGGGCACCGGAAATAGGCGGAAACATCTTTTTGGCCGCGGCGCTGCGTCTCTTGAACTGCGCCAGTGAAGCGGCCTCCTCCTCGGTGCTCGTGGGCATCCAATGCGTTTCTGCGCCGCTGTGTAATTCTGTAGGCACTTGATCTTGCTGTGAGTTTGCCGAATCGCCTTCGCCTTCATTCTTCACCAGCGTCTTACGCCTTTTGGCAGGATGTTCCGCTTGAGTTGTATCCGTATTCGCATCCGGAGTACCGGGCCCAGGTGGCGACGTAGCTGCCATCGGTCGTTGGCCAACTGGCCGAGACATGAGATGGGAACCAGCAGCAGAAGTGGTCTGCTGGCGTGGCTGCTGATCTTGCTGTTGCTGGACTTCTTGTTCTATCGACTGTCGCATGGGCGATGGCTGAAACGTCGCTGGCGATGTCGGTTGACGGTACATCGTCTGTTGTGGTACGAAAGCGGTCTGTTCCTGCAGATGGCCAGGAGCCGAGGGCTGATGATGGTAAGCGTAAGCTTGAACATTTTGAGGGTTGACTGGCTGCGCCGAAACTGTCTGCCCGTGGTATGGTTGCGGCGGGCCAAAGAATATGGGAGGCGACTGAGCCGTGGGAAGCTGTTGTTGGGGCTGTTGTCGAGACGGTTGCGGCTGCACCCGTTGCTGTTGAGCTTGTTGGGCCTGCTGAGACTGATTGACTTGATGTTGCTGCTGTTGCGGGAAAGCGTGGATGGGAGAGAACGATTGGGGTATTGTGTCGAAGCGTTGCGGCTGTTGATACAGCGAGTGTTGTTGCTGTTGCTGTTGCTGTTGCTGTTGCTGATGCTGATGCTGATGATGATGCTGCTGATGCTGCTGATGGTGGTGCTGGGGTTGATGCGACTGCGTCTGTGCTGGTTGATGTGGTTCCAATTGCAGCTGTGGATGCGTTGACTGTTGTTGTGGTGGTTGTTGTTGGTTATGAGATACGAGTTGGGACCCCGTATGTTGTCCGAGCTGGTTGCTGTACGGGGATGGAAGATGCTGGGGTTGATATTGGTACGGGGTCTGCGAAAATGCTGAACCGTGACCCTGTGGGACATTCACAGGGTTTCCGTACAACTTGGGTGAGATGTCGTTGAGACCCTGTAGGGTCTGGTTCTGGCCCGGTCGAGGAAAGGTTTCGTTCACACCGTACTGAGCGTGTCCATGGTTCAGAGAAGAATGGGGATCGGTGCCAGCATAGAAAGCACCGTCACGGCTTGCGGCAGGTAGAGAACTGCAATCAGAGATGCCAGGTTGAACCCCGTACGAAGTGCCGAAGAGCCCCGACTCGGCCGATGCCGCCCTTTCGCCAGCCTGCCCATTGCCATAAACAGGTTGACCAGGGAGGGAGACCGGGTTTCCCTCCTGGGAGAAGTCCTGATGTGCGTCAAACCCGCCCGCTCCATCATTGAAGGAATAAGTGTTTGTCCAGACGGCACCTTGGCCTTGACCAGGACCAGAGACAGGCTGCCCGTTACTAGACCAGTTCTGCATCTCGCTACAATAATAATGCGCTGAGATTCCCAAGTCAAAAGCGAGTCCTGATTGGTTCGTTGAGGTGATGCCAATGGTGCACAGTGATTGGCTGCATAAACGGGGGCGAACAGGCCAATGGTCACGCTCCGAGAGGTGCTAATCCGAAAATAGTTTAAAGCCGGCGTATAGGTGGGGCACTCTGCAGAATGGTGGGTCCAAAGGCGATTCGAGTACAAGGTACGCAACACCAAAGATGCTGCTTCCGAGGCCAACTGGAATCGATAGAAGTCAGCACATAAACATCTAGAAGAATAAGCCATGAAGACTGTCGACAGTGCGCCATACCAGAGAAGAAGCAACGTCTATGATGCAGGTGGCTTAGTGCGTTTATAACCTCTCACGTCGATAGAGAATGCCTGATACAAAGTAGCCTAAAAAAAGATCATTAGCCTTTGTTATTAGTCTTTGAAGTGGAATGATGTCAATGTTTTGTGTGTCTGTGTGTATGTGTTGACGGATGATGCTAGTAACGACTGGAAATAAAAGGTGCGTTGAGCCCCCCCAAAAAAAGAAAGAAAGAAAGAAAAGAAATCGAGAGAAGTGCTGATATCCTATGTGTCGGCTTCTGCAGCGACTTGGATGTGCCCAAAACTTCCAGCCAAAACATGCCCGCAGACAAATCCGCCGGCTTGAGATGGCGATTGGGCACGGATAGGAGATATGAAGATGTTGTTTTGACTCTGCTGGAATTCTTCGGGTTGGGAGCATGTCGAGTTGTGACTGACTGCGTTGAGTTGACAGTTGTGTCTGGTGGCTGGTCCCTCTTGTGGTCCAGGATGGGCTGAACGATATCCAAGGCTTCGATCTCGAGAAAAGAAAAAGAAAAATCTAGGTGTCGGCCGCCCATACTCTGCCAACTCAAGATTGGACTTGGACTTGTTTGTATTGACACCAAACGTCCCAAAGGTGACTTTTTCTTTTCCTTTTTTCCTTTTTTTTTTGGGAGGTGGTTACCAGCTTCAAGGGTCTCATGCACAAGCGCCCACGCCGACCCAGACGCGAAGCGAAAGTCCAGTTGCTGCAGGTGTAGGCCAACCCTCCTACCGTTGCATCAGGTCCAGACATAGTCGGTGACCCGAGCCGGACAGAGCCTTGTGTAAGGGACCAGCACCCTTCATTTTTCAGCCGACTCCATTAAATAGGCTTTTTGCGACCTTTTCATACCCATCACCACAACCCCGAGGTGGTGCAAGTAAGCTGCTCGGCCGGGACTAGTGGTTTTTTTTTAGAAGAAAGGGGGTTTTTACTCTTTGTACCATTCCCCCCGATCCCTGCTTTGTCTGGATTTGCGTGATGCCCACTTCAAAAGGGGAGAGCAGTTGCAGCAATCGCAGATAGCGAGTCGGAAAGGGGAATTAAATAGCTCTGTTCACACGCCTTTCCCACTCGTTCCTTTGTGCGTCATTGCAGCCAGGTTTCCCAGGTTGAAATCTTTAGGTTGGCTTAAAAGGGCGGGGCGGAAAATGCAATATAGCGAGGTTTGGAATAAAGGGTGGGGGGGGAGGGTTGTTGAGTGCAGGTGGGAAGACGTTTTTAGGGGGGGAAGGTAAAAGGAGAAATATGGGTAGAGTGGGAGAGATCGCCCAACCCATGGCGCAATTAGGATCATACCTGACCGTTTTGACAGTGCGTGCTATGAAGACTGTCGCGTTTCCTAAGCACTTTTATGTCCCGCCCTGGTCGTCAGAGAAAGTCGAGGGCATTCTGCTCTTATTTGATGACAGTCATTCAGGCTTATGGCATGGAAGAACTGGTTGCGGCTGATAGTCTAGAGAGAAGGACAGATTTTGTGCCCCGAAGTCGAGTGAAAGAACGGAAAACAATATGTCCAACAAACAGACAGGGAAAATCAGTCTCGCGTCGCGAAGATGCCCTTTTCGAGCAATAGGAGACGCGAAAAACGATTCACAATAGACGAGAAGACATTCCCAGCACTGGTTTAGGGTCGATGATGTCGCGGCGATATGTCCTTGTTGTCCGCGTTGTTTGAAGGAATGGAGACTGGAAAGGCGTTTTTAAGATGGAGGTCGGGGAGTTGGAGGAGGGAAAAAGTTGGATGGGCGCGACCGATGCCCAGTCACTCGGCTTGGAAACGGGCCAGGGTGGGCACGGAAACAGTGTCATTAATAAAGCCCACACTGCCCTAAATACTGTGTGGATTGAATTGGGCCCCATCTTTGTATTCGGCTGGCCTCCTGGCTCGAGCTTCCGTGCATAATTATGGGGCTGCTTGCCATTCTAGCCACTCCGCGGAGTAGGAAGGGAACAAGTGCTAACGAAGACACAGTAAGACGATGTGATTACTTCTGCACGTACTATCTATCATATTTTCGTCGTTTGGTGGTTCGTCACAGGATGACTTACTAGTTGGATTACTTATTAATGAAGAATCAGTTCAAACTATTAGGTATGAAATTGGGTTGAAACTGTATGAATACTCCCGCGGAGACCGGCCGAAAACATCGAGTTCTGGGGCTCCTCTTACATGCATACATCTCAAAGACGGATATCCGATGTACCAATATTTGCTTCTATTCAATAAATCTTTTATGACGTACCGTGTATCTCAATTATATCAATACCCAGAACGGACCTTGTCGGCGCCGGAGGACTGGACACGGAAGCTCATGTGCTGTTCTCAAACACGAGGAGCTTCCCTACCCACACTGGTGCTCCCACTTTGTTGTCCCGCCGGCCGATGCACCTACTTCACTCGCTCCAGGCTTTGAGGCAGAACCTCTATAGCCAGGCTAACCCGAATATCCCAGAAAAGTAGCCAAACGGATCCCGAAAGACCTCCTCATAAGAATTGCACCCGACATCTCGTCTGTGAGAGCTAGGTAGAGCTCGACAGCCCCCCCCCCCCCCGATCATGGCGAGCAAAGGCAACTCCCTACGGGATCGTCAAGTTGGTTAGTACTCCCTTTGCAAAACCCATGTGACATGACGAATTGGGAACTCTCGCAACTGACGCCCTTGTGCCATCTAGCGGCCCTGAAGAAGGTCCTGAATCTTAACAATGACGTCGAGACGAACGATCCGGACGACGCCCATGCCAATGGCGGCGCCTTGGCTCCATCCTCCATTCTCACCCCCGAAGGCGATCCCATTTGGAAGGTTCTGGTTATGGACGACCTTGCGCGCGACCTGAGCGCCAGCGTACTGAAAGTGTCTGATCTTCGGTCAATGGGAGTGACTTTGCATACGTTGGTTCGCCTGAGCGCTTTCGACAGGAAAAGTTTGGGAAGACTAATTCTGCCGCCAGACACATTGCAGCTGCTCGACACCCTATACCCGATGTTCCCGTTATTTACCTCCTCGAACCCACACGCCAGAACCTCAAGCAGATCACGAGCGACCTCCAAAAGGGCCTCTATTCCCCTGCATACGTAAGGGCTCATACTCTTATCCGTACTCGGATGATTCGAGGGCTGACGTTTTACCTCAACAGATCAACTGCCTAGGAGGAATCTCGCGTGCTGCTCTCGAAGACTTCGCCGCCGACACCGCGGCAGCCGGGACTGCCGAACACATTGCGCAGCTCTTTGACCAATACCTCAACTTTATCGTCGAAGAGCCGGATTTGTTCAGCCTGGGAATCAAGAAATCGTACTCCGCGCTCAACAGCGCCAAGACGACAGATGAGACGTTGGACACATTGGTGGATAGCATTGTCAACCGACTGTTCAGCGTCGTTGTCACCATGGGTTAGTGTTACAGTGACGAGTTCCACGGGCGGCAACTCATTTTCTGAACTAATGTGCCGTCGCAGGCGTCATACCCGTTATTCGATGCCCAAAGGGTGCGGCAGCGGAAATGATCTCAGCGAAGCTCGACCGCAAGCTCCGCGACCATATTCTAAACTCTAAGGACAACCTCTTCTCCTCGAGCGCTCGGGGAGGTACCTCTTCAACGCCCAGCTCCCGCCCTGTTCTGGTCATCCTGGATCGCGATGTAGACCTGCTGCCTATGCTCTCGCACTCCTGGACCTACCAGTCCCTGGTACAAGATGTTCTTACCATGGAGAAGAGGCGTATCACAGTCGTGGACGAGGGCAAATCAAAAAAGAGCTACGATTTGGCCACGGATGATTTCTTCTGGAAGAAGAACAGTCTCGTGCCCTTTCCCCAAGTAGCAGAAGACATCGATGCCGAGTTGACAAAGTACAGAGAAGAGGCTGCTCAGATCACAGCGAAGACGTGAGTTGGCAATAAGCGTCCACTTCCATCAGTAACTTATGTCTCCGGGGGCTAATATGGTCATCATCTCTAGAGGGGTGTCAAGCCTGGAGGATCTACAGAGCGATACAAGCGCCAGCGCCCAGCACCTAAAAGCGGCCATCACCCTCCTGCCAGAGCTGCGAGAACGGAAAGCCGTCCTGGACATGCACATGAATATACTCGCTGCTCTCCTTACCGGCATCAAGGAACGTCAACTAGACAATTTCTTCCAGCTTGAGGAGAATATCATGAAGCAGACCAAAGCCCAGATGATGGATCTTATCAAAGGCGATGGCGGCCATGCACTCGATAAGTTGCGGTTGTTCATTTATTTCTACCTCAGCTCAACGGAAGAAGTGAGCCGGACCGAGTGGGAAGGGTTCGTCGAGGCCCTCCAAGCCGCCGGTGCAGATGTTACTTGCCTGCCATATATACGACAGTAAGTCCTGACTGCGACCTGACCGCAACGAGGGCTTGGCTGATGAACTGACCCCTATCCCCTGCAGACTCAAATCGACAACTAAATTGACGAACCTCACCACTATCAATAATCCTTCATCACAACCAGCCGGCACTAATGACCTCTTTGGCCGCTTCTCCTCGATTTCCTCCCGCCTAACAGACCGCCTCAAGGAGAGCGGCGTGCCCACCGGTCTCTCATCCAACTTCGAATCCCTCATAGGCGGCATCAAGACTTTCCTCCCCGCCGACCGCGACTTCACCGTCACCAAGATCGTCGAGAGCATCATGGACCCTTCCTCCGCCTCAAGCTCCGCCATCGCGAAGACGGAGAATTATCTCTATTTCGACCCCCGCTCTGCGAATGCGCGAGGCACCATGCCTCCGCCCAGCTCCCTTCGCGCCGGCGCCGGCGCCTCCGCACCACCGGGAGCCCTGCCGGGACAAGGCGGCGTTGGCGGACCGTCCGTCGGCACGGGCGCCAGCTTCGGCCAGCGACGACAGGGTTTCTCCGAAGCCATCGTCTTTACGGTTGGCGGCGGCAGCATGGACGAATACGGCAACTTGCAGGAGTGGGTGGCACGGACAGGCGGCGACCGCGCCAGGAAGAGGGTCGTGTACGGTTCAACGGATCTGCTGAATGCCCAGCTGTTCATAGAACAGGAGCTGAACACGCTAGGGTTGGAGGTTTCGTCTTAGTTACTCGAGGGGGGGCGGCGCACATGCTGTATGTAATTCAATGGCGACAAGTCAAAAGGGCCACAGAGTATATCACTGCCTTTTATTGTTATGACGTCCATTTCATATCGTTTCGCTGCACTCAGATCCGCAAGCAAGAGTGTCTGATCCGCCTCTCAGATGTCTTGAGACTAATTGTCCTTGTCTTATGGTCCTAGTAAGTCCCGCTACTCTTACCGGAACCCGGCTGGCGACTGGTCCGCTCCACGGACAGCACTTGTCCGAACATTCTGAATATTAGGCGGATCAGTTTTGAGCAAGTCAAGGGGCACGCACAGCTATGGGTAACGTAGTCGTCTTGAGTAAAACACAAGCAGATCGTTAACAGTAAGTGACCGGGCGAATGAACCCAGGCCGACTAGAATTACAATGGTGTCTCCTAATCCAACAAGAAGTAATCATTCATCCGCCAGCCCAGTGCCTCGGTAGCACTCCCCATGACAAATATTTGAGGAATATACGCCTCAAGCATGTTCCTCTCCCCCTTCACACTGCAACTCCCCGCCGCACGCGGTCGTCTATGCAGAAAATCATCAACCTCCCGGGTCCGTGTGTTCGCCGGAGAGTGTGGCAATTTCATCACTGCCGTCCCGTCGCATTTAGGTGGGGTATTGTCACGACTGGTCATGAATAAATAAAGAGGCGAAAAAAAGGGGGCGGTAGAATCGTAAGAGACAGTAGAGGACAAAAAAACAAAAAAAAAAGGGGGGGGGGGGGGGTACCGGAAAACATTACAGATCGTGGTGAGAAGGCCGGTATGTCCTAAACACCCCTGAACATGCGCACCACCAGGAACCACATGGCGCCGAGGAACTTGAATGCCGACAACCCGGCCACAGACCACAACACGACGGTCATGTAGATGTTGGCCCTGAAGTTGGGATCTTCCCCTGCCTCGTCGGGATTCGCGGCCTCGGGTTCGATGCGATTCAGGCCAGCGGCGCTCAGCACGACAGCCGCAAGGCCAAAGTTGGAGATCATCCAGGCCAGGACAACAATAGAGCGGACACCGCGGTAGTAGTCCAACTGCGCCTCGGCTTTCTGGGCCTCGGTCGGGTTTGACACGACCTTGGCGGGCTTGGTGGAGAAGACAGCCAACTCGCGCTCATACTGCGCGTTGAGATCCGATTCGTCTGGCAGATCTGTCTTGCCAGAGCCATCCTTGGTGCTGACGGAAGGCAGTTTCTCGGCTTGGTCATCACCCTTGGTGCCCCAGGAAATGTCATGTGTGTTGCAGAAGGCGTAGACGTTGAGAATGTTGGTGTACGTGGGTGTGAGGAGCATATACTGGACGAAAGACGTGATCATGTGCCAGGGGTCGAACATGATGAGCGAGGCCACGAGCCAGATGCCGTAGGTCGACATGACGGAGACAATAAGCGTATAGAAGACAGGGTTGCTGAAGAGTTCGTCGATGCTGAAAGGCCTGCCGTTGTTGACATCGGCAATGATGGCTTTGACTGAGATGAAGATAGCGGCAAACATCAAGTATCTGCGAAACATGAGGGTTAGCAGCTTTGCGAGAGAAAAAGGATACGAGAGAGGAGGGGAGCTCACATCATGATGAACGCCCAGAACCACACCATCGTTGTGTAGTACCATCGCGAACCCGAAGGACGGTTACCCATAGCGAGGACGAAACATGTGAAGAGCGATATACCGTAGAGCCAAAGGAACACGACCCCGAGAATCTCACCCGTCCTGCCCAGCAAACTTTCGCTTCCCAAACTTGTGGTCAGGATGCTGAAGACGAGGAAGAAGTTGCCAATGGCGAACCAAGCGAAGATCATGTTCACGGTGTGGAAGATAAACTCAACGAAGAGCATCAGCTTCCGCAGGATGGAGTGGTCGGACCGGAAGAACTGGTAGAAGTGGGCGATGGAATAAATGGCGGCGAAGAACGAGCCGTTCAGCCACCGACGGCGCTGGAGGACGAGTTCCGTGACGGTATCCGGAACGTCCGTTTCGCCCGTGGCCGACTTGACGTACTGGAGGATCCAGTGACAGTTACGCTTCGTCACCAGTTCGAAACAGAGGATACGATCCTCGGCGAGGTACATGTTGGACGTGAAGATGCCGGTGCCGGAGCCGTGGAGCGTTTCGCCTGCGAAATACTTCTCCAGCGGGCCCTGTCCGTTCTTGTCGTTCTGCAGCGCGACGTAGCGATAGGCCGAGAAAGCACCGGGGAGCACGGAAATAAAGCCAAAGGCCGATTCCAGAGGCTTGTCTAAGATGTTGCTCATCTTATACTCGAAGTTCTGTGTCGCAACAAGGGGATTCAGCAGGTTTTTTCCGCCGGTTCCCAGCATCGCTTTGATCTCGCCGCAAGCACCGGCGCACATGGGCTCAAGATCGAAGGCTTTCCAGAGGTGGTAGATGGAGTTGCCCCCCGGCTTGGTACCGGCATCCAGCAAGACACAGATGTTCGGGTCCAATACTCGACCAAACGCCTGAAAGAACCACCTATGGGAGTTGATCTTCTTCTGGTTCTTCTCCTTGAGGCAGAAGAGCACCTGGACGGGCTGCTGCTTGGGGATGAGGTGGACGACGTCGTTCTTAATGCGCATGCCGACCTGGGTGGTGTATTCGTAGATGTGTGCTGTCACGTCCTTGCCGTTCACCTGCTGCTTCGCGATACCCTCCTGATAGACGCCCATACCGGCAAGGAGAGCCTTCGTCCTCGAATTGATCTTGGAGCGGCCATCGCTGACAACGCAGACGACGATTTTCTTCCAGGCGTCCTTCCCCCATGTCTTGCTCTCCTTGCGGTTACACATGTACTCGATGTTCTTGAACACGCCCATCATGGTCCGCGCAAAGAGGATCTCGTCCTCGTTGTACATGGTGACTACAATGAACAGCTCGGTGTGTCTCGGCTTGGAGAAGAGCTTCTGGCGCAAGGTGAAATTCTCCTCGTAAAAGTCGGCAGGGTCGCAAGTGGCGGCCGTGTACCGCATGTGGGTGAACTCGTCTCGCTCACCGTGGGGCAGCTGGTTCAGAAGTTTCGGAGGCACGGGGCAGTCAAGGACTAGATTTCCACGGTAGAGCAGGACTTGCTTGACGGTTTTCCATCTCTTGATAGGCGCGGCAGGTTGTGCTGGCGGCTGATCCAGATAGGGCTCACTCGTTTGGGACTCTTGATGCGGGGGGAGCATGGGCCGTCGGTCATCGTAGTCGTATCCCCCGGGGGTTTGATCGTAGCCATGGCCGCCTTCCATGGGGGTGGGCTCGTACGGCTGGTTATAGTAGGCATCGTGATGTTGCTCTGGGTTTATCGCGTATTCTTCTTGATATGGCTGTTGTCGTGGGTCGGGAAAGGGGCTATTGCTCGGAACGTGGCTCACGTTATCAACGGAGTGCTGCGAAGGCAAGGACTAGTTAGAGAGGACTGGGCTGCGCAACTTAAGGTACAATGCAATACAATACAATACAATGGAAGAACTCACAGCGGCATTGAGTTGCAGTTGATCGCTTGGGGTGAACCTGCCAGGTCCCGGCGAAGGGCCCATTTGGGGATAGTCGAGGTGCTGGGGCTGGCGGCCATAGGGATTATCCTCCAGTTGGTAGCCTTGCTGGATGGGCTGGCCGGGCGACGGCGAACGACGGACACGGGGGTCCATTCGATCGTTGTAGTAATCGTCCACTAATAGATAGCTTTGAGATTAGACCCTAAGAGTGTCCCCGACCAGATTGAATGGGAGAAGAGCTGGAAGGGGGAAAAAAAAAAGAAGCTTGATGAGACTTGCCTATGCGATTATAGGACATGGTTCAGGAGGATGCAACAACGCCGACGGAAAGAATGTTTGATGTTGACAGCCTAAGTAGCACTCCTTGGCCTTTTGGCCTTGGCTGGCGCGGTTCCGAATGGTGTGGGTTTGTTTCGTTCCCACCCAGGACCAAGTCGCCTGTCGCAGCTCGATGACGAAGGAGGAGGAGGAGGAGGAGGAGGGCCGCCCCCTGAACGTGTTCTCAGAAGGCGGAGGGCAGCGGAAAAGGGGGTGTTTGTGAAAGGCGAATGCGCCTGATGGCGTCGCTCCAGATGGGACAGCGTCGGGTGAAAACGACGGGGAGCGCAGGACGAAAGGGTGAAGTGAGGGAAAAAAAAATTAGAGGGGGTCAATGGGCGCCGGTCAAAGGGTCAGGTTCAGGGTTGATCGATATTTCGGGGTTTCAACCGGAATGTGAAATTTGTTGTAGCAGACACAGTAATAATGAACGAAGGGGAGGTCCCAAGTCTGGTCTTGGGTTTTGGGGTCCTCAGGAAATAAGCTAGGTAGTGTACCTACCATGCTTCGTCGCGGTTGGCTGTCGACGGTACAGGGTGGATCGGATACCAAACATAGAGGGAAAGCGCGTGTTTCAGCTAACCGGCAAGGACATTACGGAGTACCTACAGTACGGGGATACACTGGATAAACAGCTCGCAGTGGCGCTGTCACGTACCTAATTACTCCCCTCCCTCCCTGAAAAGACCCTGGTGACGTCGTTGCCCAGAGGCTTAGCGCACGTCAAGACGCAACTGCGCCTCCGTATCTTACGTCCCGAAATGCGTACAAATGGAAACAATACAAGACGGGGTTCATCTACCTTACGTCCATCTACCTTATTGGGCAAGTTTCCGTGGATTCAACATCGAGTACGGACAGAACGGCAACTCGATGCTTTATATAAATCCCGAAGTCAGTCGCTCTTCTTTGCATCGGGTCTAGCGCGGTGACATCCAGTGTAGGTACTATTCATCCGACAGACAATTCGACAGAAAGGGTGAGGATATTCCGACGGGGTTCAGGTGCGGACAGTTGAGACAGCACGACGCACAATCCTTGCCCAATCATTAAACCCGCGCAACGCGATTGATCCATCGACCAAGCAACTGGAAAAAGAGCGATTTTCGTATCAATCGACTGCCTGCCACAACCGCAGCCCTGCAGCTGCCTAATATATTAAACTAACTACCTTACCGTACTTGTCCGCTCGGAAGAGTTTTGAGGGTTTAGAAGGATGTGGAGCTAGCGGTATGCCTACGCGACCTCTTCCACGTCCTGTTCGCCTTCCGCTTTATAACTCCCGTGGGCGGGCACGGCCTCCCCCTTTTCCACGTATTCTTGTTATTACACGTGTATTGTTGCTGCGCCTCCTGGTACGCCTTGTATCGGCGTACAGCCTCGTCTTAACGTCAGGGTGCTACTGGTATGTACTTCGTAAAAAGTAGAGGGATGGCAATGGATCCATTGGCCGACCATCGTGTGGATAGGTGGATTAATAATCGGTGTTGGAGCCTAGTCGGAATAACCTCGCCCATCGGAATATCCTCAGAAAGAAAGCGAGGTCTGGTGATTATGCATACCGGTATCAAGGAAGCACGACCCATTCTTCTCGGTACTTGAGCCAATTCGACTCCCGGTCGACAGCCTTCAGCCACCGCACTTGTCACTCCTCGAAATAGACTCATGAATGTACTACCCTTCAGAAATATACATACATATATATATATATATATATAGGTACCTATATCAAATAAAAACAACCTTGGTCTGTGACTCTGTGACTATAAGAGCAGAAGCATAAGCAGAAGCTAGCTACACCACTAGACCACTAGACCACTAGCATGCATTTGGTTTGACATGGTGCCTCCACCGCGCAGAAAATAAGCAATTCTCAATGGCGCCTTTCAGGTCTGACCTAGCACTACAACGTACGGCTGCTCAGTGGTCCCTTTTCTCCCCTTATAGGTGATTTTACTCGGGAATTGTGGTTGAGGTAACGTTGCGCCCGTGCCACCCACGGCCCGCTCGCGCCTCAACACATCCAAGATAACCCGTCCCGTTACTGGTCGCGCCACCACACCACGCTACCACGCTACCACCATTGTTTGTCCTCCAGGTTGTTGGTCCTGTCAATCCTCTTCCCTTCCTCTTCTCGCACATCATCTCGACCTATCCCTGATTTATTTAGGCCCTGCGTCCCTGTCACCTGTCGATCGGCATACATCCATACCTATCATCTCGTAGTGTGGGGACCAACGAGCGCAACTCCCAAAGTGTTTACTTCGTTACAGCGTACAAACACTTCAATCATCGATCACCCAGAGAACGACCCGCCACGGACGACTACCTACTTGCCAAGAGAGAGAGAGAGAGTGTGTGTGTGTGTGTGTGCAACGAGCCGGAGGAGCTCATAGACCCCAGAAATCCTTAGTCCAGGAACCCCAGCTTTCTCGCATCGTAACCCACCCCTTGACGCGGTAGTCTGAAGGGAAGGGGATCGATCCCACGAAGTAATAGCAACTTGGAAGGTGACATTTCTCATCGTCACCTTGCCTGCTTCCTTTTCCCCTCCACAGAAAGGACGTGCGTCGAAAAGCTGGGCAGGCATCCGAGACATAAGGCTACTCAAATGATTTGACGGATATATGCTTGCCCCTTCCTCAATTGTCTGACATATAGGAAGTAATTAGTTCCATTACTCCAAGGAGAGGAGTAGATCGACATCGCTCTTTCCCTTTCCCAATCCCTTTTCGTCTTTTCTTTCCTCTTCTCTCATCACACGCGGGGCTTTTGATTTTCTTCCCCTTCTCCTCATCTTTCAACACCTCCCTCCTTCCCCTCACCCGGGGCCATAACAGCCCTCGCGATGCTTCTCAAACGTCTTACAATCCACCTGAGCCTTGCCGTTGGCCTCGGTCAAGTCGAGGGGAGCATCTGGCCCGCCCCGGCCAAGCTCCAAACGGGCGACAAAGTCCTGTTCATAGATCAGACCCTGTCCATCACATACAATGGGGAATTTGTACGCTGGTGCTCTTTTGTCAATCCCTCTACCTCTCACCGGCACAAGGATCAACATGACTTGGGGCAGATTGCTAAAGATACCTTGAACATACAGCTTCCATACACCTACGGCTACACTCCGGCGCCCGGAGCCGACTACAACAGTAAGGAGATTGTCCAGGCAGGTGTATCGAGAACCTTGTCCGCCATTTTCCACAAGAACCTGGTCCCCTGGATGCTTCACGACAAGCATGCCGACTTTGAACCCGATCTGTACGCCAGCAACGGACGGGTGACCGCGCTCCACATCACTCAGACCGACACCGATGATGAGGAGAGCCCGTACACGGCACTCGCGGGCGAAATCGACGAGTCGTACTCACTCGTGTTGGCGGAGAACGGCATGACACGGATCGAAGCCGAGACGTCGGTCGGCGTGTTGCGGGCTCTGGAGAGCTTCAACCAGCTCTTCTACCAACACTCGTCGGGCAACGCATGGTACACACCGTTGGCGCCCGTGTCGGTCGAGGACGCGCCGCAATACCCGTACCGAGGCCTCATGATGGACACGTCGCGGCACTTCTTCCCGGTCAAGGACATCCTCCGGACCATCGACGCCATGTCGTGGAGCAAGCTCAACAAGCTGCACATCCACGCCACCGACTCGCAGTCGTGGCCGCTGGAAATCCCGTCGCTGCCCGAGCTGTCGGCCAAGGGCTCCTACGCCAGGGGCCTCGTGTACACGCCACAGGACCTGCAGCACATCCACGAGTACGCGATCCACCGGGGCGTGCAGGTGATCCTGGAAATCGACATGCCGGGCCACAGCGGCGCCATCGCGCTCTCGTACCCGGAGCTGGTGGTCGCCTACAACAAGCTGCCGTACCACTGGTGGTGCGTGCAGCCGCCGTGCGGCGGGCTCAAGCTGAACGACAGCCGCGTGGACGATTTCCTGGACACGCTCTTCGACGACCTGCTGCCGCGCGTCGGCCCGTACACGGCCTACTTCCACACCGGCGGCGACGAGCTCAACAAGAACAGCTCCCGGCTGGAGGAGAACGTGGGCACCAACGACACGGCGGTGCTGCAGCCGCTGTTGCAGAAGTGGATGGACAAGAACCTGGCGCGGGTACGGTCGCACGGTCTGGTGCCTATGGTCTGGCAGGAGATGCCGCTCGAATGGAACATCACGTTGGGGGACGACGTAGTGGTGCAGGCGTGGCTGGGCGGGTCGACCATCAAGGACCTGGTCTCGATGGGACACAAGGTCATTGACAGTGATTCGAACTTTTGGGTGCGTCAATGCCCCCCCCCCCTTCTTTTTTTTCCCCCTCTCTCCCTCAAGGTCCCTTCTCCTTGCGGTAAAAAAACTTACAAAAATGCCTTCCATAGTACCTGGACTGCGGACGAGGGGCTTGGCTCAATTTCGACAACGGAGCGGCATACGAGACGTTCTACCCGTTCAACGACTGGTGCTCGCCGACCAAGAGCTGGCAGCTGATCTACTCGCATGATCCCCGGCAGGGCTTGACGGAGGACGAGGCGAAGCTGGTGCTGGGCGGCGAGGTGCCGGCGTGGAGCGAGACCATCGACTCGGCCAACCTGGACATGGTGCTATGGCCGCGGGCGAGCGCGTTGGGCGAGGTGCTGTGGTCCGGGCGGATCGACCCGGCGACGGGGGAGAACCGGAGCCAGTTCGATGCGGCGCCGCGTCTGTCGGAGCTCAGGGAACGGATGGTGGCGCGCGGGGTCGGAGCGGCGCCGATCAGCCAGCTGTTTTGCTCGCAATCGTCGCCGGAGGAGTGCGCGTTCCTCATGTGAGGGGGTGGAGAGGGGCTAAAAAGCTTTCGACGTAGCGACATGACGTACGGATTACAACGTACATGTTTGGCGTTGCAATGGGGAACGGAGTGGTCGGAGGAATACAAAGCCCGACGGCCCCCGCAGATGGGTAGGACAGGAGTCATTGTCGCCCGTCCCCGCATGCGAAGTACTTCGTACACGAGTCTATAAGGGTAAGGTAGGTACCTTACATAAGGTAGACCAACCCCACATGTCTCCGTACCTCCGTTGCAAGGGTGATTCTTCAACGTTCGCCAAGTAATTCGGTACCACACCTTGCACACAAATGCCGAGGCAGAAACATCCAAGACATGCTTCACATGCCTTGTCCTGGGTCAACTTTGACGACTCGGCATAAATTACGTACGTACCTTTACTTTACAAATTCCCACCTTAATTAAGGTACCTGATACCATAGGTACGGTCACAGCTTATTGTATACCTACCTACCTTAGGTACCTTAGGTAGAGACCTCGTCCATTGTCCATACCTTAATTACCTCCTTGCTGACTGCGTTGACCCGTGTTTTTCGTAAACCGTACGAATGTTGTACCCTGTCGTACTCTGTACGCGTAGGACGTCCACACGTGTTTGTCAATCTCTGCGAGATCGGTTAGCTCCGTCGGAGTATTTTACCCCATCTTTCTCCTTGCTGTATGTTGCCTCATAGACGGACAGTACGGATGGGTACTCGCGGAATGTGGACCAGAAGTATGGATACATCGTAAAACGTCCAGCGGTGTAACAGAACCCGACTAACAAAATCCGACTCCGGTGGGGTGGGTGCAGATACGGATACATAGCGTCCGACGTCCCCCCCTAAACCTCATCCTGTTTCACTGTCATTGTCCATATCCACACCCTTGTCCTGTCTTCTTGTCAACAATGGTTTCTCAGTTGGCTGTGTTGTCCATTCGTCTGCAGATCTATGCCATATTCCCATCATTCTAAATTGGGCTGTCGCTGTAATTCTGTTGAATTGGCCCCGAAACTCCCAGTCTTTCGGTCTTCTTCTGTTGGACTGATATAGCCAAATAGCGGACACTTGACGAGAGCGAAGTTACAGACACACACAGAGAGAGAGAGAGAGAGAGAGAGAGAGAAGGGCGGGGGGGATTTGTTGCGCCAGCCTTGGTCCGGACATCAGTTCACTTTTTCTCTGTTGCCTACTGTCCCTACAGGGTTCCGCTTCTCTTTATATATCTTCCGGATCCTCTCACATAACATCCACTCCAACGAGCTCAACTCGCCTGTTCAAACTCGCTACCAGCTACTTTCTCTCGCCTGTCACCCGCCAAAGGCTCTGCCTACTACTTTCTCTCTTGGGAGGGTTCCCTTCTACCTCCACTGTCAACATGGGCTTCCTCGAAGTAGTCCTGGAGCGGGCCTCCATCTCATCTATCGCTGGCTTCCTTGCGTTCATGGTCCTCCTATGGGCCATCACGAACCGTCTCGACAAGTATCTTCGCTTACGCCGCCTTCCAGGTGCTCCGGGGAAGATTATGCCGGGGACCTTTCCCTTGGGTAGGGGGACTCTTCCGTATTCCTTGACATACGGCCCCCGTTCGTCGCTAATGATAGCTTCCCCTTAGGCATCCGCTTCGTATACCGTGCGGTCAAGTCCGCCCGGAACCACACCAACCTGGACTTCTGGCTCGACAACTTCTCCGCAGTCGGCGGGTACACTGGCGAGACCAACGTGTTGGGCCAGACCGTCATCTCCACGGCCGACCCGGAGAACATCAAGGCCATCCTCGCCACTCAGTTCTCCGACTTTGGCAAGGGGGCGCCGTTCCACGAGGAGTGGAAGGACTTTTTGGGCGACAGCATCTTCACCACCGACGGCCACATGTGGCATACCAGCCGCCAGCTCATCCGTCCTCAGTTTATTCGTGACCGGGTCAGCGACCTCCACTGCTTCGAGTCGCACATCCAGACCCTCTTCCGCGCCATTGCCAATGGTGGTGTCTTGACCTCCAGCGACCAGCCTGTGGACTTTGACCAGGTCAACGGCCGCGTGCTTGATATCAGCGATCTCTTCTTCCGCTATACCCTGGACTGTGCTACGGACTTTTTACTGGGTCACGATGTCCAGTCCATGACGTTCGTTGTTCCCCCCCCCCCCGCCCCCTTTTTTTTTCCTTTGTCTTTTTTTTTTCTCTTTTGCAGGTTTCCATCGGTTTGAATCGTGCCTTTTGCCCCCCTACTCTTAACTGACAACCCCCTAAAGGACCCCCAATCAAAAATTCGCCGAAGCGTTCAACGAAGTCCAGCGAGTCCAGAGCATCCTCGCCCGCGCCGGCCGTTTCCGGCCCTTGATAGATCGCAAGTCCTTCTTCGCCGGCCTGGAAGTCATCAACTCCTTCGTGAACCAGTACATCGACCGCGCCCTCCTCCTGAGCCCCGACGAGTTGGCCTCCAAGGCCAAGTCCGACAAGGGCTACACCTTCCTCCACGAGCTCGCCAGCTTTACCCGCGACCGCAAGGTCCTTCGCGACCAGCTCGTCGCCATCCTCCTCGCCGGTCGCGACACCACCGCCAGCACCCTCTCGTGGACCCTCTACGAGCTCGGCCGCCACCCGGACGCCGTGCGCAAGCTCCGCGCCGAGATCCTCGAGCACGTCGGCCCGGACCGCGCCCCCAGCTACGCCGACCTCAAGGCGATGAAGTACCTGCAGAACGTCATGAACGAGACCCTCCGCCTCTACCCCGTCGTCCCCTTCAACGTCCGCCTCGCCCTCCACGACACCACCCTGCCCCGCGGCGGCGGCCCCGACGGCTCCCAGCCGCTGCCCGTCCTCAAACACACCCCCGTCAGCTACTCCACCCTCGCCATGCAGCGCCGTGCCGACCTCTACCCGGGCCCCTCGGACACCTTCGCCCCGCACGACGTCTTCTCCCCCGACCGCTGGTTCCACTGGCAGCCCAAGCCGTGGACCTACATCCCCTTCAACGGCGGGCCGCGCATCTGCATCGGCCAGCAGTTCGCCCTTACGGAGATGAGCTACGTGCTTTGCCGCATGTTCCAGCGCTACGAGCGCGTCGAGAGCTACATGCGGGATGTCGACGGCGGCGACCCCTGTCTCAAGGCCGACATCGTCTTGCAACCGGGTCATGGTGTCAAGGTTGCCTTTTGGGAACCAGAAAAGTAGTAAGGAGGGTGAAGTGTGGGTATTTATTGTGTGCAACAGGTACCGAGACGTCTTTCTATCTATCCCATCAACTCCTTTTTTTTTTCATCATCTTTCTCCAAGAAAGAGGGTTGGAACCTGAGCACAGGGGACTGTTTTATGAGACTCGTGAAGCTCAGAAGGCGGCGATTGCCTTGCATTTTATGATGTGAATGACCAACATGACCGACTGCTGCGAGGCACCGTATTATTGAAATGTATTCGAAAGTTAAGATCATCTCTGCAAAAGAATACCCAATGACTTCATATTCAGTGGACGTGCTTCTCTCAAGTCATAAGCTAGGTCTATGATCTGGTGCGACGTGATATGCAAGTCATTTAACGTGATGCTATTCCGATGCATGCACTCCCATCACCCCTACAGCACAGGCACACAAACATACATCAGAGAAACAGGGACGTCCAGTCCAAAAGGGGAAACTGTGGTAGCTCTGGTTGGTCGATGTCATTTCTTGGACAACCTCCCGAATTATGCATGATTGGTGGAGGTCTCTTTGTCTGATGCGATGGGATGAACCATGATGTGGTTAAGGTATTGATCACCCGAATCACTCCTTACTCTAGCCGCACGGGTCATATCAATATCAATAGAAGCATCTCATATATTCTTCCCTCCTCCCTTGCAGAGTGTAGCTTATGATTACATTCTATCCCACGGTCATCATGTCACCCACATAACCCCCCCGCCCCCCTGCCCCGTCAGTCCATCCGATAGGACTTGCGAATCGCGTCTCCAAGCCTCTGGATGGCAATCTCCATCGCCTCCTCGGACGCACTGGCGAACGTGGCCCGGAAGAACATGTCGCGCGCGGGAGTGCCCGGCTCGGTGCGGAACCAAGAGCCGCGGGCACAGAGCACCCCATTGGAAATGGCGTGGTCGAAGATCTCCTCTTCAATCTCGAGTACCGAGCGGTGAGGGTGGTCTGGATGTTTGGAGGGATCGACCTTGAGCCAGAGCTGGTATCACGTCAGAGTCAGAGATGAATGGCTGTTTCTAGGCGAAGCTGTGCATAAAAAGAAAAAAGGGCGGTGGCGGTGGCGTTGGTTAAGGGGGAAAAGGGGGAAAAGGGGGAAACCCACAAACATGCCCGCAGCAGGCGGGGTCCAAGTCACGACGTCCCGGGGCAGATGGGCCTCGCAGGCGGCGAGGAGCATGTTTCGGCGGCGCGTGTAATGAGTCCGGAGGTCGGCCAGCCAGCGCAGGTAACCCTCGTGGCCCCACGTCTCGTCGAGTAGTTTCCAGAGGACGGCCTGGGAGAAGCCGCTGGGCCCCTGGTTGGCCACCTCGGCGTGTCGGATATACCGTTCCACCATCTGTGCTGACGCCGTGATCCAGCCGAGCCGCGAGCCAGGCACGAGCACCTTGGAGAACGAGTCCATGCGCAGCACGCGGCCGTCGACGTCCATGCTCAGGAGGGAAGGGACGAGCTTGGCGAGGAAGGCCTCGAGGGATTCAGGGGAGACAGGCGGGGCAGATGAGGCTCCGGGTTCGGTACTAGACGAATAGGGGTCCATCTGCAGGAAGTAGTAGGGCTCGTCCTCGATGATGTATACGTCGTGTTTCTGGCAGACGGCGTAGACGGCGCGGCGGCGCTCGACGCTCTGCGTGGCACCGGTGGGGTTCTGGCCCGAGGGAACGGTGTAGAGAAGGTGGGGACGACGGGCACCTCGAGCGCCCTCGTCCCAGTTGGAGAGCATGGCGTCCATGTCTTCCGGCAGGAGACCCTCTTCGTCCATGCGAACGCCGAAGGCTTTGACCCCGAGAGGTGCGATGGTCTCGAGGGCGGTGGAGAAACTGTACTCTTCAGTGAGGACCGAATCGCCACGAGACTTGTCGCAGAGCATGCGCAGGGCCTGTTCAAGGGCGCCGGTGCTGCCGACGGTCTGGCACACCTTCCAGTCGGCGTAGGGCGGGTTGTAGACGAGCTCGGTGTGTTCGGTGATGAAGCGCATCATCTGGGCCGAGCCAGTCGACTGGCCGTAGTTAAGGGCGATAGAGAGGTCATATTCGCTAGTGCCATCACGGGTGTCGTACTTCCCCATGGTCACCGTCTGGGCGGCATCGCTGTTAGGGGATAGAATATCCTTCTCGGCAAAGTGTGGCGGTTTAGGGACACGCATGGAGATCTCGGCAATGGGGAAGTACTCGCTAGAGGGGAGTCCGCCACCGAGAGAGATGAGGCCCGGGGTCTTGAGGAAGCGGGCGGCTTTCTTCAGCGTACAGGGCTGACGGACGGCACTTTCATGGCTGAGGTGGTCTGGACAGTAGACAATCCAAATTAGCTTACGAAGGGGAAAGGGGAGGAGGCAGCCACTACAAAAGGGACAGGGCAGGCTGACGGTCCCATCTTTTTGCCAGAGGCTTCCCCGGAGCCTACGAGTGTTCACTCTAGGTCAGCCATGAAACTCGGCGCCGAACATGGGATTGAATAAATAAATAAAAAGGACGGAGGGAGAAGCGAATTGTGAGGGAGACTTTACAGGTGCCTTGAACATGTCACTGTCAGACACAGCGGCAACACCGGCGACAAGGCGGCCGGCCTTGGCCCTCCTCTCGCGGACGGCATCGAATAGGGAGGGTTGACGCGCTTGTTCTGCTGGTTTCTCAGCTTCAGTGGCAGCTTCGGCGGCGGCTGCGGAAGCAGAACTATCTCTAGCGGTGCTGGAGTGAAAGGACCGATGTGCCGTTCGATGCGCCGCACAGCCAAGAGAAGCCCCCGAGACGGGAACCCTGGATCTTAGCGATGTTGAGCGTGAGGTTGTCAAGCTCCGGGGTCGGAGATAACGAACTACGGTTTTGTGAACCGCCATTTCGGACTCGGCGAGACGACAGATGCTATGTATAAGGGAACGATACGATATGATAGGGTCAATATCTCAGTTAGGCATTTGTCGAAGTGTTGCTTCAAGTCGTTACAGGGTAAGAAGGGGCAATGGGTTGTTCTAGGCAGTACGTGATGCGGAATATGGATAAGGTAGGTGTAATCGTGTAAGGTACCTAGGTACCGTACCGAGGACTGATAGGAAGGAGTATTAGGTACCTTATCTTGGCAGAAAACGCATGACAGGAAGGCGTACGAAGTAATACCGATACCCTATAGATAATCCCGTACTCGGCAGGTACGAAGGCAAGATAGCGGGAGATGAAATGATCGTGTGACAGTTTACTGGTATCCATCCGGTCATTTAGCGGGGGATTGCGGGGGGAACATTCCCGTTGATACCCGCAGCTACCCTAGCTCATTGTTGCCCATTCGAGGCGGTGAACCGGTAAGTACCTTACGTTTCGTTGTAAGGGAGTTACAAGAGTTACAACGGGTTGACTCGGTGTGTTGAGTATGTACCTGACGTGCTGTTCTGGGATCGTCGCTCGCTCAGGGGCTGATGGGCGGCGTCGGAGGTACGGGACTCACCTTGGCACATCCCGTCAGTGCAACGCCCCGACTCCCGGCGCATGGGAATGCCCCGACTTGTTGATCGCACCGCCGGCGGACTCACTCCGCATCCGCCCCCGAGGATGGGTATTTTGAGTCGGACGAGTCTCGCTGATACGGCGCGGATATATCCGTAGGAAGCATGTCGCGACGAGTTATTACTCGACTGGGACTTTGCAGATTCATGAAGGCAGCTCCAGTGTGTCAGTTGGGTGATTGGGTGCATTATTACACGTGTAGACAATAGCTACCTTCCACAAGGTAGATAGCAGGCATCCGTGGTTCAAGTCTCATTATGCATGATCCATCCAGGGTTGGACGGTCTCTGAGGGACTTCGTAAGGTATCGATACTCCGTATCTCTCGACTTGTGTTGGAGCCTGGCCGTTTGTTTTGGTTTTGGTTGGGTGTTGATACGTGACATGGGTTGAATTGACTTTGACCTTTTGGAGGGACAGGGACACACATCCATCGCCCTATGGAACGTCTTTTTTTCTTTTCATTCTTTTTATTCCTTTTGGCCTCGTACTGAAGGGACAGCAAACGGCGAATACGCCATCTGTTGAATTAAGGTAAGGTAGTTTCAGAGCTTGAGCTACCTTACTCAGTACCTTAGCTGAGAAATTTGTCATGTTCGTGCCATGTTCCTCTACCCGTCAGTGTTCGTCATCCCAAGAGTCCCCAGCCACCCAGATTCTCTGTGCCTGTACAGTGTACAGTGTACGTGTACCAGCCACACATTTTCAGCCACTTTTCGTCCAATCGTTGGGGAGTACGTCCCCACAGGGGTAGCTTCCAAGCCATGTTGCTGATTTTCTTGCAGGGGTCCTTGGGGTCTTTTTCCCCCATCCCGGGCTCGGAATCGGGCGCCGAAACCTCACCAACCCAACCACCACGTCCCCCCCCGTCTGACGCACAACTCATCAACGTCACGTCCTCCAAGACTTTGTGGATTTCGTATTCCCCCATGGCCAAGCGCTTCCCGCTCTTTGGGCTTCGCTCACTGCCACAGAGGATGGAGATGATGTCCCCACCTTATGCCCTGCCGTTAAATGAAGTGAAGCGGCTCTGGAAAAGACCTGTCAAATATCCAAATATCCAAATATCCGATATCCCCATCCCTCTTTCGTCCTCTTTTATCTTTTAGCGACTAACCAGTGACCCCTTCTCACTCTTCTCCTCTCTTCAGCGTTACGTTACCCAACCTCCCACAGACTGGGTATCACACCTTCCTGGACCACACCAGCTTCCGCCATCCACACCTTTTCCTCCTGGTTCCTCTACTCCCCTTCGCCCTACTCGCCCATCTCCTCCTTACCCCTCTCCCGCCATGATCTTCTCAAGGTCAAGATTGTCAGCAGTAGCCGCTGCTCTACTCACAAGTACCTCAGTATCAGCACAAACATGGACGGACTGCAACCCGCTCGAAAGTACGTTCCCCCAAACTCCTGCCCCCCTCCCCTTTGCCTGTGTCTGTGTTGCCCAGCTAACGTTTCCCGCCCTCCACCAACAGCAACATGTGAACCCAACACCGCCCTCGGTATGGCTATCAACGTTGACTTCACCGACGGCCCGGTCAACTCCTTCGTCGAGGCCGGCAACCCCACCTACGACGACGACGGCGTCACCTTCTCCGTAGCCGCCTCGGGCCAAGCCCCGCAGCTCATGTCCATCTTCTACATCATGTTCGGCCGCGTCGAGATCAACATGAAAGCCGCCCAGGGCGCCGGCATCGTCAGCTCCCTCGTCCTCCAGTCCGACACCCTCGACGAGATCGACCTGGAGTGGCTCGGCGCCGACCCCCACGAGGTCCAGTCCAACTACTTCGGCAAGGGCCTGGTCACCAACTACAACCGCGGCCAGTTCCACCATATGGAGAGGAACAACCAGGAGGAATACCTCACCTACGTCATCGACTGGGCCAAGGACCGCGTCGAGTTCCACGTCGACGGCACCCTCGTCCGCACCCTCACCTACGACGAGGCCGACGACAACCAGTACCCGCAGTCCCCCATGCAGGTCAAGTTCGGCGCCTGGTCCGGCGGCGACCCTGCCAACGCCGAGGGGACCATCGCCTGGGCCAAAGGCCCCACCGACTTCTCCCAGGGGCCCTTCCACATGGCCGTCCGCTCCATCGCCGTCACCGACTACTCCACCGGCCGGGAGTACCGCTACACCGACAACTCGGGCAACTGGCAGTCCATCGAGGCCGTCGACGGCGAGATCAACGCCAACGAGGGCAAAGCCGACGAGATCCAGCCCACCGCCACCGCCGCCGCCGACGACCGTGGGCCCGCCCCCTCCGTGCCCCCCGGCGGCATCGGCACCGACGAGAACACCGCCCAGCAGTCCGGTTGGCCCTGGGAAGGCGACGACCGCCCTGCCGGTGGTTCCGTCCCTGAAGGCTGGCGCATGACCGAGGAGGGCAAGATCATGCCCATCGGCGCCGCCTCGTCCCTCCGGGCCCCGCATACCCTCTTCATCCCCATCTCTCTTCTCGTCGGCTATCTCGTCATCCTCTGCACCTAACGATATCTTCTATACCTACTACACCCAACCCAAAACCTCGGTTATTCTTCATTCGCGAAACTGTACCATCTACCGCGGACTTTATACTCATTATTTTACCGCTTCTTTTAATGGCAATCATCTGAATGGGGAATGCAAAGCATATACGATATAAAGCATATACGATATACAAAGCTGTTGGGATTTACCTCTCTGCATAGACAGATCGAGACACACCACACAGCCGGCGCATGGAAAGGGATGTAACCAGTATTGATTTTCGATTTTCGGCATGTACTAAGAAAAGGAATCAAAGATAGCTTGTTGTTCTTTCATTCATTATTCAGGAGTTTGGGTTAGCATAGCGATGCCCTTGGTCTGCTTGGGGAAGAAAAAAAGACCGACATTGACGGTTGATACGAACGCCAATATATATACATTTGATGTAGATGCGTCCAGCACTCTTGTCTTCGTTGAGATGACATGAATCTTTCGCCAATGAGAAAGGTCTGACTGAATATGTGCCTAGAGACTACGTTACTTCAACACACGAATCCACCTCTCGAAGACGTTGCGCTATACGACGGATCGTCGTATTGAAGCGGCTACCACATACATGCAAAGACATGCAAAGACAAGAAAACAAAGATCCCTCAACTGGGATAGCACACACATGGGATCTGAAATGGACTGATTGACTATCTATATGTCTAGCCAGAAACCTCTACGCTAACCCGGGCGTGTCTCACTGACCCGAGTATGATGCCCTCGTCCGGAGAACTATGAAGAGGGAGAAAGCAAAAGCTATATATCTTCGCCCCTCATGCCACCGCCAAAAATGCGACGACCCTCACTCTAGGGCCCGGGCCCTCCCCCTTGGAGGTAACCGTGATGCGCCTCCTGTTGCCAGAAAAAGGATAAAAGACGCTGCAGACTAGGACTGGTTTAACGAACGCCGTCCAAAATGGCCGGTCGAGGGACAAGGTATGCGAGAGAAAACGAGTAGGCGAAAGAAAATGCGTGGATAAAAGCAACCAGAGTTGTGCAAAATTGCAAAGCATCTTTAAAAGATGCGACTGATGGAAAAAACGGTATGGGAGATGGATGCCAAACCCCTGAGACTTTCACCGAGAGCACCTATGCCACATTGCGGCCCTAGAACTCCCACTTGTCGTCCTTGACGGATTGAATCGCCCAGTTGAATTTCTCTCGAAGAGTCTTGGAGAAGAACTTCTCGATCGGGACGTCGAACTTTCGAGAGAAGACGACCGTCAACCGAGGGTCGATGTAGTTCTAGAAACGTATCGTCAGCATATGGTGTGGGAATGAATGAACGGACAAGTCAGATGCATGTGTACTCACGATTTTACTTGTGCCCAAAGCAACTTCCTTGTTGTCGTCGCGATCAGCAGCCTGGAGTTTCAGAGTATTGATCCTCTCGTCGATCTTCTTGACGGCGTCCTGGAATTTTTCGACAGTAGGGCTCCTGCCTTCAGGCTCGACCTTCTTGGTCTTGTTCTCCTTCTTGAACTTGGCCGCCAGTTCATCTGCCGCCTTTAGACGTTCCTTAAGCTCTTTCTCGGGCATCTTTTTGGAACCCTCGGCCACGAGTTTATCATTGTCCTTCTCGAACTTCTTGGTGATTTTGGTGCGCTGCTCTTCTACGAGGAAGGCCTGGTGCGACTGGATCCAGGCTTCGTCCAACTCGGGATCCAGTTCAAAGTACTCGGCTCCCTTCTTCTTCTTCAGCTTCGGGTCGAGCTCGAGCATCATCTTCTTGCTGCGCCACTGCTGGTACCGGAGCCCCTTGATACGGTCGCCCAACTTCTCCATCTGTGCCGCATGACTGGCCCCGACCGTCCGCTTGTGGTTGCACAGAATCGCGACTTCACGGTTGCAGTCATTGTAGAGCTTGACCTTCTCCGCGATGGTGAGGTCCTTGACGGGAAGTTCCTGCAGCAGACGTGACATGGTGAAGGATGCATTGTAGGTACGGAAGACCTTGGCTGTCAGGCCATCCATGTAGCTCTTCAAGTGCTTGTTCAGCTGCGCAGTCGAGAGGCGGTCGAAAATATCGTCGCCGTCCGTCTTGGGCGGCTTTTTGAACAGCTTGAGGTTCTTGAAGACTTGCCGTTCGACGGTAAACTCGTCAAAGAAACGAATGCTGTCTTTGCCCAGGAAGTCGAAAACGACCGTGTTGGGCTCCTTCAAGGTGATGTGCTCGTATTTGAGAGAGCAGCAACCCACCGTCTCTGCTTCCTCTTCGGCGTTCTTCTCGTTGCCCGCTCGCAGAGCAAACTTGTCGATCAGGTACATGGCCGTGGCGCGCTGGCGATCAGCCATGACCTCGCTCTTGAGGTCCTTGGTATAATCCCTCCGGATCTTGAGGATGTGCTTCTTCAACTCTCTCGCCTTCTCAAACTTTTGGTAGTCGCTCTTGCCCTTCACCGAACTGCCAGCGGCCAGCATGACATACTTGTATGCGCCGTTGATGTTCTCTTGCCACGACGCCAGCCAAGTCGCCTTGTTATCGTGAACGACAGCTTTCCATTTGTGGCCCGCAGGAGGTTCTGGGATCTTGACCCCCTTGCCGATATTGATCGTGACGTCCTCAGGGAAGACCTGCTTCTTGATCTTGCCGGTCTTGGGGTGCTCGCCACGGCCACGGAAGAGACTGGGCGGTTCGACGCGGAAATTTCCGACCTTCTCCTTGCGTCCATTCCACAAACAGTGCTGGAACGGCGCCTCTCGCCTCTCCTTCTCCTCTTTGATAGCCTTCTTTTCCTCCTTCGTTTTGTTTCTCCTCTCGGCGGCCTGCTGCTCGGCATAGGAAGCGAGAGGCTCCCAGTCGATCTTGTGGAAATCCTTCACCTCGACCACATTGCCGTCCGTATCTCTAACGGGACCATGTTCCTTGATGATTTCCTTGAAGTCGTTGAAGTAATTCTTCTGGAAGGTAGGGTTGTCAACGTGCAGCTTCGAATGGTACATGGAGCCGAAGAACCAAGCAGCTTCTTCGATCTGAATGGGCAGTTGTAGGCGCTTGCCATCGTAAATGAGCTTGACGTGCTTGGGAAGCGGAGTGTACTTGTAGTCGAACAGCACTCCGTTGTGTTCCAGCGAGTCCCACTGAATGCTGCCATCTTCTTTCTTGGGCTCGTTCCACCACTGATCAGCGTCGTCCTCCTCTTCCTCCTCGGCCTCTTCGCTCTCTTCTTTCTTCACCTTGCCCTTAGCAGCAGGCGTGGCCTGTTTGCCTTTGGCTGGCGTCGCCTTTGCAGGAGCCTTCGTAGGAGCCTTCGTAGGAGCCTTCTTCTTCTTCGCAATGGGTTCGTCCGAATCGGACTCGACTTTGGTTCGTTTCTTGGCGGAGCTGACGCCGTTGGATACCCGCTTCGTCTTGGCAATCGGCTCGTCGTCAGACTCTTCCTTAACCGGCTTCTTGCCAGCCGCCTTCTTTGCCTTGCTCTCGCTCGCCCGGATGGCTTTGGCTTCTTTCGCAGCTTGCTTTTCGATAGAAGCCTTTTTCTTTGCAAGCTTCGTGCTGAGAGGTTCGTCGTCGTCGTCGTCGTCGTCGTCATTGGGGAGTGATGTCTCAGCGTAGGAGGGTGGCTTCCGGCTCTTCTTCAAGGGCATGTCGTCATCGTCCGAGTCCTCGACAGCTGTTTTCTTCTGTCGTTTTGCCTGGAGAATCGGGCTTGTCAGCAACGAAACTTGTGCCATCCCGGGCGTCGAGGGCAACATACCAAGGGCTTGTTATCATCGCTATCGGAACCATCCCGGTAATTGACTTTCCCGACGGAGGAACGGGACTTGCGCTTTGCGCTGCCATTCGCGGTAGGAGCATCGACATCCATGCCATCGACAACCGGGCCGTTGCGGATGGAAATGCCTGGAGGTGCAGGCTTAGCGTTCGATGCCGACTCGTCCATGGCTCTGTCATCGGCTTCTGTTACTCTGGCGGCAGAGACTGGGATAGATGTTAGAAAATGTCACTTGTGATGAATTGGTCGAGGTAATGCCGCTCTGTGGACACGAATCATCGAGGAAGGTCGAGTGGACGAAGGAGCCGTTCGAATGAGAGTGCAAAAGGACAAGTTGGCTATCACTTACCATGGCCATTCGACTTTGCGAGAGGCATATCGTCGTCTGAGTCGGACATTGTGACCATTTTTAGGCCCTGTGAATAGTTGCGGACCAGAAGGAAAGGAGATAAAGGGAGATGGGTTGGTGGTAACGAGAGTTGTGGTTTTCTGCTTGACAAGGAAAGGGCGCTCCAAAGGCACAAGTCTAAAGCCCGTAGTTGGCTTACAACTCGGTTGTAGGAGCAATGCGCAGGTAAAAGTTGGCGAAAAAGAGAATAGAAGGGCTGGGAAGTCGCCAATTTCCCATATGTATGTGTGGTAAAGAACGAGAGTTATCTGTAGGCCCGGAATAAGGAAGCGAGGAAAATAAAAACAAGAGGGAAGGAGAGAGAGGTCTCGATGATATGGGCCGAGCCGTTATGTAAAAGTGAAGAAAGAATCCAGATGGGGGAACCGCGCCGCCTCGTCCGCCACCACCCGTATTATCACGTGACCTTCCATGCGCCCCAACCCAAGCCAAGCTCGGTTTAGCCGGCAAAGCCCGAAGAGTGGACGTTTGCCAGGAATGAAAATAACCTCTCCCATCCGATCGATTATCTTCAATACACCTTACCGCTATACCCGTCAATTGACCTCGAGGATAATTGCGGTCGATTGAGTCACCCTTAGGCAAAGGCCGTGCTTCATTCTTTTCCTCAGTCATAATGCTTTCCCGCGCGGCAAGGCCAGCTCTGCGAGCTGTCGCTTCGGCTCCTCGGTAAGTGGCCATCAACCTCAGCTGGACTCCTCGGTGACCGGACGATGGGACAAACGGGGGGTCAATTGGGCCTGAAGAGCGACGAAAAGCGATGTGTTCGGAGGGGGCAAAAAAATAAGAGGGTTTTTTCCCCCATGGTATGGGACTATACTGATGGATGCGATGCCACAGTGTTGCTGGAACCACCAGCCCCAGCGCCGTCGCTACCTACGCCACGCTCCGTGAGATCGAGGACCGTCTCAAGTCGATCCGCAACATCGAGAAGATCACCAACACGATGAAGATCGTGGCGTCGACCAAGCTGACGCGGGCTCAACGCGCCATGACCGAGTCCCGCAAATACGGCGAGACATCCAACGAAGTCTTCGAGGCCGCTGAGACCAAGCCCCTCGAGGGTGAGGGCAAGAAGCAGCTCATCGTTGTTTGCTCTTCCGACAAGGGTCTCTGCGGTGGCATCCATTCCAGTCTGTCCCGTTACATTCGTCGTACCACGCCCGATGGTCCCCCCTTCGACCTCGTCATCCTTGGCGAGAAGTGCAAGGCCCAGCTCGGGCGTACCAACGGCCAGAACATCGTCCTCAGCTTTGCCGGTATTGGCAAGGACGTCCCTACCTTTGCCGATGCCCAGGCCATCGCCGACCAGATCACCCAGCTCTCCGGGGATTACTCTGACGTCAAGATCCTCTACAACAAGTTCATCAACGCCCAGAGCTACGAGGCCGCCATCATTGAGGCATTTAACGAGGAGGCTATTGCCGCGTCTGGTGAGTTGGCCCGGTTGAAGACATCTCGATAGGACCCCTTGGAAGAAGTTCTAGCGTTCTGACGTGTTTCTGTCTTTGTCTCTTTATAGCCAACTTCTCTGCTTTCGAGGTCGATGACGAGGTTCTTGCCAACCTGCGCGAGTATTCTCTCGCCAACTCTCTCTACTGGGCCCTCGCTGAGGGCCACGCCTGCGAGCAGTCTGCCCGGCGGAACGCCATGGATGTGAGTACTACTACTACGGATTTTGGCTTTTGGACACCCAACGGTTTTCTATGCCAAAGGAGTCTCTCGATGCTGACACGCACTTCTCCTTACAGAACGCCTCCAAGAACGCTGGTGACATGATCAGCAAGTACCAGATTCTGTTCAACCGAACCCGCCAGGCCGTCATCACAGGCGAACTGGTCGAGATTATCACTGGTGCGACGGCCTCAGAGGACATGTAATCGATGGGGACACACGAGCCTGGAGAAATACCATAGCATCCCTTTTCCCTTTGTATCAAGCTCTCGAAATGATGGCGATACATGCCCTCAGTGTACCAAACCCTTCACAATAAACTCCTCCTAAACCAAATGTAGTGCTTCCTCATGTTTCAGCCGCCACATTGCCGATCTTCAGTCGGATGCACAAGATAGATATTTGGAGAGTTCGTGCAGGAATGAAGTCTCGCAAATTTTGCTGAGAACAACTCGGGGTTGAAATTACTATTCTATTTGTCGTCACTTTCGAACGAAGCCGTGCTCAGAGTGCCAACGCCGTTCCCGTTCCCGCGCCCACGCCTCTAACTACTGAGCCTTCAGGGCCGCCAGCGCTGTCACGATGGAATATCCTCTTTGGACGCCTCAAGTTGAAGTCCCTACCGAAGCACCCAAGTATGACGCCTGGACGATATCATATACATATTCGCAAAAAGAAAGGCAAAAAAGCAAGAGGAAAAAAAGAAAAAAGAAGAAGAAAAAACTAAAGAACCAGCTCTCCTTCATAAAGGAGGTGGATCTGTTGTGGTTTCTCGGCCACACCATGTCGCCAAAAGAAAACGAGGATAACCCGCGCAAGCAGTCCTTCCCTAATGCTTTGCTCCATGCCCGTCCGCCAAAGCAGCACATGCATCAAGCAAATGGCCCGCGTTTCTGAATCGTAGCATTAGACGTCAGAGATCAGGGTCATCGCTGCTCTCGGCATAATCAATAGGCCTGCTTGTCTTGCGGTGTTTGTTCTTGTGTGGACTACTGCTGCCACCGCCGCGCCTGCCTTTGTCAGGCGTCTGGCTAAGGGAGTCTGATGTCAATGAATGCTCCTTTTCGTACTGGGCCCGCAGGATGGCACACTCCTCATCCCACTTGGCCAGCTTTTCCTCGAATTCCTCTTGTAGCCGAGCGTGTTCCGTCTTGAGCTGGCCAGCCTTGTCTTCGTAGGGTTTCCGCTCTTCCGGGCCGGCAGCCCTCCACATCTTGGATGTCATGTTCCTAACGTCGTTGGGAAGGACCTTCTTTTTAGTCGCAGCCCGCTCCTCCTCGCACTTCTTCTTCGCCACCTCGAAGAAGTCCTTGCTGAAAAGAAGATAGGCATTGGCAGAACACTTGCCAGGAGGCTCGGGACGCTCTCCGATCCGACCGACGACGAATTTCAAGGTAGCCCTCTCGAACGCCTCGATACGCGCATACTCTGGATCTCTGGCCTCGCGAGCCATCCGACGCTTTAGTGACAACGGCCTGCTTTCTTTGGGACGCTTGAGGGGCGTTGGGACATCGATCGGGCCCAGGAGGGCATCCCATACCTCCGACGCGGCCCGCAGTCCGGATAAGTATGCGCCATGGACAGTGGCAGGGTGTGTACCACAGGTGTGCTCCCCGGCAAAATATAAGTTGCCAACGGGGCGCGCCATGGCATCGTAGTCATCGATATGCATGCCGGGTCCAGATGACGAGTAACTGCCCCTAGCAAACCGATCTGAAGCCCAGCGAGTGACTACCGCCTCCACAGGGTAGGGTACACTCCGACCAAATATCTTGCGTAGAAGAACGGTGGCTTCCTCAATGAGGCTGTCGTTGCTCTCATGCTCCGTGTCAAATCCGGCGTTGCCAGCCATCAGAGCCACGAGACAAGGCAAGCCCGTCATCTTGGAAACATTGAACCACTGGAAGAAGCGCCCACGCCTAGAAGCGTACTCGCTCTGGATCAAACTATGCTTGTTGGGAGCGTCCCGAAGAACTCCAAAGATGTGTCGGCTAGTGTCCCAGAAAGGTTCTTTGTAAACCAAAATCACCTTGTTGAGGACACCGAACCCGATGCGTTCGATGGCACCCTGTTTCCATTCTGGAAGGGGTGGGTCGAAGCCAACGCTGCCTTGCTTCAAAACGCCCAGTGGAATAGTCGAGACCACAATGTCGGCTTCAACAGCGGTTCCATCTTCGCATTCTACTATGCAGGGAGCAGGAGAATCGCCGGTTGCGTATTTGATATTCCGAACCGGTGATTTTGTCTTCAAGTCGAGGGGTGTCGGGCATTCCGCAAGACCTCGGGGAACGGCTTGATACCCCCCTACCACCATGGTATGCTTACCGTCCCACTCGTAACCGGCATCAATGTCCCAGCCGCCAAGGCTGAGTTTGTACAGATTGGTAGCGTTACTGTACTCCAAATTCGCGATGTGCCAGTTGAGAAGACGGTGGTCTAGAGCGGCAAGGTCGACGAGGGACCGGTACTGAACGATGGCATCGTCGAGCACGGAACCCAGTGTCGCATCAGGATTCGATGCGGCTTGGGAGAGATCTACAGTCGAGTCCTCGTGAACACTGTTCTTTAATGTCCACCCAAACTGTGAGGCCCTGGTTGAAGCTTTGCTGGTCGCTGGGGTACCCGGCTCTGTGTGAACGCGACCGGTCAACTTGTCAGAGGAGACTGGAACGCGGTTCACCCGCTCAGGTACGTTCTGCTCCGAAACAGACGGTGCGTGTGGAAGAGCCGCCAGGGCCTCTTCCTGCTCGCTAATGGTCCTGGTCCCATCACTCGTGATCTCACGACCCGTCTGGATAAGTTGTAAATTGCCCCTGATGAGCTTGGAGGGTTGTGTTTTGAACTTGAATTCGCTAACGCGATCGAGACAATCATTATAAAGCTTTTCCACTCGATCATCTCTGAGTGGCTCCACGGGACGGCCATTGGAGTCGTACAGTGTGGTATCCGATTTCAGGACTCGGAATGGGAGGCCCAGCTGTCCTCGAACAAGAACATTAACCGGGTTCCCGCGCTCGAATCCCGTGATAATCATCCCCCCCATTTCGGCAGTATGCCGCTGCCCGTCGTACCCTGGCAAGGGTGTCTCCGGTTTTGTCTGAAACTCGCGCGAGTACACCCTGCCCCCAATGCGGCGTCGACCTTCGAGGACAACAATTTTGGGCGGCAGCTCGCCGCGCTCCGCAAGTTGGTCGGAATATTGCTTGGCCAGGGCGTCCATTTGCCGTGCGCAGCCAAGGCCAGCCATGCCCGCGCCGATGACCACGATCGTCTTCCTCTTTCGGTTGCAAGGGTTCTCTGTTGAGATCGTGGGAGCCGGGGGGAACTCCACACAGCCGTAGTTGATGTAGGCGTGGCGCAGAAGCCAGTCAAAGCAGACGCTGGCCATGTCAAACCATCGCGCGTGGGCCGCACATCCCACTGCTGCTTCACGGGTCACTGGCCTCCTGACGTTCGAGTACCATAGACGCAGAATGCCATTTCTGATCTGGAGATATGTGGTCACTTGCGCTTGCGTGATGTGCTGCCGCAGCAACCGGTATTCCCCCTCGTGCAGGGAGTACGGATCAAGTCTCGAGTGTTCCGCAGCACGGAGACACTGTGTTGCATATGTAACATCGTCCATTCCCGCAGGTATCGACGATCTCGGCTTAATGTCGAATGCCCTACGAGGGGTGGGCTGCGGGGAGGCCGGGGGGGAGGCTGGGGATAGGTTCCGAGGACGCGGGATAACAAGTTCCCTTATCGCTTCCGAGTCGACAGGGGTGGTAGCTTTGCTAGACACGGATGGCGGGATTGAAGATAATTCGGACTGATCCGACACGTGGGACAAAGGTGATTCGAGTGAGCGGTGACCAGTTTGAAGGTGACTTGAAGTAGTCGAAGGAGCTGGTGGTGCCCCGGTCTCAGGGGCTCTATCGGATAGTTAGAAGAACAAGTTGTACTGAGGAGCCTCAGAGATGTGGCAAGCTAGGAGGGTGAGGGGGTTCGATTTAAATGGAAACCTGTCCGAGAAAAGGCGAGACAGTATGTTACATACTCAGCATGAAGCGAGGTGGTTGAAGACCCCATATCTGAATCTTCTAGACCTGGGCCATCGAGTTCCATGTCTCCGGATTGAACGACGATTTCAGACCCAATTTCCGAGACTGGTCCAGATGAAGTATGGCTGCCGGCGGGGGACTCAGGGTCCTCCCGAGGAGATGGGGATGGGCGGTGGCTGAGGCCCCCTGATCTGGGTGGTGTCGAATTTGATATATATGATGATGAGCCGACACGCCGAGGTTGACTGAGCGGTTCTTTTCCAAGTCCGGTTCCCAAATCACTCGGAGATCTTGGGCTCGTTCTCATTGTAGAATGTTCGTTCCGGGCCCGAGGTTATGTCGATGAGCGAGTATGGGAGACGGTAGTTGCGGATGGTGGCTCGGCCGGAGCGAAGGGACGGCCCATCAGAGCAAGCTTGCACCGAGCCGCACGCAGCCCTGACCAGAACTTATGGTGTCAGTATAGGTCTAAATGGCCTTAGAAAGCAGAGTTAGTGTATTGATCAACGTTTATCTCTTACTTGGGATCTGATATAAGTCAACACATCTTACCTATCGGTTCAAGGCTCAAAGAGTCAAAAAAGATGATGACAGTGGCACAAGTCCCGGGATTGGCGCTTCAAGAGATTGAAGCGATCAATTGTAGCTCCAGAACCCCTCAGTGGCTCTAAATAGATGGTGCCGTAAGGGAATGCCGGGCTAATCGCCCCTGAGATTGGTGAGGGAGAATTGATATAACTCAGCAAGTGCTGGGCCCATCGTCCTGTGATCCCTCCACATCCGAGTACTTTGCCCGCGCTACTGTCACGTGGTTCCCCCCCTGTACCCTCATGATTGGCAGTTCTGTGCGACGTCCAACGACTCGCAGTGTCAAGCTCCATCATTCTGATTGGAGGACAAAGGCTGGAGATCATGTGATGAGCCCAAGACAGTAAATCGATCCAAGCTCCGCAATTCAGGTAACGGCCTCTCGTGGTACAACCTGCTTCAGACCCGGTGTTCCGTGGATTCAACATTCCCCGGTTACTTATCCCATTGATATATTTGGGACGACGATAGTTTCTCGCAGAGTCTTTCTGTTACTTTGGATTTCTTTCTTCCGCTAAGACCCGCCCTCCGTCCGGACTTCACGCCGACATCACGAATGACGATGAGCGCTACTCCTCTGTGGGAGCTCTAGCCGTAGTTACAAGAACTACGGCCAAACCAGGCTTCCGTGAGCGGCCTTCAAATGAGACGCATCATAATAGCGGAAGATAACACAAGTGGTATCAGAGACAGACGTCACATCTGGTGGGTGACATTTTCGAACATCTGTAATCGCCTCGGAGTAAATGTCGAGGGTCCAATGTTTCCATCATGGTATTAATCCCCCAGCCAGCTATTGTCTAGGTACTAGAACACGCCCAGTCAGGAGCCTCCCCATATCGACAGTGATCGTATCCTTAATCCAATCATGAACTCTCGAGTTGACTCCGAACGCCTTTCCGGTATTTGGGCATATCACGCCCGTTATTGTGTTGAGATACCCGGACTTGCATTTTTCGAAAAGGATTCCTTCTCAATCGCCGCTTCCATCATTCTGTTCCCGCTGATGATCGATGTTGTGCAGATGACGATGTTTCTTCGGCCTAATCATGCAACAAATGTCAGTACCCCGGCATTAGCAATTCGTCTGACAGAGAGGGAAAAAGAAAAGAAAGAAAGAAAGAAAACCCATAAAGGGCGAGGCTAAGGTCAAACATACCTTCCTCCTGCTTTGCGATAAAGCGGAGAGCTGCGATCTCAGTAAATGTGATGCCTCCTAGAAAGACAACAAAGACAGTCTGCTTCTCTGCTCCGCCCGAAAGGAGAGCGCGAGCCTTGACAGCTTTATCCTCGCCCTTCTGGAGCTCGTAAAATGTTTGTCCTCGGACATGTTTGACTGCTTCGTCGAAACCATGCCATCCCTGTGCCGCAGACGAACCAGTTGTCCCTGTCACGCCATTGCCCTTGGTCACGGTGAGTAGGTATTGCTTCTGGAGAATGCATTGTACCAGCCGAACTGACAGCGGAGCATAGCCACTATACACATATGCAATATCGTTCGGGTCGTCCTCCCGCACCTCATCCACAATCAGTCGTAGAAGTTTTCGTAAATGCGTGTAGTTGGTCTTGTTGCCTGCTCCTCCGACTGCCCCCGACATGGGTATCATGCCCGCCAGGGGCGAAGATCGGGATAGGAAGAGTTGGAGTTTCTCCAGAGAATGGAGGGTCAATAGATGTTGGTAGCCATAACCTTCTAGAATCAGGCGCCTGAACTGGTCGTATTCCTTGGGTTTGACGCCGCCTGATACACACGAGTATATGCAAAGCAATCTCAGAACTTCAGGCAGCGGCGTTCCCCTAGCAATGAGCTCCTCGATAGCGTCGAACTGCGAGGAAGGGTCTGCACCGGCAGCCAAGTTCTGTTGGACCTCCAGGAGTCCCTTAAACTGATCGGTTCTTGTGTACTTGACGATCTCTTCAGCTAACCCGGTGTGTATGCGGAGGCTGTGGTGTTCCTGTTGATACGCGGGAAGCTTGCTCACGAAGTCCTTAAGCTCAGCGATCGATTTGTTACTATTCCGGCCTTCGTAATCCTTCTGCACGCTCTGGAGCCTCCGGGCTTGTTGGCCTAGGAAACTCCCAACAATGGCAAAGTTCTTGTCGCGGAGCAGCTCAAATTGCTTGTCGGATGAATCTAGTTGTATCTTCCGTTTCCGTGCCTGCGCGCTTGGTGCCCCCGCCGCAGACCCTTGAGATGGGGCTCCCACGATGGTCGTGTCCACCTCTGCCTGACAGTTCTGTATGCCGAACACCTCGTCAATGAGACCCTCATAAGTCAGCTGAGTGAGAAGAGGGGTGACGAAATCGACTTCGCGTTCAATAATGATAGCGCTTTCTATAGTTGTGCTCGGACTCAGGCCGCCACTGCGTTGGGTCGTGCTCGTGTCATCGCCGGCTATGATCTCTTGTCGCATGCGCGAGAGCAAGTCGGCCACGCGTTTCGCGTTGTCGCCTTTGCCAATGACCCGAGGGAAAAGCCCGTGTTTCTCTTGGATTCCCATCAATGCCTTGGCCATCAAAAAGGAGGGCGTCACATCCTTGCTCAAATATATATCGCGGAACGAGTCTTCAAGTTCAAGGGATAGCACATCCTTTTCCAAGGGGAAGAAGTAGAGCGGTAGTTCGGAAATGTTGACATCTCCCAAGACGCCTGCCTCTTCCAATAGTTTGTCCGAGACAACGGTCCGCCGGGGTACCCAAAAGATGTGGAATTCATGGCCGGTTTGGCTCTCTCGCTGCAATCGTCGGATGTGATCTGATGAAAATGTCAGCGCGTTATGATAGCATCAACTTCTGTGAATAGGACGCAAGTGATGCTATAGGAGAACGTGCATATTTCAATATTCGGCTCACTGACGGACGACGAGGAGTGGGCTTTATTCCTCAAAGTCTACTTTGGAGCCAACTGAAGTAGGCTACGCGCGCAGCGGAAAATAATTGAGAAAGACGAGAGTATGATATGATAGCGCTACTAGGACACGACACAGGAGAGATGCTAACCTGCTATGGACGGGGTATGCCGTGCACACTCGCCACGGGCGACGAAGATGACATTGCGCTGGCTCGTGTCGGTATTGTTGTTCTCCAGAAAGAAGAACTTGTCGACGCCATACTCTTGGAGGGTCGCGACCTTGACAATGGCTCCAATGGGTCCAGCCAAACTACGCTCAAGAACCAAGTTCTTCTTGCCACGAACCTAGAGAGGAACGGGTGGTCAGCCATGAGGAGGGCGAGTGCGATGAGGATGGCAGACGGGGCAGAGAAAGCCTTACGTACTCCCTCGAGCAGGTTCAGCAAGTCTCTGCGAGCTCTGTCTTTGATCTGGTCTGCATCAAACCCAACTCGAGAAGCCATTTTTGCGGCCCCATGTGGTTGAGAGGACGAGCCGGTGGGTTAGCTAGCTGAAGCTCGGTGAGGAGAAGGGAAGGAAAACGAATGGCGAATGACCAGGAAAGGTCGAAGCTTCATTCCGTCAGGTGGATCTGTACAATGAAGCTAATAATCCTCCGTAGCTACCTACGAAGTACATCATAGTCATCAATCCAGCCCTGGTCATATGACCGACCTATCAGAGAGCTTTCAGAATCACTACCGGTGAGGTACCTCAGATCATGCACAAATAGTATGACGGCCCTTCTCTTAAAACCCGCCTGTCGGCCAACATGGAAAAAGGCAGACCGAGTAAGTAGTTGATTTAATAATACTTCCTACGAACTCGTGAATGTGTGGCACGAGTTCTCGTGCAATTACACAAGGTAACTACGGAGTACTGGAATCATGTTCCTCGGTCTCTTCTGTATGCGCCTTTAGCTTTGGTGGGCTGCGGGGTCGTCAGCCCCAGAGCCCCTCCCCAGTCACTCAGTAATACTACGGATAACACTCCATACTTCACTCCAACTCTCTCACCTTTAATCCACCTGCCGCGTCTTGCTCTATCCACCGCGGTCACTACCACCGCCACTACCACCACCACCGCCGCCACCACTACCGGTATTCTAGATTTGGTCGTCAGTTATCAACCGAGTGCGAGACCCGGCATCAATCATCTATCAACTTGCCATAACGCATGAAACCAAAACAATCAGGCCCCATACGCACTGCGACTACGTCACCATACTGTTTCGTCTCTTAAGTTGGCCTTGGTGCCGACCACACGTGCGAACATCATGACTAGCTTCGCTTCCAAGAGACTCGCAAAGGAACTCTCCAAGGTATATGATTTCTGACCCGGCGCCATCGTCTACAGACGCCTTGCTGTCTTGGCCTTCATCCCTTTGTCCGCGAATGGCTCTTCTGTGTCTAGGCTTCCGTGGACGTTTGCCAACTGAGCCTGACTGCAGTATCAACTGACTTCGGCCGTTCCTCCCTAGCTGAAAAATGGCCTTCCCCCAGGCATTGACCTAATCTCAGCCGACAACTTCGAAGAATGGCTCATGGATATACGAGTCCTAGACGACAACCCCATCTACCGCGGCGAGGTCTATAGACTCAAATTCAGGTTTTCTCCGCAATACCCCATCGGTACGTCCAGTAGTCGTTTTCACGCCTACCTAGACTCCTTCTTGTCGCGGTCACTGGATGCAAGATGAATGGCAGAATCCGAGGTTTTGGACTAACATTCTCCGTGTTCAATTCTTTAGAACCCCCAGAAGTAACCTTCATCAAGCAAAGCGATCGCCCGATTCCCACCCACCCTCACATCTACTCGAACGGCATAATTTGCCTCGACCTCCTCGGAAGCCAAGGGTGGAGTCCTGTTCAAAACGTGGAGACGGTGTGCATGAGCTTACAGAGCATGTTGACGGGGAATTCCAAGAACGAAAGACCGCCTGGAGACGAGGAGTTTGTCCGGAGCAATAGGAAACGACCACGCGACATCGACTTCTACTACGATGATAACACGGTTTAAGCGACAGTTCCCTCTTTGTTCACAAATGGTGGTTTGCTTGCGAAGTACTCTGTGGTTTGCATTTGGGCGTTGGGCGAGCTTCGCAAAGCCTGGAATATGGGAATCATAACGGTTTGGGTTGGCGTGGTAGGTCATCGGCAAAGGATTTTTTTTTAGGTCAAGAAATGTTCTTCCTCATTTCACCGAGCGTGTGACTGTATACGAGGGGTTGAAACTTTCCCAAGAGGACTTGCTGTCATGAGCGACATCCCATCTTATCATCTCGGCTGTTTGGCTAGAGCGTGTCGGTATAATCAAATTGCGATGAAGTGGAAATATCTCCGCAGATGGTGGCATTTCCTTCGTCGGCAATACGAAGAGACTTGTCACAACAAATGTGGAAATATCCCGAGACAGTTGATGTATGCAACTAGTCCAGTATTATGCCTGGCTGCCTGTGGCTGCCTCCTTTCTTGCTTGGTATCGTTGGAGGAGATGCTCATATCGCACGGAGCAGCCAACCTCCACTATGGCGGTCGAGTTTCGGTCACCCACGCTATCCTGCCCGGCTAGGAGGAGTTTCAGCCTTATCACGGAGGTGTTTAGAACCGTTGGAGCTTCATTGGCTAGGCCCCTAGGGCGGATAAAACGTGACAATTTCAGCCGAAGAACCACATCCAGTCCACAATATCTGTGTGTTGATTCTTTGTGCATACTGGGTGCCATCGCTCTCCATCGTATACCTATCAGTGATCATGCGTGTCACCATCACCTGCGGTAGCTAGGGTACGGTGGGTGTCTGAGAGCTTGTGAGTATCACAAGCCATATGGAAATACCAGGTTGTCGGAAAGCCGCATCTTATCTGGGGATTTGTAACTGCCCCTGGGCTTGTTAGTTGGTACCTCCTCCGTACCCACGGCCAGAGGGCCAACATGAATGTGACTGTGACATGCCTGCACTCTAGGATGTCAACTGGGCTGTCGGTGTGAGCTCAGGCAGGTATCAGATACTTTCCATGCCCGCATCTCAGCGCTTGACGCCATGTTCACTGTACAATATTCATTTGTTACCCTCCAGACCATCGGTCCGTCTAGCGATCAGCCTAAGGGGCAGTGGAACTGGGACTGATGTGGGGAAGACAAGACGCTGGGTAAGTTGGTAAGGTACGTACAGTAGAGCACCTCCCAATTCAGTGCCCCTCATTTCCTCGTGGCTGCTCACCCTCCCACTCCCTCCCCGCGCCAATCTCACCCAGGAAGCATATCGCCAACTGATATCTTGTCGGGAAACTCCCATATAAGTTCTTACGAGACGTCCTCAAAATACGACTTTGCGGCGTCTCGTTTCTCTTCGACCGATATCTCGTCATTTCGACCTGCTTCCCATTCCTCCACCACCGCCAGTGGACGCCATTTACCCCACATCCGTCAGCCTTAAGGCACCCAAGACGTGGGCCGTTTCTTTCTCCCAAGCTGTAACCCCCTCATCGATCTGCCTCCAATCCTTCTGTTTCCCACTCTGAGGGACCATCTTATCTTCGTTTGCTACCGACTGTAAAACGACATCCCCAGAAGTCCCGGTCCTCTTCAATTTCTTCCATCACTCGCACCCACTACTTATTACTGGTGGGCGGGGTGTCAGAAAAATCACGCCCTCTTACTCTCAATCAACATCATTTGCTTCTCGAATAACTTACGGACGAACCTTTCTAGATTACTGACCTTCTGCGACTATTTTTGACTTCGTCCAACATGAGCTGTAAGTCGAAATTGTCGCTGCGTAGCCTTTTGCGCATGCCCTTCAAATCACCACTTCCTAATGCCAGTCACCATTGCCCCTTTTTGTATGCTATACCTGCGAGCCCTCCCACTATACGTCAGGTCGCAAGTATCTCTCAATCGCACAGATCTCTCGCTGACGAATTTCGCGCTTGTAGTCTCTAATATGCTCAATCGCCTCGGTGGCCAGCCGGAGAGTTACGACAAGAAGTGCGTCCCTATATCCTGGTCCGAAACGTGACGTGACAGGCCTAACGAGCCGTGGACGGTCTTTAGATCCAAATACCGCTTCGGAAGAACACTCGGTGCCGGTACCTATGGCGTCGTTCGGGAGGCCGATAGCCCTACTGGCAAGGTTGCTATCAAGATCATTCTCAAGAAGAACGTCAAGGGCAACGAGCAAATGGTCTACGACGAACTAGAGATGCTCCAGCGCCTCCACCACCCCAATATCGTTAAATTCGTGGATTGGTTTGAGTCGAGGGTGAGTTGGCCTTGCGCCTTACCCACCAATTCGTCCGTCTCGTTTGACCGCGAGCATAGGACAAGTATTACATCGTCACCCAACTGGCGACGGGCGGCGAGCTCTTCGACCGCATTTGCGAGCAGGGAAAATTCACAGAGAAGGACGCATCGCAGACCATCAGGCAAGTTCTCGACGCCGTGAACTACCTCCACAAGAATAATGTAGTCCATCGAGGTCAGTTCAGCCTCACATAATGTCCTGTGGCGTGCGGACTTGGCGTCCAAGTTTGTTAACCTGAGCGCCCAAAGATCTCAAACCGGAGAACCTCCTCTACATAAGCAGAGATCTCGACTCTGAGCTCGTTCTTGCCGATTTCGGCATTGCCAAGATGCTTGACCGAAAGGGCGAAGTCCTCACCACCATGGCGGGTTCATTCGGCTATGCGGCTCCAGAAGTCATGCTCAAACAGGGTCACGGCAAGCCGGTCGACATGTGGTCTATGGGCGTCATCACGTACACCCTCCTTTGCGGCTACTCGCCCTTCCGGTCGGAGAGTCTCCAGGAGCTCATCGACGAATGCTCGTCAGGACGGATCGTCTTCCACGAGCGGTACTGGAAAGACGTCAGCCAGGATGCCAAGGACTTCATCTTGGGTCTCCTGCAACCGAAGCCGGAAAGGCGATGGACTAGTGAGGTACGTGACCGCTTGCTCCCCGTCCCCTCCCGTCCCGTCCCCCCAAATCTTCCGATGGCTCACTCTCGTCTTCAGGAGGCGCTGCGGCATCCGTGGCTAAGCGGCGAGAACGCCACCGACCACAACCTTCTGCCCGAGATCAAGGCGTACATGGCCAAGGCCAGGCTACGTCGCGGCATCGAAATGGTCAAGCTCGCCAACCGCATCCAGGCTCTCAAAATCCAGGAAGAGGACCCCGAAGACACCGACTTTGGCGACGACTCCTTTTCCAGCCATCAAACCGATTTATCCACCGACAAGAAGGCTCTCTCCAAGACTATCAAGGGTGCCATTTTCCGCGAAGTGGTCTTCGCCAAAGTGCGCGAGATGAAACAGCAGCAAGATACCCAGAAGGTCAAGGAAGAGGCGGAGAAAGAAGCCAAGAGACGCACGTTTCAATAGCTGCTGGATGGCTTGTGGGACAGTTACACCAGGCGGGGTTGTCTGTTTAAGATGGAGGCCGTGTGAAAGAAACATGGCTGATGGGCGATCTGGTTAGCCACCCGCGGCGGGATACCACACCAACAGAATGGAACAAACCCGGATTCGATGGTAAGGCTCTGGGCAGGTTTTGTTTCCTCAACATGCTTATGACTAGACGGGGGCCAGGACTTACGAGATGTGGGAAAGGGTTCTTTTCCGGTCTAGGCTTTTCGGAATCGTTTATATGTATGCCGGGCGTCGACGTTTTCAACTTCACAATCAAATGAACCTCGCAGTACACATCATCCGTGTCCAAAATTACGCTTTGGAAAATTGAAGATCTTGACTAGGTATATTGTCCAGCTTGCTCAAAAGCTCTTTTCGCCGAATCGAAAAAGGGGTATATAAGCGTCGACGCGGAAATCGTCCGAACTCCTGATCTCTTCTAATATGAGCTTATAACCCCGGTAGCGTAACCACAGAGTTGCGAATACAATGCAGACAAAACAGGAAATGTCCACCGCCTGAGCAAATCAAAGGCAAAGGCCCGGGGCCTCGAAGAAGGGACCTCGAAGAAGGGAAGGCAGAAAAAAAAAAAGAAAACAAGAGAAGGTCAAGGGGGGAATCGTGAAATCTTCAAGAAGAGAAGGGAAATACGTTAATGAGACGGGAGCGGGCAAAAGGCAAAATGATAGAATCAAGGGCTCCAGGGTAGCCCAGGTACTGAGGAGCGTCTTTGCTGTCTCCCGCCCGTGATACCCAGCTGCGGTGCCAGCGCAGGTCGCCGTAAAAGACAAAATAAATAGATCGTCCCGCGTCAGTGTACGTTTCATGGTCGTCGTATTTCGAGCATACATATGGTGGGGGTCCAGAATCGTGTGCGATGCAGTCGGAGAATAGGTGAAGCCGCTCAAACATATCGAAACAAAATAGTAAACGAGAACTGAAGAGGGAGAAAGGACGACGGAGAGGGCGAAGGGGTATCGCATCATCAGTAGGACGAGAGTTCGCTGAGTACGTTGTCGCAAAGCTCTTCGTATCTCCGAGCATTGAAGCGCGGGCGTTCCCACCCAGCAGCGCGGAGACGCTCAATGCGGGAACGAAGCTGGATGGCGCGCATTTCGTCATTGGAGGTTAATGGTTCAGGTGAGGCTGCTCTCGTGGGCACGCTGAAACTGAAGCGAGATCGAAGACCGGCCGTGGCTGGTACAGATGGCGAAAGTTGCGCATCGATGGAAGCGAGGTAGGACGCCAACTGGATGCGAAGGGTGGAAAGAATGGCGCAATACCGGTGAATGGAGCGCTCACGAATGAAAGAGAAGGAAAGTTCGCCGCCATCGTCCTCGACTGGGGGTTCAGGGGTCGAGGGTAGGGAACAAAGGACTCGGCTTCTCGGTTGCTCGCGGATATCTGACGGGGAACAGGCCTCAGCTGGAGACTTAACAGCATGGAGAGTACAGTTGAGGCCGAGGGTCGGAGAGTCGGGTCGAATGTTGGGCTCACTGTCAGATTTGTCATGGGAGTCGTCGAAAGTAACGCGCTTCTTCGGTGCGTCGCGAGGAAGTGGACGGGGCGGGGGGGACAACTTCGTCACGATGGTATCTTCCGGAGAGTACATCGAGCCCAGGCAGGACGAGACTTCGCTGGAGTTGTTGGAGGAAAGTGAGGAGGATGGCGTATGCTGGCTTGAGCGGGAGGTCGCTGCGGAGGAGGAGCGGGAGGAGCGGGCGGAGCGCGACACGGATTCGTCTGCGGTCCGAATGAGCTCCGAGGCGCGGTGGTAGTGTGAACGAGCCTGTTGGAGTAGCTTAACCCTGTAGGGAGACGACGGGTTCAGTGGCCGGGCGAGCATCTCGGCGGAGCAAGCTGCATAGAAGTGTAGGTAGATCAGGTAGGCAGGTTCCACAGCTGTCTGCTAAGAGTCAGTGTCATCTTGACTTCATATGGAACTGAGCCACTAGCACTCCGCGAGAGGATTTCTAGAATACTTACAACGTCTTTGACATTGTCCAGGATTTCACAGCACCGTGCTGAGCAGGCCCGATATCGACGGTTGATATAGTTTCGCTTGACTTCGGAAACAGCTTTATTCCATTCTGCCGATGTGCTGGGCAAAGTAGGCAACGAGGACTGTGTCTGAAGAGAAAGACGTCGTGGCACTTGAGGTATGGCCTTCGATGCCGGGGTCGCGGAATCGAGAGAGGCTATCCTCTTGTGCACGGCGGCATGAGGCAGATCATGAGAGTCGGCGTGAGTACCGACAATGGCCGGGCCCAGTGTCAACGGTAATAGACTAGATAGACTAGACATGCTGGTTTGCTGGAAGGGATGGGCTGAAGAAACAGGTTGTGCGTGAGAGTGAGAATGCTGAAGGATTATCGAATTCAATTCGTGGTCCCAGGAGTCGCAAGTCGTACGAAATTCCCTTGGAGGTGAAAGAGTCCCAACAAGCCCAGAGACTCAGTGGATGGCGACGATATGTATCCGTACTGCGTCCGACTCGGAGGAGTTGAGAGGCGATGCCAGAGGCGTATCCCTTGGATAAAGCCCGCTAGGAAACCCTTCGAAGTCTGTGTGTACATAGTATCGATTATTACGGAGTAGGAGCCGCAGTCAAAAACACACCTCAACTGCGGGTTTGTTAATTGTCCAGGGAGTGGAGACGAAGTCTCAGATGCGACTTAAGTTCCGGCAAGAGACCAGGGTGGCTTTGACGTTCTGTCCAGGATCGTCGCCAAGAAGCATCTCGGTGATACCTGCAAGAGGGGCTCACGTTGCACACATTGCGTGAGGTAAATTAAAATGACAGCTAACGTCGGCGGAGGTCTGGGTGGGATTTGGAAGCAACACGCAACAAGCTAATTACTTTGTAAGTGACTGAGCCATCCGTAGTGCTTTGGTGAGGCGAAAGTTGAAGATATACGTACGAATTAGCGCCTGGATAGCTGGACTCAGACAATGTTTCTTGTCGGGGCACGCAGATACTACTCCCCGGTATGCCAGTGACCACGGCATTCTGGAGGCGGGAGAGCCCTGTCATGCAAACGGGGGCCGAGGGATAGAGGAGGGTCTCGATAAGGAAGGACAGCGTATGGCCTAGAAGCCCTCGATCATCGCACTCGGGTCAAGGAAGTGTATCCATACCTTTCAAGCACAAATAGGTAAGCTTCCCCCGTCTGACCTGACAGTACTGACCTGCCAGGGGTTCAGGGGTATGAGGGAAGAAACTGGGGATATGCTCGTGATTACTTCGTACCTTGAATCATCGCAGACCTCGCGCGCAATTGGCTCGTCTCTTTTTAACTGCACGCACTTAATCCCTATATACACACTGCACCGCAGCATCTGCACCTCGAGGGTTCGGCCCCTCCCCTGTGTCTGGCATAGTTCGTGCATGAACACCACGGCAAACAACATGTTCTCCGTCCGTGGGATGTCGATGGCAGTTTTCTTTTTCTTTTTCTTTTTCTTTTTCTTTTTCCTCTTTTTTTTAACAATTTTTTTATTACCGGGGTTTCGTCCGAGTCGGCCATTCGTCCGTTACCTCGTCGTCTGATTTCTTTTCTGACGGCTTGCACCTCGATGTTACCGTATCATGGTGAGAAAGTCATGCGAGCAAGTGCGCTCACCCGATTCGCTGAGCCAGAAAGATATAGGTGACATCGAGCTGGGAGGAAGAGGAGGGAAAGGAGAGCTTGGACAAACTGACGCTGCATCGCAAGTGGAACAAGACCCCCCCAAGAAACCCCACACCGTAATGTTCCTTCTCCTACCTCATAAGCCGCGGGCAGCTACAAAGAAAGGTACCTATCCGGACTGGACCTTCCAGATCTCAACTCTTCAATTCTCGTCTGTTCCTACTTCGTAAGGGAGACTCACGACAACATTGTATCGAGCTTACGTTGTACGACGTACTTTGTAATTATACCGCATGCGGAATAGTGCCCTTGATCATCTGAAACATGACCGATGATCCCATGCGACTGGGGAGTAAGGTAATTAATAAAGGTGCTCTTCCCAGACAATGTCCCATCGAACTTCCAGAAGCAATGTCCAACCTATTTTCCCTCCTTATACAAAATATGCACCCTATAGTCTATGTAAACAGAACTCTTCGGGAAAAGCGTGAACCTCAACTCCCAAGAAACACCACCGATGACCTCAGCGCCCCTGAAGCGAAAGAGCCGAGCCACTGCCGGTACTCAAGAGCTTTCTCGTGCACGGAGGATGCATCCCCGTCACCGTTGCATTGCTCCTGCGCGCTCCAACCTCGTCTCCATATCCGTGTCCCCCAATTGCCCGGGGTCTTGTCTACTCCCAGTCGCCAAACTACCTATGTACGTTGTACTCGCCAAACTCGGAAGAGATCCTTGGCAGTCCCCAGCCCCCTCGTACATACGGGGTAGTATCATGTCTGGAGTGAGTGCTTCGTGAATTCTACTTCGTAGACACTGAGAACGGATACCCATTAAAACAAAGATATAATATGTGCAGTCCTATGTAGCCAGGTGCCTGGTCAGAAGCGGTCATGGGAAGTGTTTCCCACACCCTAAGGTAGTTGTTGAAACCGCATGCCGTGATTGCTTTGTAATTACGTTGCATTTTGTATCCGGGTAGTCCATCCAGAGCAAACAGCAACCCCATGGGCTGTCCAACCATCGCTGCCGAACGGCGGCCTCCGACCTCACGACGTCCATCGACCCTCTTAGGATTTCCTTCCCTTTGAGACTGGGCGTTGTGCCACTGCCGTCACTGCCCGTCGACCACGTCGGGCCATCTCTCCCTTGTCTTGAGAGCACTAGAGCATGCCGGTAGTGATATCTTCGATCCTTTATTATGGTCCCGTGTACCTACCTACGATACGGATATAGACATTGGCTGATCGCATTTTGATAACCCAGAGGACGCACGATTCCTAATGAAGGACACGAATTTCATTCGAAAATTTTAACTGGTCAATCCGAGCTCTGCAACACTACCAGAAGAGGTATATTCTTGGGAATGACCTCCTGACATGTAAGTTTTGACCCACTACCTAAGGTACGTACTTTAGTAAGTTGGGCCGTGACTATAGCGATATGGACCTCGAGTATCCCACCCACTTTGTATGTACAGCCTGAGTAGAGGAGTATGTACAGTGAGTGAGCAAAAGTTTCGGGATAACCCAAAGTAAAATGCTTCGAACCTTTTGGGGAACACTTTTTTCTATTAGGGCAAAAACCATACTATGTTACAAAAGTAACGAATCACTGGATCTTTAAAATATACCGAAATTATTACTCACCCACTATATGTCTGTTATGGTATCTGCCTTAGGTAAGGTACTACCTTAGTGATACCAACTTGTACACCGTAAAGTTAAAGATTGAAGGCAGCTGTAATACTCACAGCAATAAACTGACGATAAGTCTGGAAGATCAGCCCTAAAGCCTCGCCGGTAGTAAGAAGGAGAGGCGGCGTTAATAGCTTCGATGGTTTTAATTGAGATGGTGGTTTCAATTGAGGTCGGATTCCGAGGACCCGTGATGTGTGTAGTTCCAAGGTACTCGGGCTATACATATAAATTTGGTGGGATACATAGCAGTATCTGGATTCCCGCGGCATAACTGCTGCTGACAGTCCGGATACATGAACGAGGAAGTCTTGGGAAGTCGAGACCAGCCCAGCCCACATTAATTTCCTGCCCCATCTGCAGCTCATGAGGCCCCCCCAGTGCTAAATCGTGGCCCGCTCTTTGCGTTGCAAGAAGACATTTTTATCTTATCTAAAAGATCTTATCTAGCTCGGCCCCACTATGGTCTACCACCACCAAGCCCAACAAACGAAACAGCCCAAACTCGTCGGTTGGAAAAAATTGCGGTGAACAACTTCAGCCGTTTCGAGGGTTCTCGGCCTCTTTTCTTACAACAAACGAGCAAAGCACATGTCCTCGAAGAGAAGCGATGTCATCGAAATTTCTTGACATTCTTAACTCTCGTGCCCCTCCATAGACCTAGCCATCTGCCTGCCTTTGTAAAGCACAATCTCACCAGGGTTGACCCCTGCCAAACGAGTTGCCTCGCACCAGCACCCACCGCCTCCTTCCGGCATCGGCTTTTACACTCGGTCTCCGATGTTGTCCTGACGCCATTTTATCAAACAGCTATTTAATTGCTCACCCCCGCATCGTTTTGCCTCGCTTCCTCGAGCAAGTGCGACAGGTAGCCGGCTCTATTCTCTGCTTATTCGGGTGAGCGAGGGCCAGTCAGGACAGTGCTGAACGGGTCTCCGACGGGAGTCTATTCACCGTCCTGCACTGGCTCGGTATCGCGATAGCTCGGCTCAAATCATGATCGATTCACCCGCCTCGGCAATGGATATTCCGCACCATGAGCCGCCTGTGACGCTGCGAAGCCAAACCGCCGCCATTGAAGCCGTGGAGGATATTGTTTATGGATCGGTGAGTCAGCACCTTAGCCGACAGTCTCTAGACCACACTTTCTAACGGAGTTGTTTTGTGTTGCTACCAGACGGCGGGCATCGTCGGAAAATACATCGAATACCCCTTCGACACGGTCAAAGTCCGACTTCAGTCGCAACCCGATAACCTTCCCCTCCGCTACAAGGGTCCCATTGACTGCTTCCGCCAGTCTCTCAAAGCCGATGGCTTCGTGGGCCTTTACCGTGGCATCACCGCCCCGCTGGTGGGCGCCGCTGCCGAGACGAGCAGTCTATTCTTTTTCGAACGCCTCGGCCGCGAGCTCATCTATTCGTCTGGCCTTGTCTCCCGCGACCAGTTCCTCTCCCTCCCGACGCTATACTTCACGGGCGCCTTTTCCGGCTTTTTCACCTCGTACGTGCTGACGCCGATTGAGCTGGTCAAATGCAAGATCCAGGCGCCCGCCTCTGCCGACGGCTCGGCCCCGCCCCCGCTCAAGCCCGGGGCCGTCATCCGCGACGTATACCGCCACCACGGCATCAAGGGGTTTTGGCACGGCCAGATGGGGACTCTGATTCGGGAATCTGGAGGCAGCGCGGCGTGGTTCGGCGGCAAAGAAACGGTCACCAAGATGTTTCACGCCCTCAACGCCCGGACCGTGAACACGAAGGCCGAGAAAGACACTCTCGCTGCCCAGCCCCTCCCGCTATGGCAGCAGGCTTTGGCTGGCGCGTCTGCTGGAGTGTCCTACAACTTTCTCTTTTTCCCGGCCGACACGATCAAGTCGCGCCTGCAGACCATGGCGATTGGAGAGTCCGTCAAGGATAGGACGTTCCTGAAAGAGGGCATCGCCATCTGGAAACGGTACGGGGCTGCGGGGCTGTACAGGGGTTGCGGAATTACGTGTCTGCGATCGGCTCCTAGTTCAGCATTCATATTCATGGTTTTCGATGGGCTGAAGACTTTTTTACCCATGCAATAACGGATCTAAATGTCAAGCAGAAAGGGATATGACCAGGTGAAAGCAGAGAGGGTGGCGATGGTGGACAGAGTCGGGGCAGTCGTTACATGCATCAACTGGCGTTCGGTATCTTCATGGTAGGGGTGGTTTTGTGGACTTGAAGTCTTGTGTCACTTGGTTGCAAGGTGATTATAGAATCTGATGGCATTTGCACAAAAATATAGGTACACGAATGGCTTCATTCTTGTCACTTTCATAGTGCATCTCACCATGTCATGACTGAGATGCATTCGACCAAAGTGAACCATCCGTCTTCAACAAGCTTACCCTCGATGGCTCAACCCCTTTCCCTTGTACTGTAGAGACACATGTGAGCACTCGGGATATCGCAACTCCATCGACCGGACATTCTACTGTTCCTTCGCTTTCCCCTTCCCCTTTCCTTCACCTTCAATGGCCTTGTCGCTGATGTCCCATCCATTAAGATACCCCGTACCGGCACAGAGGTAGGTTGCGAACCCAAGCCATCCCAGGTAGGGAAGCAGCAGCAGGCCAGAAATGCGGTCCACTTGGCCCCAGGTGTAGGCGAGATAGGCATTCAAACCCAGGAGGGCCACGATGTCAACGAGAGCCTCGACAGGGCGCCTGAGGACGAAGAAGAGAGGGGTCCAGACTAAGTTCAGGGCCAGCTGTAACGTATAGAGTGTCGCGCCTTGGCGGGCTAGGTCGGATTGCTCGCTGGTTGCGCTGAGACTAAGGCCAGCGCTCACGGCGCGGTACGCTGCGTAGCCCATCACGCTGGAAGTATGTCAGACCCCGTGGGGGACTGGAGACGGAGGGGAATGAAACATAGGGAAACAAGGGAAATTACCCATATAGCACCGTCCAAACGGGGGCAAAGACGAAGGACGGGGGGCTGTAAGGCGGATTCTTGACTCGGGCGTACGTCTGTTTTTGGTTGGACCCTGAAGTATGATCATGTTCAGCCCCAGACAACTCCAAAGTACAGAGAACGAAGGATCACGAATGACGAATTCTAATGATTAAAAACACTCTGATTGCTTACTGCTTGACAAATAGCCGACTGCCATGCCCAAGGAAACTGGCAACAAGATCGAGGATGCAGGATGGTCGAAGACCGCACGGGGAAGAGTGAGGGTAGGAATAAAAGTAGTCATATTGGGGATTGGGAGTTGGATCTTGCTCGTGAAACAATAAGGCAATCGTTGGTAGTAAAGAGATATCGACTTGAATCCACAGAAACTGAATTATTAGAATGGTTGAGGTGTACTATCATGAGGGCAAAAGAGTTATGCATTCTGAAACTGAAATGGCTCTCGACTGACACCTCGACTCTGTGAAACATGCTTGATATCGACGTCATGACATTTTTTAAGGTGGAGGTGGGAGGAAAAGGTATATTTACATAAAGTAACGGTGGTTTTCCAACACCCAACAAGCGCCGTTGGTCTAGTGGTTATGATAACTGCCTTCCACTTCTGTCGGATTAGCAGTTGAGACGCGTTCGATTCGCGTACGGCGCACACTTTCTTTTTTTGTTCTTTTTCTCCCCTCAGTTTGTTTTGCCCCCTGCCTTCCATGTACATTCAACCGATTCAACTAGCATTCCATCGCAATAACCACATAGCTTGGAAAATCAAACCTCTGGCAATTGGCAGATTTCAACTATATTCCATGAAATCAATCTGTGCTTTCTTGACGACAACCATTGTAACTGTAGATCCCGGCTCTTACTCTGTCCGAGACTCCACAAGGTATACCTAGGTAGGTAGGTAGGTACGTACCTTGCTGTTCTGTCCGTGCCCGTAGGTACGTACCATCCCATCAACGTTATGCGATTAAGAGGGTGACATGACGCTAAGCCCAATAAGCCACTAGTCGGCCCGAACTTGTCCTCCGGCGTTCGGCCCATCTCTCTCTGTCAGCTCCAACCAGCTTCCAACTCGCATCCATCTTCTCGTGCTCTTGTGCTGGTCAGAGCCTTGCTCCATCTGTCATCCGCAGTAAAACGTCACTGCCTTCTTTATTGTCGAGGTGGCTATACTCGCAACCTGAAATACTTGTTCGTATTACCCTTTCGACCTTATTTTTCATATATTTTCAGCCGCGTTATTGTGACGCGGCGGCGTCTTCTCACCGAGTTCCGGTAACCCGTCTTTCCTCCCAACCACCTTCACTCTGGTTGACTCGTGCTGGCACTCGAGCGGCCTTGATACATTCTTTCCTCCTTGTTCTATCGATTCAATTCCAAGTTTTAGAGCTATTCTTCTTCTTTTCTTTCTATACGCTTATTATTCTCATTGCTGCGCTTCTCTCTCACCCGTTTTCTCCGTCCAAACAGCACTTCAGAATGTTTTTTTCTAACCGCAAACATGGCGCCAAACAACAGGCCCTTCGTTCTCCTTATCGGTTACCACGAAAACGATAGACATCGCGACAAACACAAGCAATCGATTGATAATTTTTCCGTGCTACATAAGAACCCGGCTGTCTCCCCAGGCCGGTGAAGGCTCATCGGACGAAGAGACAAGGGATCGTCATGGACTCGTACTCGTCATTCAGAGATACGGCGCGCTCGCCGGCTGATAGAGAGAGAACCGACCCGTTCTATCGAGGCCGTTCCCCTGGTACGCAATGTGACCATCGGTCTTCTGCTTTCACCCATACCCATACCCATACCTCCCTAGCTCCCGTCTGCGTACAACTACTCTGTACTTGCTGCCACGGCGGTGATTGCGATCCCAAAAGACCTGGCAGTTTGCTGACGATAAACCCCCCCAAGGTCACGAACGTTCCCACCGCGACCGACGGCGCTCCCGCTCGCCCGCTGCAACTGATCGCTACGAGCCCCGAGGCCGGGCCCGTGATGACTACGGCGGCGGGCGGGATAGAGATGACCGTAGGGACCGCCGCATTAATTCCCCTCCGGCCAACATCGACCGCTATGTCCCAGGACAGGACAACGCTCCACCAGCACTCACGGTGAATCCTCTGATGGATCCGGCCAAGCTTCCATACCAGGTCGGGTTCTCGTACTTTGGCGAGTGGTGGCGGATGAATGAGAAAATCCGGGAAGAGAAGGAGCGCCAGCGCACGGGTCGTAGGCGAGAACCAGAGAAAACTCGGGGGCCTCGCGAGGTCCAAGAAGAACGCGAAAAGGAAAAGGCCAAGATCCAGGCCGCCTACGATTCTTACAAAGAGGAACTCCAGGGAAAGATGGCGCGCGGTTTCGTCGCCGAGCACAAGAAAGAGCAGTGGTTTCGCGAACGATATGTCCCTGAGGTCCGGGACGAATTCAAAGCGCGGCTCAACGAATTTCGCCGTGGTGGCTACAGCCAATGGGAGCAAGACCTTGAATCGGGCGCCTTCGATGACTACTCCTTGGAGGGTCTGCCAAAGAGTGATAGCAACGGGCAAGGGGGTCTCGTCGAGAAGGAGGAAGGCGAGGCGTTGGCTGCCAACGAGATTCTGGGCGTCGGGGACCTTGTGCCAGCCCAAGGGGCTGACATTCGGGACGAGAGCCTCTATCAGCCGACTCTGCTGTTCAAGACCATTGCCCCTCACGTTAGCCGGCACAACTTGGAGGCCTTCTGCAAGGAGCATCTTGGAGAGGAGGAAGGCGGGTTTAAGTGGCTTTCGCTGTCGGACCCGAATCCCAGCAAGCGGTATCATCGCATCGGATGGGTCATGCTCCATCCATCGTCGGAGTCCGCAGCGCCGGCATCGGACGGTGCGGATATGAAGGACGACGACGGGGAACAGCCGTCCAAGTCGCCGGCTCCGGCTTCGACTGCAGAGAAGGCTCTGGAGCTGATCAACGGCAAGACTGTCAAGGACGAATTGCGGGGGGATTTTACTTGCCATGTTGGTGTCCACAATCCGCCGCACTCCCCACGGAAGAAGGCTCTCTGGGATCTGTTCTCGGCCCCGGAGCGGATCGAAAAGGACTTGTCTCTGGTTCAGCGGCTCGTTACCAAATTCGAGGAGGACTTCGGGTCGGACTTCAACGCGATTCTGAAAATCGAAGAACGAGTCGACGACCTAAGGACTGCCGGTCGGCTTCAGCCTGCAGTTTCTATCCCGGCCAAGAAGAAGACCAAGAAGGAGCGCCGGCTCGATGTGGACGAAGGCATGCACGACGTCGAGGGAATGGAGCTGATGGAGGAAGATGACGAGGAAGAGGAAGGGGCCGTAGACGAAGACGAGGTTGATGACGAGGACCTTCTGGTGAAGAAGAAGCAGCTGGATCTCATGGTCGAGTATCTGCGTCGGGTTTTCAATTTCTGCTTCTACTGCGTTTTCGAGTGCGACTCGGTGCACGAGCTCACACGCAAATGCGCCGGCGGACATCTCCGGCGGCCGCGGAGTACGCTGAGCACGTCGGCGAAGGCTGTGGCCAAGGCCAGCGCGCTTGGAGAGCGATTTCCCGGCAAGAAGCGGGCCGAGCCCGACGAAGAGGGCGAGGTGGCGGAAGGGGGAGAGAAGAAGTTCCGCGGAGCGGGTGGCAAGGCGGAGCAACAGCTGCTACGTGCATACAACTGGGTCAAGACGTTCGAGGACAAGATCATGCAGATCCTGGAACCCGAGTCGGTAGACATCCGTAAACTCGGCGGAAAGCCGGTGGAGGAGGCCATCAACGAGGAACTGGCCAAGCATGTGAAGCAAGAAGACGAGCATAAGTTCAGGTGCAAGGTGCCGGAGTGTACTAAGCTGTTTAAGGAAGAGCACTTTTGGCGGAAGCACGTTGAGAAGCGACACACGGAATGGCTTGATAGCATCAAGCAAGAGGTATGCTGTTCCCGTTTTTTCTTCTTTTTTTCTCTTTTTCTTCCTTCTCTCGCCATCTGCGCTGTGAGTTCTGGAGTGAAGAATTGCAGAAGCTAATCGACTGTTGCCCTGCAGTTTGAGCTTATCAACGCCTACGTTATGGATCCTTCTCACATTGCTCCTTCGCGGACCGATGCCAACTCCAACGGGCATTTCCCGCCAACCGGTGGGCAAACGGCGGCAGGGACACCTCGCGGGTTTAACCTCAACACTTTCAACATGAACAGCATGATGCCGATCCCAGGGTTCCCGATGCCGGCCGGGGGGTTCCCGCCGTTTATGCCGGGCAACAACACAATACCGGGTGCGAGCTGGGCCGGTAGCGGCGGCGACCATCGAGACGGGGCGGGTCCAATTCGACGGGGCGGGATGGGAGGAGGACGAGGCAACTACCGCACGGGTCCGTACGACAGACGGCCGAACCAGAGATGGGACGGTGGTCGTGGGCGAAGCGGCGCGGGTAGATGGGGCGATGGTGCAGCAGGAGGTGCAACGGTGGGACCACGAGAGGCAACAATGGGGCGAAGCCTCAAGAGCTATGAGGACTTGGACCATGTTGCTGGCGGTGGGGGTGGTGAGCTGAATTACTAGGTGAAGACCGACAAGAAAGCGGGAAAATTCATATGATGGGGGTGTTCATTTGAATATGTTTGTCGGGGGG